ATAGCCAGCCTCTCTTCTATTACTGCGAAGCTTTCACATTATATCTCTTTTCTTTTTATATAGTCCATAATATTTTTTCTTTGGGAACTCTGAAATCCGGTCTTTTTACGTATAATATTCTGGGCTATTCTTTTTTTATTCATTATTAAACTTGTGCTTTTACACCTATGGGGTTTATTTAAATCTATTTTCAAAAGCCATAAACTCTTTTCGCAGAAGTTTAGTACTTCTCGGTATAAATCATTTATATATACATTTTACAACATTAAACTCCTACACAGTAGGGAGTTTTAACCCACAATCATTCTCTATACGTCGCCTATTATTAAATCTTAGATTAAATCTATAACGCTTAATATAATAGGACAGTGTGGAAATTTAGTTGTGTGGAGACGGGCAACCCTCAAAAATACAACCCAAAACTCAGTTCGTATCAGGAAAGGATAGTTGTCATTCTCACCACCCAAACATCTCCCCTTCACAAGCTTCCACATTTATCCCTTCAAACTCCTAACCGTCGACTCCACCTTGCTCTCAATTGTTCAAAGATATTTTTCGTAAATTTTCGTGTACACGATAGATTATTTTCCACGACGGATGATTTGTCACGAATGATACACCAGGTTTCAATTCACAAAACTCAATCTTCTCAAATAATCTCCACTCTTAAGCACCCCTATTTGGAAACAGAAGAAAACTATCCAGCAATATCTATACATAGGATTATAAAAACAAGATCTCTTCCATACACTTGTGTGGCAATAGACACTTGGGTGTATTAACCCACGCCGCTTGTGAACTTTGTGCTAATAGTGGAAGTCTAAGACTGTAAGAATGCTTCGTGAAGAGTGGGTTGTTAGACAAGGAGTTGAACAATGCGGAAGAAGACTCAAGGTTTGTTTGTAGGTTTTATAGTGTTTAGATAGAGAATGTGGGTTTGTCACCGATTTTCGTTTTACTACCGACTCTGAGTTCTTGTTCATAATGCCTCGTACGATCTTTCCACAGAACGTTTGCAATTGAATTGCGGAAGCGAACTACTCGGAAGCTAGTCGAGCAGAAAAAAATCTCTATAAGCGACGGAACACCTTCCGATAGATAGGTAACGCAAAGAAATGAATGATATACGAAGAATTGTTAATATATAGGATAAGGCTCTATAACTATTGCGATTTTAACACTACTCTTACACTTAGGACTTTCTCGAAGAAATTTCGTAAATTTTAGAAAGGTGAAGAATTATTAAGATAATTTAAATTTTGAGAAAAGGGAAAAGGTAAGGGAAAAGCCTAAATATCTTCTTTAAACTTAGTCGAACGTAGTATATAAGTAGAAATAAATGTTTTGTCTATTTAGAAGTCTAACCTTAATTAGAATATAAAATCACCTTCTTATCTATCTATACTCGAAAGTTACAGCGAGTGTAATTATATTAGTATTTAAACCTACTTAGATACAAAAATGAGAGTGTAACACTATAGAGATCCTTGCGCCGAAATGAACGAGATTTCTCTTAACGTGAAAGGCTTCTCGACTTAAGGGATCTTCTCACCCCGCCAAACACTTAAATATTCAAGGTCTAGCCTCTTTTATCGTCCCACCTCCCTTCCATCCCTACCTTTAGCTCTATCTCAAAACAAATCTATCATCAAATTTAACCTTACTTCCGAAACACCCCTTATGTCCCTCCCAAAATCTATTCATAATCCAAACCCCATCCTCTCCCATCCCTCATCGTCTCACCCCATCTAACTCGATTATTCCAAAGCCCTCTATAACCCACCACCGTCTACCAACCACCGACATTCCCCCTTTTACTCTTTCAAATGTGTAGGCATTAACATCCCTTAAAGGTTCTAATAGTTTCAGAATATTAGTAAAGACCTCCACATAAACCCTTATTCGAACCGTGCTTTCCTTGGAGTTTGCTAAGTTTTTGTTTGTCGGTCGTGCTATGAAGAGAAGGAAAGAAATTAATGTTATATAGCCGACTTCTAGGGAACAGAAGTGCGAAGGGGTTTTGCGAATAGCGCAAGGGGACGATGTGCGTTCGTTCCTATTATTCTACTTTCTATAGCGCTTTTCTGGAGAAAATTTCATTAGTATAATAACACGATTTCTCTTCTACTCTTTTAAAAGTTATAAGTATAATCCTATTTTTTTACTCTTTCCGAAGAAGCTAACTACCTTCTAAACCGAAGTAAATACTATAATTCCACGACATATATTAAGTTTACTAGACGAGAAAACCCGTAGCTAAAGCAAAACTATATCTTCGAAATCTGTTAACCTTCTATCGTAAATTACTTCTTTACAGACCTCTTAGATATTCCACATTTCCCCAAACTTCCCTTCACTCTTCTACTCATCTCCCCTTCCCTTCCAACACTGTCTAAACTATTACTTACAACACCACACCTCATTTCTCATCTCAGCTACCTCTCAACGGTACATTGACATGACATCGTATTAATTTTGCTTGTGCTTTCGGCACTACCGAATCGAAGTCGGGACTTAGAGGTGATGTTAATGTACTCGGCCTTTGAATTTCTCGAGAAATCAAAGGGGGAATAGAGTAGTAGATTAGGTAATAATATAGGTAGAATAAGTCTAATTCTTACCGCTTTAACATTACTAGAAGTAACACTAAGAAACTCTTTAAAACCTTAAAACAATATAGAATATAATTTCCCACTCTGCATTATATTATAACTAGGCACGATTCTGGGATTAGGTTAAATGGGACAAGCCATCTTCTGTAAGAAAGAGAATCGGTGCACGTCCGATTAATACAGACCTACTATTTTATCTTCATAATCCTTACACTCTTTAACTTTTATATTAAACCCAAATTTCGAAACACGATCTGTCACCGAAACCAACTTTAGCACCGATTCCACTTCCACCTCTTCCTCCTCTTTTAACCCTCCCATTTCTATACCTCTTCCCCCTTTCCCCTTTCCCCCCCTACCCAACCTCAAATAAACAAGTTCTTCTACGCCTGGATGTATTTCTCTCCTCAAAATATCTCTACAGCCATTCCTTAGTCGTCCCAAGTGGGGTTTGATATTCTCTCATCTCGTGGTTGAGAGTTGACTTTATACCACACCTTCCCCTATCCTTTCAAAAAAAAAAAAACACAAATCCCTACCGTGATTATTACAAGAGGGAGAATTATTTTATATTAGTGTTGTGGAGTCCAGAAAACCAGGATGATGGGTTTTTGGATAGTAGAGAGGAGTTGAAAGCAAATTGTGCGGAATTCAAAAAATAGGATGTTTTCGATTTGAAGAACCGGATGAAGGAATTGGGTGCGATGGGGGGAGGTAATTTTGCAAATGTTTAAGTAGTTAAAGGTGTTCCGGCTTTGGTGTCGTTGATAAAGGTATAATGTCCCTAGATGTTTGAGTTTATAAATACAAGCTATGATAGTCAAAAGACCCGTACATTTCCATCCTCACCAGATCCATCCATCTTCCCCCTCTACACCCCACCCCCCTAATCAACATCAGGCACCGGCAGTCCCTCCACCAACCTAACCCTCCTCCCCAACTTCTCCAACGCCTCTCTCGCATTCCGATCCCTCAAACTATCCGTCTCCTCCTCCCCCACAAGCACAAACGCATGTCTCAAAACCTTACACCCCTCGTTCACCCCATACATCTCCCTCTCCTCCCCCGTCACAGTCCCAAACTCCACGATCAAGCTCTCCTTAACCCCAAACACCGCATCAGACGTCTCATACGGATCGCCCTTCACATAAAGCGCCGTGACGAGGTGATCCCATCCTTGTTTCGCAAACATGAAATGCAGGTGCGCGGGCCGCCAGTTATGTCGTCCTAGCATACCCAATAACTTTCCCACCGGACCGTCGCCGGGGATGGGGTACGGAACAGGAACAATAGCTTTGAACCAAAACTTCCCATCCTTATCACTTCTCATAACGCACCTCCCATCCGCGCCCTTGGACTCAGCGTATTGCACATCATAATGCCCCGAGCTATCCGTCTCCCAGATATCAATCTTGACGTCTTCAATCGGATTTCCATCGCGATCTTTAACGGTGCAGAGAACTAGCAGCGGTTCACCGGCTGGATCAGAAGAGATCGTTTCGCCATTCGCGATGGAAGGGGGGTCGTGGGTGTGGAAGGGACCGAGGACGGAGCCTTCAGTGGAGGAGGGAGGTTTGGGGTGGTTGATTGCGTCGATGAGAAGAGAGAGGCCGAGGATGTCGGAGAGGAGGATGAATTCCTGAAATAAACAAATCAGCATACATCTTCCAATTTCTAGCTGTTGTATGCCAGATGGATTTCCGACTTACATGTCGCACATCACTCGAAATCTGTCCCACACCAACCAAGAAATCCAGCGCCGCCATCCATTCCTTCGTGCTCAATCTGGTCTCCCGCGCGAAATCGTGTAGATGGGTGACCAATCTCTCCATGAGATATGTGAGACGCTGATCTGGACATTGTGAGTTGGTTAAGATGGTATTTTCGGTGATGTTATCGATTGTGAGATCTTTCATGGGAGGAACATTGACTTTTGGTTGTGCCATGTTGAGGTATCTCGTGGTATATTATGGGCTCCACGGATGAAGAATTGGATGTAAACAGCTCGAAGATGTTTTCGCGAGCTTCGAATAGGAAAAGGTGTTGTAACGAAATCAAGGTGCTTCAGATCAATCTGGACTATATATTAGAGGAGAGCCACGAAACTCAATCCGGTCTTTGTAATACATTGCAAATGCTTTGATGGACCTGTTGCGTGTCGCGGACCTCGAATATGGCAGATGGCGGGGTAGGTGGGGTCGTGCAAGGTGCGGCTCACACAACACGGCAGACGAGGTCGGACCCGTACATGTCAGTCTCAAGAGGAGAGGTCTTGCTGATATCTACTTTGCGTGGGGAAAGACGAACAACATGGGAAATCGCATCAGAACAAATTGAGTATCATTATTCATTGATCGCTATCGAGGTAGAAGGCTACATTTCACAACAACGTCATGCACGGCAAAGTGTGAAGAGATCATAACATTTCCTTAACGGCGCCAAGCAAAGCTATCTAATCCCATATCCTCCATCTCAACCAAGATGCAACGTACAAGCACCCCAGAGATTGATCACGCAAAAAAAATAACAACCATCTACACAGGTCAAATCTATTTCTTAGCACCTGCCTTGGCAGCAGCCTTGGTGACCTTGGTGGCTTTGTCGATCTTCTTGACGGACTTGATGACACCGACAGCGACGGTTTGTCTCATGTCACGGACGGCGAAACGACCAAGAGGAGCGTAGTCAGTGAAAGCCTCAACACACATGGGCTTAGATGGCTCCATGGTGACGATAGCAGCATCACCAGACTTGATGATCAACTTCTTGTCATCAGTCTTCTCCTCAAGAGCCTTACCAGTACGACGATCGATCTTCTGCTTGATGGACTTGAACTTGCAAGCAATGTGGGCAGTGTGGCAATCAAGAACTGGAGCGTAACCATCGGAAACTTGACCTGGGTGGTTGAGGACGATGACTTGAGCATCGAAGGTCTCGGCGGCCATTGGTGGATCGTTCTTGGAGTCACCAGCAACGTTACCACGACGGATTTCCTTGACGGAAACGTTCTTGACGTTGAAACCAACGTTGTCTCCTGGGAGACCCTCGACAAGCTGCTCGTGGTGCATCTCGACGGACTTGACTTCAGTGGTGACACCAGCTGGGGCGAAGGTGACGATCATACCGGCCTTGATGACACCGGTCTCGACACGTCCGACTGGCACCGTGCCAATACCACCAATCTTGTAAACATCCTGAAGAGGAAGACGGAGGGGCTTGTCGGTAGGACGGGAAGGTGGGTCGATGGCATCAATAGCCTCGAGGAGGGTCTTTCCGGTGGACTTTCCAGCCTTGGTCTCCTTCTCCCAACCCTTGTACCATGGGCAGTTGGGGGAGTTGTCAATCATGTTGTCACCGTTGAATCCGGAGATTGGAACGAAGGCAACAGTCTTTGGGTTGTATCCGACCTTCTTGATGAAGGAAGAGGTCTCCTTGATGATTTCTTGGAAACGGGCCTCGGACCATTTGGTGGTGTCCATCTTGTTGATAGCAACGATGAGTTGCTTGACACCGAGGGTGTAGGCGAGGAGAGCGTGCTCACGGGTCTGACCATCCTTGGAGATACCAGCCTCGAACTCACCAGTACCAGCGGCAATGATGAGAACGGCGCAATCAGCCTGGGAGGTACCAGTGATCATGTTCTTGATGAAATCACGGTGACCTGGGGCATCTGGGGGGGTTGTTAGCATGCATCACAAAGAAGTCAAGGAGGTTACAGAACATACCAATGACGGTGACATAGTACTTAGGAGTCTCGAACTTCCAGAGAGCGATATCAATGGTGATACCACGCTCACGCTCGGCCTTTAGTTTGTCAAGAACCCAAGCGTATTTGAAAGAACCCTTGCCCAACTCGGCGGCTTCCTGGGAGATTGTTAGCCATGATCAAAAAATTGATGCGATGAGCTATGCGATGAGAACATGCGACAATGATATGAAAACAATCGTCGTGACGAGATGTGGTATTGTTGCGGTGTGTTGTTGAAGTGACGCGCATAAAACGCTTTGATCATGTTGCGGCCCAAAGTGGTCGGGCGCAAAAATTTGATCGTGCGCAAAACGTTTTACCCCACCGAGGGGCAAAACCTGCGATAAGAAAGGAGGGGTAAATGGGAAATTTGACCAAGGCAACAAAATGTGAAATTCTTACCTTCTCGAACTTCTCGATGGTACGCTTGTCAATTCCTCCGCACTTGTAGATCAAGTGACCGGTGGTGGTGGATTTTCCGGAATCGACGTGGCCGATAACGACCACGTTAATGTGCATCTTCTCCTTACCTAGAATTGACTGTCAGCCTGTTTTCGTTTGAAAGATATGACACCAGCATCGCGACCATCTCATTCGATCTGCCATCCCACGCAAACACGAGGGATGCAAAGGTGACTGCCGTCCTCGACATGATGATGTCCACGATGCCAGTTGCTGGTATGAAGGATTGTGCTCACCCATGATGGCGGTAGTGTATGTTTATCGGATATGTGTTTTTTGTTTTTTCTCGAAAGAGTATGATCTGAAGGGCAGAAGATGGTTAGTATTGATCCTCTTGATGGTTCCCAGCTCGTCGTCGTCGTGGATGATGGATGACTTACTAGCAGAGTGGTGTTGCTTTGACACGCGGTATGCTGGACAAATTTTCAAAGAGGAGGGCGAGGTGTTGTGAGAATTTGTATCCTCGAAGGAACTGCTAGCGCTGTTGACGGGCTAGCCTATGGGTAAGCGAGGCCAATGACGGGCTGCTTAGGGCTAACCCGTCGCCCCACTTTGGACAGAATCTGACTCTCTCGGCGAAGGTGGAACTCCAAAGAACGCCAGACTAGCAGACTGGCGACGTCGTCTGCATTCACTACTGGAGAATTTTTGCACATTTTTAATTTTGCCTCCTGATTCACTGGAAATAGAGGACTTCGAGATACGGTATGAGGAGATTTTCAATTATTTCGATTCAAGTTGAGTCCTTCTCAAAGGGACAAAAAATGTTCTTCCTGCTTCAAGCAAGATATTGCGGCGCGATGCAGCTCGTACGCAAGAGCGGGGTCAGGGACGCCCTCATCAACAACAACAAGCATGATTCGCAGTTTCATCAACCTCGAAAAAAGGATTCGCCACCATACGCGCCATGAATTTTGCAAGCGCTGTCCGTGGTCAAACTACACCTCTCGAGAATAGCCGTTTCCACTTTATTTATTTCTTCACCTGCGGACTCTGCCAGTTCAATTACCATGCATTCTCCCCCACCTTCCTTCTTCGCTCTGGCCTGGCGATGATCGGGTTGCAGTGACGCATAATCTGACATTTTCATAACCGCCTTGGTACGGCCAGGATTCCAATATATTCACCACGAATTTCGGACCAAGCCTCCTTCAGTGGTGGTAACCGCTGCTGCTTGGATCATATTGGAGCATGGAGCATGATTGGATGCCTTTGCTCATGCGTCTTCAGGGTTGTTGACGCCTTTCTCTTCGGGCTCACGCACAAGCAGAAGAATATATCTTCACAGCACTGCTTTCAAAAGCTAGGTACTAATTGTCATCATGGTCACTTGCAAATGGTGTGGGAACGTCGAAGGAACGAAACCATTCGAAGGAGTGCTTCTGTGTGAACCATGCCTCCAAAAGGCAGCTTGGGCAGTTGACCATCCCCAGCTTTGCAGTACCTGCGAATCACTATTTACGAATCCAAATTCTTTTGCTCAGTTAACCTCAAATGATGGCTATTTACACGGTGGTTGGGAGGATTCAGCACGACGTGGATGTCCACTCTGCAGGGTGTTTCTTTTGCAGGATCCAAATACGGACATCAACAGAAACATGACGGGAGTATTGCTACATGCAGAGACGAAAATGAACGGTAAGGGAGGTGTTCCAGATGTGGCATCCATATACTTTCAATCCGAGTCTGAGCAATTCAAACTCTCCTTGTCTGTCGCTGCTGTTGCAGGTAGGTCTTTTGCTATCTGGAAGTTGGATTCAATCTGCGACTAATCGTCTAGAAGACGACCCTGCTGCTAAATACATCAGTCAAAGACCTATTCCCCCAAATCTAGCCAACGACGATACCTTCAGTCGAGCGAGAAGTTGGCTTCACGAATGTCGCTTCACCCACATCAGATCGAAATCCTCTCCTTCGAAACCTCGTATGCCCACAAGAGTGATTGAGGTTGGAAATGACGGCGATTTGGAAGTACGACTGTTCGAGCCCGGGACCCCTACATACGAAGACTACATCACGTTGAGTTACTGCTGGGGGCCACCACCTTCCTTCAAGACGTTAATATCGAATATCGAGAGCCACAAGAAGTCAATGGTAGTCTCCAAACTGCCGCAGACTATGCAAGATGCCATAATTGTGACAAGAGCTTTGGGTTTGAGATATATCTGGATAGATGCTATTTGCATTATTCAAGATAGCCCCGAGGATAAAATTAGGGAGCTCACGGTCATGGGGAACATCTATCATCATTCGACGCTCACAGTCGCTGCTGTAAGCGCAGCGGCAGTTGGGGATGGCTTCCTGCGGACGAAGCAACCTTCGGCAGTCGAACTTCCATATCTGTGCCCAGACGAATCCAAGGGTACTGTTCAGCTGACGCTACAACGAACGGTAGAATTATGGAAAGAAACAATATATACCAGGGGTTGGTGCTTACAGGAGTCCCTACTGAGTGGCCGTATGCTGCTTTTCACCGATACGGAGGTGCTATGGTCATGTCAAGATGAACCATTCAAACAACCCGAAGGCACACATATCATCTACGATGCAGCATCTCCTGAGCACATGCGATATCCTTTTCGAAGATTGTCTGAAGCCATTTTCTCTGACAACCAGCCTCCTGCATCTTCAGTTCCTACTAGGAACAAAAGCATCTCAGACGAAAATCAATTAGAGCAAGAAACTGCACAACTAACTTTACATCCCCAAACAAGCAAAGCAGCGGACCCAAAAGCTCACGACTTTTTCCTCGAATGGTCTTACCTAGTCTCCAACTACTCCTACCGCAACCTCTCTTTCGTTTCCGACCGCCTTCCCGCCCTCGCCGGTGTGGCCGAAAAGTTCCAAAACGCCTGGGGCCATCCACCATACTACGCCGGTCTCTGGCCTGCCCACTTTATTTCCCTCCTCTCCTGGCGTCACGACCTACATCTCATCGGCGAATCCCTCACGCGTCCCTCTCCCTGCGGCTCTCCCTCTTGGTCCTGGTCCAGCGTCGAGGGACCCATCAAATTCGAATTCAAATGGGGCTTCGAACCGAAAGCTAAAGTCCCGGCTGCGGAATTTATCGAATGTTTCACCGAACCAAAGGAAAGCGCGGTCCCGCTTGGAGAAGTCGTGAGTGGGTATGCGGTGCTAGAAGGGCAGATGGTGCAGGCTGAATTGACGAATATGAGCATGAAGACGGCGTATGATAGAGGTCATGTATATTGGGATGAATATCCGGTTAATACGCTGCTTGGGGATGTGAAAGACGGAGGGAAGGGCTGTTGGTGTTTGTTGCTTGGGGAGGCGTGGATGGGGAGTTCGAAGAAGGGAGCGGCGAGTATGGCTGTTGCGATGATTTTAGTAAAGGTAGAGGAGGATGCTTTGGTGGGAGATGTGAATAGAGAGGACGAGGGAGATGAGAAGGTTGGTGTTTGGAGGAGGGTTGGGTTGTATACCCTCCTCGCGAAGAATTCTGCCAAGGCGTGGGCGGGGAAGGAGAGGAGGAGGAGAGTAAGGATTATTTGAGTGTGGGATTACGTTTCGGATGGTGATGTTTTGAGAACGTGAGTAGTGGGATTATTCGATTCATTCATTGATCAAGGAGGATTACCCTGTTGTGAGCAGATAATTTGTTGGGAAGTAGTAGAAAGGGACAAAGTTTTTCTTCGATTCTTGAAGTCATCGACATCCAGGCTCTTCTTGGAAAATTGTCTAGTTTAAAATATCCAAATTAAATATAAAGGGAAATATCATTCCTTGTTTGAGCTTCTAGTCCTAATATTTCCTCTTCATCCCACGATCTTACTCGTATTCCTACACTCACCGTGGTATATAAATTGAACCTGAAAACGATATGCCTGTTCTTGGTACTCAAAGATAAAAGAAGATCACAATCCCAGTATCTGATGTGAGGTCATGGTAGTAGAGATAGACGGTATATTCGTGAGTCTATGGGGACTGTATCTGACCTTAAAATAAGTCGTAATACTAGAGACGAGGCCATCAATAGAATATTTCTTGAACTTTAAACGAGAGATGAATGGGCTTCGGCGGTGACGAAGGATTTCGGTGACTACAGTTTCTCCTTCTCCCTCTTTCGTCATGCGTTCAAACCAGGCGGGGTTCAAATTTACTGAAAGCATTTTGAGAAGCACGAATATGGATATTGCTGTGATTTCTCACTAGTTTTGTGAATTGTACTTTTCATCTGACGTTGGAAGGGTAGTTTTGGAGCTTTTGTGCCGAGGGAGGGAGAGGGAGGGGAAGACGAGTGAAGTGGGGAGGAAGGTGGGGAGGGGAGGGATGGAAGGTGGGAGATGGCCGAGGAGGTAAATGTAGGGTTTTTGAAGGCGGGAATTAGTGGAATTAACAACCGTCTTGGGTTAAGAATATTACATAATGGCCTTGACGAATGTATAATGCCGCTGACATACAGCAGTATTCAGCACGTCGTGGTAGAAAAGGGAGTTCTTGGTGCTTAGTGGAATTCGTGGATGCTGCTATGAGCAGGTGAAGATGATGTGTTGTGGTGGGGGAAGTAATGATGTGAGATTATGTTGTGGGTTTGGGGTTGAGCTTTGTATTTGAGGAAAGAAGGAAGATAGTGTGGTGTAAGGGTTAATATGAGTTGAAGTGTGGGGGAGGTGGTTGAGGGAGGTGGGAATTCAGTGGTGATATGGAAATCGGTGATGGATGTGTGTTGGAGATTAGACGTTGAGGGTCATAGGTAGGAGTAGGAGGAAGGGAAAGTGTGGAGAGAGGGGTTGGTTGGGCGTGTTTGAGGCGACAAGATAAGGTGGAGATTGTGAAAATATACTTTCGCGGGGGGATGATATTGTCATGGGAATGTTTTGTTTGTTTGCTATTTATTTTGAGTTTGAGGATGGAATATAAAGTGGGAGTGGTAGAGTCCAGTGACAGGGCGGGGTGGGATAGAAGATTAAAGATAGGAAACAATAAAGATTATCGTCAAGGATGAACATATCTCACATATCTTCCTCTTATAACTAAAAGACCTCAATATGCTTACTTGCTAACAGCAACAAAAAATCACAACTAAATGTACCTGTAAAAATGACGTATAAATTGTCTAAAGGGGATAGCCTAGCTACGGTCAAGAAATGATTTCTAGCTCTCACAAATTTCGATAGGAGAAAAAGAATGGAGTTAGTATTTGGAAAGGAGGTTGTTTGTATTACTGCAATATGGGAGTGGATTTGAGATGGACGTTTTAGTGCTTCTTTGTTAGACACAGAAGTAGAAGAGCAGAGGAGAAGCTTGAGCGGTGTTGTAGATAATCGGTGGTGAAGCTGGAATCGGTGACAGATTACGGTTGAAGATGAAGAAACGTGTCGAAATAGACGACAGTAGAGGAGGCTTGCCATGCCACAAGCACCTTACTGTGAAATGAGAAGTAAAGTTCTAATTCTAGTCTAGAGTCTATTCGCACAGCGGCGGATAGGTTGGACATTTGTCCTTTCACGTTACTACCTAGCAAGGTTAAAGGAGGATAGAGATCTTGTACTTAAGTAGACATAGAAATAGAAAAAGAATCTTAGGGTTTGTGTTTTTGTTTTATATAAGGGGAGAAAAATTAATATTAACTCTATTATATTTAGGTTCAATAGCGTTTCTATATCTACGTATCTAAATTTAAACTTATAGTAGCTAATCTCTATTTAAAAACAGCTTTTTACAAGAGCTTCGTTATGTTTTTATTCTTCTCTTTAATTTTCCTTCTATTTTTAGAAACAGGGTAATATATACTTATACGTTAATTAATATTTAAAACTATTACGAAATACTCTATTATAAAAAATAGCCTATCTTTAACGAGATATAGTATTTCTTGAAAGGTTTATATTTGTTGAACTAAAAATAGTTTAGGGTGTTAAATTAACCTTTTACACCTTTTTCTATTATATTAAATTTTCTTATTGTAGACATAGTCTCAAAATTCTATAGTTAAGCGATAGGATTTATTCTAATTCAAATTTACTAAATCTCAATATATAAGAAAGAAATTAAGTGACAATTATCTTTTCGGCAAAAAACTCTACTTTCTCTTCCCCCACTTTAACGATTAAGAAGGCTGAAGTATTCGCCTAGGGGAGCTTGTTAAAGAAGGTGTATGTTTCTTTTTTCAGTGTAATCGTATAGCGTAGTTGGAGACACTACGTCTCAATTAGAAGAAAGTGGGAATTTCTAGTACCCGGAAGAGTTTGTTAAAAAGGGTCTTGCCTAGAGTGGCTAGATTAAAGATAATGCAAGACGTTCAGAAAACAATTACTGTTTAGTTTCATAGTAGCTTTTTTCTTCGGGTGTAGATAGGAGCAATACAGATTTTCCATTTAATAGTTTCAAATAAAACCAAAATGTGTCGGACTTTCTGAGATTCGGGGAATCTCAGAATGCCAGTGCGTCTTCCAGGATCTTCTTACATCTAACCATTTTTGGAATGTAGCAACATAGCTTCTTATGTACATGATTGTACTCATCGTTATATCTCTATTGAACTCCGACTCGTAGATTAAAGCCATAAACCGTGAAACACAAAAAACGGAACGATTCCCTGAATTTAATTCCAATAAATGTTCCTTCCTTGCCGACCATTCATTATTATACCTTCCCTTGAAGTTTACTGAACCTGTTAACCATGATAAAAGCCAGCAAATCTTTCACACAGGGTCTTCAAGGAATGCGCGCATTTTAGCAATCTCAAGCAGAGTGACTGTTGAATTACATTTGAATTCGTTTCCCATCCTACACTTTCTGGAACCGAATTTCTAAGTTGAAAAAGCATTATTACTTACCATAATTGTTAACGCAATCTGACATTGATATCACTAAATAAAAAGCCAAATTCGGTAACGATAATACTTTCAGTGATAAACCTAACTTCCCAACCTTTATTCTATTCACCGATCTCTTACTTACTAAACTAAACAATCCTATTCCAAAATTTAGCTATCTTTTTAACAACCTACAGAATATTTAAATACCGACAGTATAGTTAGAGAAACATCGGATTCTCTGGTGAGGTTTGCACTTTGCTAGAGAGGAAGTATTTCTTAGGATGGGCTGGGTGTAGAGGGGTGGTAGGAAGTTCGAGGCAGTGCGTAAGTATTAAGAGGACTCTTGGCTTTGGGCTTTTGATGGGAAGTGGATTTAACTGTGATATATCACATTTGTTGTAGGCAATAAGAAGTTTAAAAATCTATAGAGAGAAAGGTAAACACGGTACAAACATCCTTGTCTCAACCTCACATCTTGCCCTAATAAATAACACCTTCCAACCTCTAACCATCATGAAGTACAGCATAAGACCCCATCTAGTTACTTCCTGAAAAGACACCAAAAACAAATCATCCCAGATGTCAGCTCGCTGAGTTGTCCAATAACAGCAAAAATGGGTATACTAATATATGATTTCTGAAGGGGACGGAATCCTCTAGAAGAAACACAAGATGTAAGATATAGTACGAAAAATGCTGGAATGTAGATATTAGCCAGTCAGTATTCGGTGGCAGAATTAAGATCGGCGATAAACTAATTCATGAGATTCGCAAAGCACATATTCTAATGACACACTGTCTCCCCTACTCCCATACATAAAAGCATGCATAGCCCTATGTCGCATGCCGTTCAGCCCCCGATCTGAACAACGCGCGGTATGCGAACTGCCTTGTTTTTGCAGAATGGTATTGTCGTAGTCCAATAGCATAGTCTCGAATCAGCAGGGTCTTTTGTAATATCATAGAGTTGGTTGGGTAACTGATTGAGAGGTGGAAGTACGAGAAGGAAGCGAGGTTGTAGATCTTGAAAGAACTTCCTGACGGTGTATATAGAAAAGTATAAACGAGATAGAGTTAATGTAGTAAATGTAGAAAATATCGAAAACCCCTGAGACAGAAAATATTGAAACATCATTCTCTCACACTAATTCAAGCTCTTACTCCCCAAAGCACATATCAGTATTGCAAACACTTTCATCCTTCAGAATATAAAACAACCCCAAAGTCCATTCTATCACTCAAGAACTAACCATATCTTCTTCATAGCTATGATTTCTGCTCGTTGAGCTGTTCTGGTAGTAAGAAAGATGACTAACGTATTACAATAGAATATTTCAGTTTCTTGAGGTTAGGAAAGTGGAAATCTCTAATTATTTGTAATGGACAGGCTGTTGTTGTAGAGGCGAGAATATGAGGTGAAATATAATTCGGTGTTAAATTTAGGATCGGTGACAAACAACCTATTCACAAATCAGCGAAAACACCTACTCTTATTTGCCCACATTCCTCTCTCCCCTACACTAATCTCCTCCCTCCTTTTTACACACAACAACCTCAATAACAGTACGCTCCTCACCTGTCCCAAATCATTGCCCAGAAGAGAAAGCAGATTGTTTTTGTGCTTTCAATAATGCGCTGAGAAAGGTATATTTATAAAGAGGGTTCTTCCTTAAGATAGTAGAGTCAGTGGTATGTGTTCACGGTAAGTAGACTGTTTTTAAGGGGAGGCATAGGGTTGGGTGTGTTTTAGGGTTGGAATTTCGTATTTTCAAGGACTAGGTTTAGGAATAATGATTCGGGAGTGAAATTTGGGATAGGAAGAAGAGAACTCAGTGTCTGACAAATCATAGGTTCTTCACCAAACCTTTCCCTGTAATCACACACAAAAAACCTATCACAAAAAACACACATCACCTCACTAACTTAACATTCGAGAGTAGAAGAGCTCCATTTAAAAAGCCGTGAAGTTCATGGCTATCTTCTTGCAATTCTCTAACCGTGACTGGGCATCTATCGACCCGTTCGCTTCGGATAATAGCTTCTGATCAACACTTAGTCTTTTTACTCAAATGTGCTTCTTGATTTGTTAGTTGATATACTTGCGTCCGTGAAGGAAGGAATTAAAAAATGCAAGTGTTAGGTTCGGGGGGGATGAAATCGGTAGTAAGATTCAAATCGCCGACAAACCAACCCTTCCTTCACATTACTCCTCATTAGGTGAAAAGTTCAAATGAAATGACCGCACTAAAAAACACGCCAACTCCCCTTTGGGTGCGTTTATTCCGCGAAACAAACTATACTCCCAAACCAGTGTCTTCCAACTTCCCAACAGATGCCACAGGGGGCAGCTCGGATGCGTTGATTCTGGAGAATGTATGCAGGGGAGGTGTATAAGACGTGGTGTTTCCTTGAATACTGAGTTTTAGTTGTAATGGAATTACAGCTTGTTAAGTGTATAAGAATGCTCCCCCGGCATACAGGATTGGGATGAAGGGAGATCCATCGAATAAATGTCAAGGTTATGAGGTGTACAATTGTGGTTTTTTTGAAGAACGAAGTTCTTAAGTTGATTTTTGGGGTTTTTGGGTTTTCTAGAAACTTGATGAAGGTATCTTGATACTAAACGTGCTTCTGAGAAACGCGATGAAGTATTTATTGAAAAAAAGTTGATGAATTCATGGTATCATAAACCGTACCCAAAACAAACCAAAACACCCCCCTCTCCAATTCCGTACTTATTTTTCAACCTCGGGTTTCCCCCCATCCCTGTTCTTCTTTTCCATTTCCACTCTCCTCTCTTTCAAGACATTCACAACAACACCCCTCTCCCAAGCGCCCCCAAACTAGCCTCATACCGCCCCGGACTATGATCCAAAAGCATACTCCCACCAAACCTCACCTCACCAAACCTCCTCTCCACATCCCTCACATACCTCAACACAGCTCTCGTAGCCGGTCTGCCAAGTCCACTTCCCCTTTCACTTCCCCTACTGCCCAATCCACCCTCAACAAAAGCATCTCTCTTCAGCACCGGACAACTCTCAACTACGAACACCTCTCCAGGCGGAACCAACTTCGAACTCAACATACAAGCCCTCAAGGCCTTAAGCGCTGAATACGCCCACTGATCCTCTTCTCCCATTTCCTCTCCACTCATACCTTCACCAACCCCCTGGTCAGCACCAGCATACCACTTTCGTCTCAGCCCTTCCATAATCCCCTTCCAGACCCTCTCTCGAAACTGCCCTTTCGCACCTGACTCATCAGTTTTGAAAGCCAACGCGACAGCTTGTAGATCATGCAGCACGCCGAGAGACAGATAGGGGACTAGATCTTGGTTGTTGACGATGGTGGTGATGAGGCCACGCGTGGCGAGGCGGAGGGAGGGTGAGAGGGTCGCAGGGGGACCGTAGGCGTAGACGTGGATCGGGCGGCCCGGAGGAAGATGGAGGGGTGAGGGCGCTGTGCCTGCAGAGCCAGTAGTAAGGAGAAGTGGCTGCGGTGGTGGGTTCGAGGTGATAAAGGCAGTTGAGGCGGGGTCAGGCGAGGGTTCAGAGATCATGATCGCAAGGAGGGCAGAGACTCCGCCGCCGAGACTGTGACCGCAGAGGACGAGGCCGTAGTCGGGGAATTCTTCGAGCGCGGCGGTTATGGTGGCCATTACGCGACTGCTTTTGCCGTTTAGGAGACGGCGAGCGGAGGCGTGGATGCCTTTGTGGACGGAGTAATCTTGGCCGCGCCAGGTTAGTATGTCGTAGTCGCATGTCATGTCCGTCAGGACGTCTTCAAATCCGAGGGTTCCTCTGCATGTGAGGACAACGGCTTTGGAGTCGTGGTCGAGAGAGACGAAATGGACCATGGGTACGCCGGTATCTGTCATGCCAGAGGAGTCGGTACCGCCTTGTGGATCAACGAAGGATGATAGTAATATCGTATCCGCTGGCAGCTGGGTGTGTGTCGAGAAGGAATGATGTTCGTGGTGGTGGGAAGTGTCGAAGTCTTTGTTTACGGCGTCAGTCGCCATAATGCCCATGACCCGTAGGAAACTCGAGCCATACGAGGCGGAAGCAAATCGTACAAATCTGGTGATATTTCTGACAAGGTGGTGCTGTGGGAACATGCCTTCAACCAGACCAGTCCTTACAAAGTTTTCCAAAGAATGAGGATCTTCAAATGCGCTGTGTCTTGGACGCGAAGCCAGAACAAGCGAGGTCATTGATTCATTGGTCTTGAGTGTGTATATACTTGGGACGTGACTCTTCGTCCGTCGATGAGCTTTGCTTTGGGAAAGCTCATTGTTGGATATATTCTTTTCCGATCTTGCTCTTATGAGGTTACTGTGCGCTCGTAAATGTGTCCTGTAAGCAGTAGGTGAGCCCGGTCGAGATTCTGCGGAATGTATTGAGTATGTTTCCGTATGTGAAACAACCGATCCTGCTCGTTGATCTGCCACAGAGTAATGGCTTGATCTTGATGGGCTTCTTCTGATGTCAGCAGCTTGCAGCGAGCCGAGATCTCGAGAGGAAAAGTAATTATGATTTCCACGCTGAGGTGCGCGAAGTGCTTCTCGGAGGGGCGTCATATTAGCTTTTTGAGCGCTGACAGGTATATTTGATTTCGCTGGAGTAACTGGAGTGTTCCAAGCTGGCTTTTTGGATTCTTTAGGTTGTGGTGGGGCGCTGCTGGTATCAGCGGTAGAGTTGTCTTTCGGGAGAAAATGAGACAATGTTGAGCTCGAACCTCGCTTGATGGCATTTCTGATCGAGTTCTTCTTTTCAGCAGGCTTTGGGGGCATTTTAACTACTTTTGGCTTTTTCGTGGGTGGTGACTTTTTGCTTGTCAACATCCTTGGTGGCTGGTTGTCAGTCCCACTGAAAGATGATGAGGAGCTTAAGGGCTTCCTCGTCCTTTTCTGGTTCGAAAGATTTCCCGTATCACCTCTTGGTGCTAGATCGTCATCCAGTGGAACGGGCGGAAGCTCTTTCAGATCAGCTACAGAATAATCTGTATTAGCGTTTCCTTCTGCGTCTGAGACAGGAGACATCTCCATCGTCTTTTCTACCTCGGGCGATGAGATAGGTGAGATGAAAAAGGTCGTGGGCCGTGGTGGTAGAGGCAGTGGGCGTTCAACTGGACTAGAAACAGGCACATAGACGTGCTCCTCATTAGAAGGATTGATACGACTTGATTTTTCCGTGTCTTTCTTGATCTGGTAAACCACTCTATACGTGGGATGTAACGCTACAACTTTCGGGCTCTCAGTACCAGCTGCTGAATCCATTAAACGTGTTGCACGAGCACCTTCATCCTCCTCGATGATTTCTACACCGGGCGGGGGCGTAAGGTCAGTTGGCTGACTACCTGTTATCTCAACAGTGATTGTCTTTGTCGTTTTAGTTGATGTTGTGATTGAAACTGATGATCCAGCAGGCAAAGATCTCATAATCTTTTGCCGAAGGATGATCTCTGGTAATTCATCCTCGGAATCCGATTTAGCCCCTCCATCTCTCTCGATCGTTTCCAAAACCTCATTGCCGCGTGTTGAAATAAACGACATCGAATCAGATCTTGGTAATGCCGCTACGGCTCTTCCATCCACTTGACCTACCACATCAGCCCTGCGCCCGTTATCCAATATCACCACATCCCAAATAACCTCCTCAAATCGTCCCTCCTTATATTCCAAAGCTGTCATTGTTGTACACCATTTCTGCAGTAGTGCCAGCCCGCAGATACCACTCAGTAAGTCGGCTACTCCAACTTTCTCTCCTTCTCTTCCCGTTGCCGGATTTTGAAATTCCCTCCTTATCAACGTAATTATGCTCGCGATTGCTCGACTCGAATCCGTACTCCCAAGTATACCGTCTAATGCACCCAAAAGCTGCTGGCTAATATCTGTCGCTGACGATAATACTGCTGAACTGAAATGAAAACCCGTGCTTGCAGCGAATGATATTCCTGTTATCGTCCTGTGTAATGTTGCCACACTTCTATCCAGTATTCCTTCTGCTTCTGCCCTTCCAACCTCTCCAATGCTTCTTTCTGACACTTCTCGACCGGAACGTATGAGGATGGTTTCGATCAAAGCACGACTGAGCTCCAGGCCCGTAAGTGTTGTTGCTCGTGCTCCATCGAGAGCGAGTCCGCCGACAAAGGTACCCAGTCGAAGGTATATGGAAGATGACCTGGTAACCAAGCTCACGACATTGGCGATGGACGTTGGAAGCAGCGTCGACCCGACAGAACTGGGTGTAGAAACTTGGATCGCCTTCTTCTTATCCTCTTCGTCCTGTTTCATCTCGAAATATGCTCATGCGATGCTGCCGGGAACTTTATTTGACGATGCCAGATAAAAATCGGTTTTAGAACAAGATATAAAATGCAGAGAAAGATGCAAGCAAGGAAAAAAATCGACCATACCTACGCGTGTTGTCGACCGTGAGCCTATTGTTTATTTTGTTGAGGATGTCGTCGGAGGGGCGAATACAATTGGCGTTTGAATACCATGTAGTTCCAGACCTCGGCATGTGACAGGCTATAAAATGGCGGGGTCTAGATAGCAGGATGACCAGAAATAAGAAGACGAGCAAGGTATTGATTGAGGTTTTACCGTGATCATTTTCAATATATTAATGACCCAATAACCAGTCAATCATATGGCGATAAAGCTACTTTCACAAGCCAGATTGAGCAAAATACGTTGATTACCCCTTGCATATCGTACCTGGCAACGCCTATCGATAACGCACATAGCGAGGCGGCATTTGGTTGGGTGACTTTCGGCCACGTCAAGATGCTGAATAGATGTGAAGAAAGGAACTTTCGAAATGGTTTCCTTCAATGTTGATATAAAATCGAGAATAACCAACTTTGATAAAAAATACAAGAAACTGCCGCGTATGAGCGCCAAAAAGGGGGATGTGGGGTGGAGTTATAAATAGCAACTCGGCAGTACCCGAGCTCAGCCCTGCAGAAGAAAGCTCCTCCGAACTGGGACTTCACTCCTACCTTCTTCATCCACGTTTTTAGATCTCACAATCAACCGATTTATGCACAAGTACAATTGAGTGTTTTTGACTGAATTACTACAAGCTTGCTAGGTTCAATTGGTTCAGTCTCGTCTGCCACCAAGTTCGTAATCCTCCGTTTGTCTATCAACAAAATAACAGCTAACAACTCCTAGAACTTCTCTCAACCCCAAATCTCCTTCCTACCTCCCTATAACCTTCACCGCCCCTCACGATGAACGCCAAAACCCCTCAACCTCCCGTCCAAACCGACGACGAAGCTCTCTTCTCAACCGACCTCATCTCCCCCGAAATCGCAGCCATCCTCCCAGAATCATACACCATCCGACCAATGCGCAAATCAGATTACTCACGGGGCTTCCTCGACTGTCTGCGAGTCCTCACCACCGTCGGAGATATAAGTGAAGCCGCCTGGAACGAGCGCTACGAATGGATGAACACGCAAGGGAAAGGCGGATACTATCTACTGGTAATCGACGACGGAGCCCGCGTCGTTGGCACAGGGGCGTTGATCGTGGAGAGGAAATTGTACGTACAACCCACCCAAAATATGAAGTGGGGATGCTGATAATGCATAGCATCCACAACCTCGGACTCGTCGGTCACATCGAAGACATCGCCGTCGCAAAAGACCAGCAAGGCAAGAAACTCGGGCTGAAAATCATCCAAGCGCTGGATTTCATCGCCGAGAAAGTGGGGTGTTATAAGAGTATTCTGGATTGTAGCGAGGCGAATGAGGGGTTCTATGTTAAATGTGGGTTTAAGAGGGCCGGGTTGGAGATGGCGCATTATTATGAGCAGCCGAAAAGTACATGATTCCAGGTCTTGGAGGTGGGTGGTGTTGACTGTATCATAGAATCGATTTTGTAGGGAGTTTGGAGTAGAGGTTGGATGGGATAGATGGTTGATAGAGGTAAAAGTACGAGGTTTACATGGTTTGGAATTACAACTATGTGCATTTGCAGTCAAATTGAACGCCAGTGATTGTGAGCGGAATTTTCAAATCGTCTTCCGACAGATCATACCTTGGACATTGGAGTAACTGATGTGGTATACCACAGGCATATGACCACTAGCAACTTTGTATTGTAAGCAGTAATACAGCCCTTCGCCCCGAATTTAGCTAACACACATAGCATACCAAAAGCAACTCTCCGAACGCATAAAACCTTTGTATTCGAGCTTCAAATTTATCACTACTATGGACGAGAGCGTCGAAGGAGGGTTGGTCCACCTGCAATTTTCAACTTTTTCTTTTGGCACGCTAAGTCTTAGATTCTTCATCAGACAGATATCGCGCAAGAATATTACAGCAACACGCGTATCCGTTAAATTCAGCGCCCACGACCATGACCAAACACCGTCATCTCGACCGACTTTTTCTTCACCTCGCCCATGACTAAAACCGCTGTGTTACTAACACCCGCGCTGGACTCGCGGTCTGGACGTGGAATTATGTTTTATAACCACAGAGTCTCTCAAACCAAGAGGGATTTCCTTACGTGGTTTTAAGATTATTGTCTAGTCCGTCACACTCCCCTTCTTTTTCCTAAAAGGAAGGATCCTTTTCGAATCCTGAGTCTAGAGATTCATTGCACCATGATCAAAACACAATATACCCAGCATGATTTATGAATTTGGAAATGCGATATATTATTGTATATCAAAACTCCCATATAAGCCCTCTAACACCTTTATGCAACCCTATTTTCAAATACCAAAACCAGCCACGCCGCAAAATCGACACAAAGGTCCAAAACTCGTAACGAAAACAACCAATTCCTGATATCCGTCAAAACTGTTTTTACATCCAATGCAAACATCCAAACCCATCTCACAACTTCGATAACTCGCATCTCGCTCAACACCACCCATGCAACAATCTTTCCGAAGAAGATGACAGGTACAAATAGCCCTTTAACAATTCCTCGTCACTAACGGGAAACAAACCGCGGTCTCAGAATAGCAGGCGGATACGGTATCCTTTCCGGCAAATCCCCCATATCAATATCCCGCGCACCCTCCCCCTCATCAACATCAACCTCCACGCCCTCCTCAATAACCTCTATCCACTCCACCCTCCCCATCCGCCACCCCTCATCCACCTCCCCCATAATCCTCTTCAGAATCCCCAGTCTCACCAGATCCGCCTCCTTCGGCGTCGTACTAAAATCCCAATCCACCTCATCCGGCAACACGCAAAAATCGCAGGGATCGAGTTTCTTCAAAAACCCCTCAAAACTCTCCGTTTCGCGCATGAGATTCCCGTATTTCTGTACCATCTCAAATATATCATCGCGATACGCCTGAAAATGGCCGATTTGGTCCGCATACGCGTTCCACTGGCCCTCCTCGGCATGGTGATACATGTACGCTTTCGAGAGGGCTATGTATTTGCGCATTTTGCTGCCGGGCAGGTGTTGCGTGTGGATGAATCTGATCTGCGGGATGCTGAAGCTGGTGCGGTGGCAGCAGGAGGCGTTGGCATGAGTGAGGAGCACGGTGACCATGATGCGGTCCATGAGCTTGCACATGCCGAGGCGGGAGGCGAGGGCGTAGATTTTGAGGAGTTGGAAGGGGGAGGTGCCGAGGGTGGGCCAGGCGCGGTCGTACATGTAGTCGATGATGAAGATGAAGGCATCGACGTCTTGGTGGGCGAGCCAGGAGGCGTCGCGGAAGCGGTGGTGGGCGCCTGGTTGCCGGTTTGGGGGGACGTGTTGGGTGATGAGTTTGGTGTGGAGGAGGAGTTTCTTGCGTTGCGGACCGATGTAGAGGTTTATGGTTTCGCGGCCGAGGATACTGGCTACGTTAGTGGATTGATTCGTACTATATATAACTATGTTTCACATACCTAGGACCTTTGAGTAAATTCAGGATTGACTCTTCGAGCTCTCCTAAGCGATATGTGCTTTTCGCTGCTAGCTGCGGGCGTTGACCCATAGTCAACGACATATTGGGCGTCGTAAGATAACAAGAAACGGATTTCTTGATGTTAAATGTTTGCTGCTACCTTTGATGATCTGAATGGTGATGGGTTAAGTAGATGTGGTACTGTATGTTGATCGCGGGAAGCCAATGTTGAGAAGATTGGATGGGCCTTATCTAACTTCTACCTCGATTTCAAACAAGTAAGAATGCTAAAGTATGTAACGACTGGCGGTCGATGATTCGACTACAAGCTTGCTCAATGCAAGACGCGAAAGTATTAGTCTCGAGATACTGCGTTTCTGGTTGACGGAGAAGAAGGGGAAGAAGAATATTGAAGAATGAACTGGATGTACACTTTAAAATATGTTCGAAACTGCCACGTTCAACTTTCACTAACTGAATATAGTAAGGTCGAATATTCAATTGGATGAGAAGACACCAAATGAACAAATCTCGAAGACTAGTTTGACCGTCAACGGGACGGTCTCGACCCAAGTCACATGATATCACTTATGACAACACCCGATCCATCACACCCACATGGCTCCCCATACTAGACCAATTTTGCTCATCCTCACAAGACCATGTTCAACAAAAGATACCTAAACCCTTGGTAAGTCTCCAATGCAGTAGGAAGAATTTGAGCTGGTGGAAGGATGAATCCATAACGTCCAGTGTCCCTCAATTCGATCGTAAAGGTGTACTTGGCCTTTGCGATGTCATTGACCCAGTCGACGGAGCTACCGGTCGCTTGGTAGATGGTGCTGCAGATAGGACCGTACTCGTAGACTGTCCCGTAGACGGCTTGGATTGCTGATGCGGTTCCTCGTGCAAGTGACTGGAGTGCTGCGTTGTTGGTTGCCAGAGCGGAGCAAGAGTACCCATAAGCTACACCTAATTAGCCAAGGCTCCTCATCTAGCAATTGATTCTACTCACGTGTCATGAATAGCTGGGAGTAGGAGTGGATATCAATGAACAGCTGGACCTTCTGTTTTGCTGCCAGAGTACTAATGTAGTTTCGGAGACCCACATTTTCAGTGGCATCGCCAGCAGCACGACCTTGAAAAGATTAGTTAGAGTATGATTAGCGACAGAGGAGCATAATTACCCTTGAATGTTTCGTTACATGGATCGGTAGACGCGCCACCTGTTACGGCCCACTGGAAGGGCCAGTTTCGGTTGACATCACGACCAATGCAGGAAGAGTTTGGTGTCGTTTGACGATTCTTTCTCCATAGTCTGTCGTTTGTTTGGGTGTAGACAAATCCTATCCAGATTAACTTCTTATCACGATTAATGGACAATGGGCTTACCATCAGGGTTGACGATTGGAAAGATGTAAAAGTCGTACTTGTCAACGAAACTCTTGACTTCAGAACTGGAAGCATAGTTGGTGAGTAAATACCAAGCGAGATACTCGGTTGTCTAACACAAAGTCAGTGTCGAGAAGTAAGAACCATGGCGACAACATACCATGCCTGTAATCCACTCACGGGCGTGAACATTGCCATGGAGGACTACCGCAGGTTTCCCGGCAGCGGTTCCGTAGAAGTGAATTCCAGTGATTGGACGACCACCATTAGAGTTACCAGCAGTCACAATTTCCGATCGAGTTGGATATTGTGCTTGGAGATCTCTCAAGAACGTGAGATGGTCGGCATACGCGTGGTATGCATTGAAGTAGGTCACATCAACGGCAGCTGCTGCAGAGCCTAGAGACGCAGTGGTTAGAAACCATTCGATCCTCCGCACCATAATTGCATGGCTTACTTTTGAATGAAACAGATTCCTCCTCCTCGGCAGATATGGAAGCTCCTAAGTCTTCGTGCATGACTTCGAATTCCATACCATCAACAAGTGCAGTGAACTCCGCGACCTTCTTCGCAGGAACGACAAGATCGACATTTCCATTTGCTCTTGGGACACCATTTGGTCCAACGCCCTTCCACGACGCGAGTGACAGTTTATCAATGATTTTCATCAAAGGTACAACATCATCACCTACAGCAACACGGACTGCTTGAGCTCCATCATAGCTTGTCTTTGCAAGAACACCTGTAACAGCGGTCAGGGTCAAGCCAAGCGAAATTAATGAGTATAACATGGTTGATGCAATAAATGATGTTGTCTGGAGATTGGAAATATTGTGGTGTACGAAGTCTATTTAACGTTCCTCGAAGACGACTCCTTCCTATTTCAGAACTTATAAAGACAAGAACATGAGTATTGCTTGGGAGTGGTAGTGGGAATCTGTGAAAGCCATGGTCCTTCCGGCTTGGGATTCTTGTAGCAGCAAAAGCTGATTTGATTTGTTGATGCATTGACGGGCGTATATTAAAGTGGCAGTTGATATGATCGCTCCCAGTCTAGGCGGTTGACAACAGATTCGGTATTGAAGGTTATCCATCGTGGCTGCCTCGCATATGCCATCTGGTTGGTGGCAACGGCAAAGGGACCATGTCTCTGCAGAACATTGATCGATCTAGTGCGGGGGAGGGGCAGAAATCTACCCGGCATTCACAAGGGCCGGCAGATGGTTAAACTTGGCTAAATAGATAAGAAGCTTTTGAGTAGAATTCTGGTGGTGTGGCATAGCTTGGCTTGCGGCGAGCTTCCATATTGGGCGCTTGTACCCTTGGCGGGTTGAGAACGACCTGCCATATACAATGAGGTGGGATAAACCCGTTCTGATCGTGTGTCGTGCATGTGAGGTATTTTGAACTGCGGCAGGCTGTTGAGTTCGATTGACGAGATTGTAATTGTCAAAATTCCAAAGGAAGCGGATTTATTTTCTTGGCCATGTTAGCTACCAGGTCAAGGTAAAAAACGAGGTATTTAGTACTTATCCGCTTCTCACTTGATGGCGACGGGATCCCACATGCCTGCGCCACGATTGATAATGTGAGTTCAATATCTGGAGCCAAACAACGCTCGGTAAAAAATGGGTAGCAATATAAAATAGTGTTGAGGATAAACAGAACTCGTCCTACACCAGGGATTGTTTGTTTGTTCGATTCAGGCATCATTGCCTAAGGTCGATGCCGAGGTATCCGTTGATTGGGATACATTGGAGATGATTCAATGTAGATGTTATGTCGAATTCGTGATACATTTTGCGAGAAAGACAGCCAAAACGTGTGGTGTTGCATATCTGCGATCATGAATTACTGCTGCTCCACGCAACACATTGTCTCCGAGTTTTCGAGAGGTAGATAACAGTGAGCTTAAAAACGTGTGCTTCATGACGACACTAGCCAGTTTCTTCATTTTCGGGTTAGTCAAAGACATCATCCATAATGGCTGTCAATTTGGAGATGGTGTTGTTGATGTTGATGTGTTGAAGTCAAGCTTCGAGTGAAGATCAAAAATGGGTCACAGGTCATGTGATGATGTATCCAGGAATGAAAAATAATAAACTGGGGGATGAGAATAACGGCTGAAGTTCTTGTACATCTCAAGTTTCCTCACCTATGTTAATGAACTGATATGGCACATTTTCCTTTTTATTCTTCTGTATTTTCGTACCAATATCACATGACCGTCTCATCATTCTGATCCCATTCGCTCCTCAACATCTACATCTTCCACCAAACTCCCCAACCTCGGAAACTAAAACATCTTCTCCTTCTATTCCATTCTTTCTCGGAAACATTTTCTTTCCAAAGTCTCCTTCAGAAGACTCATCTCAATCATCTCGGACACATCTGCCCTCCTCCAATTGGTCGTCGCTAAACACGACATCCAAAAAGTAGCCGGAGCTATTATCATCTTTCTTCTATAAATCAAGTCCAAACCCAAGTCAATAAGGTATTCCCATCAACACACACACGCACTCATATGGTAACTAAGAATAACGCTCTGAATAGATTAAAATCGCTTTATAGAATGTCGGTTTCACACTCCCATCATCATCACGGCCACGGCCACGGTCATGACCACAGCCATAATGAAGAGAATAATCGTTCTCATTGGGAGTAAGTTCTCTTTCGGTTCTATTCATCGTCCTAATCTCTTCTTTACCTTCTATACCTCGAACTATCACACTAACGCTCTGTCCAGCCAAAATGCAGCATCATACAACACCCGCTTCTCCAAAACCATCGACCAGATAATCCTTGAAATCCAATCCCGCACCGACTGGATCAACGTCGAATGGAGCGAATCGCCTCCCTCGTCACCCGAGAACGCTTCAACTACAGATACATCTCAAGATCTCGAACCCAAACGTTCCGTACGCCTCCTAGATTACGCATGCGGAACAGGTCTCGTATCACGTGTTCGTCACCATTCCCATCACGTTTATGAAGCACTCACTAATGAACTAAATTCTAGGCCCTCGCTCCTCTCATTACTCAATCCATTGGAATTGATCTCTCTTCCGGCATGGCAGAGCAATACAACATCGTAATGTCAAACCAAGGCATCCCACCATCTCAAATGCGCGCCGTAGTCGGGAATCTCCTCTCCCCATCCGACCCCTCCCCAGCCACCCTCTCAGATCCCGAATTCTTCGACTTCGACATCGCAGCCGTAGGTCTCGGCTTCCATCATTTCTCCGACCCAGGCTTCGCTGCAAAACAGCTAGTCGCAAGACTCAAAGTTGGCGGGGTATTGTTTATCGTGGATTTTCTACCACATAAACCTATTGCAGCGACGATGACAGCTGAGGATGAGCGGGAGAATAAGAGTGAGGACAAAGGGGAGCAGACGAGTAATGCAGCGCATACAGTTACTCATAACGGGTTCTCACAGGATGATGTGAAGAAGATGTTTGAGGAAGCGGGTGCCGGGAAGGCATTTGAGTATTTGGAGATTGGAAGTGGAATTGTGTTTCATGGTGTTAAGGAGGGAGGGGGGTCGATGAAGAGGAGTGTGTTTTTTGCGAGGGGGGAGAAGGTGTGAGGAGTATTATTATTGTTAGAAAGAAGCGCGATGCTGTGAGTTTAATGTTGGGTTGGGGAATGTGGTTGTTAGAGAGAGAAATAGTATTGGAAAGAATGAATATATTTCGACGTTTTGTATCAGGAAATAAAGAAAGGTTAACCTTCAGATCTGCTACAAGGTTTAAACGCCAATATATTGTGCTCACCCCCTGTCAAATAAACGTACCACATGACGTAATATTTTCAGCTCACCGTCAGCTTTGAAAAAGATAAGCCTCTTCCTGTATGTCAAAGTATAAGCATAAAATTTCCGCGACGGATTATTGGCGATGTTATACGACCTGCGTGTTAGCCAAGTGATATTGTGTTTGTGAAATCTTTTATAAGTAGAACCCATTGACTTGATTTTTAAAACATTGGTAGCCTTTCATGATATTGCCCTGCGTACTGGCAACATTCTCGTTCCTCTTTCTTCCAGAAGTAGCGAAGTAGTATTTCAAGAACTCTTACCCACCAAAACTCACAATCATGTCCCTCCATACGCGCAAAATGTCGCACTCAAAACTCGAAATCACAATCTACTGCATGGAATCAGACCTCGTCGAAGCAACTCAATTCGCCGAATCCGTACGCTCCCCTCTTCCTCCCCATCACCCCTCTAACACCCCCAGTTCTGGCAATCCGGCCACCTCCACGCCTCGAAATCGCAATTCCAAACCCACCTCACCACCCCCCACACACCCAACTACGTCGCGGCCATGAAAACAATCAGCAACATCCTAACAGAGAAACTCCCTGTTGAACTCACAACCTTCATCTTCGAAGCCCTGATCGCAGACCCAAGAGGGCCGGCGCACACTATAAATGTAACGCATATTTCTGTGATCCCGCTCGAGACCGCCGAGACGCCGATACGTATCTATGATTCCACCGGACAGGCGCTCAAGGCACCAGCGCTGTTGCCGGATTGGTTACTGAGATTGCATCAGAGTGATCCCAGGACGGTGTGGGCGCCAGATGCGATTCCAAGACCACCCGAGCAGTTGGTGGTTGCGCTGTGGATGACGGATCGCGAGGGCATGTTTGGGGATGCGGTGTGGCCGGCGAAGGGGAGACGGGGGCCGACGGTGGGTATGGCGGTGGGCATGGAGAGGGGGGAACGGGTTTTGGAGGGGGAGGTTGCGAGGAGGTGTGCGAGGCATTTGGAGGGGAATGCGGTGGATTATTTGGGGAGGGGGGAGAGGGGGAGGAGGGTGTTTGACCCGTGGGCTGAGGTTGATGAGGGTGGGGTCAGAGGGGAATTCGAGGGGTATGTTGAGGTTGGAAAAGGGGGGGAGGATGAGGTGAGAGGGGTTTGTAGGGGGATTATGAGGGGGGTGGGGTGGGTTTGGAGGGAGCTGGATGGGTTACGTCGGGAGGTGAGGCAGGAGGAGGCGAGGGACCTGGAGGTTGTCAAGAGTTGTGTGAGGGTCTTGAAAGGGTTCGAGGTTATTGGAGATTTAGAATGGAAGAGCGAGGTACTAGATATAATGGATTTGCTTAGGGAGAACTCGGAGTTGGATGGGACCGGTATTTTCCATGCTGTCGCGAAAAGAGTTGGAAGGGCGAGGTTGAATTCGTATATAGATGAGTGGACGAAGTTTGAGAGGAGACCGCTGCGGATTCGGAGGGCTTGACATATAAGAAGATAGTCAAACCGTGAAATTTAAATTAATGGAAGTTGATTAAACAGTAACCAAAAAAGCTTGATCATTCTGTTGGAAAGTCAAGGTATTCGTGAAGAAATTACAGCACCAATGAAGATCTGTTCAACATCGTTAGCAATGGTCAAGAACCGACTTCAATTTTTTCCTAAATCCGAAACCCCTTACTTTCACGCTTCACGGTTCTAGACTCCAAGTATACCCATCGCTTGCATCAGAAGTGCTGGGTACTGCTGATTGAGGCCATGAGATGAATGGGCGTTCAATCTTAATGAAGCCTGCTCTGGTATGTCGAACAATACCGCCTACTGAACGTATATTATTGGAGTCGTCCCGAATTCGAGCGTAGCAAAGAATGCCTTCATTTACCCGGTCACATGACCCTACTCCTCGTCATCACGCGCCCCGCTTTCACGTCCTCGCGCCAACCTTTTCGTGCAACAAATGGCTCTCCTAACCACCTCCCCTTTTCACAAGCGAACAACACCGTCTCTAAGCGTCAACAAACAACAAGGTCATTCGCCCACGTTCTCATCGTTGAGTCGTTCGTCCAAGATTTGCTCTATGCTCCATCAAGTCTAGCGCCATGACGTGCTATCAGCCTCCACTTTGCAACCGGACGACAGCGTCTTGGAAGTGTGTCGGAAGATCGTTGTTCCGATGAAGCTCTCAACATTTCGCAACTTCCAAAGATGGGCGATATCTGCGTCATAAAAGGTCAATTGATTTGGGAATTGCTTCATAGAGGGCCTTGATTGATGGTATGTTGGAATTTTGCTTATCGGTTCAGTTCCTGGTGTGCCAATGGTCCTGTTACTGACTTGGTAGCAGATCCATACCTGTACAGAGATGGGATAGGAAACTCCACGCTTGACCGGTTTATATTTTCTTTTTCTAGACGCCCGTGGCGGACGGCTCCAGGACGACCAGCTCGAATTACTTAATTAGACGTGGGGTGTTCAATTGCGGCTCGTTATATGCAAGTTCGAACCTGCACCGGTAGTTCACGACCCAGACATTTCTTTTTTGTTGATATTTCGTTTCGTTGCTCGAACATAAATCGCTGGTCAATCAATTGAAATCGAACGGAAGGAATACATACAGCGTTACACCAGATAAGGGGGGAGGAGTCAGCAGAGTGCTATCTACCAACTGAGGCTTCGAACTTAGCAGACATTGGATTGAAATCGAGGGTCGACGACAATTTGAATATTAGTACAATTCGAAAAGAATACAAGATGCCTATTCTTGACATCAACAAGGATTTATCGGCACTCATCCGCCAGCAGACGGCGGCCACTCCAGATGCCATTGCTCTGCAAGGAAACAGAATAAACAATCCTCAGCAGGAAGTATGGACATATGCGGAGCTGGACAACAGAGTCAACCAAGTGGCTACTCGGCTGATTGCTCAAGGAGTTGGTCGGGATAGTCTTGTTGGAGTTTTAATGGGTAGAAGTGCCGACTATGTAATAGCATGTTTGGCAGCCCTCCGAGCTGGAGGTGCATTCTTGGTTCTGGAGCTCGCATACCCACCTACCCTTCTAGCTGATGTTATTGAGGACGCCAAACCTGCTGTCATCCTCACACATCGAGGCCACGCGGGTCAGATTAAAGCCGACGTTCCTGTCGTCCTATTGAATGAGCCCGAATCAGAAGCAATCATCCAGAAAACGAGGCAGAACAGCTTCAGGAAGGTACCTGCGGACGATGATCTAGACCGTCTTGCTTTCGTGTGTTATTCTTCTGGTACCACTGGCCGGCCCAAGGGTATTCTCAATCCTCATAGAGCACCAGTCCGCTCATATGATCTGAGATTTCGCTTGAGTGATCTTCAGCCTGGGGATCGCGTTGCTTGTAATGTCTACTTCATCTGGGAAATCATACGACCTTTGCTACGAGGAGCAACTGTCGTCGTTGTACCCGATGAAGCCAGTTATGATCCTGTTGCACTTGTCGAAGTGTTGCGCGAGCGACACATCACCGAAACTCTCATGACCCCAACTCTTCTCGCTGCGGTTATGGCTCGTCACTCAAATCTTGGAGAAGTTCTTCCTGAGTTGCGAACGCTATGGTTCAATGGCGAGGTTGTTACGACCGATCTAGCCCGGCGCGCTATGAAGGCTTTGCCGAATACGCGTCTGCTCAATTGCTACAGTGCCAGCGAGTCTCATGAGATTGCATGCGGAGATATTCGTGAAATAGTCGACGACGATGTACCATATTGTCCTGTTGGTCCTCCAGTGGATCCCGAACATACCTACATCATCGGTGAAGATGGACAAAGACTACCGACCGGTTCCAGTGGTGAGCTTTATATCGGCGGAGACCTGTTGGCACGAGGATATCTCAATCTCCCTGAAGTCACGGCCAAATCATTTCTTCCAGATCCATTTGATCCTACCCCAGGAGCGCGTATGTATAAGACCGGAGATCTCGCAAGGTTGCTTCCCTCTGGTTGTTTGGAAATCACTGGTCGTGTGGGTTCTATGATTAAGGTCCGAGGATACTCAGTTGTCCCGGGCAAAGTTGAAAATGCGATTGTTAAACACCTCGCAGTTCAGAGATGTGCTGTTGTTGCGCACGGCGATGGTCTTGAGCGTCAACTAGTAGCCTATGTCGTTCGTGACAAGGATGAGCCAGGAGATCGTACACCACTCACTATCGACGAATCTGGATATGCTCCAGCTTGTCGCAAGGCGCTATTATCTAGTCTCGCCCAGTATATGATCCCAGCTCTGTGGGTTGAGATGGACGAATTACCCACTCACGCGGTGTCGGGAAAGACTGACCTGAAGCGTTTGCCACCACCCAAGGCTGCGACATCGCGTGCACCCACATCCGCAGGCGGCGATTCAACTTACAACATCGAAGCAATCAAACAGCAATGGGCTGCGGCTTTAAAGATTCCAGCCGCGGCAGTAACGGAGGAGCATACTTTTTTCGACCTTGGTGGACACTCATTGACACTTGCGCGCCTTGCCTCTAGTTTATCGAAAACTTACGACCTTCCTATCAAAGTAGCCAATCTTGTCGGTAATCCAACGCTTGAAGGACATCTTGAAGCTCTTCAATCGGCACGTGATGGACACTTCGCTGCTGTGGAAGCAGATCTTCCTGCTGTTCTGAAAGCCGATGCCATACTCCCAGATGCCATTAAGCCGTCCAACACCAAATTTTGCCCTCTCGACGAAGCGGAGACCATTCTTTTGACCGGCACCACTGGCTTCTTGGGCGCTTTCCTATTGGCCGATCTTGTGGAAACCACTTCAGCGACTATTTTGTGTCTTGTTCGTTTCAATGACCCGTCACGTGATGACGACTCTGCTGCAATCGCAAGAATCAGAAGAAATTTGCTTGACCTTGGTCTTTGGAAAGATTCTATCCTGGAGCGCATAGAAGTGGTGCCTGGGAATCTTGCTAAGCCAAATTTCGGACTGTCACAATCCGCATTCACAGAGCTCGCGGACAACGTTCAGGTCATCATACATGCTGCTGCAACTGTCAATCTTGTATACCCATACGCTGCTCTTCAAGCGCCAAATGTAATCGGTACCAGAGAAATAATTCGCTTAGCATGTGAAGGTGGCGCGACTCTGCAATATGTCTCGACAAATGGTGTTCTACCACCATCGAACGAAGGCTGGACAGAGGATACAAACCTGAACGTCAAGGACGTGGCAGAAAAGCTTGCCGATGGGTATGGACAGACAAAATGGGTCGCTGAGCAACTCGTTTTTGAGGCCGCTCGCAGAGGATTACCAGTCAAAGTCTCGCGACTTGGCACGATCAGTGGTCACAGTAGTCTCGGCTCTTCGAACGCTTGGGATCTTCTCAATGCGATCATTGTGGAAGCCCTGCATCTTGGCTATGCTCCTGATGTTGAGGGGTGGCGCGCAGAGATGACCCCGGTTGATTTCGTTAGCAAAGGCATACTAACCATTGCCAACAACACGGAAGATCAGCTCGTATATCATATTGGTGATTCAAATCCAGTTGATATGAACGAGGTCTTCGATACTCTTGCTGGCCTCGGCTATCCAACAAAGCGAATCGCTTGGGACGCATGGGTGCAACTTTGGAACGAAAAACGGAGTACAGCGCCTGGTGGTGAGAGTGCTTTTACCGTTGACATTCTACGAGGTGGTATGCCGACAGTAGAATTCATGACCGGCATCATCGTACTCAATGACAAGAAGTCAGCACCTGCGCTTAAAGGCCTGGACAGGTCAAAGATCGACACAAAATTGCTTGAAATATATTCTCGTCACTGGTACGCACGGGGATGGCTTCCACGGCCACCTAAACACTCCCAAAACGGCCAAAACGGCAGTCTATCTTCACGTCTGAAGAAAAATGGCCCGTTATCTGGCAAGGTCGCAGTCATAACAGGAGCATCCTCAGGAATAGGCGCCGCCGTCGCAGAAGCACTTGCCCGCGAAGGAGCTCATATAGCTCTTGCAGCCCGAAGAACCGACGCCCTGGATAAAATCAAAAGCAAGCTTTCTTCCCGTAGCGGTAAGGTTATCACGCATCGTACCGACGTCACGAAACGGGCGGACGTAGAATCACTCATGCAAACCGCCCGAGAAAAGCTCGGTCCAATCGACATCCTCGTCTCCTGCGCCGGCGTCATGTACTTCACCATGATGGCCAACGTCCAAAACGAAGACTGGGACCGCACCGTCGACGTAAATTGCAAAGGTCTCCTAAACTGCCTCTCCACCACCGTCCCATCCATGCTCTCCCAAGGTTCCGGACACATCATCGCCATTTCTTCCGACGCCGGCCGCAAAGTCTTCCCCGGTCTCGGCGTCTACTCTGCGTCTAAATTTTTCGTCGAAGCGACTCTGCAAGCGCTGAGAGTTGAGACTGCCGGGTCAGGATTACGGGTCACGTCTGTACAGCCGGGCAATGTGGCGACGGATTTGTTGGGCATGAGTACGGATGCGGAGGCGCTGAAGAAATATGGGGAGCCGAGTGGTGCGAAGGTTTTGGAACCGGAGGATGTGGCTAGGTGTATTGTTTATGCGTTGAGTCAGCCGGAGTATGTGGCTGTTAATGAGGTTATGATTGAGCCGAGGGATGAGCCTATTTAGATTTCGGGGGGTGGAGTGAGGTGGGGGATGTGGTTTTGTGATTTTGATGGTATATAAGGTAAATTTGGGATGGGTGCAAGAAAGTAGATTGTAGAGTTTTGGATGATGAGATATATGGAACATAGCTGCGAAATTAAGTTATAAAGTACACATCAAAAATGAGTAACCCCTAAATCTATATTCCGAATTACGCAGACTTTTCTAAGTTAATTTGCCACCCCTAGTTTTAACAGTCCAGTGTATACTTATGCCTCAAACTCTTTTTTACTCCTTTCTAGATAATAACAAATATTCTTGTAGTAAGTATCTTTATACTAAACGTTTGTTTATCTAGACAACAATTCGTACTACTAACATACTAACTACTTACTACTTATTAATGCTTGCAACCTTCTTTTTATACGCCGTAGAATACTGCCAAGTGCTATTTCACTCGAGGATTTGTATTTCTTTAGGAAAGTTTTACTGTAGATTAGCTAGGTAGCTGTGTGTTTCGAGGTATAAGGTTTAAGGTTATAAGATTACTAGGTAGTTAGTTATTATTCTAGATAGAAATATCTATTCTTAGACTCTTCGCGGTAGGAGGCTTATCTAAGTTATACTTTTATAGTATAGATTGGCTTAATAGAGCTAACGGAGATAAACCTAATTTATAAGGTAAGAGAAGCTAGATAAGACGAATTAATAACTCTATTATTTAGTTAAGTACTCGACTATAAAAACGGCTTATAGAGAACAAAATAAGTATTAGTTATCTACCTACTAATCTTTAAACTAGATAAGTAAACTTTAAAAAGAGTTTAAGAAGTATTCTTTACTTTAAATTATTAAAGAAAGGTATTAAGTTATTCTAAATTAACCTACTAAATAACGACGTTTCGTTAAATTAATTAAAGAAATATCGCGCTTCGACTACCTATACCCCGCGAGTGTAGGTATATAAACCTCTCTATTTAATAACTAAAGTTAACGTCTAACTACTATAAATATTAAAACCGAGCAATAAACCCACATTCTAACCTGAGGAATCGTTGAAACTAAACTTCTCTCAGACGCCCGTTAGACCCAAAAATAACCGCTACCAAACAACCCTTAGTCTACAATTTTCTAGATTTTGAAATATCGATTGCGGTTTACCTTCTCCCAGCCAGTTGGCTAGCCACTCGAACGCAATATTAATCGTCACTTCTCACCATGGCAAGCCGTAGAGATGATCCCGCAGGCGGATGCAACCTAAGCAATGGCCGTCAGACTTTGAGCCCGGTTAGAAGCATTTACCTTCGATCATCTTAGCTTCTAAGCAAGGTTACTTTAGCTACGGTAAATATACCATCTACAGGATTCTGCTAGGAAAAGACAAAATCGAAAATCGAAAGTTTCTTGCTGCGCGCTCAGGAGTCACTTCCCCAGCGCCGGGATCTGATTGCCGTCTTTAGTAAGAGGCGCGGCGGACTCGTATTCTTACTGAAGAGCCGCTGTCACCTGCATTAAGGGCTGCGTTTAGGGAGGATCTCATAGATACGTATTTTGTTTCTATAATGAACGATTACCGTCGACAGATGAAGTGCTCCTGGTTCAAAGAGACCTTCTACATCTCGATCCAGAGTGCACATGTCTATTTCGAATCTAGAATGCTTTATGAGCTATGTAATAAGGTCACATCATTTTATTGGATGCCTTCATCTAAGCTTAATGGAACTCCTCTCTTCAACGAATGCTACAAGTATCACGATAACCTGCCAAACATTGAATTCGGAAGCTTTTTCGGCAGCCGTACGTAATGTTTCCTAGTATCCCTAGTTTTAAACTCTGTTCTTCGACCGGATAGGATTTCATGCTTTCATACGGCCCCAGGCTCTAAGCCGATAAGCAAATCGTAAGCTAACATATTTCAGTTATACGCGTCTTGCCCGCCGGACCGGCAACAATTCAGGGAATTATTGAGGCGCATAAAAAGCTTTGCGATGATGCGTCTTCGCTTTTAGGGGGCATGAAAATCCCACGGCTTGACTCCAGATCACGGAAACCTTTGCCGAGAGCCTCACAATTATACTTTAAAACCAACGTATCGTGCCGTTGTCACTATAATGGATCAATATGTGGGCCCCAATTGGGGACCCCGATATCAGCTCGCTACGGCATATCAATTTTGAAAAAGAGTTGCGGAATCAAACCGTCTTGCTCGCCCTGACTGGGGTCGAGTCCCACCTCAGTACTCCCATCGACTTTGAGACCCTGAGTGCGAGTGGCTTATGCTTACCTTTAGCCAAGACCGACGTCTGCGGTACCAGTAAAGACGTGGTTCGTTTTATCACTTGCGGATGCCGTCAAGTTTTTAAGTGAGTTACAGCGAGAGAAGAGGCGCCTTGTTCAGTAGGTGCGATTTCTTCGGACAAGAAGCGTCAAGCTGGGGAGTGGGCTGACGACAAGTTAAAAGAGGCTGACAATGAGAGAATCGAAAACAACTTTCTCACCTGGCTTGCAGTCCGCCGCGTGAAAGCCAGGAGAATGGGTGAAAACTTCCTCGAGGAGGAACTTTATACTTTTAACAAGAACTGGACGCAGTGAGTTGCTTGCTTAAATCAAGTGGATGGTTATAAGAACGGGTAATAATGTTAGGATCTCGGTGTTTCTGTGAATATCATATAGAATGAAACTCCACCATCCTACAAATCCTCCGCCGCCAACGCCATCCCCCTCTCCGAATCCGACACCAGCACCCTCCACCTCCCCTCCCCCCCTTCCCTCGCACTAATCCTCACATCGACATCCCAATCCGGCACCGGCGTCGTCTCCCACATCGCCGCCCCCTCCGTCGTCGGCCTCACCCACCTCCCCAGCGTCGGCTCAACCTCAAACCTCAGCACCAACAACGCCGTGAACGCCAGGATCTCCGTACTCGCAAAATGCCTCCCAGGACAGAGTGTACTCCCGCCCCCGAATCCGCGGAACGCAGCTGGATTATGGGTTTTGTGGTCGGGGAGGAAACGGCGGTGGTTGAAGGCGGCGACGTCGGATCCCCAGTGCGCGGTCGACGAGTGTTGGACGGGCCCGGGAATCATGACTGTGTTGCCTTTTTTGAGGAGGTATTTGCCGTCGAGCATGTGGTCTTGCATCACCAAGCGGGTGGAGATGCCGATGGTGTGGAGGCGGAGGACTTCCTGTAATGTTGATAATAGAATTGGACATGAGGTTTTGACTTGCGTCATATCGAGTGTGCGGAACTTTGTCTGCTGTCCCGCTTCATCGGTGACAACCTCGTCGACGACGATTTTAGCGAGTTCATCCCGGCAGTCGCTGAGGGCGAGGGGGGAGGAGTAGAGATGATAGATCATCCAGAATGAGGTGGGCGAGGTGTTCGTGAGGAGGCCGATGGCGCCGCCGACTTCGTAGCGTGCGATGTCTTCGAGGGGGATTTTGTGGTCGATGCTGTGCTCGAAACGGGCTTTGATGAGGGCAGCGCCGGAGTTGTGGGAGCCTTCTGAGAAGTACTTGATGAAGGCTTTGGTCATGAATTCGCGAGCTTCGATGCTTTCTTTTGCGAGGAGGGAGGGGAGGATGCCGATTATGAGGGTGATGATTCCGGGTTGGAATTTCCTGGGGAGTTAGTAATACTTGGGGGATGGTGGTGAAGGGGGGCTTACCAGAATGCCTCGCTGATAGCCGGATCTTTGAAGGGGTTCTTTGGCCCATAAACCGAATCCGTCGTCGCGAGCGTAATTTCCTGTCTAACAAACTCAAACAGCGGAGTGACTTTAGGCGCTTCTAAAGCATCAATAGCAGCTGTCACTCTCTGTGCCATGACACGATTCATAGCGTCTAACTCGGGACCGGGAGCTAGCGGCGTATGAATCATCTTGTAAAAAGTAACAGAGTAACCCCAATGACCCTCGTCGCCGTTGACATTTGTCATCAAAATATCATTTGCAGTCTTACTGGAGCCGCAGACACTGGAAGCGAGTTTGGCTTCGAGAGGTGGGAAGGCGAGGGTTTTGATTTGGCGTTGGACGGCGGATATGAGGGGAAGGGAGTTGACGACGTAGAGTCGAGTACCAGGGAGACGGATTGTGTAGATTGGGTGGTTGTATTTGGTTCTAAGGGGTTGTCAATGACTGTCTGATCGAAAATGAATGAGAAATTGATTCATACTTAAGTTCAACATAATACTTTGTCTTCTTTCTCGCAAGTGAAATCATAGATCCAATAAATGGCATGGATGACGTGACTAAAGGGGGCTCTCTCGAATCTTGAGTGTATATCATAATTGCATAAAGAGCGCCATACACCGATATAGCGCCCATGGCGACTGCCGCCAGTATGTTAGGCATTTTCGAGACTGCTGAGTCTGAATGTGAAATTTTTTAGGCTGTAAAGACGGAAGACAGAGTGGTAAATGTTTCGGAAAGAAGGGCTCCTGAATATCAATCAACATCGAGCAACAAACCAACGTTGTCGTTGGAAAGAGTGATATGCAATTGACATGTTGGTTCAGGGTTCCTGATTGGTATCTTGGATCTCACCGGATAATGGCTGATCAGGGCGGAGGCGTAGATATTAAGCGAGCGACCCCCTGGTATACGAGATATGCTGGAGGCGTATAACAAGGTTTGAAACTGTTAAAAGTTCTCTGTACTGATTAAACAGAAGTGGCTGCTATTAAATATGTCTTGGTTGAATGCTTGATAGCTCGCAAATTAATACTGCTACTCAACTGATGTAAAGTATACATACTGATTAGTATTAATAGAACATAATACATTATGTATGTGCGAACTATATACGTTATATCATATCTCAACTATCCTCCTCGGACTAAGCGGTGTCCGCGGGGCTTTTAATCGACCTATTCTAAAGAAAATAGCTAAATGGAACAAACTCCCAATCATATTTCCACTGTCAAATCCACTAACACACTCCGAATGCACATTCAGCGAGACCATCGCCGCGACCGATAGCCGCGTACTATTTGCGTCCGGATCTCATTCAACCATATACATTTTAAAGGTGGCGATTACCACCCAGCGTAGGAAAATTGCACACCCTCTTTTTTCGGTACCGGTCATGCCATATGCTAATCCAAGACCAAAACAGGTATGTATTTCCCGGCATTGGCCTCGGCACCATCGTCTCTAGAGCAACCTGCGTCACAAATAACATGATCTATGCTTCCGGGACAGCGTTGCCAGAGATGCTCATGTCCGAGGAAGTAGCCATGGGCTTGCTTTGGCCAGCGCTGAGCCGCATCCGGGATGTCAACGTGCGTGTCGCTCGAAGCGTCATACGTGCTGCACAGCAGGACAGGGTAGATGCTGCACAGCAAGACAGGGTAGATCGCGCAACGCATCTGAGACAGATGGATGACGAAGCGCTCGATGAGTGGGTCCATGGGAACATGTATGATCCATTGTAAATAGGGACTTAGGGGCTCTCAAAAGTGGATTATAGAGAATGATTAATAGCTTGAGTGTCTTTATAAAGTACTTGGTTTTTCAAATTATTATTATCAGAACTTCCTATCTAATATAGATAGTTGTAAACTGTAAAAGCTATATTAAAGAGATTCTATAGTCTAAACTTTAAGTTTACTAAGATTAAGGCTAGAGATTACTAGGCTAAAGTAGAACACTCTAAACGAGGGTTTCTTCTTTTAAAATTTAAGAAGTACCTCTCCAAAATACTTACACTCTATTGTTTCACATCTATTAAAAGCTACCCAAATCGATTGCCCACTGCATAGTTCCACCAAAGCAGAAGTCATTAGCCCACCCCTTCTTCAACGCCACCGTTTCTGCATCATCATACCCAATCCACTGACCATTATTGAACGCAATGTACTTGTACATGCCCGCAGAAACTAGAGCTGGATTCAATGACTTGGCTGCAATGATGTCTTTGATATCGAAGAGGGACATCACTCCAGTAGGATCTGGGATGCAGGTACCTGGCGCTGAGACGCCGGTTGCTGCGCAGTTTGCGACTCGACAGTTCGTGCCTAGAATTATTAGTTAGTTTCCTTAAACCCTGTGTAGAGAAGGACACATACTAGCAAGTGTATACCCATGTCCATAACTAGCAAGTCCCAAGTTAAGTTTAGCAGGCGGAATTCCACTGAACCAGAACGGCAACGCCTTATCCTCAACCTTCACAATATCGGTATGGCCGGCTACGGTCCCATCTGGATTCTTGATATCGTAGGACATGTAGCCTATCCAGTCGAGGTAGGGCTCCATTCCCTTAGCATCGACGTAGAACATGTCTCCGTAGTCGACAGGGAAGGCCATACTAATCTTATAGGTAGTGCCAAAGGAAGCTCGGAGTTCTTTTGCAAGACTAGTATAGCCTACCTTGTCTGCTGTATTAAGGGGGACTTCCCAGTCTAGGTCAACACCTTGAAAGCCGTATTTTACGAGGAAAGCCTTGAGAGAAGTGATGAACTTGGCGCGGTTGGCGGAAGTGGCAACCATGGAACTCCTATTTGTCTCTGCATTAACTCATATTCTCAATCATTTGAAAGAAGTTAAACATACCAAGGAGTAGTACTTCCCCCACCACCAATAGCGATCCAAGTCTCAAGCTTAGAACTCTTCAACGCAGTAAATTTGGTGTATAAAGCCACGTCCGCGGAATCCTGAGGGACAACATTGAATCCAGAATCAAAGACTGCGAAAGCATAGTTGAGATGCGTGAATTTCGACGTATCGATATTGCTGGGCTGTACTACATGGCAGGTTCGCCCTGTGCCGGATGCTCCGCGGTAGTAGCCAACGGTTCGTCCATTTGCGGTTCCAGAGGTCTTGCCGCACTTCTTAGGCGTGGGAACGGCGCAGCTTCCATAGCCTGATTGGCACGAGTTGCAGTGCGCTGAGGTAGTCTAACCGTAAGTTAGTAAGTAGGATTTGAGGAAATGGGTGGAAAATTCGGCGGTGGATCGCCGAGGAAGAGTTTAGAATGTTCTGCTTACTCCACAGTAGCCAGATCCGCTACAGCAAACATTCATACCGCAAGAGACACCTGTTGAAGGACCGCACATTGGCACATCTCTCTTCGCTAAAGCAGGAATGGAATTGGTCTCCAGCAGCGAGGTTGGCCAAGCCAGACCACCAACCGCCAAAGCCAAAAACGTTGAAACAGTAGTTCGCCTCATAGCAAAGTAATACAGTATCCAAGAATTAAAGAATTAAAAGAACGGCAATCTACAATGTGCTTCTCAAATTTATTACTAGCAGAAAAACTCAGCCTTATATATATTACTCCGCCCCCATCCAGAGTTGTAAGCACAACGAACTTGTCGACCTTTTATGTAAAATGCACCGCGGGCCGGGGTACGTACTTTGTCAATATGTATAAATCATACCGTACCAGCTGATTAAGCAAGTGAGCTCAGCCTCTCCCTACCTCTATTACGGGGAGGATTGGTTAGTTCGGATGTTAGGGTGAGATTGTACGAGTATATGTGTTCTATAGAGTCCTTGCGCTTTGGGCCATATTTCTCAGGAAGCCAAGAACATTACGAATATTTTGATGGGGAAAACTGAGGGCAGGGTACAGTAAGCCTCTACGGCGTAGGCTTAGAAGTATTGAGACCGGCTTTAAGAATTTGAGGCGAATGGGCAGGGGATTGTCGTAAGCAAATTTGTGGGGTCCCTGTAGGATACACCTTTCAAATACCACTCGAACAAGACTCTTCTAAGACTTCTAAAAGTATACTGCGGCTAGAATTTGCTAGCCTTATTCTGTGCATAAAGTATAGAGACTATGTTTTCTTCTTGACCGCCTCAAAAGAAGGCGTGGGCTCTACTAAGCCCTAGCAGGCCTCCCAGAATGGTCTATAGAATACGTACAGAAACATCTAGCTATGATTGACAGAACTTGCGTAGATGTCATACGGAGGTTTCTATTACGAACTAATTCTCGAATTATTTGATTATTCGGAATACGAATCTGTTACGAATTTTATGTTTGTCTATTTTCCTATATAGATAATATAACTATAGCTCTGACCCACTTTATTTTACGATGCTGTCCCATGAATTAAAAACGTATGATTTTGGAGATACATCATGTGCCTTAAAGGCTTTAGACACACCTTACATTCTATACGATCTCCTTCTTTGACATTTGACAGATACTCCCGCTTAAAGTGCATGGACAGGTCTCTAGGACTGGCGAACGAATAAACGGGCTTTGTAACGGCAAATTATTTTCTCTAAGACATATAAAATACACTGTAGGTCTGTTTCTCGTTTAAGACGAGTAACATAGCCTTCTCCAATACTACATGTTTCGACTCTGCAGCCACTTGTTGTAGACACGTCTCCTTCAATGTTACCGACCAAGGTAAGAAGAAAATAATACATTATTTATGTGCTAACTATATACGTATATCATATCTCATCCCATCATATCTCACCCCCTCATCTACATTCACAACACCTACTTCTTAGGTTTCGGCAACACCGTAATCGCCGGCGTCTGGTACACATCCCAATTATCCGCATTCTGGGGCGTCCCAAACGGCACGAGCGCCGCAAACCTCATCTTGTACTTGCCTGGCGCAATCTGGGTTCCATTCGCCAACTTCCCCAACCACCAAAGCTCGAGACCCGAACGGCCGAGGATCGTGCGAGACATCTGTCGAAGCGGGAACGCGACGAGATCGTTCTCGTCGTCGGTGGCGGGGTCGAAGAACCCGGGGCCTGGGGCGGGATTCCAGGCGGTTGCGGAGCCGATGTAGCCTGCTTGGCCGACGACGGGTGGGTATTTCCAGTTTCGTTCGGTCCAGGTGGAGTCGAAGATGTCCCAGCGGAGTTCGGTGGTTGCGTATTGGAGTTTGGTGTACAGGTTTACGAAGTCTTGCTTGGCGAGGCTTAAGTCGAATGTGAAGTTTGCTTTCTCGGAGATTGGAATGTAATCAACGGTGGATGTTATTATTGGATAACCAAGAGGATACTGGAACATGATGCCCAAATCTTTGTGTAGATCGGCGGCAAGACCGAGGTATGGAATACCTACCGTCTCATTGTTAGAACCCTTGATAAGAACTTTGCCGCTGTAGATAGGGAGTTTCTTAGGGTCTAGACCGGTGGGGTAGTTGAAGTTGAATTGCGCGGTTTTGGTTTGTCCTGGGGCCACAGTGAACGTTCCACCGGGGTAGGAAACTGACGGAACCATCTTCTGAGGCGAGAAAATAACGTCCTCGAAATAGGCGACACGAGGAGCACCATACACCGCGGGATCTGTGACATAGGTGTTCATGCCACCGAAGTCTTGTGTCGAGAAGGTATAGGTGATTGGTGTGGAACCACGATTGGTGATGTCGATCTTGTGGTACCGGCTGAAATGATGTGTGTCGTTCAGAGCAAACTTGCCAAAGGAAAGACCGGTAGAGTAATCGAGGACCTTCACGGCATTGATTAGACCAGTTCCAACCTGAGCGACTGACGCATAGACGCCATAGTCAGTACCAGCTCCTTGACCATCATCCCATGCAATAGCATCACCAGAGGCAATGATTCGCATGGCAAGATCTTTAGCAAAGCCAGCACCGTTCTTGCTTCGGCCTCCGAATTTGCTAATGTAAAGAGCTGCGACACCTGCAACGTAAGGGCAGGCCATGGAAGTACCACTCAAAGTTGCCCAACCACCACCGATATATGTGGAAAATATCTGACCACCTGGTGCTGCAACATCTGGTTTGATGTATAGCTCATTCGTTGGCCCCATGGTTGTGAAGTAACTGGCGACACCAGCATCAACGTCATTGTCGAGCCCGATGATTACGTCTGCCGGTGGAACAGTAAAGTCAGCTGTGACGTTACCGCCAGCCTTGATTGCGCCAATGATGGCTTCTCCAACGTTCGCTGCAATGGCCGCAATTTTGGGTGATGGAAGGGTGGCTCCGGGTACCACAAGCGGACTCGCGTTATTGTATACCAAGAGATATTTGGCGCCAGCCGCACCGACGTTTTGTTGTTTGACAGCAAAGGTGCAACCGCCTCGGCGAACTAGAACGACATACTTTGAAAGGTTTGGAGTGCCTGCAGGGAGTGGACTACAAGCATCGGTGGTTGTTGTAGTGTCTAGCGTAAGTGGGTAGAGTGGCCAGTCCTTAACCTCAGATGGATACCAATCCTCGGAAGATCTGTAAGCAGCGAAGGTCTTGTTGGAGAACTTATCCAAGTTGAACGTGAGGCTGAATGATGGAGATGCAATCATGCTAGCACCAACGGACGCAATTGCAAGAACATTTGCACCTGAAGAACCACTGCTTGCAGCATATGGTCCTACCTCACCATCGTTTGCGGCTGAAATCGTGACGACAACTCCCTGTTCAACCAGGCGACTAGCCACAAGAGCCCAAGCATTGTCAACCCAACCACTGAGACCACCAATGGATGACGTGATAATATCAGCCTGTAGTCGGACGTTAGAAATCGATGCGCGAGAAAAAGAATTCCTGAAAGAAAAAGAGACATTGAACTTACACCATCATCATATGCCTTGAGGAAAGCATCAATTAAAGTCTCCTCGTCAGTCCCTGCCGCTGCGCTAAAGACTTTGTATACCAGGAGCGTTGCTTCCGGGGCTACGCCAACAAACCTATCCTGCATTAGCCCGTAATAGTGAGAGAGGAACCGATGTCACAATACTTACGCGCCTTCCTTTCCAGCAATAATACCAGATACGTGGGTTCCGTGGCCTTGCTGATCCGCGGGATCATTGTCCGGTGTTTTGGCTCCACTGTCTGGCCAAGCTGTGGATTGATTATAATCAGTATGAATATTCGAAGTGCGAGGATTTTGGGTTTTCATCACATACAACCATCACCGACAAAATCGTAGCCTCCAGCAACTTTGAATCCAGGTCCGAAGCCACCGCCAAGCTGGAAAATATCAGTCATTTGCATCCATTAGATCGGGTCTATACTCACAGCTGGATGATTGTAGTCAACGCCAGTGTCAACCACTGCAACAGTGACGCCCTTACCGAAGATGCCTCTTGCGTGAAGCTTGTCTACGCCTGTCATGCCATGGATAGAGTAATTCACACCAGTAGCATCTGCGCTGAATGACCGGGAAGGAACATTTGGATCAAGCATAATCTTCCTGGACTGCCACGCCTGAAGTACGGGCGCCCTAGCTGTAAGAGAATCGATGTTTTCGGTTTCGGCCTGAACAGCTGCACCCTTGAAAACATCGCTGTCGAATACTTTCAGCAGCTTGTTTCCAGCCTTGGTCGCAATGTCTGCCGCAGCTGTTTTAGCATCGATACCCTACCCGACTGTCAACATTGTCCATAAAATATAAGTGTTCATGTTGTCTTACAGGCGCAAATTCGACGATGAATCGTTTTGGCTGAACTGCTGTTTTCCGATCAACCTCCGTTGGTGGTGGTGACTTGTCGTCCCTTCGGCCATTGGCAGCAATACTGCTGCCGGCAATGGACAGAACAAGTAGAAAGTTTGAGAAACGCATCTTGGCCCAGAAATTTGATACGAATTGGAAAGCACAGGACTCCAAAGGAATGATTGAGAATAAATTTCCAAGACCATCATTATATAGGAATAGAAAATAAGCTCATTTGCTCGTCTGCACAAACAGTAGGGACCTGCATGCAATATTGTTGTTTTAGGCAGTCTGGTTGAGTAGTCTGGTTCAAAAGTCTTGTCACATACCTATTACAGCTTTAGACCCTGTCCATACTGCAGGTCACGCTACCTTGCTCGGCGGACCTTCTTATCACCAACGGTCTGGCCCTGCGCGATGGTGTCGCGATGGTGATAGTTGGAGATAAGACGCCATTCTGATTAGATACCGAGCAAGATCACCGCAGGATTTGCGTGATCCGGTGGCGTGGGTAGCTTATATGGCCATGGCACTGGGGTAGTATAGAACGAGGGGACGAGTCGCGTATTTCTTACACCATGCAACACAGGAGGGAACCGTGCTCGCTTAGTCACCGAAAGATACCCCTCAATTAATTTGGACAGTTGGTACCTGTTGAATAAATCTATCAGAGTTTAGGTAAGTAGGTAGGTTTCTACTAGGCATCGAAGATTGAGCACTCGTTCCGACGGGCAAAAAATACTATGGCGTTTTGGAGACCTAATGTGGAACTTGTGTGACAACAACGTCGATGACAAGCTACTAGCAACTCTCAGTTATTTGAATCAGAACAGCGGGCAGGCAACTTACTATAACGTCGCCTGCTCATTTTTACTTTCCTCCCACTCTATCGCTAGGAAGCAATAGCGTGGCTTCATGTGGCGTAGCAAAAGGTGCCGATCGACAGATTACCTGCAGAATCTTCGGACTATACGATGTACGAGGTATTCAAACCTGCTGCTTCTCCACATTTGTACTAATATCGAAAAACCAGAGGCCGAAGAGCATCGGAACCCAGTACCTTTCCAGTTCTTGTGTATAACCGGCTTGTACCGAATACCTTGCTTTCTGTATCTATTGTTGCCAGCAAGTAATCGAGATATTGCTTGACGCTCAACCAAACACATTCTCCCTGCTGCAGAAACATGATGCCGGAGTTTGATGTTGGCGACTTTGTGTGGGATAACTATACGCCCAAGTTGAGATTAATCGGTCACCAGCCCAAGAATATTTGAAGATCTGAAAAATGAGAAAATAAGAAATGTACTGGTATAGAGCGTAATAGGAAAGTGATAGAACGTAGGCATCAATGCCCTTGTCCTGCGTCGAGCTAGAGGGCTGATTGATCCTCTCTGACAGCTTCTGACTCTTCCTTTAACCCCTGGCTCATAGAGTCCCGCGCATTCATTTCGTGTTTCCAACCCCGAAAAGTTGTTGGCTCGCCTGACCCGAATGCCGTTCTTTCGAATTCGGCGACATGAATGTAAAAGCTTTTGTGTTGCACGAGTGGTTGCATCGTGGCTAGCACGCCAACAAGATCGAAATTCCTGGTATTCGCAGCTATGCAAACGGTTATGCCCTGGAGAAGGAATGAAGTGCCAAACAATAATTCAAAACTTCACGACAGAATCGAATGTTTTCGGCGACATATCCCCAGCTCCGCAACGCCAGTCAAAAAAGCCAAACGCCGAATCCTTCTGTTCCTTCGTATCAGGTCTAACGACTTGCGCCCTTGGCTGAGCTTAAGATAGTTCAAACAATTATCGACGAGCTCCATCCCAGAGAAGAGTTTGCGATGAATTGTCCAGGCGATTGCGATTGTAGCGTGCTTTGCGCGCTTGAGCCAAATATTGCCATATAAATAGCTGCCGATGGTCTTCGCAACTTTCTTTTCTTCTTTGACCGGGAGCAATTAATAGAACACCATGTGCCGCTTTAACATACCTTTTGCCGCCCCTTTGCCAATTCCCGCCGCCAAGATAAGGGTCGAAACCTTTTCTCAACGACCATGTTCATTTCTAGATTTTACACTGGAAGAGATAGTTGAAGCGTGGTCGACGAACAGAGAAGAACAGCCATGACGCTAGAAGCCTCAAGTCCCAAATGACTGCTTCCTCCAAATCAACTTCCCTTCTGGCCGAGGCAAAGTATTGATACGCACATCACAGCTGCTTTGGAACGGTACCTTTACCAGGGCCGCAACAGCACATTGGGCAATTCTCTGCTGCAGCCGCCGATGACAACCTTGCGATGCTTCCAAATGGTCTTGAACAGGGCGATTTATGGAACAGATCTACTCACGCTGCGTTGTACGGACTGACCTTGTGAAGTGGCAGTCGACTATTCGGCCTGAAGGAGATTTCAATGCGCTGTCCAGCAGGTGACTGCCCAACCCATCCCGCTTGGCATTCGGTGAAATTGGCGACTGGCTGGCAGAGCTGTGCATTTCCAACTGTGCAACTTCGCACTGCATCGTCACTGCTACGATGCCACCACACATTGGCCGTTTGTGGGGGATGCGCGGTAATTCGGATGGATGACGGTAAATAAGAGGATATATTCTCTCCAAACGGTGAGGGTCTTGGTAAATATGGGCTCCATGGTCGATCCAAAGAAGTGATTGCATATTCTCTTGCAGACACGCTGACGCCATGCCAGCGAATTGTTCGACGCGTTAAATCCCAAAGCGTGACGGTTGCAGCAAACGGGGGAAAAAGAGACAAACGACTGGAAGAGAACGAAGGGAAGGAAGGCGATGGGGAAGACGGAGCGGAGAAACGCTCGGGCCGGGCCTTCAATTCTCAGGAACAGCTATCCGCCCCACACAAGCTAGCCCCTGCTAGCGGCATCATTCTATATACTTTTTTTACCTTCAACCTCGTAATTATGGTAATTTGGTCGACCGCAAACGACCACACACAATGTGAATTGGGCAGTCCCTGCAACCCACACCGCATAAATCTATGCAATTTTTCATCCACCACCACACTTTTCTCTCCTCAATCCCACGCTGTTGTCCAGGTGAGCAGGAGAAGGTAACGTAATAAGGTCGAGCTTGCTGAACTTTTCTCCTCCGAAATCTCTTCCTACTTTGTTCCTTCCTTTACGGATGTCGCTCGCAAAATATCTTCTCTACCTCCCTGCATTTCTACTCACAGCTCTCATGGCTCCTCCTATCTTCAATCGATTACGACGTGCCATCTCTGGAACTCCTCTCAAGGCGGACGATGCTTCGAAACCGATTCTACCACCGATATCTGAAGAGCAAGCTGCGGAGGATCGAAAGGAGGTTCAGGATGCCATCTCCAAAGCGGTGTCGGATGCTCTCAACAACGAGGATTTCACCAAGGCCGTTGCGATACACCTTGCAAACCAACTTCAACCTTCTCTCAAGGCAGCATTCGACTCTGCATCTATCGAGATCAAGCTCACCGAATCTGCGGAACAGCTATCTCAGAGACTCGATGCTACCAGCGCAGAGTCCAACTCAAAATTCAACTCTCTCTCTACCTTGATCAACAACAGCCATGGAGCTTCCACGGACAAAATGACTGCGTTGGAACACACGGTAACACAAATCACAAGCTCTTTGGTGGAGTTGGAAGCAAGCGTCAAATCGATACAGGAGAATGTTGCCTCACCTGATACCTCCATTCTTGCTGCCCATACCGCCAGCCTCGACAAGATTTCCGCCGACCTTACTGAACTCCGAGAGAACGGTCAAGCACCCATCATTTCCGCTATATCCGAACAGACTACGAAGCTTGATACTGTCTCTGCAGATTTGGCTGCGGTCAAGGCAAATGATGCTACAGTCACGGCTTTGAACACCATCACATCCGATCTCGCAGCCCTCAAGACTGATATTGAAACTGGAAATACGGCAAACGGTAGCGGAGTCTCTACATTGAGTGCCCAGATAACCTCTGTTCTTGCCGCAATCGAAGCACAAAACACAACCCTCGACGAAATCAAGACATCTGATGCTACCAAAGACATCCTTGCTGGCATAAACACTTCCAATGATTCCCACGCTTCCCACGCCACCTCTCTGCTGTCTCTCAAAGCTGCCAACGAAGCCCATGGGCCATCTATTGCCGAAGTAAAGACACAAGTTGAAGCTATCAACGCTGCCCTCTCAGAGATCAAATCTTCCGACATCAACCCTGAGATCCTCGCCGCCGTTAAGACATCCAACGAGTCTCATACAACTCACGCGACTGCTCTCTCTGATATCAAAGCTACAATCAGTGTTAGCGCAGTTGAGTCGCAGCTCGAGACGTTAGCCGATGAAATTTCCGCTCAGACAGGCACACTACACGAAATCAAAACCGTTGTCTCAACTCCTGCTGCTGTTCCTGAAAAGACCGATCTTTCGGGTCTCGAAGCATCCGTTAAAGCTATCTCTACCAACTTGGATGCACAGACTGCTGCAATTGGTGAGATCAGCTCAACTGTTTCCGCTCCTGCTCCTGTCCCCGAGAAGATCGATCTTTCGTCACTCGAAACTTCCGTCAAGACGATTATCACAACACTTGAAACACAGTCCTCTACGCTTACCGAAATCAAGGCAGCTCCTTTTCCGACTTCAGATAAGGTCGACCTTACACCGGTTGAGTCATCTCTCAAGACCATCATCACCTCGATCGAATCACAAAATGGCGTTCTTTCCGAAATCAAGACCAACGCCTCTGGGCCTGAGATTCTTGCTGCCATTGCCACCCAAGACTCTACTTTGGCCGAGATCAAGAATGCTAAGCCATCTTTCGATGTCATGGTTGGTATTGAGGCGATCAAAGCCGACATTGCCGAATCGAAGGCCGCCATTTCTGCCATCAGCACCGCTGAAGTACTGATGGAGGTCAAGTCGGTCAAGGAACTTGTCTCAGCCATCCCAGCACCATCTCCAGTCGTGAATCAGGATGCTGAAATCTTAACTGAAATCAAGTCGGTGAAATCTGCTGTCGAAGCTATTCCAGCCCCAATCCCGGTTGCTGTCAAGGACGGGGAAATTCTTACTGAGATTGCTGCTCTAAAAACTCTTCTCGCTTCGCCAAGTGGAAAGGACGATGAGATCTTAGCCTCGGTGGAATCTGTCAAGAGTCTTGTCCAAGCTATTCCTGCACCAGCGGCTGCACCAACTGTAAAGGACGATGAGATTCTGAAAGAGATTGAGTCTGTGAAAAGTCTTATTAGCGCCATCCCAACACCTGCAACTATCACAGTCAAGGATGATGAGATCCTAACTCAAGTCGCTGCAGTCAAATCACTCGTTGAATCTCTGCCAGGGCCAGCAGTCACCAAGGATGAAGAAATCTTGACTGAAATCACATCTGTAAAGACTTTAGTGCAAGCCATCCCAGCACCCACCGCCACCAAAGACGCAGAAATCTTGGAGGAAGTCAAATCAGTCAAGGCTTTAGTCTCCGCTGCCCCCGCCCCAGTGGAAACAAAAGACGCCGAAATCCTCACCGAAGTCAACGGTCTCAAAACCCTCATCCAAGCCCTCCCATCCGTCAAAGACGACGAAATTCTCATCGAAGTCAAATCCATCAAATCCTCCATCGACGCTATCCCAGCACCCGCAGCCTCGAAGGAAGACGACATCCTCACCGAAGTCTCCTCCATCAAAGCTCTCGTTTCAAGTCTCCCCGCGCCAACTCCCGTTAAAGATGACGAAATTCTCACCTCCGTTGAATCCATCAAGACACTCATCCAAGGCCTCCCCGCCCCACCAACCGTGGATCATTCCGATCTCATCACAGAAGTCAAGGCCGTCGCTACACTCGTTAAAGAGAACAAGGAGGGAGAAATTCTGAGCGAGATTCAATCTGTCAAGACTCTCATCGCCCAAGTCGGCGTCAATGATAAGGGTGTTCACGTGGCGTCCTCGTCGAAAGCCGAAAATGGTGTCAAGGTTGATGCTGTTGAGGTTGGACCGGAGGCTTGATCAAACTCACTTGGTCGATTGGGTTTGTTAGATTCATGATGAAAGACGATGGATTTTTGCGTTGCGTTTGCTTTTTTGCTCTTTTCCTCCACACCTCGACGAATTAGTTGTCGAGCGCGCTTTATACCCTCTTATTCTCACGCGATAATGGCTTGTTGGCTGTTGCTATGATATTATGTCTGGTTTTCTGCGTTGCTTTAAGGGGCTTGTACTTAGAAAATTGCTTTTGTGGTGGGGAGTGGAATGAGAATTTGTTTCAACAAGGGAATGAATAGTGGGCTGAGCATGTGACGTGATAATTGGTGGCGCGTGAAGTTAGGGTTTCTTTGTGGGTACGGAAGGTTTTGAGGTAAGAAGAAATTACGAGGGTATTTCCAAAAGTAGTCCGGTATGCAGGTCACTCGAGATGGTTTGTTCTGTTGATTCCTTTCTCGTTTATATCTCCTCTCTTCTCTTACACCTCTTTTCATTTCCCCTTATCTCCCCGTCAACGCTCAACTCAACATCCACACCAGCCCTCTTCTCCCCCCATCTCCCCATCTCCCCCACTCATCACATTTGTCCAAAATCTCCATCCCAACACGAATCTGGCGTTACGTTATCGACGTACGCAACGCCGTAGAAGACTTCCGAGCTACCCCCGGGAACGGTTTAGAAGTATCACGTTAAATTCGAAAACCCAGTATCCTTCCAAGCTAATACGGTTTAACCCCCCTCCTCCATTCTACGCTGCGCGTTATAGTTCATAGCGAGGACGTAGCTAGTCGACGAGATGTTCTTTCGGGCGGCGTAGCTAAATCCAGACATATCAAAGGGGGCAGCCAGTGTCCTCGAGCATATCGAGCAGGAATGTCGAACGCCGGCGGGGATGGAATACTGTTGATGTTTTTATACGCGTATATGTCCTATCGATGTAGGAGATTTATATGAGCAGCCGAGACGTTTTCATTTATTTGTCATACGCCCACATCCTTCATATTCCGCAGAACCAGAAACCATCTACGACCACTTTTAACCACCCTAGATTTTCATGTCTGTCCTCCAAAAATCCCGTAGATCAAAAAACTCCCTGTCCAATCCCGTAAATATGCAAAGATCCCATAACTCAGGGCCCTGCCCTCGAGACATACCCCCATTTTCATTTCAAGAAGTCGTCGCGCCAAGTCCAAATCTGCTGTATTCCAAAACAATTAATTTACATAACAGCACACTCCCCATCCTTCTGTTGAGATCTGGAGATCCTCTCGCGCTGTTTCGCCGCCCCTTTACTACCGCCACGTTTCAGGTCTTCGAGTCGCTCTCGCGCTTTTGGGAAATTTTGCGCTATAGCACAAGTTAGGATGAATTCAAAAACAAGAAATCAAAAGGATAGAAAACTGAAATAGGAAGAAAGGATAACATACCAGCAGCTCTCCAATACCACCTTTTCGCATCCTCCAAATTCGCCGGACTGCCAATCCCGACCTCAGTAAAATACCCCATCGCATACTCCGCCTTAGCCAATCCAGCCATCGCAGCTTTGCGCGCCCAGAGATAGGCTTCCGTGTCGCTCTGCTGCAGCACGCCTTCCATACCGGTGAGATACCAGCCCGAGAGTGAAAGTTCACTCTGATGTTCCTCTTGAGCCGCGGCGCGGGAGTACCACATGATACTCTGTCTAGGATCGACGGGACAGCCGAAGAGGCCGTATTCGTACGCGCAACCGAGCCTGTATTGGGAGTATTTGTAGCCGAGGTTGGCGGCTTGTTGGAAGAGGGAGAAAGAGTAGGCTTCGTCGCGGACGACGGAACTTTCTGGGTTTTGTGGCATTTCGAATAAGAGACCGAGTTCGTGGAGGGCGTGAGGGTTCTCGGCGTCTGCTCGTTCAGCTGCACGTTTGAGCCATCCGATGGCTTCGCGAGGATTCTTGGGTTGGTTGAGTAATCCTTTTAGTAATATCATGCCCATTTTGTACATTGCTGGAGTGTCGCCAAGTGTGGCAGCGCGTTTGTACCACTGTATAGCTTTTAAAGGATCTTTTCTTGTCCCACCTCCTTCTTCGTTACCAAGTTCGCAGCAGACGGCTGTTCGATACGCGGCAGCGGCATGGCCAGCTTTAGCTGCAGACTGATATAATGTGAAGGCTTCCTTGTTATCAGGCTCCAGGCCTAGTGCACCTCTTCCATGACTATCAGCGAGGAAAAACATGGCGTCAGTATTTTGAGCTTGGACAAGCTTCTTGAGAATTTTATGTGCATCCATAACGTATTTCTCGCGCGTCTTGTTCCGCGTCCTTTGATCAGGAATCGTCTGAACCAAACTTTCGGAAGCTTCTACTAGCTTGCGAGCAAGTTGAAGCGCACTGGCTTGGTCATTTGGATTTCCTTTTACTATCTGCCTAAGTCGTTCCAATTCTGCAGCCGTCACCGGAGCAGACGATAGAGGCCGCCCCGAAGGCGCTGGTGCTGGTGCAGCTGGCATACTAATCGGTTGCTGTACTTGCTGCTGAGGCGGAGGTTGCTGAGGGTTTATTTGCTGAGGCGACGGGGTGATGCCAGCATAATTGCGGACTGGAGTTGGCTTGTTACTTGCTAGGCTTGCAACAGAATTAGGGATTAATCCAGCACGAACTGGCGGGGGATGTGAAGGTAGCGCATCTGGTGATAGAACTGGTTGTCTTGACGGCATACTATTCATCGTGTTTGCACGTGATGGGTTCTGAGGAGATGGTCCGTTTGGTAGCCCACCCATACCTGGTCGTGGGCCACTTGGAAGGCCACCGCCATATCCAGGTTGCCCTGCTCGTGGTGCTGCAGAGGCACTTCTTGGAGGTGGAATAAAGCTGTTCTGTTGTGGTGGAGGTTCGCTATATTGCTGCTGATATGCTGGATCCGGGTTATCGTAATTACTGTTTTGAGGTCCTCCATATCCACCTTGCTGTCCGTATTCAGAATCATAAGCCTGTGGAACTGGTGCAGGTGGCATTGCCGGTACTGAGCCAGCCATTTCAAAAACAGCAGTTTGAGGCTCGGCCCTTCCTCGAAAGTCGGGTTGAGATTTTATAGGCTTGAGCTGCGGCGTGTAACCGTTTGGAGGGCCGCCAGCTTGAGGCTGGATATGTTCATCGATAGAAGCACCTCTTTTGTGATTACCCGGCCGGCTAGATACAGCATCAAAGTTTGGCATATCTGAGTCCGCTGATGGGCGTCGTCCGTTTGCAGGAGGACCAGCGTTGGCTGGACCGTCATAATACGCATCAAAAAAATCATCATAGGGTGCATCATTCGACTGAGCTGAATAATCTTGAGGTGCGTAGTGTGGGTCACTTTGATAAGTATTCACAGGAGGTGGTGGTGCACGACCAGTGCCATAGGGATCTTGTTCCATAGGAGCAGGCGGCCCATAATTCCTCTGCGGTATAGGTCGTTGTCCTCCGGCTGTTGCAGGCCTTGGTGCCATTTGACGACCTACGGGTCCATTATAAGGTGCGCTGGGTCCGACACCATCCATAGAATTTTGTATTGGTGCTTGACGTGGCATAGCTTGCATTCGAGGTTCGCTGCCCATTGTCATACTCCTTCCAGGTGGAGCAAAACCTGGCGATGCAGGGCCATTTCTACCATAACCCCCTCTATCATCGTAACCAGACTCACCGTAGGCATTTTGCGGCTGTTGTTGATATGCTCCTTGTGGCGGCCCTCTTGGTTCTGGGTATCCTTGCTGCGGAGGTCTTTGTTGTTGAGGAGGATAATTCCGCTGAGGCATGGGTCGCTGACTATCAGACGATTGTCGTCCGTAATTATCAGGTGGCGGTCTCCTCGAGCTTTCAGCACTTCGTCGTCCATAATCGTCAGGCGGCGGTCTCCTGCCTTCTATCGAAGGACGACCATAATCATCTGTTGGAACATTCCGAAGCGCATATCCTTTCCCACTTTTCCCACCTCTTCCACGACCTTGCGGAGGGCCACCAACCTCCATCGCAGCCATCTTGTTCAAAATATCCTGCTCTTCAGATAATGATGTCTTCTTTTTCGCGCCTGGGAGAGTAGGGAACGGATTATCCCATGCCGACGGGACATCTGGTGACATTGGCGGCGTTTTCAGAGGTCTTCGGACCATTCCGTTTGCTGCATGAATGTTAATAATTTCACCTAGTACTTGCCTGGACTATTACTCACGACCTGGATCAGAGGAGGGAGCTCTCTCTGGACCTGGCGGCCGTCCTCCTCGACCCATGGGACCACCATTTGGGTATCCTCTGCCTTGACCTTGTCCACCATATCCTCCTCTGCTTCCTGGGGGTGGCCTTTGCTGAGGAGGCGGTCCTCTTCCACCACCCCTTGGAGCCATTCCGCCCCGATCATTGCCGTAGTATTCCTGCTGTGGGGGATAATTGTGGTTCGGTGGTGGATAGTCGTTTCCCCTCCCGCCACCAGCGCCATTTGGAGCTTGATAACCTTGGTCGTACTGTTGGCCATATGCTTGATTGTTGTAGTCGTCATAACCATAACCGTCCTGCGCATACTGTTCCTGTTGCTGTGGTGGATATTGCTGCTGAGGGGCTTCATTATATCCCTGAGGACCCGGCCTTTCTCTACCATTCGGCCTCTGCGGCGCCTGGTAATAATTCTGATCGTATGCCATCGTGCTGTTGTCGTGGGCGCGTCTTTAAATCCTTCAGCTAGCTGCGATCGCACGACAGCCTTTCCCCTCAGGTATCTGCCAGCCGTTCTCTTTATTCTCCTTTCTCCGAAGCCTACTGTCGACCGTACCAGTTCACGACCCGCCTTAATTCTCCGTTCACTCGAGCCTTTAGTTTTACTTCTTCAATTCTTCAGCGCAACGCAAGAGGTTGTTGCAGTTCTCGTCGAGGCTTTGGAGGCGTGGTCTTTGTTGGTCGCGGTTGGCAACAGGGAAGGGTTCGTGGCTTCGAAGGATGAATTGTCGACGAAACAAGCTTTTGGCGGTTATGCGTTATGTTCTGGTCAAGTTTGTCGGATCGTCGTCGGTTGAGAAGTCATAACATGGAGTCGCCGAGGTGGGGTTGTCATCCGCGAGCTAGCAGCTGTACGAAGTACGGGGGCGTATTGCTGTTTTGGGAGCGAGGTGAGACAGAATCCTGGTAGGGCTGGCTTCGTATATCATTTGTGATGTGAATAATCTTGCATTTCTTTCTGCATCGTTTTGAAGAGCTCAGATGAAAGATTAAAGATATCAACAACAAATTTAAGATGAAGTTATGGCAGCTGCATTGATCTGATGCACCTCGAGTTCCCAGCGCGGAGGTTTTGTCCTGGGATTGTCTCAACAAGACAGGGGCTACGCTCACTCGGCCGTTGGAATTCCGATATATCAGAAACGACCTCGAACACATGAATTGTTATTGGAGGAGGTTATTTTCATTTGTTTGAAGTCGAAGAAATGAAGAATAGATCTTCATGTTGTATACTGAATGCAACATATCCTCAGTGACAATACAGGCGAGTACTTTGGAATTCCCAAAACCAGCAAGTAAAATCTCCCTTTGACCTGAGTTTGAAGTAGCTATTAAGTAGAAACTGGAGATTCCACTCCATGTCCCATACGCAGCCCCAAAAGTCTTCTCACTTATACATAAAACCCAAATATAACAAGCTTCTGTTATATCCAGTGCTCAACTCGCTTCTCATCTAAGAAGTTCAGTCTTGCAATTGTCTGGTTTTCACCTGAATCATCTGCAAAGATCATCCATAGAAGTATCACGAGGTCAGCACATACTAATCCGCAGTAGCGTGCTTAATGCCGAGATGAATCTGTAACTTAGTCTCCTGACGATCTTGACCAGTATGCCACGAGCTGAACAGGGTCCACGCGGATGAAAATGGAAGCCCGCCACAGTGTGGCTGAGATTACGCCACGAATGGGCTGAGTATTTTGAGTTCCAAGATTCTCATATTGAAGCCATCATTTTTAACTTCTCGTATCTAGGTAGTAGGGCTATGTGAATTTTGTCGATCGAGTACGAGTAATGGAATGGTTGTTGTGGTAATCCTTACTAGCCCCACAAAAGGTAAATAGAAACAATCAATTGGCCCTCATAATTCCCCTTTTTCGATTCGCCAATGTTTTTTGTTATTCGGGTGAACACCGGTACATCTCCCCAAATATCGTCACCACGACATCTCATACCATCAACCTCACAACCACAATTCCACCCTCTACACTCCAAACTTACATTCAAAATGCCACCAAAACCCACAAACTGGGCCATGTACGGCAAGATGGCCGCTGCGTAAGTCCCTCCCCAGTATCCCCTCACCTCCTCCCCATAAACCTTTCCATGTATTCTAACAACCCCATCAGCTTCGGAGTCTGCGCCATAGGCGGTCCCGCCCTAATCATCTGGGTCTCTCCATCCGAAGAAGAGCTATTTCTGAAATACAATCCCGAGTTACAGAAGAGGAGTCTGGAGAATCGAAAGGGGAAACAGGAGGATTTCGATCATTTTGTGAATAAATTGAAGGAGTATTCGAAGAGTGATAAACCTAGTAAGTGTTATATTTTAAGTGGTTTGGAGGGAAGGGAGGGTGTGGGGTGGGTATATGGGGAAGGAGTTGCGGTTGGAATAGGTGGTGGACTATAGGAGAGGAGGATATGGGGGGAAGAGGGGAGGAGAAGGGTGATGTGATGAGAGGCGTGGGATGGATGGGCGAGTTAGCTGGGTGCTTGGTGGAAAGAAAAGAATTGATTGATGGGAAGGTGATGAGGACTAGGCTAACAGCGCTATAGTATGGGAAGCAGCCGCCGAAGACGAGCGCAACCAACGCGATGGGAAGATAGCAGAACAAGTTAAATTAGTCGAGGAGATTCGTCGGAGGAAAGAGGAAATTAGGAAGTCGGGGACGAGTGATATTCCCGGGAGTAGTTTGTAGGAGGCCGAGGTTTGGAAGGGGTTGTACAGGATGGGTGTATAATACGGCGTTATGGATGCATAGGATTCGAACGGAAGGGATGTATGATTATGTTTAATCTAGGCTTAAACAGGGTTTTGTTGGTGTTATGCTGTGGGATTTTTAAGGTGGATTGGGTTTGTTCGTCGGAGAGGCTAAGCGCAATATTTATTGATGCAAATATCTCCCGTCGACGGAATTACACCAGAAAATCTGCGCAAATTCCTTGGCCACTCACAAAAAGCTGGCAATTTCCTCCCTACCGCCCGCCTACCGGTTATACCTCAGCGATTTTCGGGCCAAAAAGAATATCGGTGGCCTTTTCAATATTGGTTATATTATTTTCAGTTCACTAACTGTATAGCAATATATTCATACCATCGCTACGGTTGTTGTCAGTTGTCCTAATTTGGTAACCCATTCCTGATGCCGAATGAGTTATTGGTTCTCTTTTAGTTAACAGCATCATTTGAGTTTCAAAAATGTGGTCACTTTTTCACATCAATACATGAAGTGTCATTCCAGACCACAGCAGTGGATTTTGAACCAGCCCGAACTGCCATTGAATCCGTTATTACTCATTGTTTCTTCGTAAAGGGACAATCATGTCCGCGGATTATGGAGATCTCATCAGCGACTCCGACTCCGACGCTTGTGAAATTTCATCGGAATCCGAACCCGCTGATCGCTACTACGATGGCACCTACTACCCAATCTGCATCGGCGACGTCCTCCACACCCGTTACCGCATTATCCACAAGCTGGGCTGGGGCGGCTTCTCCACCGTCTGGCTAGCTAGAGACGAACAGACGAACGAGGATGTTGCGCTCAAAGTTTTGGTTGCGGGGAGCGACGGGGAGAAGGAATATGAGGTGCAGAAGTGGGTTAAGGAGTCTATAGAGGAGGGGAAGAGGGAGGGGTTGGTGTTGTATAAAGATGCGTTTCAGGTGCAGGGTATGAGGGAGGAGCATAGGGTGCTTGTGATGGATGTTGTGGGACCGAATCTCGATATGACATTACTTCGTATGCTGTTGGAGTCACATATCAAGGTGCGTATGAAGGCGGCGAGACAGTTGCTTGTTACGTTGAAAGTGCTACATGGTTGTGGAATTGTGCATGGAGGTATGTATGTCACCCTAATATCGAGGTCATGCTGATAGAATGTAGACCTCAATGAAGGCGCCGTGATGTGGAAGATGCAATATCCTTCCCCCTCCAATACCACTGCTATATACCAGCACCTCGGCCGACCTCAACGCCTACAACTATGGGACCTCTGGAAAAAAGGCGAACACGTTCGACCTCTGGACGTCCCTTCTCATCTCCTCACAGACCAGATCTTTCTAGGTGATTTCGGCGAGGCCATCAAAGACGGCGCGGAAGTGGAATGCAAAATTAAATCGCCCGCGCAATTCTGTGCGCCAGAACGCTATCATGGCCAAAACCCAAGTTGCGCGAGTGATATGTGGGGTTACATGTGTATCCTCGGGTTGTTGTATCTGGATTTTAATCCGCTTTTTGGACGGGCTGGAAGTGGGATGATAAGGGAGTGGACAGCGGCGTTGGGGCCGTTTCCGGAGGGGTGGAAGGGGAGGTATGAGGGTTTTGACGAGGATTGGGAGGATGGGTGGTATGATCAGACGAGGAGGTCTGATCCGATGATCGATCTGAAGTCAGATATAGCCCGCAGGTCCGTGCAGATTGATGGAGCCGAACAAGCACTAGTCAAGTCTGTGTTTCTGAAGGTATTCCGGTATGAGTCTAAGGATCGTTTGACAGCTTCGGAGTTGTTAGAGGATCCAGAATTTAATGTACTTATGGGGATTTATGGATGTTGAGCTTGGAGGGATAGATTACGTTTAATAGTCATTAATTGGGGAAAATAAACAATACATCATTTTGCTACGGGGGAATCTTTGATCATATATTTTGCAAGTGCCAACATGTGAATTTGTGAGATTATCTAATTTTGATCTTGTTAGACTGAGATTCATGGAGTTAAGCAGTCAGCCTCTTAGACTCATGCTACGATCTCACATTGAAATACATACTCCAATAGCAACAGTTGTACTCTAAACAGAGACGACAAGAGCTCGAGACTTAAATCAAATGTAGTCTAGAATATTGCAAAGTCAATAGTGGCGAGATTCACTTGATAATAAAGAAAACACGTAGAAAACGCAAATACATCTCATTCTTAAAAATTACGACACTAACAGTTACATTCAGGCCTCTAACATCTCACTCTACGACAGTATTGTCCAAGGGCGCAGAACAGCCGTCAATGCATAGCTTTTGGCAAGCAGTTTTGGTGAAGAATGAGGAAATATATCTCGCTTAACCAAACCCTACTTTATATATAATAAACATGTTTGACATCCATTTTGGACATTGCTGCTTCGCTTCGTTCTCAGTCTTAGGAAACTTATTTTTAGGACGGGGTCGGCTATGTCGTACTTCCAATTTTAGTTTGATGACTTATGAATTGGAGACGATCTGTGTTCAGATTGGTTTTGGCTTTTAGTGGAAAGTCATTCACTGTTAACTATTTCGGTCTCATTGGATCTTTGACAATTCCGGCGAGGTGTTTGAGCTGGTGTCGTTGGTCCTGAGCATCATTACAACTCATGAATATTATCTAGTTAAAAAGATTATCACTGAGGCGTTTTCGAGTTAAATCGCTTGAGTTATTGTGTCATCACCCTCAAGAAACGAGTTGTCTAAAAGAGGTCACGGAAAGTCATTCATTTCTCAGTGACCAGAATCCTTCACTGCTCTCAATCCTCGCACGGGGTGTTCAATGACGACACCATCACCTATGAATTTGGAGAAGCACTCAATTGTATGAAGTAACTTGTGATACAAATCAAACTCGTTTTACAACTTGATGGACCGTTACGACAAAATTAAGCGAGAAGCTTGAGCAAACAACTTGGAAATTTACAAACACTACAATCAAGTACCACAACCCAACATTACAATGACAAACTTACCTGACATTATTGTGTCGCAGAGCCATTTGACAAATTTGTTTCTCCAAAACGTGTTCAGTTGGCAATACGACTTTTCTATTTAATCGAGTTTTGGGAAAGATCACATGACCTGGCTCAGTACCTCGTTTTTTGGTTGTGACTTCCACCTTCTTTCAGCAACGTCGACGACAGGAACATCAAGGATCTCTGCACCACGACAACTTAGACCTCCTCCATAATTGCCTCTGCCCTCAAAGCAAGAGTATAGACGCCAGAATCTTTTGGCGCTGCTCGAATGCGCCTCGGCCGTTTATGTGACCGCGATAACATCATTTTTGCCAATCAAATGCGCCGACCATAGAGGCGGACGAAACAGGTCGGACCGGACGAGGACAGCGTTGGTTAGGTCATTTGACAAGTACAGCCCATTTTTCATGAATAGTGGCGGAGCCGATGAGTGATGTGAATTTAGGTTGTCTTTTCAAAGAATCCGTTGTTCTTGCTCATGAATCACGAAGATTGATATAAATCACCTTTTCTCAGGCTACGGTCTAACAATTCCACCACAAACCTGCGTTGTAAAATTCATACTTCAAAAACCGCGCAACATCAATCAGAATGACAGCGAAGACTTTCCTACTAGAACGCAACCAAGTCGTCTGCTCACCCAGCAAGGAAGATTCAGGCGGACGAGGCACAGGCATATTAACCCACGCCAACGGAATCAAAGTCAACGTTATCCTCGAATGGCGAGCCACCAAACCAGAAGATCAAGAGCTCGGAGCGCACGTCGCCAAAGCACTCGTCGCAAAAACACTTGAAAATATACCAACAAACGAAGATTACAACCGACCTGAAGAAGTTCGAACGCTGAAATTCCAAGGGCTATTCCTCGTTAAGGAACGCTCGCTTTCAGCTATCGTATACGAATGTCCGCAGAAAACGATGAATTTGCGGGATATCATTGCGACGATTCCGAAGCCGTCTGGGGAGGATAGAGGGAAGCTCGCGGGGATCATTGCCAATAAGATTAGGTCGCTGCATGTGCATTTCAGAATGCGACATATGGGATTGCGAACGGAGAGTTTTGTGTTCTTCGGCGATGGGAAGAAACCTGATCTCAGAACACCATACCTTCTAGATTGGGGCCGTTCGGCCACGTCGAATATCTATGAGCATCCTAGGTATCAGACGGGACAATCGCGATGGTATCACGATGTGTGGTCTTTGATGATTATCTTGTCGGAGATTGCGGAGTGGAAAGTGGTTGATAGGACGTTTAAAGATGCGGACGAGCTGGCGAGGAAGAAGTTGCTGAGGAGGAATGAGGTGACGACTGCGGGCTGGAAGAGTGAACGGACTGCGAAGGTTATGCAGTATGGCTTTCAGTTTCTGGAGACGGATCGTGCTAAGCTTGATAAGCTGAGTAGGAAGGAGGTTAAGCGGTTCTTTGATACGCTGTGTGGTCTTATTGATGGGCAGTGAAATTGGGTTTTGGTGGAACGTATAAAAATGTATAAGTAGTAGAAGCGTTGCGATAAGTGAATATGGTTTTAGACATAGACGTAAGAGAGCAATACAACACCCTGATCAATTCGGCGAAGCGTGGGCCATTAGAATGATTCTCCATCTCCTCGACAACATTTTAATTAAGTGCATCTTTCAACGTGTGCAAAATCCAATAAAATTATGTCAATCAAGCGAACGAAAATTCCCACCGTCCTCCATTTATTGAATCGTTCGTTGATTTGAAGTCCAAAAAAATATTATGAGGTGTTTCATTAGGTACTCCATATGGACAGGAATCTTTATGTCAGTTCAAGGAGATCGAAATTCTTCGAGTTGGATTACTTCACCTTCTCGCGCTTTATGAAGTTCAACTTTACGCGCACTCTAAAATATCTCCCAACGGATTGATGATGTGGACATCGCCTTCCGTCTTGGATGACGAAAAATTTCAGAGGTAGTATTTGTCCCGCTGCGCTTGCTTCGTTGAACTTATAGTAGTTGGTTCGAAATATTTGAAGGATGCGAGCTGGAGCTTGAATAAGTTAGTTTTCTCTCAGGCAAGGATAAATTTTGTAAACTTATCCAGGCCGTGCATAAACGTATTTCTCCAAGTTTTGACCTGACAGAGATATCAACTAGGAGGATTGTTTTCTCGAGCCTCGAGGGCTCTCTGTGGCTCAGCGTAGAAAAAGGAGATGCTTCGAGAAGGTCGGATCTTTTAAGCCAGACTATATTCATCGATAACAATTAAAAAAAGGCATTTTGAGCGACATCTTTATCCCAAACTACTATTCTTTTGGAGGAGAAAGACTGGAGGGTATGTGTATATCTTCATAAAAGCGGACATAGATTTATCTCGTTACCTTGAAATATCAGAAATGGGGAAAAAACGAAAAGGAAAAGTCGGTTCGGCTTGGCTCTAAATTCAAGAAATACCAGCCAGAAAGTTTTGAGGACATCCAAAGCCTAAATCAAGCTGAGTATATCGCAATGAAACCCCTCAAGTCCCCATCAATAGGATCATGTTTCAGTTATTCTCTATTCCACTGCTTTACGGGCCAGCGTGTGAGTCCTATTACTTTAAGCAGAGTTCGTTTCATGCTTTATACAATGCCTACCTTGTTCGTTATCACTTCGTCCAAAGCGGCTTGCGAGTCTGCAGATCGCTGGTGCAAAGCAGCATACTCCTCAGCTAAACGTCTATTTGCACGAGCGCATTGCTCTTGAACTTCAGCAGCGGCAAGAAGAGCAGCATGGAAATCGCTGTCTAAGGCCATATTGTTCGGGATTTCAGAATTGGGTACCGGGCTTGTGATATGTCTGTTTCCCCCTGCGCCACTTCGTGCTGCTCGAAATTCGGACCCTTTGAAGATACCACGCAAGATTGTTGACAGAAGGGGAACCAGATAAAAGCAAGAACAAAGTCCTAGGCTGATTATGAAACAAAGGAAGACGTTGCGGCTGTCATTCGGATTGGCTGATATGTCAAGGTGTCGTGTCCATGTAAACGCTAGGTATAGCCCAATCCCAGAAATAAAGGCACCTAAAGAAAAGTTGATCATTACTGAGGGAGACGAGAGCAGAGCCGCCGCAGATAAGGAAGCAAAGAACTGGTCGTTTGACCGATTCCCAACCCGAATCTCTTCGAGAGTCCAGTTTTCACGAGAAATCCAGGTTCGCAAGTCCGAGGGGCGTGTAAGATTGCCCATCAGCCGTTGTAATAACGAGGAGTAAAAAACAGCGAGACACCCGGACGCTAAGCTAAGCTGAAGACAAATGCTGCTCGAGTAATCCAATGCGCCTCGCTAAGGTTGGGTAGGCTTAGTGAGGTTAACGCGACTTGGGCAATGATTGTCCCCTGTACTCCAGTCAGCATTGTCAATGGTTCGACCAAGAAATGGCAAACAGCAACGGCGGCCATGTTGCATTCTGAAATGTAAAGGTCCCGAAATTTCTCGATCAAGGCATCCTCTTGCTCGACGATGTGCGTCTCCATTCGTTCGAGCTGTCTATACGCCGGGTTCATTATGCAATAAAATGCGAAACTTATGCCCAAGCCATGGGTCTTAAACAGACGAAGCTGTGTATTTTGGGTTACTAGAGGAAATATAGTCGTGATAAGATCAAGGAATGCAACAATCGATGTCGCAGCGCTGGCGGGATCCATTATATTTTTGCTAAACAATCCGTGTGGTAATTTAAATTCCCGATCAAAGGTCTAAAGGGTGTTCTTACTTGGAACTACATTTATTCGCTCATAGTACTATTGAGTTGGATTGTTAGGTAGTTGATAAAGAGGCTCGAGAGAGGGTAGAAGTTCGAGCCCCACATTTCCACTCGTTCCGAGAATCCCCCGCCCACAAACAGTAATTACTTTATATATTTAAAAAAGCAAAAAATGCTCTAACGGGCCCAATTTGAGACAGAATTTGAGCAATGGTGAAAAGCCAACTCAAAACCGCCACTGGGATGTTGTCGTAACAAGTACACACCGCCGGGGAATTGGTTTAGTGGTATAATGTTCCCTTAGCAAGTCAGACTTGTCTGATTGATTTGGGAGAGGTCGCGAGTTCGATTCTTGCATTCTCCATTTTTTTGCACTTTTTTTTTGGGATAGGTGTAGGTTATGACGAAGGGGCATAAAGGTTGGTCAAGGATGATGGAGTTTTTATTTTTAGGTAGTAGGGGTTAGAAGCTCCGCATTTCTTTTTCCGACATCCTACATAATTACCATTACTATCGTTTTGAAACATGAATTATTCTCGACGAGTCCTGTTCCGTTATTCATCTTCCATTATTCCATTCCTATTAGCCCTCTTGCATTAATCCTCTCCTATTTTTGATGTTCCGTTATCCTTTTTCAATTCTATCCAGTTTTTTTATACAATTAACCAAGACTTTTGTACAATAATAAAGCAGGACGTTCGATCCTTCCACTATTCATCTATCACAATCACCAAAACACACCCTCCTATTTCTCGGAGCCTGCCATACGCATCCGCGATCGTGCATATGGTCGTTTACCACCACTGGATTGGTAGACAGCCGGCGTTGTTCAAAGGATTCAAACAATGCTTCCATGCGCCTTTCGTGTTCAAGGTGTCCGAGATAGAATAACACGCAGACCAAAACTCCACCGAGAAACATTGATAATTCTGGGAAGAGGAATTTGAGGTTTGTTATGGCTCCTTGGAAGAGGTCGCTTGGTGTTGGGGACATGGTGGAGTGGGATTTGGGAGGTTGAGGAAGTTGAGGACGACGTTGAGGGTGAGCGGTATGAAGTGGTGGGTTGGGTGATGGGAGTCGTTTGTGGTTTTTTTTCGAGGGGTTTTGTTGATGTGTGGGGGCTTGGTCTGTATGTGGCTTCCAGAAGTGTGTTGTTTGTGCTTGTTTGTACGATTTTATTGTAGGGTTTGGATATCAATGTGTAGTTGAAGTAAGGATCGCGAGGATTTGTTTGAGGGGAGGAAAGATATTTAGTTCTAGATTCAAGATCTAAATTAAGAAGTCTTTGGGTTTATGTCATAACTAAAATGGAGAAGGGTGTTTGGTGTTATTTAGTAAAGCTTTCGACTTATGGTGCACTATATTGGTTGCCGTTGGCGATTATGATGTTAAGGGTTTCTTGGAATTTCGCTTGTGGTGGACACCGACTATCTAATTGAGTTGTAGTGGCGTGAAAGTCTATATACTGCCAGGGTAGAAACTCTTGTATGTTCTAAATAGCAAAATGGTCAATGGCAGGCTGTCAAGTAAGAGAGCGATACTTTGCCTTTAGCGTGTAACACGAGCACCCAAGTGCGAGACTGCTGCTCTGGCACGTGGTAAACGTGTAGTAAAGAGATGTCAGATATAGAAAATAATGGCCGTTTTATCTTTTGAAAGATGTGAGTATGTCGTCAAACCTGGCTATTCTATATATAGGAGAGCTCTCGGAGGAAAAATCAGTGGCAGAACCCTCTCACTATCCTGGTGACGTAAATTGTAGTTACGGAGCACTAGAATTTGTGCTAATTCATTAGATGCCCTACGCGTACGTACTGCTTCATTTTACGTCGCCTTAGCAAACTCTTTACTTAAGAGTAACTTGAATACTTAGCCAAGCTATTGTAATTTGCATCACGGCACGATCTTGTTTATCCCCCAAAGAAAAATAAATAAAACTCAACTATGTTAACCGTCTCATAGACGTCGGGATTAAGTGTTGTTGTGTTTTACGTTATTTGACATTAGGCGTCGGAGAAGGAAATTTAATGTATTCTCGTCGAGGACATCTTTTACGCTCAACTTATATTTGGCTATTATTCAGTATTGTTATAGTGCCTTTAGTTGTCAAAACAGCTGCTGTCAGTATATTTATGTCTCTCTTGAGATTCTTTCTCTAATTTGAGCCTTTCTGCAAGCTTTTTCGTACAAATCTGGTTTCGTTGTCCGCAATTTAGCGATATTGTACTTCACGGGTGTCTAATGAAATAGCGCAGCCCCTGGTGAAGGTACACACTTTCAAACATCAGACCCTTTTCAAAGGCCCAGAAACGTCATATTGACGGCAGTCAATTGACGGAATATAGGGCATTCGGTCAACTTGATGTCATAAGTAAACAAGTATCGTGTTTTAACAGCCAACCAATATTGTCTACCGCGAGAAGGGTTGATAGCAAGTAATGAAACGACACTACGTTTTCAACTACACGACACATCTTTACACACTTCTACAACAAACCCAAATCTGCCGCACCCTCCACTTAAAACAATCCCCTCCCAAATATCCCAGTCAGCTCCCCTTTCTCCATCTCGGTTAATTTACTCCCCTCGACCCCGCGATCTTTCTGGATATATCACGACTTCTCTTGGCGCTGGGTATATCCAAGCTTGGCATCAACGACATGGCAAACCGAATTGGTTGAAATAAAGTATGCAAGAGACGATGTCGCGGTATGAAACTACCGATCGATCTCATGGTGGATTTAGTGTAGATTTCGTATCACCTTGGCGCGGATTGGAGGTTTGAGAATGATGATCGGGGACGGCACTTTTGGGATGGTGGTGGAGGGGAAGGGAGTTAATAGAAAGTAGATCCTGCTTTGGTGATCGCAATTATGAAGTTTCTGGACTGATTGAAGTTTTCGATTGAATCTTGCGTGAAGAAAACTCAAGCGTCTCGTCGCTAGCGCAATGGCACCACTCATCAACATCCTCACCTTCCTTCTCCTCCTCACCACACCCATCCTCTCAACACCAACACCAAATTCCCAAGCTACCTCAGCAGCAGCCAACGAATACGATTACATAGTAATCGGATCCGGACCCGGCGGCGGTACCGTCGCCTCTAATCTCGCACGCGCAAACTACACCGTTCTCCTCCTCGATGCTGGCGACCAAAGTACCGCCAACACTGGCGGCCAATACCCAGCGCAGATAACCTGGGATTTCTTCGTGAAGCACTATGCTGATGAGCGACAGACGAAGTATAGCCATTTAACATGGCGAACCAAGGAAGGTGCTTATTGGGTTGGGAGAGACAATCCACCTGCTGGAGCGAAGCTGTTGGGTGTATATTATCCTCGAGGAGCGACTGTGGGTGGGAGTAGCATGATCAATGCTATGGTTACGTTCCTGCCAGCGGATAGCGATTGGACTCATATTGTTAATATTACTGGGGATCAGTCTTGGAGGTAAATGACCCTTCCAATGGTGAGAGCAGCAGGCTAATGAGATGTCAGTCCTGCGAATATGAGAAACGTCTTTATGAAGATTGAACACAACAACTACCTGCCAAAAGGCACCGCAGGTCATGGATTCGACGGCTTCTTCCAGACCATGATGGCCAAACCTTCGAGCGTCCAAAACCCAGGACTTGCAGCTCTCAACGCAGCAGCCGCCTCATTCGGTGCCCAAGCAAGTCAATTGACCGCCATGCTGAGTACCGATCCCAACGCAGTAGACCCCAACCGCGACCAAGCAACAGGAATCTTCGGTCTCCCATCCCACACCCGCTCCAACGGCCAACGCTACAGCTCCCGCGACTACATCCTCGACACAATCAACCTCAAATACCCGCTAACCCTCTCCATGAACTCCCTCGCCACGCGCATCCTCTTCAACACCACGGGCTGCACCACCAAACCCCGCGCCACAGGCGTTGAATACCTCGCAGGAAAGTCCCTCTACAAAGCCGACCCGCGCTACAGCCCCTCCAACAAAGGCATCCTCACCACCGCCACCGCGAGGAAAGAGGTCATCCTCTCCGGCGGCGCCTTCAACACGCCGCAACTCCTCATGCTCTCGGGCATCGGCCCACCAGACCAACTGTCAGCCCTCTCCATCCCCCTCCTCGTCTCCTCGCCAGGCGTCGGGAAGAACATGCAAGACAACCAAGAAGTCCCCACCGTCGGCCAGTTCCCCAGCGCCGGGATGGGCAGCGCAGGCGGTTGTATAATGCGCAAGACGCCCTTCGCGGCCTACGACGAGCGCGACGTCTTCATCATGCAATTCCCCGGCGTGTTCCGCGGGTTCTGGCCCTCCAACCAAACCAACACAAAGCTAGCCACCGATCCGCAGGGTAGTTACGGGATTAGTCTCGTGAAAATGCATCCCCAGAACAAAGCTGGCACGGTGAAGTTACTGTCCAAGGACCCGCAGGATATGCCGGAGATAAATTTTAACTTGTTTAAAGAGGGACGGGACCTTGATATGGGCGCGATGAAAGACACAGTCGCCTGGGCGAGACGGATTTTCGCTGCCATCAAAGCACCCGCGGGACCGGTCAAGGTGTTGGAACCGCCGTGTGCGAGTGTAGATGCGAATGGTAGTTGTGGACAGACTGACGAAGATTGGATCTCGGCGCAGACGTTTGGACATCATCCGACGAGCACGGCGGCGATTGGGGCGGATGGCGATGCGAATGCGGTGCTGGATTCAAGGTTTAGGGTTAGGGGGGTCGGCGGGTTAAGGGTCGTGGATGCGAGTGTGTTTCCTAGGATCCCGGGGGTGTTTCCTGTGGTTAGTACTTTTATGGTTGGGCAGAAGGGGGCGGATGTTATTCTTGAGGATGCGGGGAAGGGGGTTTGTTAAGTTGGAGAGGGTCTGTTGGATGTTAGTGGATTGGGTCTATGTGAAGTCAGTGGTTTTGGTATTTGTGAGATTTGGAAATCAAGGATTGTTAGGTAGTGTACAATTTCATTTTGCCCATGGCTCAGCGGATTTGGCAAATTGAGAGATGTATAAATCATCGTAGCCCCCCACGCGTGGTATTCGTATTCAATGCAACGTGCCGCCCGTTTTACCACCACTGTCTATCGTTTCAAAGACATATCTTGATCTCACCCTTCATACCCCCATGTCAGGCAGACTGTTTAAGCCTTCTTAACAGCAGCAACAACATCATCTTTCAACCCCTCAGCAGTCTTAACCAAACTATCCTTGGCTTCCTCAGCCTGCTCCTTTGGTGTCTCGTTCTTCACGGAGGCATTGTACATCAAGATACGGGTGACTTGGATGACACCGACGGCTCCGAGGAAGAAGTTGACGGTTGCGAGACTTGAACACAACGGATTAGCACGTATATATAGAAATTGGGGCATGGGGTGTGAAATGGAGATTGGGACGTACAGAATGTTTCTTGGCTTGATGATCAAGCACCATCTTGTCCAGATCGCTCCGGTGGCTGTGAGTGCGGCGTTTTGCGTGAGCGAGAGTTTCTCGGGTGGACGGTAGAAATCGGATACACCTGCTAGGACGAGGGACCACTGGGGGTTTGTTAGTATCTGTTTCCATGGGTTCTGATGATCAAATATTCATTCTCGGAGCTGGAGTTGTCGGTGTAATGGGGCAGAAGCTTGGTTGAGCGTGGGTTTAGGATGGATATACCTTCATGACAGGAGCCCTACATCGCAAGAACGTTAGCCAATTTATTCAAACCAACACAATTCCCTTCCATAGCCTTCCAATGATCCCCTCAAACACGCATTTCCAATCCCATCCCAACCCACCACTCTCCATTCCCCACCAATCCCCAAAACATCCCATCCACACCAACCAACCTCTCACTCACCAAAAATGCACAGTCTTCAACCCAATAGGACTATTCCACATCCTCGCGAACCAACCCTGAGCAGCCGCCTCCGTCGCCGCCCCTGTCGTACTCTGCCATCTCTTGCTCTGCTGCTGGAATCTAGGTCTGAAAGCCTGCGTCGTTCGCGAGGCGAATGTGTTTGCGCGGAACGCGGGGCGCGCGGCGCGCAGGATGGATGATGTGGATGGCATTGCGACGGGTACCTAGGGATATAGAACAGATAATTGGGGAGGGAGAACAATTGATGGTGGAGTTGGGATTGTTGAATCTCGGGAAATGATCGACGGAGGCCGGTATCGCTTATCCCCGACGGGCGTTTGCATAACCTTGCATAATTTTGGTGGGGCTGCTAGGGAATTGTGCAAGGAGCTTCAACCTCATGGCGAGGTTTTGGGGTGCGATTGTGATGTGATGAACTGGATTTGCCATTGTTCGCCCACGACACCATCTACCGCTTCGCAGGACACTCGATTGGACGCGTATTGAAAACTTGATTTTGAGGATATATACAGGGAGGATGTCGGGCAAATACGCGTTCTCGCAGACGTTGAAGGAGGTGCGGTTTTTGTTTTGCCAGACGAGTGAGAAGAGCGCTGGTGCGAGGTTTGTGGTTTCTTTCATTCTCTATAAACATACGGCGAGAGTAGATCGTAAGGGCTATGGCTCGATTGGGAGACGTTTGATGGTAAAGGGAACGAGACTGACAATTCGTGATTTCACAGAACATTCCTAGCACGCGCATATCCTACGATGAAGAAGAACAATCCAAATACTCCAATTATGCTCCGCGAAGCTGCAGATACGCCGGCTAGAGTGTATGCACGATACGGTTAGTCGATCCCTTTGGTCATTTGGCTATGGTGGGCGAGTTTGCGCTGGACGGAGATTATGGATAGGATCTCATGGGGTGGATTCGAATGCTAACACGATCAATTGCAGAATTTGGGAAGGAGAAGAGCGAGTCGTTAGCTGGATTATCGGATAAGGAGATTGAAGAGAAAGTTACGGGGTTGGTGAAGAGTAGTGCGTAGGCTTTGGAAGGGGGATGGCGGGATGTACATATTTGGGCGGAAAGTGTAGGACTGATAGGACGAGAAATGAGGGAATGTAACAAAAAAAGCTACAAGACCAACCCATAATTCAAACTGCTTGAGCATATATATTTCGGCTTTGTTAAGGGCCTATGGATGACGGGAGTCTGTTGTGGTCGTACTCCCGGTTGTTTGATAGTTGTCAAAACCATACCACTCACTAACACGAAAACATTTGACTATCAAATACTTCGCCCTCACAAACCGACTACTCCATCAAAAACTCTTTCCCAAAAATCAGATCATCCAAATCATTCAAAAAGTTCTTCTTGCACATCGCCCCCAGTTTCACCCCCCAAACCCCAAAGATCACATGTGACCCTGAAACCAGGGCCGCCCCAAACAGCACCCCGATTAATTTCCTTCCAAACCAACCCATCACGCACGTCAAACCGCAACAACAACATCTTTCACCAGATCTTTAGCAGATTGAAACAGCCTGCGAAATGCAACAAACGACCGGGTCCTGTCTGGTTGGCAGATTGAAACATGCTGCGATTTGCAACAGAGAGCTGGAGGGGTAGGAAATTGGGTGGGTGAGGAGGGAAATTGGGGTAATCTGATGGAGATTGAAACGTGTTGCGATGTGCAACAGAGATGGGTAGGTTGGAGATTTGGAGATTGAAACGGGCTGCGATTTGCAACGAATGCCTTTCTTCTGCTTTCACATATTGAATCTGCCTCGTAAATCGGAGATTGAAACAGACTGCGAAATGCAACAGACATAGTCGAAGTTGGAGACCTGGAGATTGAAACGACCTGCGATTTGCAACAAATACAAAATATTTACTTTATCTGCCTTGGCCTGGAGATTGAAACCGCCTACGATGTGCAACAAACCGTTCAAATTGATCACTTGGCCTCGTACATTGGAGATTGAAACGGCCTGCGATTTGCAACAGAGAGCAAAAGACCTATTGACAGGCCAATCTGCCTCGAAGCCTGGAGATTGAAACCGGCTACGATTTGCAACAAATCAATATACGAGGCAGACTGGTCAAGTTAATTCGAGATTGAAACAGCCTGCGAAGTGCAACAATTCTTCAAGGTATTCTGCTATGGAGGGCTACTTCTGTCGAAGAGTATCGTAGATATATAAGGTCCAGGTGAATCAAAACTGTTCTTCATTACAACCAACGGCTTGCTAGGTGTTTTGAAAATGTTGGTTTTCCAGATATCGATCAAACATTTGAATGTTGTAGCCACAATGATGCAAAGATACACCCTTTCTGTACCGTTAATAGATTGGTACCCAGTTATAAATATCCAAAACTGTCGTCAGTTTAAAGTTGTCTCAATCATCCTCGGAGGGATTTGGTGCTGATCACATGAGCGTCACGTGCATACTCGGATCGTGATTTGCTTTTTTGAAATTAATTCTTCCTTCGCAATGGATATTTACAGCTTGCGCCGCCCAAAACACAACTGACGCTCGATCTCTCCTTCACCAGCGCTCACCCATTCCACGACTGAGTGTTTGACCGCAACCAAATTGGCAGGCATCAGCGTCGCCGTCGCTGTTCAGTTGCTGGGATACTGTATGGATACAACACAAAAGCACAACAAATCAAGCCGACAATGGTCTTCGAGAATCTACCGTCCCCTTCAACTTCGCAGTCTCTGGTCCCCCCTCCCCCTTCTGAGCCTTATTCGGGTTGTTCGTCAGGTCAATCGAGTATTTCGTGTCTGTATTTGATAGACCTTCCTGTTTCTTCGACATCGTTCCCTCACCACCTGGTGTCTTGGATGCGGCCGCCTATGGAAGGACATATTAGCACCGAAACAGCTAATAAAAATGCGCAGGAAATATCTTGCCTTGTCCCTCATCCCATCATACCCTGCCTGTGGAGCTTTATCTTGGTAACCCTGTTTCATTCCAGCCTCGCTCACAACTCTCTTCTTGGTCCCTCCTTTCGCATCTTGATAAGTCTCAATGAAAGTTCCCTTATTTTTGTTCGCACCCGTGATTTCATGGGGTTCGTGGCCTCGTCTGGTTGACTCGGTGTTTGGCCCAATACCGGGCATATCAGTACTTGCTTTGTCTCCTCCTACGGCCGTCCATCTGGTGTTTGCTTCCTCGGGATTCTGAACTTGTCTCTGCCAATACCAGGGTTGCGTGTAACCAATGACTCCTGCTAGGACTATTGCACCTCCTCCAGCGAGTATTCTGCAAGAAAGTTGTTAGTCAGATATTATGAGCCGATTGTTGAGGATTTATTTGTTCCATACAAGTTTCTGGTGTTTTGGGGGTTCTCATTGGCAACACTGTAATAACTGTACCCCCGGCTGTGTGGAGAAGTCCTTCCTACAGGCTGGTACCCTTTGGATGCAACTCGTTTTGCGGACTGAACTAATCCTTTTGAAGACTTCATTCTGATGATTGTCACCGAGGATTGGGTTTTATGGGAAAAAAGTTCTGTTATCTTGAATAATAGTAATAATAGCTATGTTTTCCAAGTCAGGTACATTGTGCACCTGGGTAGTCACGAAGGGTCACCAATTAGTGTGGTTCATTGTCTAGAGCAGAAATGTCGTCACGAGTAATCACCACTAAAGAGAGTACCTGGAGTGGTCGGCATGATGTACATGGATGGGGTCGTGGCTTGGCGTCCAGAGGCTTCTTTGACCCCACAAAGCTTTCTGGAGACTCTCCGCGTCCTTTTGAAGCACCAATGCACCACTCAGACACATCTACACCTGCAAGGAAAAGCAGTGACTTAAGAAACAATATCCCACGGCTGTATCTCCGAAACGAATGATTTACGTATGTGCATATTGCATCGAGCTGTCATTTGGAAATGTTTTCTCTTGGTACTGATGCAAGCAGGAGAGCAGGTCCACCAATCGCGGTCATTTCACCTGATGTCAATTCGACAAAACGGTCCAGCTCATGTCGCAAATCACAGTGGAACTAAGGCGCTTGCGGAAAACTCCCAGAAGCATGCTTAGTGTGTCAGGGGAGAAGGTCGGCATACTTCCAAATTTGTTCTTCTTGAAGGTCAACCGCCAAGCAGTATTTTCTCGAATGACATGTCTTTATATCGGCACATCAGTTGGGTAACATCGGAGGAAAAGAGGATGATGAACTCTAAAACCTGTCGCCGTGACGACACTGGAATTGAAGTTCAAAAGAGAACAAATAGAGCCAAATGCCTCTTTTTGTAATTTCACCATCCACATACAGACACCAGCTGGATACTTGGAATACTTGGAATACTTCGCCGACATGAAATCACTAGCGATATGCGCCGCTTGCGTTGGGGTTGTGGCTGCGATAGCGGATGGTCACGTTTCGGAAGCTGCTTATAGCGCGAGTCGATCCTGTTATGTGAGTAGTATGCTTAGTTCATACTCAAGCGCGATTGCTTCACAGACAGCGACTACTACTGGCGCACTCCAGACAGACATTCTTGCACCAAGTATCCCACATCTTCCACCGGGTCCAAGTGCGACAGCGTATCCTCGCGATGGTCTACTCCACGGAGCGCAACCAGCACCGTTCACCCCATCTGGTGGTCTGGGTACGAATGGCAGTGAGCCGCTTTATGTCCCAGAGACAGATTTCGATTTCCAATCGATAGTGAGTAACTGCCTTGAGCCATAGGGTTGTAACATGACTAACCCTTATCCAGTCGCTTGCGCTCTACCAAGAATACATAGAACTTGACCTTTTCCATTGGGTGTTGGAATACTTCAGCCCAGCAGAGTTTGAAGCTGCTGGAATCAGTCCCGAGGAACAATATTTGATCAAGTATATGGGAGACCAAGAAATTGGCCATGCAGAGTTGATGGCAAATATTCTTGGTCCTGCTGCGCCAAAACCATGCACCTACCGATATCCCTTCACTACAGTTGAAGGTTTCATCGAATACAGCATCAAGAACACTCGATATGGAGAATCAGGCGTTCTCGGATTCCTTGCACATCTCAATTCGCGACCATCTGCCGACTTGATCTCCCAAACCATTACAGTTGAATCGAGACAGCAAGCCATCTTCCGCCAATTCAAAGGACTTTTTCCTATGCCATTCTACTTTGTCCCTGGTGTTCCACAGTCATGGCAGTGGACATTACTCGCTCCAGATATCGTCAGCTGCCCTGCCAATCAAACGCGACTCATCTGGCAAAACTTCCCAGCTCTCCGAATATCGAACAACCCAGACAACACTCTCACCTGTGGATGCGACTGGCCTACCGTCAAACCAGCCATCACTCACAATATGAGCACCCCTCTGAGTGCGCCTGGAAGAGTCGTTGAATTCTCTTGGGATTTGCCCGGACAGCCCGTTGGTCCAAACCTTTCTTATGTGACAACGACCCAAGCAGGTCCGCCAAAATTCGTCGCCTGGGTTTCACAGTTGAATGTCACTTATTCACCTCTGACAGTCCTCAATGGTACGTCAGGGACCACGATACAACCCAATGGAACCACCTTGGGCGGTGCGCCTGCTATTAATGGTACCGTTTTTGTCGCCGTGACGGATACTGATTTGTTTGTCACGCCTTTCAACATCACGTTGATTAATCCTCATGTTGTTGCTGGGCCTGCTTTGTATCAATCTGGATAGATGGAGGATGAAATCCTTTCGAAGTTCAACCTTTGATGTGGTAATGCGTTGGATTTCGTTTGTTCATTGTAGCCGGTGTACATACCGATTCATTGGTTATTTAGAGGAGGGTGCAATGTGGGCGGTAAAATGGTTGAGGAAGTAATTGTAAATTGTTTTGGGTAGAGTGGTTATAGAGTAGTCTTAATATGATATATTGTACGAGAGCCTGAGTCTTTGGATGGGTGTATCACGTGGTTTAAATTGGACGAGGAACCAAACTTCTTTTCTTAAAGACTACGATTAAAATCACACATCGTGAAATTATTATCATCACAAGTTTTCTCTTTTACTGTAATCAAACAAGAACCCACGACCCGAAAGATCGGAAACCAAAAATGATATCACGGACATTTTACTCCGCCTATACCACTCACGTGCCGTCTGTGTACCTGCGAAAGCTGTAACATAGTACAAAAGCCGGACCTCAATCATATCAAATTCAACCTCGTGCCGTACCTTTCTTGCAAGGAGAATTGTTTAACTTCCTATTTGACCGGATAGGTATGTTGAAGGTCCGGACTCGTGAGGTCAGGTGGAATTTGTTAGGCGAGAAGGTGATATCATGGTGTAACGACGCGTCAGGAGGGAGACACGAGATCACGACATATACTTGGGATATTGGGAGGTGTGCTTTGACGGTGGTCTGGGTAGTATTGTGTGGTATGATCTGTGATTGGCTGGATGGGGTGTGATATCATTTGTTTGAGGTCGGTTTGAGGGGTGTGGTTGGTTGATATCATGGGATTTTATTGGTATGGGATGGAGGAGGTTGTTTGTGAGGAATAGAGATTATGGAATGAGGACTCGAACACCGCGGGGAAAGTGGACATGAAGTCATCTATCGAACAAGCAATTCATGAGTGCATACTTGTATTAAACATCCCCTCCTCAATCTCATTTCCTCATAACTACAACCTCAAAACAACAACAAAACACACCATCACAAAACCCAAAACACCAACAAGTGCATCCTATATCGTCAAAATGGCAACAAACGCAACCTCCGAATTCGACAAACAAAATACCGAAACAGACGATATCCCTCAAGGCGGCGACACAGTCGACAACTCCTACGCCACGTCCGGAAAGGAACCACTTCCGGTAGTCACGGACGAGACGCCTGTTGAGCAGCCGAATGATCTGAGGAATCCTGATTCGGATGCTGCGCTTGGTAAGCAATACTCCTCCTCTCAGAACCCCGATTTCTCGTTGGGAGATGGCTGGGAAATGGGTGATGTGGTGCCTGAGGAGACGGGTGGGTTTGGTGGCAAAGGGAGTATGCTGATGTTTTATGTAGAACAAGATGAAAAAGAAGCAATCGACACCTCGAATGTTTTGAAGGGTGATAGGACGAGACATGCGAAGCCGGTGGGGACGTATAGGGAGCCTGGGGATGAGGAGGGGTTGCCGAGGAGCGTGTTGAATGGGGAGGATGGTCATAGTGCTACGCGTTAGGGGTGGGGGATGGGGTCTGGGGGAGGGATTTGGGATTTGTAATATTAGTGTAGTTTTTTTGGAGGGTGGATAATTTTAATTTGAATCGGTTTGCAATGATCGAATGGGTTTCTGATGTTGAGGTGTCGTGAAGTGAGGAAAGTGTATTGAGAGAGGTGTTCCGGAGCAGAGCTCCGGTTTGTGAGGGCGGGTGTTATTTTGTTTCGTGTAATCAAATCATGCCAAAAGCTTCTATGAATATCTCAGCACCACAAAAGTAGCTCTCTCTGTTCCTTCAACATTACAACGACATGTATGCATACAAAATGCGTGTGTTCGATTGAGGTGAAGGTCCGGACGACGAGGGGGCTTTCTCGCTTAATCTCGCTTATGTAGTCTATTGCTGGGCAACAGGAACGTCAAGAATTGATCTTACATCACCTCACTCCCATCTCCAAATAAACATGACGCAACGTGATTTTGATTTGGGCATGATTGAATGGGATGAGATATCCTACTATTGTCAGATGAGGTCACCTTGTTTACATGATGGGTAATATCACTTGATTGAATACACCTTTGTTTTCATTTCATTTTCGACTTTGCAACTTAAATCGTTGAAACAATATATCTCACGAACATAAAATAAAAAGGGAGCAATCATGCAATCCGTACTTCATCCTATAATCGGTCCCAAGAAAGAGATCCACGACCTCGATGGGCGCGTCGCGGTTATCACTGGTGGTGCGATGGGAATTGGGTAAGATCCTCGTATGCGAGACTCGTCGAACGTGTAGCTCACATATTATGAAGTTACGAAATTGCTCGCGCCTTCGTCCAAAATAAATGCCGTGTAATAATGGTAAACCGAAAAGAAGAGCAGGGGTCCGAAGCAATCAAGAAGATCAAAGAAGAAGTAGGCGACCAGGCACAGATCGAATGGTTACCATGCGACATGGGATCATTGAAGGAAGTCAAGAAAGTATTCACAGATCTGAGAGAGAGGGAAAGTAGACTTGATCTTGTACGTACCACTTCCACAACCACTTCATCCTGCTAACACGACCAAGTTAATCCTCTCCGCCGGCATCAACGCAAACCAATTCGGCCTCGACGCCGACGGCATCGACCGCCACTTCGGCGTAAACTGGCTCGGCCAATTCTACGTCGTAAACCTACTCTACCCACTCCTCCGCAAGACCTCCAAACTCCCCGACACACCCGCTCCACGCATCGTCTTCGAGGCTTCCGAACAACATCGCGCCGCGCCCCCCGACGTGCATTTCGGCTCGCTAGAGGAGATTAACGATGAGAATATCGGCAGTCTCCGCGTTTATGGACGGACGAAATTGGCGATCATCCTGGGCGTGAAGTATGGCATTGTGGAGAAGGTGATTAAGAGGAATGGGGATAATATCTATGCGACGAGTGTCCATCCCGGCGCGGTTAATACGGCGATGCAGCAGCAGTGGAAAGATGCGTATCCGGGACTGCTTGGGAAGATGATTACTGGGGTTATGTTAGCGGCTGGGAGGGATGTTGAGCAGGGCTCTTACAGTGCTTTGTAAGTGCAGGATGTGTTTGAAAAAGATCATCTCTGGCGTCGAAAACTGGAAGAGTATTCCTGACTGACTGATTGCGAAATAGATACGCAGCCACCAGCCCCGAAATCGAAGAAAAAGGCTGGAACGGTTATTACTTCTCAGACCCCGTAAGCTCATCCATCCTCTCACCTCCTGTTTTGTCTACGTCGCACCTTCCCCTTTCCTTTCCGTTTGTCCTTTTTGTCAGAATCTAACACGTGAACAGGGCCAACCAGGAAAAGAAACCAGTCAGGCGTCAGACCCAAAGCTTGGCGCGGCGCTGTGGGATCTTAGTGAGAGGCTTATCAAAGATAAGGTTGGTGATGATGCGTTGGTTGATTGGAGTTCGTGAGGGGGTTTGAGTGGGGAAGGTGCGGGTTTGGGAATGGAGGCATGATGCGTGGTGCGGCAAGTGTCGTTTGTGAATGGAGGCATCATGCAAATTCCCCCTCTTTGGGATCTCAGATTTTGAAGATTTGAAATGGATCAATTCTATATTTTGGAATCTTCTGAAATATGGGGAATTTTCCAAGATAAATCTGTTTTATGGATTCAACTGAGCGTGCATTCAAATCCCGTTTGTTTATTTGTGCAAAGCTTTTTAGATTTTCTTTCAAAGTGAAGTTTGAAGCATGTTTCTGTTGTAGAAGAGGTCTTTTGAGGCCTTGTCAAGAGATGCAGCTTGGCGATTCAACTCATCGAGCGGGATGCGAAACTGCATCACCAGAATTTCGAACATCAGGCGTCTGTGCTCGAGCTTTTTGGTTGTTGCTGTGAGATCTGTGAATGTCATCGTTTTCAGGGTGTACCGTATAGTCTTCGGCGTATCAACCATGCTTCCTGGGGTATTATCACCGTTCTTGGGGTGTCGACCATCGTCCTTGTAGGGTTGTCAAAGTTTCTGGGGTGTTGTCTTTGGAGCGTCGACTATCTTCGGGGTTTTGTCGTTGTCTTCAGGGTGTCGAAGATCCTGCATAGGGTGTTGGCAAGGTGTTTGTCGTTGTCTTCGGGCTGTTGCTAATCGTGCATGGGGTGTTGTCGAACTGTTTGGGTGTTCTCTTAGGGTATCGTCGTTTCCTACGGGCTGTTGACATAGACTTTTAGGGTGTTGACCATCCTTCGTAGGCTGTTGACTATAGCCCAAAGTTATACACATACGCCGAAGTACCCCTTGCTCGAAATTTCAAGACCCTCGGGGTATCGACCGTTTCCATTTAGGGTGTCGACCATCGTTTTAGGGTGTCGACTGTTTGACTTTAGTGTGTTGTCATCCAGTTTAGGGTGTCGACCACACCCCAAATGCATACCCGCATGCCCGAAACACCCCCCCTCGAAGTCTCGCTTAGAGTTAAAATACCTTCAGGGTATTGTCGTCGTCTTCAGGGTGTCGACCTTTCCTCTTCAGCGTGTCGACCACCCCCATGGGGTATCGACCATCATCTTTCGGCTATTATCCACACGCCCAAGGCCGCATTCGTATATTATCGCACCTTCCTACAAACTTCCACGCGCCTTCGGGTGCCGACAATCGTTTTTGGGGTGTCGAACGTCCGTCTTTAGGGTATTGTCATCATCCTTAGGCTTTCGATCAAGTTTCTTAGGCTGTCAACGACACCCTAAATCCATTCTCGTATGCCGAAGCACCCCCCTCGAAGTCCCTTTTAAAATCAAAATACCTTCGGCGTATCGACCCTCGCTTCAGGGCTGTCAACTATACGTGTTTAGTGTGTTGCCATTGTCATTAGGGTATCGACCATACCCCACGGCTATGCTCACATGCGCGAAACACCCTATAACCTCCTGCCAACACTCTGTGTCACCTTTTGTCGGAAAATATTCTTGGGACCCCCCCCTCGTCGTACTCTCCCCTTATGTCTCCTTTTGTCGGAAATTATTTTTACCCCCCTACCTTCTTCCTCCCCACTACCGCTTCTTAAAGCCCTCCTCGAAGCTTTTAGGGTGTCGACACAAACTTTCGGGGTATCGACAACTACCGCTAGGCTATCGACTGCACCCTAAAGTTATGTTCGCATGCCCGTGTCACCCCATACATCCCCCCTACACCCTATAGCTGATTTTGTCGGAATTTCTTTTTTTCGAGACACCCCCCCCCCTTTCTTCCGCTTCGAAAACACATGACCCTCCCCCCTTTTCACTCCTTGACTTCGAATTACTTGAAAATTGAAAATATTCCCAGAACAACTTTCGGCGTAGAATCATGCGGTGAGTACGATAGGAACTTCAAAATGTACAAGATATGTGTATTATAGTTACGTGTTATTACTTGTGATTTCGATATTATTTCTGATTTCAATTAAACATTCTTAAATTTCCGACTGTTGCAAATATCTCCTATTTTTTTTTTGGTATTCGAAAATGTTTATATTTACTTTGTGAAATGCGTCCTACTTTGATAAAATAGAATTCGTAGTAGAGGAATGGAAAGGTTGGCGGGGAGAAGGGAGGGGGTGGGGTTTGAAAAAATATTTTCCGATAAAAGGGGGGGTAAGGGGGGTAAGGGGGGGTAAGGGGGGTGGGGGTATGACAAAGAGGAAGAAAGAAGAAGGGGGGGGGGGAGTCATAAAATAATTTCCGACAAAAGGAGACATAAGGGGGGAGTACGACCAGGAAAAATGAGAGGGGGGGGGTCCCCAAGAATATTTTCCGACAAAAGGAGATTGCGGGGCTAAGGATTACTAGCGGCTATCCTTCGTGCGAACTCGTTATACTTACGTACTCTCTAAAAATATTTTTTAGAATAGAAAAAGCTGTAAATGTATACTATTTAATGTTATTCCACGTGTCTGCGTATCTAGCATATATGTACATTTGGTTATTTGGGTAGAGTGTACTCGAGAAAGGTGCATTTAGCATCAGATGTAATGTCTGGGTGTAAATGCGTCCTGCTGTGCTTGCCGTCGAGAGAATCGGATGGGATCTATTTTGTCCGATGCGTCTATGAAGGGATTTGAGAATTTTACAATCTTGGGCATTTGCGTACGGCGGTGTGTTGAGAAATGATGCGTTTCTGAGGGCTTTTGCGAATTCATAGTATCTTGGATCATTTATGCGAGTACGTACTTTGCGGATGAATGCGTTTCGGAAGTTATGAGGAATTTGGCTCTCGCCCTGTTTTTTGCATAAGGAGGTGTGTTGAAGATAGATACGTTTCTGAAGGGTTGTGAGATTTCGTAGTTGTAAGACCGTTTGCACAATGATATTTTCAGGATCGATGTATTGTCAATACCTTTGAGGATGCGCGGATGTTGGCTTATTTATACAAGTCAGTTGGGGGAAAATACGATTACTTGGAATATAAGTGCGGAGTTTGGAGAGAGGTTGATGGAAAATTTATAAAGAGGGACAAAATGCGAAGTGTAGCTTGTTAGCGTGTAGATGGGGTGGCATTTGGAGTACAAACGCCTTTGAGTTGCCGAATGAAAATGCGGAATGCGTAGTTTTTTGCCGAGAGCATCCCGATAGAGATGCGAGATTTGTAACCTGTGTTCTTGGCTCTAGTGGAACGGCGGCGGCCTGACATAGCTATTTAGGCGATGTCATAATGTTTTCCTTTTTGGACTTAAGGTTGTATAGCCTTCGGGGCATCGAATGTTATGCGTAGGGTGTGTGACATCGTGTTCGGGGTAATGATTCTTGCGATCAGGGTAGTAGATTATACATTTAGGGTATCGGCCGTAATATGTAGTGTTTCGAACATTGAGCTTAGGGTGTTTCGGGGTAGTGACATGCGAATGTAGGGTGTTAAGCAAGACGTTAGGGTAGTGATTCTTGTAATTAGGGTTCGAAGATTCCATTCAGAGTATCGTCCAAATGATGTAGGGGCTTGAGCATCGTATTTGGAATGTTTTGGGGGCTTGATAGTCGAATTTAGGGTCTTGAAACTCGACTGTAGGGTGTTGGCCATTGTGTGTAGGGGGTGGATTTCTACGTTCAGAGTACTTTAGGGTAATGACATTCGAATTTAGCGTACCGAAAATTCAGCGTAGGCTTTTAACCGTCGCTTACAGGGTATTGTACTCCTAATTTGGGGTATTGAGCTCCGAAATTAGGGGTTCAACTCTTGTGTTTAGGGTGTCGGTCATCGCTCGCGGGGTGTTGCCGAGATCTCTAAGGGTGTCGCCTTCCTCTTTTAGGCTCTCGACCACTTGCGCTTAGGGTGTCACTTTCCCTTTATAGAGTATCGACACAGTTTTCAGGGTATTGACGATCGTCTTTAGTATGTCGATCATCGACTTTAGTGTGTCGGGCATTGCTCTTAGGGTGTCGGCAATTAAATTCAGTGTGTCGACCACAGCCTACAGAGTGTCGAACACTGCCTATAGAATAACGAGCATTACTATAGAGTATTGGACATTGCTTACAGGGTATCGACCATCGCCTTTCGGGTGTCAACATTACTTTTAGTGTATCGACGACAGCCTACAGAGTGTCGACCACAGCTTACAGAGTGTCGACCACAGCCTACAGAGTATCGAACATTGCCCTACAGTGCCGAACATCGCCATAGAGTGTTAAATACTCTCTACAGAAATTCGAATACTGCTTACAGGGTACTGTCAACATCCTACAGCCCTGCTCGCATGCTCGCAGTACCCCGTCGTCCCTTCCACAAAGCCCTACATCGTCGACTCCCTTCTGCACTATTGTCACCTTTGTGACTTTCCCACTACACAACCCTATATTACGACTCTTTAGGGTGTTAAGCATTGCTCACAGAGTGTCGACTATTATATTAGGGTATTGGTCATAGCCTAAAGCGATGCGCGCATGCCCGACACACCCCCTCAAGACCCCGGAACCACAGGCCACATGGCTACGAAAAACGAGTACCCCCCACGACTAAGCTAACAATGTGCACCCGTGAACAGCCAAACCTGAAGTACAAAGGGGGGGTCTTTTGATTCTACCACACAAATCATTTGTCGGAAAATATTTCCTAGTCACTCAGCGGTTACATCCGACAAGTGTAGTTGATAGGGGTCGCTGGGTATATGAGAAGAGAGAGTAGAAAGGACTCTTGAAAGGAACGATGCGGTTACATTCATTTCGACAACCACATTCGTTTCCACAACCACGGCTCTTCAGCGGCCACATTCTCTTTACAACCACTGCTCTTTAGCAGCTTACATTCTTTCGACTTCGGTAAGAGCGACGGCTCCCTTCAGTTGATACCTTCTTTTTCCACGGTTACTGCTTTCCAGCAACCAACTTTCATTTCCTTCTACTGCCTAGCAGTCGCCTTTCTTTTACTCTCCTCTTCTTCTTTCGGATTGTCGAATTCGGTACACGCGATCAGCTTCCAGCGATCAATACCTTCGACAATCACTGCTCTTCAGCAACCAACCTTCTTTCCAGCTTCCGAATCCCCAGATTCGGTCAAGCGATCGGCTTCATCCGATCACCACATAACATCACCGCTTTTCAGCGACCTCATTTCTTCCACTGCGAGCTGCCCCAACAGTTCGCCCCAGCCAGTCGACTGCCTTCGACTTACCCTCTTTCCTACCATTACTGCTTTTCAGCAACCAACCATCTTTCCCTTCCACTGACGAGTGGTTTTGACGGATGGTTACTTTCTTTTCGGTCTGGATTTCTGACTCTGGTAAGCCCAATTTGATGTTTTCATTTGTTTACTTCCCCGTCCGAGCCAGTGCTCATCTCCTATTTACTCTGCTCCAACAACTGGGGAGAAGGCTGCTGGCTCTCTGTCCTTTGGTTCGAGCAACTGGGGAGAAGGCTGTCTGCTCTCTGTCCTTTAAGAAGTAGAGATTGGTCTTTTTGATCGACAACTTTTCCTTTTGTCATTTATCAAAAAAGAAAGTCCCAAAATCTTAGCATAAGCTAATGGGTATTTATTGCAGATTTCAGTTTCCGGATTTCCAGATTCAGCCTTCTTTCAAGCCGCCGGCTTCCTCCGGTTACATTCTTTCGACTCCACCTTCCTTTCACTCGATCCTCTGCGGATTTCGGACACATATGATAGTTCCTAAGACAAGAGACTCGGTTTCAGCTAAGGTAGGAAGACACGTCGGTGCTTCCTACCGAGCGTACACTAGGTTGAGGAGTTCTAGATCCACGAGGATCTAGGCTCTGCTAAGGTCGAGCTACGTGAGCGATCACGTAGCGGAACTGCAACGTCGTAGCTCTGTTTGCGAAAGCACTTTGCTATGGCGCTCGCCTCAGTCAATGCGCAGTCTGTTTAGCGGTACCTCACTCTGACTTCACGTGGAGTGGGCTATGCGGCTTTGCTGAGTATCTCTTGGGGTTCTATCGTGTCCGATTTATCGATGTCCTGCTGGCAGGACCTCTCGGCGCAGAGGGTTATTTGGAAGGTGGAGTCACAAAAAACTCCAAAAGCAAACAAATGATGGGCGGTGTTAGGAAGGGGTGTCGGCCTGGGCTAGTTGGTCGGTCTTTCAGGTTTGGGGACTTGTTAGATTCGAGCGGACTGGCTTAGGTCTCCGGTGATGGATGTTGGGCTTGGAGTTGGGGTTTCGGGCTTGGGCTGTGGGCTTTGAGCTTCGGCTTTGGGCTTGGCTTAGGTTCTGGAGCTCTGGCTTTGGGCTGTTGGGTTTTGGAGCTTTGGAGCCTCGCGGCTTTGAGCTTTAGAGCCTTGGAGCTTGGATGGGGTGCGATGGAGGGGAGGATGGGAGATGGGGATGGGGCGGGGATGCCCAACAGCGGTTTCTTTTGTTTAGCCTTTATTGGCACAGCGTTTCTTTTGTCATCGCCTTTATTGGCATAGCGTTTGTTTTACGCCTTCGGGCACAGCGTATATATTTATTAGCTTTTAGATAGGCCTTCGGGCACAGCGACAGCCTTTCGGCTCTAAATTCAGCGTATTACATTCGTTAATATAACCTCTCTTATAACAATAACAGTGAAATTAACCTCGATATTACTACCGACATTAACACTGACACTAGTATCGACATCGATATAGACATTTTTACCGACATTACAAAATTCCATATTACCTCTCTTCCCTCCTATGTTTCTATTCGTAATTCTTTTCGCTCGGTAATAGTCTATAGATTAATTAAAAAAAACCTTTATATTCTTATTTACTACTAACTATCTATAGAATTTTACTATTACTAACTTTCGAGATAATAGGATATAGAAGAGACTAGGTAGCATGTTACGTAACTTTCTAAACGAACCCCCCCTAAAATACGCGAAAGAGATGGCTTAGGTAAGCTCCTAATTCTGCCTCTAATTCAGCTTCTGTTAAGTGTTAGAATATATTCTTTCTCTAAACAATAACTAGTATTAATATTAAAAATTCACTAGAAGACAGATAAGGTAGACTGCGATATAAATCTATCGTGAATCTTTTAACTCCTTAGGGCATTTAACATTTATTTCTTGTACAATTCATTTTATACTTACTATTAGTTCTATCGCGACGAGCGAATTTACAAACTAAGTTACAATCGCCCTTAATTCATTGTTTTAGAAGGTAGTTTGACTTCGAGCTTATCGGATGCCTATTTAAACCTCGGGCATTTTTATTTCGCAGACAGAGTACATCTTTTAAAACCCCTAACTAAACAGATTTACTACTAACAAGTACATTCTACACCTATATACATGGCGCATACAATGAACGTAAGCACACATAACTACTACGTTATTTTAAAAATACGAAGCTAACAAAGGACTCCTTCTAGTTACCAGCGGTTTGCGATTCTAGGGAGTGGGAAGTAGTTGCTGACCCTTACGACTTTACAGCATTTGTCGATTCGGATTCCGATCATGAGTTTACTCCTAAGTCGGATATCTCTAAAACCTTAAGCGCATCGACCTCAACGTTAGTGGTATCGTCGCATATCGTTCAGTCCGCAGTTACAGAGACCGAAATCTTCAAGACCCCTTTCAAAAGGCTTTCGACGCCTGCAACACTGTTACAGGGTACTGAGCCTACAGTTACAGACACCCGCGAGAGCTCTTCGAACGTGACATCAGATGAACCTTGCCTAAAAGATGCTGAAAACAAGACACCATCCAAGAATACACAGGCTAATTCTAGTCAATCATCCACCGAGCAACCTTACATCGCGCAATACAGAGTCGCAGAGACAATCCAAGTGCCTTCTGAGGTTGATTGCACATCTGAGACTGTGGCATTCAAGGCATGCTCTCAATCAGTTCAGCTTGCCGACATCAAGAATTCCGCCGGATTATCGAAAGTGGTTCTGTCTCACGACCAAGGAAAATTCGAGAATCTGAAAGCACAAAACCGCTCAGGGCATCCTCCGGGGCTAATCACTCTGCTAAGTCTGCACCGGCGGACTGTAAGAGTACATCCAAGTACGTTAGACCTACAGTCAGTGAGGAACCTCTTGAATTCTCGAAGGTCGTAAAGCCGAAACGTATGGATGGACACGAGAGGCACTCAAAGGCTGCCAATCCCAGAATTGTGGAAACTAAGGACGCTTTCAAGACTGTGCGACCTACAAGCCTCCGGAAAAATCCAAAATCATCCAAAGCTGCACAGGTTGCAGCAGCACATACGAAGGACTTAGATACCAGAAGCTATTCGTCGTCGAATTCTCCATCGGAAAAACCATCGGTCTCTACTCAAAATCGACAGACGGATTCAAGGCATCTGCACCAAATTGGGCTCCCCAGTTTATTCAAGGACTTTTTACTAAGAGTACTGCCACCAAAACAGGAGGCTCACACGCAAAGATGCAGCCTACAGAAAGTTCACTCGAGTGCTACAGCTTAGTCCTCCAAAATGGGTTGACATTGGAACAATATCGAGAGCTTACAGTGCCGTTTCTTAAGAGCTGCAACAGATTCGTCTTTACTCTCAAGTAAGTCATGTTTCTACTTTTAAAGATCTTTTCAATAACTTTGACAGTACCAACGATCCCGTCGGCGTCGAATTCCAGAAACAGCTTCTCATCTACCGCCACTCAGCATTACGCCAGGCCGCTATTCAGGATCTCACTATCATCTTTGGAAAGTCGCAAAAGGATTATAGTCTCTTCTTAGAGCGGTTCATCAATGGAAATTTCCCTCTCACTTCGATTATGATTCGTTGGCTTCCGCGGGCTGCAGAGACGAGCCAGGAAGAGGCGTGGTTAACGTATTTTGTGACGAAAAGACTTGAGAAGAGAGAGAGTATCAAGAGCCAACGCGAGAAGCTAGATTGGAGATATGTGTATATGAATTCTCAGCATTTGTGGAAGGGAAGGAAATTTGGGGAATGATGAAGGAAGTGGATGGGATGGGTCAAAGTATTGAAGGAACATGACCGGGAGGTTGGGTAGTATGTATTGGCATTTCTATGTCTTGGCAACGGGCGGAATCAGTGTAGAGTGGCAGGTTGTTGAGACGTAAGGCTGCTACGGTAGAGACTAAATTAATGCACCTTCATTCGCGTCTCTACGACAATGATTGCACTGGGTTTTCTTTGTCTATCCTGTCTTCCAACGGATATTCATCTCGAAACCGCTTTCAAAATCTCGTGGGTTACTGTTATAGTGTCGCTCCCAAACCACTTTTGACATCGCACAGAAAAGGCTAGCTCACGGCTTCTGAATGGCACTTATGTTTCGCACTCGACTGTAGAGAAAAATACCTTCCCCTGGTATGAATAGAAATCTAAAGGGCATTTAACTCTCAGTGCTTTGAAGTCACTCTTTCGTAGCTCTACCTTTTCAAGGTGCCACTGTCGTCTCGAACCAGCAATCTCGTGCCTCCCAGCCATCCCATTTTGCGCAGCTCAACCCCCCGTAGTATTGAGCCCCAACTTTAAGTACTTTGGCTACTGGTGCGTAGTTGACGTACTTCGTGACTCATGTTGTGCGCTTTTGAGTCATCTACATTGGGCTTGCAGTTATACATCTTATTTGTCTTAAAGGAAACCGTAGTAAGATAAGAATAGATGCTGCCCTCAATAGCCGAGGAGACTTTACCTTAAAGACTTCATTCGTAAAACTTCCTTGCCGAAAATAACACGAACACGAAGAAATAAGTTCCATTCTTAAAGTTGGCCAGCGCGTCCAAGGAAAATTGGGCACTCACATTATCTGGAAGCAACTTTATAAGGATGTCTGGACGGCTACGTATGATTCATTGCCACCAAGTATTTCGGCGATTTTCTGACTGAGAATAGGAGCTTGCATCTTGGTAAGGTAGTCATCAAGACCGCACCAAAACATCGTTTAAGCAACGAACGTGATATTCTCAAGCGTTTTCAGAGCCAGCAGGAGTTCCGCCAGTTGATGGACGAGACGAATGACCCGCCATCTCTTGTATTGCAACGCTTTGATGACAATCTACTGAATGTGTAAAATTCACGAAAACTTCAAAATTCGGAAGTCAAGTTCATTGTAAAGCGAGTCCTTGAAGCGTTGCAAGGGTTACACGACAAAGGCTACGTACATACCGGTAAATCAGTTCCTTACACGTTTTGATCTCGGAGGTTAGCAATATTGACTTGTCCATAGACATCAAGCCCGATAATATTCTCATCAATTGTTACAGTGCCTCTCATCGCATCAAAGATGTGGTATTAGCAGATTATGGCGATGCGTGCTTACTGAACGACCTCAAACCAGAGGGGAATGAGCACATAATCGGAGCTCATATGTTTAGGAGCCCTGAAGCTATGCTGAACATGCGATGGGGAACTGCCACTGACATATGGTCTTTTGGCGCAACCGTGAGTTACCCATCACAATACCCGCTCATCATAAGTCAAACTCCCACTGACTCTGTCGCAGCTCATAAGTCTCATCTGGGGCAATGGATGGCACATCTTCAAACCCGACCCGAAGGATGCAAAACCAGACGACCCCACCTATCCCAACCATGTCTTCGTGAAACAGATTGCGTATTTTGGACCTTTTCCACTTAGCTACTTTGATATTTTGCCAGAAGATGACGAGAGATGGGAGATGGTAGGTGATTCGACTTAATATATCGTAGATAACAAGAAGTGGAAACCCTTTGCTCTGGCAGAGGACAAAGAACTTAGTGTGGAAGATAGGGCGTTCATTTGTAGGATTATGAAATTGGATCCCAGAGATAGACCGACTGCCAGGAAACTCTTGCAGGATCCTTGGCTCAGGGATGTTTAGTTTGCTTACAAGACATTCGCTGCCAGCGGGGTGAGAATCGCGGTTGATTTATAGATACATTTGGTTTGATTAATTTTGATTGAGTACTTGAAAGTTGTCGCCTATGCTTTATCTGTTAGAGCCAAATAGAAGCTTATCAATACAAATAGAATTTTTTTTAAGAAGTGCTGCAGATTTGCAATATCGGCATTGAATGGCACTGGTGCGGTAATAATCTACCGAATCAGCCGTACGTTACAGTTGTGTAACCTTAATGGCAGCCCCATCAGATTTTCCAAATATTGTTGAAGGGAGGGGCAAGAGTCTGCGAAATTGAAATAACAAAGTTCTAGATATAATTAACGTTTGGGTTCTCGTTTCCAGGTTGTTAGAGGCTCTTTACATCCGAGATCCGAAACTGCTCTCTGGATCCGAGCACAGGGTGAAAAGGGGGGATAATGCCAAGCCGCTTATAGCGGGGAAGTGGATCTAGCGCCGGTTGTTCCCGCGTCGCCACAAAAGATGCTTGGTTGTCGAGAACTTCATCGACACGTAAAGGACCTCGCGATACTACACGAGACATATCTTCCCACTTCCCTTCCAAACGCAATGAACAAAGGCAATGGCTCGAGGAGATTAGGGCAGTCGAGGTTTGGAGTGTTCCGCGGTTGTAATACGGCCGGCATATGAGCCGGAAGATCTTGCTTGCTTACGCCACTTCCGCAGCCAATATGCTGACAGCTCTTGCACCTCGTCTAATTCATTTAATATATGAGTATATTCGAGTTTAGAGCATGCTACAGTAAGAGCCCTGACGGCATATAGGATGGAGTGTGGGGCCATGCATAAGCACTAATGGGATGAAAAATATATCCCAGAGCCACGACCCTTTGGAAAGTGTCAACTCCATCGTTTTAGCGTTGGCCATTCTTCATTCAATATGCTTTGGAAATACCTGGCTCTCTCTCTCCTGGCGGAGCATGGCTACAGTCAATCAGCCGCGGCGCCTATGTTGCGCTTCACTTGTTCTCAGCTCGTTGTTGACCGTTTAGATCCTCTTGTTAATCCAGGCGTCGTGCCTTCCCCGCATCTCCATCAGATAGTTGGGGGAAATTCTTTCAATGCCTCGATGTATCACCCAGAGCACGACCTTCCCACTCAATCTACATGCACCACATGCACGTTCTCAGAGTATGACTCCTTCTTGTGTTCTAGCCGAGGACAGAAACTTACTCAAATTGACAGGGATTTCTCAAATTACTGGACCGCTGTACTATACTTTCGGGCACGGAACGGAACGTTCAAGCGCGTACCTCAAATCACGAGCGAAGGTCTGGGCGGGAGAGGCGGTATCACAGTCTATTACATCCCAGCGATGAACAATAGAACATCGGTGACAGCTTTCAAGCCAGGCTTCCGGATGCTTGTTGGAGACGCAAACTTGAAATCACCGGGGACGGCTCATAAAGTTTGCCATCGATGTATGCCAAAATCGGGGGATAATAGCAATATCAACTGTGGTCCACCAGACGACCAAACTCTTCCAACAGGATTCTGTGTCGGCGGCATACGATCCGTCATTACATTTCCCACATGTTGGGATGGAAAGAATTTGGACAGCCCGAATCACCAAAGTCATGTCGCGTATGGAATTGGGTCGAAGACTAACGACGTGGGACCGACCGGCGACTGTCCAAGTACTCATCCTGTAGTATTACCGCAGGTTATGTACGAGGTGATGTGGGATGTGAGTAGACATTTCGTTTTCTGGTTTGCATCATCTTTACTTGGGCTTCTCATAAGTTTCATCGCTAACTGTGGGTGTCTCGTAGACCCGAGGTTTCAACGACAAGGACTTGTGGCCGGTGGATAGCTCACAACCCTTCGTGTGGAGTACTGGCGACACGTGAGTGCTTTTCATCTTAATATATATCGTGTTTGACATGCGGGGCTGACAGGACTCTGCAGGAATGGTTACTCGCAGCATGGTGACTACGTCTTCGGTTGGGAAGGCGATTCTCTCCAGCGTTCCATGGATGCGAGATGTAACGGCGATACCTGCTCCGTTCTCAAGACTCAGAGTAACGAAGAAGCGATGAAATGCAATGTGCCGAAGGTTGTTGATGATGATATCGATGGATGTAAGTTTCTTTAGTCACATTATCGCAAACACCTGTCCGCATTCTGATCACTGACTTCTAAAGGGGTTGAAACACTTCCGGGAGAACGTATGCTCTTTTGAACGCAGTCGTCGGATAGATGTTTTCGAGGTCGTAGCGATTTAGAAGTTCAAATTACTGAAGAATCAGGTCACTTGTGTCATCATTTGGCAGGCACATGTGACTGGGCTAAGAGATTTCTGTAGCTGTTCAATAGAAATTTCTACTAAGGACTTGTTCACCGTTCAACTTTCAACGTCTAGTGCCCAGGTAATCAAATATGGAAATAATATTGACGGGAGTTGACTGTTCATATAAATTCTTAGGCTGGGAGCCGAATATCTTTCGGGAATGTCTACACTGGTTGGACTTCGGTCTTTAGGTACTTTCTCTCGTTGGACATTCGTTGTGGCAGACTTTTCAATCGAATACCCCCTGTCGGACTCCGGTAGCTGATAGGGCTACAGCAAACCAACAATTCGTTGTCATGTGGTTATTTCCTAGCCTCCTAGATTGATTTTGCTCCGAGACTTTACAACTTCATCTGCGCCCCACGCGAACAGAGTTTCTTCGCAAGCTTGCATCCATCTAGGTTATTCAGTTGCGCGAGCCAATTCCACTATATATCATGAGTAAAAACCAAATATCCGCGTTGAATTTATTGTACTGACTTCTCGGCACAGCACCTACGCATAACTTCACGGGCTTTCGGTGTACTTATTACACCGATCTTTCTCCTGGCCCTCTTAAAAAGCGAGCCGATTTGTTTCTTTCCGTGGTCAACTGGGATCACCTCTGTGTTTATGCCTCAGCTCAAAGAAACGGAATTAATTGCGTTTTGCTACCCAACATAGGTCTTGGATATAATCACATGGTTCGAATTTTAGAATTTACAGATGCAGTTCGATGGATTGCCAGACTTCGACTTCCTTCTCTGACTCGTTCAGACAGCGATGATGCGACAGAGTCTATGATTTCTGAGTATATTACGACGTCTTTAGTTGAATCCACCACAATGATTCCAGTTCCGCGAATCCATGCCGTGGAGTCTGAATTCCATCCTTTGATAAACGCCCGATTCATGCTGATGGACTGCTTGGAAGGAAACGTTGGAATGGATCTGGGTATGCAAGTTCCATCAGAGCATAAAGCATCGTTCTTTGCGGAGATGGCGCGTATACATGTAAGAAAATCATCCTTCTAACAAAGACCGAGATAACTACTGACTGTGAGGTTTTCGCACGGATAGAACTCTCAAAAACTCGCTTGCCAATGATAGGCACCATTAATGGCAAGAACTCAGATGGAACTTTCATCCAAGGTCCAATGCGAGGCATCGGCGGCCCTTTTCGCACAGCTGGAGAATATTTCCACGCCTGGGCTGAAAACGCAAAGTTTGGAATGGATAAAAATCTCATGCATGACTCGTGCGGCTCGTACGCCGACGAAATCATTCCATCAATCAACAGTTTCCTAGATGATTTCCGGAAGCTAGCCGAAAAGCTATCAATCTGTAATGAAGGTCCATTCCCTCTCTGCCATGGAGACTTCGGGCACAACAACATCATCGTAGACGACAACTATAAAGTTCTTGGTGTTATCGACTGGGAAAGCGCGTTTGCTGCGCCGTGGGAAGTGTTTGCGTCGTTTCCACTCACATTGTCGGCGACACCGCCCAAGATGGATGCGCCGTGGAATTATGATGATGATGGGAATCCTGCTGATGAGGAGTTACGTCAAAAATGTGGTGATCGGGAGGTTTACATTGCAGCGGTTGCGAAAGTTGAGGCAGAAGAGGGAATGATGGGGGAGCTGTTGATATCGAAGTCACTGCGAGACGAGAGGAGACAGCATTTGATTGATGCGATGAGACTGTTTGAAAACGGAAAACCGGGGTGGTATGGGAAGTTGATTGATGAGTTTTGGAAAGGGGACGAGAAAACATAAGAGTCAGTCGACTTCACTATAATTTGAACTTTTGGCATGGTGGAAAATATATAGGGTTCGTCGTACTCTACTCAAGCCATGTAGAGCGTATCCGACGTGATACTCTCCAAACACTCAGTCAAAGGCTCCGCATCATAACAACTCGCCAGCATAAGACTCCTCACATAAGCTCTCAAAGCTGCTTTGAGGATGTCTGAATGCTTAGCCGAAATCTTTCCCAAAGCACCCAACTGAAGATTGTCTCCATATAAAACTTCCATATCCAGCTCGAAAGTCTGTGTAGTCCCAAATGTACTTGGGATTACCATAGTGCCAGCGCGTAAGTCGAGCTCAATCCGAACTTGAGAGGAATGGGTCATATGTCGAGCAGATTGATAAACTAGCTCGGTGAATTCTTTGTTCGTCAACATTAAAATGCCCACCATTTGTTGGACCTCGGGTCGGTCGTGCTGTAGTGGTTTGAGAAATTCATCGAGATCAAACAAAACCTCCAGCAATGAACGTCTTGTAGGTGTAGAGATTGCTCGACGAATGACTGGCTCAGCTACAGCTAAAAAGCCTTGTTCATCCCTGGAGCTCATGTCCAAGGCCGACACCCCCTCTTTGAGTCGAATCAGGAACGGACGTGTACGCTCCGAAATGGAGCAGAGCAATTCCAACACTTTCGCCCATTCGTCGTGGTTACCTAAGCCTGGGATTAAATATCCTTCTTGGTGCCAAATAATCTCAAGTAACCCTTTCGCTATCATCTGAGCATCTGCTCGTTTGATGAAGTGCACAACACAAGGTCCCATGTATTTTGGCAGACTTCTTTTCAGACGAAGCCAAGGTTCTGAAGCCGGTATGTAACTTTGATCGTCCAGGTCACGGAGCTCAGATCGTGTCTTTGCATCTAGTGTCATCTCGTAGAGGGCAAGACATTTCGTATTCTCTTGTCTAGGAAGACCCTTGAGAATTTCAGCTTCAGTCACAGTAATTGCCAATAATTCGTACGCGACGACGTTGACCTCTGGCTCGTTACTATTGGATTTGAATCGAAGCACCGATCCTAGTCTTGCTCTTCTTTTAGGAGCCTCAACATCGAAAGCATCACGTACCCTGGTTCTCTCTGAGTGCCGCCTCACTCTGAACCCTCTTGCAACCCGATCACTATCAGAATCTGTACTATTCTCGCTCCGATTGTCGTCATCGGATAAAGGATCAAGTACGTTCACGAAACAGTCTTTATTGAACGGTAAGAAACCGAGGCACAGCATACCAATAGTTTCAAGGCCAAGAGAGTCCGGTGCAATTTGAAGAGGTTCAAGGAGTGACTCCCCAACAAAGGCTACCGACCATGAAGATTTGACGATATCCCCTGCAACAGGTTCGTGCTCAGGGCTCTTGAAATACAGAGACCCAGTCAGACCATGAATTACTCGTTCTTGACGAACAGCTACACCAGCAGGGAGTCGTCCCTGTCCGTTCAGTACGGAAATTTCAATCTCGTTAGTCGAAAGTCTCCTCGATACCCGTCGATCCCACGTTCGGACTCCGCTTCCTCTGACCTTGCGTCGTCTGTCTGGTTCATCAGAGAAGCGACCCATGAGCGCGAAAATCGCCAAAAATGTTTTGCTAACAGGAAGATAGGCAGCCGCGTTGCTGACGGTTATATTACTATCTGTTTCGAACTTGACACCATAGCCACCAAGAAAAGCACCGAATTCCACCCAAGACGCAGTAGAATCCGGAGCTTTAGCACCAACGATTGACATTCTATTCGTGTCGAAACTCTTCCACTCGTCAGTCTTGAATGTCCTCGCAACATGAATCCGAGGTGCCCGGACTCTCTGCATCAATCGCACGCCAGGCCAAACCGGAATTCCCTTGGAAACATAGCCATAGTTGTGTAGGCCAATTGCAACAATCGCTTTTTGTCTCTCAGTTCTGGATGCGCGCCAAATCAAAATCGGCCCCACGATACCGAGCAGTGCAATCAGTGCAAGCCCAGCTGCTACCCAGGTACCGATCACACCTGCAACGTCGAGACCTCCCATCGGTGTGATATCCGACTGTTGTCACTTCAAATGTTCAACTGCAGGCTCGAAATTGATGGGATTTTGGAGGGTAATTTGAATTTTCATGGTCACAGCCTTGCTTATATATGAGTGTGGTCACTCTTTCTAGGACCCTGGGAGGAGCTGAAGACGAGTGTATGCATGGCGTTTGAGGCTTACGGTAGAATGCAGTGTCACGTGCTAGTTCTCCTTCTACCTCCCTTCATATTTTTGAAAATATCTCGAAACTCTATGGTCCTAGAGTTGTTGGAATAGTCCAATAAATGAATTGAGTGTTCCCCAACTGTTTCTGAGATGTGTTTGAATATCTTTTGAACTGTCGAGTGAGTGAACCTTGAGAGGGGGTCCATTCGCTAAACCCCTCGCTTAATATATCCAGAATCACCTGGGCAGAATCGTGATCTGATATGCTAGACGCTAGCACAAAGGGGCGGCATTCAGAAGATATAGCGGGATGATTTGGATGCTTGTTTCTATCTGCTCAATTGACCTAACAGCGGTGAACTGAAAAGTATCGATTCATTCATTAAAGGATACTTCAATTTAGTGAATTAAGTCACTGGCCCCCCAAAATGAACAAGTGAATTAAGGTGATCTTTAAGTTACATCCACTATAATATGTTCACCAAGTCGACGTTACACATAGTCTATTTCAATCTTGTTTTCACCATGAATACACGGTATAGACTAGCGGCGCTAGCTTGAAGTGTTGTTGCCTACAAATATCGCGTCTCCCACCTTCAAATCTGATTTTTAACACGTTGATAACACAAGTCGATTTTTAACTACCGCGACTTTATATTCCCCCACTTCTCTCAGCATCAAATTCAGTGAGGGTTACACGATTTCCGACAACTTAATAACGAACAATACCGACGCAGATGTCTCAGCGATCCGCATCTTCAACATCTGGCTGGACTCCGATATACACCCGGAGAAGTCCGAATTACAGCCCAAGCACGCCAGTACACAGACCGAGCACTGCGGCAAACGGTTCGACCAGTCCGCTATATAGCCCTACTAGTCCAGTATACAGTCCAACCACTCCAGATTTCGGCTTAGGCAGTTCAGCATACAGAGCAAGTAATCCAGCAGACAGAGTGACCTCTTTCAAATACAGCCCAACAAGTGCCGCATATAGCCCAAGCACTCCTGTATTCAGCACAAACAGTCCATCGGAAATTGAGGTTCCTCATCTAGATCTCAATTCACCCAATCCTGCAGATGTTATTTCGACTATTGCAGCCAATAAAAGTTACCGGGTAGAACTCATCGATTCTGTGAATCCAGCCACAGGAGGAAATGCTACTACACATGTTGATTCTCCTGGTTTCAGACTCGGCAACAAGCTTCCCCGTATCCGAGAAGAGTCAGCGGTTTACTTCCAATGGCCAAGGCCACCAATAAAACCCGCCCAAACGAGTCCCGCCAATTGTCTGACGCCCGCTGCGGTTCTCCAGTAGTAGCTCCTACATCGACCCCAAACCCCGATCCCTCCACGTCAAATCCAGGAGTTGCAGATGCAAACTCGATGTCAGGTCCGGCTTATATGGACACACTGACACGAGCGATCAGCGCAATCGACGTTAAAGAATACAAGGGCGTCCCTGAAGACGTTTCCGAGAAAGCTCAGGAAGGCTCTGAGATCTCAGATACAGATTCATTGGCGCAATTCGCCTCAGACTTGGAGGTTGTAAAGCTTGTGGATCACATCCCTGATATAGATCTCAACAAAGGTCGGGAAGGAACATCTCAAGCATCCCGCGAAGAAACCAAGCCGAGGAGGACATCTCTCCTCGAAGAGTCGACTGCGACTATCATTCCTTCGACTCTACCCGAAGACGCCAGCAAGGAATCCGACGCAGCATCCACCCAAGTCTCTAACGCCATTCCTAAATTCATCCCGGAATTCATCATTTCAAAAAATGTCCAACCAGCTCCAAACACCGGACCTTCCGCGGACAAATGGTATCTCTACAACATCCACGGCCACGGGTTCTTCTCATCCCATGAGATAAAAGAGCACAAGTGTCTTGCCACGATCACAATCTCTCTTGCACCACATCTTAAACTCGAGTTATCTAACGTCGCGGATAACAAATTTGTGACAGAAAATATCAAGAATATCGATATCACGCTTAAACCGCAGGAGAATGCTCCATTCTGGACATATGCGCTAGCTTTCAAGAATAATGGTCCGCTTGAGAATGTTGAGGTACCTGAGAAGAATGTCTCGGGGAAGGAGGTAAAAAAAGCAACGTATTCGGAAATCGTTTTGAATGAGAGTAAGATTACCAAGGTAGTTGACCACGAGCTAGTTGGATATAAGGTTCTTGGAGGAAAGGTGGCTGAAGAGAGGGTAGCTGAAAAGAAGGTAGCTGAAGAAAAGGTATCTAAAGAGAAGGTGGTTGAAGAACAGACGGTCGAAGACAAAATAGTCCAAGAGGTAGGTTCACTATCTCCATCGCGTCTCTCGTACAGTACCTGACCTTTCGTTCTAGGACAGTAATTCATCGTCGAATCCAACAACAAGCCGCTACCTAGCGCTTAAAGACTTGGTTATGACTGTGCAACCGGTCTGGGGTGAAGAATACAGTACCGAAGTCATCGATCAACTCCCTGCTCGTGATGTGAACCTCCTAGACAACATCACGTGTGAGTTGCTGAAACTGGTCGTCAAACACACAGGTGCAAATGCCAAAACGATACTGGTCGGATGCTGGTAAGTCATAGCCACTCAACTCCTTCTCGTTGTTCGTGGAAATAACCTCCTATTTTTTAGCAAAGCACTGCCCCCGAAATTTATCTGCACTAACAAGACCCCCGCGGATGATCTTAAGTTCTTTCAAACTATCGTAAATCAGGTCGTCGACACCCGCGGTTGGCAAGCTGACAAGTTAATGGTCTTCTTCAATGATGGCCCACCTCACCTATGGAAGGGTGCTGATGAAGTATGGGACACGATACGGAGGGCATTTCCAGAAGAACTCGGGAACGCATCTTGGAGTGATAGCAAGAATTATTATGTTGATGCGCGGTGCGGGAGGGGTGGCATATATTGTTTGGTAGACACAAGTGCGTAGGAGGATTTCTGGACGTAAATTCCTGGAGGAGATTTTATTAGGATATGGCAGAGAAAATAGATTGCTCTACAGTGTATTCCCACTGCAGTACTTATTTTTCGCTATAAATCCAGAGAGGTATAATGTGGATCTGGCAAATCACGTTTACTCTTTCTAGCAACTTCGATGGTATGACGAGGACATGAGATTGAAACCTGCTGTGCAATAGCTTGTGATGATCTTTATTTGACACTCACCTTTTCACAATGATATTAGCACTGCCGATATATCGAAATTATGGGTTACACGTGACTTGGACCTCGCCGTCGCTATCTCGTGGTCGCTATAGACAAAACAAGAAAATGCCAACAAAATAGAGTATAAGTAGTATGTGTAGCGTAGCTATTTTGGAGTAATATAATGTTAATGAAAGTGATACTGACGAAAGCCATTTTCACATAGTTCTGTTAAAGGCATCGAATGGACAGACAGATTATGAATAGGTTAAGAAGAAGCCAATGATTTTACTCAAATTCGAGCTTAAGTTGCCTTTATTAGCGCAGGAATAAATAGTTGGCATCAGTTAGTCGTTAGCACATGTTTACCGGTTAAATCCAGCTTCCAAGACCTTGGGATTTCAGGGGCTTGTGCAAGTAAAGGATAAAGTAAATGGCAGGATGTCCTCAATTCCTTCTAAAACTTGAGGTAAAATTTGTGAGGATAAGCGCATCATCAATAACGGTTTTATTTAAGAAAGAGCCTAAGGGGCCATGTTTTCTAAATAATGAATGAGGCATCGTACCCCTCATCAACGAGGGGTTCGCATATAACACCGACTCGACGGGACCTCAAGGGGGGGCTGCTTATGTAAGTCATGTCCCCTTCGTCCTCCCCACGTCATCCCCGGATCCTTGCCCAGTTCGAGATCCTGCCCACATTTGCACAAGCCATTCAGCGCAACGTGCAGAGGAGTAACTCTCGAGCACAACAACACCACTCCCAGACTCCTTCACCCCTCTTTTGACAGTAAGAACACATTTTCGCATTTCGCCTCCTTCGCCTCCATCGCGTCGAGCTACGCGTACTCGGTGCGTGCCAGTTGTGGCAGTGAAGCACTACCCGCTTACTCCAGTCGACGGTCCGGGGAAATCTGTCCAGCTGTTTACGTGCCAGCTTTCCGATTCGTCGTGTGCTCGAATTTGAAGATACCGAAACCCATTTACCACATCAAGAACTGTCGCGGCGAAAAGTACGATTACGATAGAGTTGAAATCATGTCGGAAGCGGGTGAAAGGTGAGTAGGATTGGCCAGGTTGCGTTTGCTCGTGGGAGCTATTTTACAGCTACCAAGAGCTGTCCTCTTCTTCCTGCGCAATCCTTTTGCGCGCAATTTACTAACAATCATGCCATTACTTAGCCACAAGAGAAGCAAGTCTTCTGCTGCTCTGTCGATGCTGAGGAAGAAGGAGTCGAAAGAGGATGGGAACAATACAAAAGACAGCGACACCAGCACCGATCAGGGCTCGACGTCTTCTCACCACAAACATCTGAGCCTGCATCATCACTCCACCAAAGGCCATAGTTCGAGACCATCAACCGGAACCGCGGGTTTGATGCGATCAACCTCCAATCTCAACGTCCCGCGAAACCCGATGCCTCCTCCAGCAACACCACAAGATAAGGGTGTTTCGATCGAATCATCTGTGAGAAAGTTCAGGGTATTTGAGGCGCTTCGAAATGGGGATACCGCGTCGATTTCAAAGGCAATTCGAGAGTCGGACGGGCACCGCATGAGCACATCGAGTGCAACCGGAGGCGGCTCCTCGGGCGCATTGGAGGATACAACCATTTTGCATCTTGCAATTCAGTGCGCTGAACAGCCTGTGATTGAATATATTTTGTCAGATGGAGCTGGCTCGATCGATATCAATGCGCGTGACAAAGATGGGAATACTGCCTTACATCTGGCGGCGCAGCAAGGACGTGGCCAAGCTGTCAAGTTGCTTTTGGAACAGGATGGAATCAACGACTCCATAGCAAATTATCAGGGACGTCTACCACTTGACCTTGCACGGACACCCGATATTTTCCAAGAATTACAGCTGTCGCGATCTATTTTCATCGACGGGAAGGTTAGACAAGTCCAAGCATTGGTTCAGCAGGGAGACTACGTGAGACTGGGGGAAGTCCTGGAAGAGCCACGTGTGAAAACGGTATTGGATATCAATGGTGGAGAATTTTGTTCGGATATTACCACGGTTCAATCTGGCGGTACTCTGCTTCATGAGGCTGCGAGAAAGAAGAATATCGCACTAATTCAAGTATTGCTACTTCATGGGGCGGATCCCTTCCGTCGCGATCGGAGAGGAAAGCTGGCGCAGGATGTTACCAAGGATGATCACACGAGATCAATCTTGAAAAAGTCGCCAGCGGCCGTAGCAGCTCAGCGCGGTATTCAGGAAAAGGCCGTTTTGGGAACTGCGTCACAACAACTATCCAGTGCGCCACCTGGCGATGCTCTTGCCGGCAAAGAAGGTCGAGAAATGAAAGGTTATCTGAAGAAGTGGACCAATTATCGAAAAGGTTTCCAGCTTCGATGGTTTGTTCTAGAGGATGGCATTCTGAGTTACTCAAAACACCAAGATGACGCTGGTTCCGCATGTCGAGGAGCGATAAATATGCGTATCGCGCGACTCAACATGGATCCTTCTGAAAAGACAAAATTTGACATTATCGGCAAGTCTTCAGTCAAATATCATCTCAAGGCGAACCATGAAGTGGAAGCAAAGAGATGGTTTTGGGCTCTGAACAACTCGATACAATGGACCAAGGATCAAGCCAAGGAAGAAGAAAAGCAGAGGCAGAGATCAGAAGAGCTCCTCAGACAAGCCAAAGCTGAGCACACGAACAATCCATCTATCCGAGAAACTTCCACCGCAGACCTCGTACCACCTGGAAGCGATACTGCCAGCATAGGCGATGGGCGAAGAAGCAGTTTTCAAGCTGGTCGACTAATAGCACAGGCTACAAAGAATAGCAGTACTAGCAAAGTCGCGTTCAATACGTCCGGAAGCGTTGCTGACGATGACGAAGGCACGGCTTACGGATCATATGAGCCGAGCTACATGGGTGAAGTTTCTCGCGTTCCAAGTCACATGGGTCCGGGGGGAGATGGCGACGATGATGATGATTATGATGGTTCAAGTGATCGTGAAGCACCGGCCACGAAAGACGCGTTTGACATCACCGCAACTTCAGCGAAACTTCAATTAGAGATGATGGAGCAGGTGCACGCTGCCTTGCAAATCGCGCAAACGAAGAATCCCACACTGACAATTTCTGACACGATAGCCGTACAAGCCATGCAAACATATGATTCATCTATTCGCAACCTTAAAGTGTTAATTTCAGATCTTCTGAAGATATCCAAAGACAGAGATGGCTATTGGCAGTCTAGGCTTGATCGTGAACAAGATATGCGCCGCATGTGGGAGGATAGCATGGCTCAAGTGGCAAAGGAGCAAGAAATTCTCGAAGCCAGAGTTGGTGAAGCCGAAGAAAAGCGTAGGATCACCAAGAGAGCGTTACGTGAAGTTATTGAAGGCAATGTTCCAGTCACTAGCCGACCTGTCAGCCGTGGCGGAGACGGTGCAGACGAAGGGGTCTTTGGTGATTCATTTGAGTCCCCTGATGTTGCAGCGGAGAATGTTGCCAGTAGTGGGCTAAGTCGAAGATCTACTGCGAAGAGCTCGCTACGACGCAAATCCATCATGGCAGAAATCAAAAATCTATCGGACACTGAGTCTGAGGAGGATGACGATGAGTTTTTCGATGCCGTAGACGCAGGTGAGGTTGAGGTTGCTCCGATGGTAGAGAACCCACCCGAGTACAATGAGAAGGCGGGGACTGGTGAGACACTGGAAAAGAGTGGGTTGGATCTTGCACCGTCTTTCAGGGGCTATGAAGACGGCATTCGAAAGAGACTCAAGATGGATGCTGATGATAGGCCCAAGATCTCGTTATGGGTACGTGATGTTCTCTCCACCATGAAATTCATTGATGACTGACTTCTGTTTAGGGTATCTTAAAATCTATGATTGGCAAGGATATGACGAAAATGACTCTGCCGGTCTCTTTCAACGAGCCTACTTCTCTACTTCAACGATGCGCAGAAGACATGGAATACGCGGATCTTCTCGACATTGCTGCAAGCCGCCAAGACTCCATGGAACGTATGGTATATGTTGCCGCTTTCGCTGCAAGTGAATATGCTTCTACGATTGGACGTGTCGCAAAGCCTTTCAATCCTCTTTTGGGAGAGACTTTCGAATATGCCCGACCGGACAAGAATTATCGCTTTTTCATCGAGCAAGTTAGTCATCATCCTCCTGTTGGTGCTGCTTGGGCGGAGTCACCGAGATGGACATACTGGGGGGAATCGGCTGTCAAATCCAAATTCTACGGAAAATCTTTCGATATCAATCCCCTGGGGACATGGTTCTTGAGACTTCGTCCTGATGGGTCTGGCAAGGAGGAGCTATACACCTGGAAGAAAGTGACATCATCTGTCATTGGCATTATCACTGGCTCGCCGACAGTCGATAATTACGGCCCAATGGAAGTTAAAAACTGGACGACAGGAGAGGTTTGCGTGATTGATTTTAAGGCTCGAGGCTGGAAAGCATCGAGTGCATATCAAATATCAGGTCGCGTTAATGATGCCGATGGAAAACCACGATACAGTATTGGCGGCCGCTGGAACAAGAAAATATACGCACGTCTCACCCCGGGATTCGAAGCTACGCCAGAAGAACCTAAAGCTGGCCAACAAAACCACCGCGGTAGCGTTTCCGATCCAACTCAAGCTTTCCTTGTCTGGGAAGCGAACGCACGCCCAGAAGGTATTCCATTCAACCTTACCCCCTTCGTCGTAACCCTCAACGACTGTAACGACAAACTCAAACCATGGCTTCCGCCTACCGACACGCGTCTCCGCCCCGATCAACGTGCCATGGAAGACGGCCAATATGACCTCGCTGCCACGGAAAAGAACCGGGTCGAAGAGAAACAGCGAGCGACACGTAGGAGAAGAGAGGATGCGGGTGAGGAGTTTGAACCAAAGTGGTTTCACAAGGCGCAGGATCCGACGACTGGGGAGATGTACTGGCAGTTCAATGGGAAGTATTGGGAGGAGCGCGAGAAGGCTGCGAGTGGAGAGGCATGGAGGAATGTTGAGGAGATCTTTTAGATGTAGTGGGGTGGGTGAATTAGATTAGTGTATGCTTTGGTGAGTAGATGTGGTTAGGTGTGAATATATTATATTCCTATGTCTGTCGTCACGTGAAACGTCATCTCGCTAAGTCTTATGCCTCGAAACATTGTCCTTTCCCGACCTCCATCTCCCTGTCACCACTCTCTCCTTTCTCCTGCCTATTTGTCGCTATCCTTCCTCTTATCTTACCTCCTCAACTCCTCGCCACACCCACGACAGACAACTGTCATCTGTCCATCATCTCCCTTCTTTCCTCCTAGCAAATACTCCAAGTCACAAGTCTCGCACCATATCCAGATCGTACGGCGACAGACAGTGCAGATTCTATCTGGTGGCGATGGCGTCGAAAGTTCAGGCGAGGCGCGTGAGTGCATCTTTAGGCATCCGGAACAGTTTACTCTGTCTTCTATGGAAGGACGAGGGATATCTTGGGGAAGACGTCCGCGGTTTCTTAGAGACGGTTGAGCCTGTGGTTGACGTTGAGGTTGACGTTGACGTTGACGTTGACGTTGAGCCTGAGGTTGAAGTTGTGGTTGAGGTTGAGGTTGCGCTTGAGATTGCACTTGTAAAGACCCCCCTATCCCGCTCCGAACCACCATGGCCGTAAAACCCATCCCACGACCCTCCAACTCCTGTGCTAAATCGTTGCCATCCCAAGCCAGTTTCTTGATACTTAGGAGCTGAGATGTCCTGAAATTGCGGATTACTTGTTCAATTTGTACACAACCGGAGATAATGGATTTCAGCTTTTCGTTGCAGGAGTCACACCATGTTGGTTTTGGCTGGTTGATGGAACCGAGGGCGGCGGCGTAGGTGATGGGGGCGTCGCATTTTGGGCAGGTATTTGGGGAGGGTGGATGCTGGGGAGGTTGGGGGTTTGGTGGGTTTGGTTGATGGGAACCTGACATGATGTGTGGTTTTGCTGAGTGGAGTGTATGGTGATGTCTGTAAGTGGGTTGGAGGAATGTGAGATGTGAGATGTACTCAGAGCATAAGTGAGTGTGTCAAGGTTGGAGAAAGTTGTCTTTTTATAATAAGTTACTCCTATTATCCTATCTGGGAGTCATAATCTATCTCAGAATTCTCCTTTCATCTTGTATAGCAAACAACCAGGTCATGTTTTAATATTTATTGACTGATACCTAGTTCTATGTACTATGTCTAAGAATTATCCTTTCTCCTTGCGTAGCAAACAACAAGTCCATTTTGAAATTTAGATCATTGGCTAAGATGTGTGTCCGTTGTTGTTGAGTGAAAGTTTGTGAAATCAGTCAATATTCTTTGACTACCTATATAGTTTTGTCTCTCTTGGTCTCGCTTAGCGACATGATGAGAATTCCCATGTCAATGAATTGTAGAGGAAAGGACAAATGACTGCATATCTGACTTTCAGCTACAAAGACGCTTAGAGATTTTCTACAGATGATTGCTTGTATGACAATTGACTACAAAGACTCTTAGCGTCTGTCTGCAGATATGCCTCAAACTATCATTCAACACTAGATACACAAGACTAATATTAAAGGATGAGCAAAAGAAAATCGAAGCAATTCAATATTTTCGCTATACCTCGGTAGAACATTCAACAAAATAAAATAATTACCTAGGTGCATAAGCGCTTTAAGACTCTTTGTAGTAGCAGGTTATAAGGACGGTCAGTGATATGATTCTTTATATTTCAATAATATCCGAAGCTTTTGTAGAAACTTACGGTGCATGAGCTTACTAAGTCGTTTATCAATAATAAAGAGCCGAAAATTTAGTCATAAGAGTGTATCGTCACCTCGTTGTTTACTGCAGGATCAATGAAAGTGGTGATTCTTTGAGGAAGTGTGACTCTTAGCTAAGAAGGTAAGATGAGAAGGTATATATTTGTAACTATTTTCGCCTTGAGATATGCATCTTCTTTTTTCAGTCTATTTGGCAACAGATACAACTTGCAACATACGACTTCCCATTAGTGAAAGCACAATATGGCAGATTCCAACCGGCCTGACCACCCTGGCCCACCAAATTCACCACCTCCTGTCAACCCACCTGTCGACAGTCTTCTCGAAAATGACATCGCCAACCAGCATTCTGCCAGTCAACCGAGCTCACAAGTCCCATCAGCCGCTCCCGCTCAACTTCCATTTGTTCCATTCTATCACAAATATCCTCCATCTCATGCGCCTCCACAGCCATTTTCCTCGCCCGATCACCAAAACAATTCTAGTCTTTCCGCTCAGGGGAGTTTCGCAATGACGGGTTATGGAGATAACTCTCTGTATGTTCCGCCAGGCAACGGAGGCATGTGGGTGCCAGGAGAATATCCTGCTGTAAATTTGACGGGAGACCCGAGAGGTGATACGCGGGGCATGAATGCCTCCAATGCAGGGCAATGGAATGGGCCATCGGCAGCAGTTCCTTCTCTAGACCATAATTGGAACCAACAACAGCAACAAAGTCTTGTTCCACAACCTCCTCACCACGCACCTCCTTACTCCTACCCCATCCAGCAACCCATTCCTCATTACCCTCAAACCAACAATCCCTATTTTGGCCCTCCACCCCCTCAACAAAATACTCCATATCAGCCTCGACCCTATTCTTTCCAACATGTACCTCAATATGCACCGAATTTTTACCCACCTCCTCACTCCTACCCCATTCAACAACCCAACGCTCATGACCCTCCAACCAATAACCCCCCTTCCCACCCTCCTCCTCAAGACACTACTGCAAACCAATCGCAAAATCTTTCTTCTCAACAACCATCTCAACACGCACCTCCTCCTCTCTCCCAGTCCGTTCAACAACCCAGTGGTCTTAATCCTAAAGCTCTCGATTTCATCCCCCAATCTTCTCAACCTACACACTCGCAAACTAGGATGCATCCTCGAGTACTGCCGACTTCCCAAGCAGACTGTCGACCATGCCAGATCCGATCCCGCAGCGTTAATCCCCCACCTGACCACTCAATACCAACTTGGTGTGGCACCTGCTATAACAGGCTGAATTAGTTCAAATGCCATTGAGACATGATTGAGACAATGATTCGGATGAATATGTATTAGCAATTGAATATTGACTAGTTAATACAGAAACTAGAAGAGGGCCGTTTTGAGGTTACAGCTAGGTTATTTAGAGAAGGAATAATGGGCTGGCCAGAGCTATAAATCTAACTTCAACGACACGTACGGCCTTAAAATCCTTCACATGTTCCACCACCTTCACAAAAGCGCAAGTTTCATACACCTAAGCCATTTCTCCAGAATAGTTCCCCACTTCCGTAGGAGATCCCAAATTTGATAAGCTCTAAGAAGCCTACTATCCATTCGCCCACCAAAACCTTTCTCCGCCGTCACTACTACATGCACCTTTTCCGTTTTGCGAGCGCACGACCATGTTGATATTTGAGGTTTGTCAGAGGAGCATCTTGCCTGGAGAAGCAGCGGAGGAGAAGAGTGTTTGTTGTGGCTGTGTGAGAAAGAGTTGATGAAGTCGCAGGAGGAGCCAGAAGTAAGCTGCGCAGGAGTCTATTTGGATTGATTTCTTCCAATTTAGAGTAGTTCCATTTCTCGATGTTGTCGGCAAAATAGATCATTAAATTCTTCTTCCCTGCAAGTAACTGTGTAACATGTCGGCTTAATCTTTCAATCTTTAACAAAGAGAAACACACTCCTCACCAGCATCATCTCACAACATCCCCATTGTTCTCAACTCGCCAGATAGGGCTCGCTCGTACACATGGTCAGTTGAATACAAGGTTCACAACTTTTTAGATCTTTCCAAGTTATGAACTCCTGTGAACACTGGCTGCATTCACGATGGCACTGCATACACTCATTGCAAAGGTAGATCTTATTAATCCCCTTCGTAACTTGACAATTCTCTTTCACCAGCATCATTCGACTCGTGGGCCACTTTTCTACGCAGTAGCCTCATGCCTCAAGTGCCGTAGCCCAGCTGTAGATACGAGTATCATCTTATGGTGTGCTATCCGCTTGGATTTTTTTCTGGCAGGTAAGAATGTGTCTGGAAATCTCTCAGCTAAAGTCCATCGAATGATTCTCAGACCGTTTCCCCGTTCGGCTCTTCTTCCACCTTTCTCTTGTGAACAGATCGTTTTGTGATCTTGGGTGACAATAATCCGAGTTCTTCGAAAACGATCTGGCACATATGCGCGTCGAAATTTAGGGACTTTTTATCTTTCTCGGCCTAAGCAATTGTGTTCGTTGGTACTTCAACGCCCTACTTATTCTTTTCGGCAAAACCGTGAGAACCGGTTTAGAATTATTTTAAGATCTTCGAGGTGAGACAGGCTTTTTTAAATTTAAGGGGATTTCAAAAGAAGTACTCTTTTGATATTTTGAATAAGCGAACGACGGTAAATACAAAGAAAGGAACGCTCTGGATAAGGGGCTAGAGCCTAGCGTGTTGTTGGCGTTTTCAGGGATTCTCGCTTATCCAGGGGTTGTGGAGACAGTGTCCGCAACGTCAGAATTTTAGCAACTATGATGTTGACCAACAAACAAATTCAGATGGCTGAAGAAATCTAAAAGAAGAACTCAATCGCCTCAAATGCAATAGGTCCTATGTCTAAATCGAAATGTGGGAATACTATGTTCATTTGATTGCCATAGTAACTTACTCACATTACCACGCTTCTCCTGTTATTGAGACATGATTATAATTACAACTAATGCTGCTCACAGACTTCACTTTTCTGCTCATCGTGATATCTAGGCAGATCAACGTTTTCGTCGTCCTGTTCCTTTTTCTCTTTTGTTCCAGTGATGGTGCTTAACTGCATCCCATGCGTCAATATATTTCTCGGGAGTTTGGCCCACCACATTCTTTTTGGTCGCCAGATCAATAACTTCGTTCATTATCTTCGCCGCATTCCCAAAATATCCTTTACGATCATCTCTGGAATGATTGTGCTCTTTCGACATCTCTAACCAACAGAGACAGGAATAATACCCCGAGTCAAGTGCATCATCCGAATCTCTCGGCCCCACAATATTACTCCCGTCCCACACCTGTCGCAGTACTTTCAATGCGTCTTCATATCTCTGATTGTGAAATAGACATTTTCCATACTTCAGCAAATGGCTGTTGGTCTCAGCGCTGGGTGGTTTAGTTTTCTCGAGAAAGACTAGCTGTTCCCAGACCTGTGCGGCCAGCTTAGCTTTATCTCTCTGTTCATGTTGGTGTTCGAGACATTGAGTCAAGCGTAGGCCGTAGGAAAGGAGGGTATCTTCCTCTTTTTTTGAGAGCTGTTTCTTAAGTAGTACTTCATGGGAGAACTTCCATACCTCCGTGAATACGCTCTCAGCCTTCGCCACTTCATTCAGTTGTGATAAAACCTTGCCATAATCAAAGCCGTTCTCTAGTGTCTGAAGGTGGTCAACGCCTTGTAGTTTCTTCCGAGCATCCCAGGAGTCCTTGAGATAGGACCTCGCGCCCTTAACATTAACAGCGCTATCTTTCAAGCTGTTAGTTCGTTCAAGTTGTTTGCCTAACGAGTGCTCCGAGTTGATTGTTTCAAGACTCGTCTTCGATTTCTTCCTTCTCACTTCAACAATCCACTTGCCCACCTTTACAGCACCCTCATAATTTTTATATCCAATATAGGAATCATATAAGTGATCAGCTGCTTCGAGAGTACCTAGATCTTTTGCCCCTTGCTGTGAATTTCGAGTCGTCCATACGGTCTCAAGAACTGATGCAGCCGATTCGTAGTCTTTCGACTTCAAAAGTCGTGTACCGTACTTGAAGCCAATTGCCAAGAGATTGGTTGAAACGAAAGACGCCTCAGCCCTGGCGTTCCATACTGCTTTAAGAACATCGTCAATGCTTCTTTTACTAACCAGTGGCTCGCCCTCCTTCTCTGCCGCTGCAATCAACTTTTCGGCAACTTCGACCATAAGCTTACGCTCAAGGCCTAGTCTTTTACTTCCTTCATCGAAAACCTCCCAATACTTGTCTAGGGCTACCGAGGGTCCGCGTGTCTCTTCGAGTGTACAGCCTAACTGATAGCCGTTCTCAATGGCTCTTGCCGGATCTATCTCTTTTGCCTCCAGCCATATCCGCCTATATTCTACCTTTACATCGTCGTACCTTTTGAGTGACCGCAGAAAAACGCAGTATTGGTAGTGACTTTTCTTCTCATTGGCACTGAATTTGTTCAACTTGGCTCGTCTTTCGTGTGTATCCTTGGCTATCTCCAGCCCCTCTTCATTCTTCTCAAGCTTGCGATACATTTCGGCGAGCTCGTATCGGTTATCGAGATATTCTTCCTCCCACCGAATGAATTCTTCGTCCGCTAGGATTAGTTTGTGAGATTTCATCTGGGCTTTCGCGAAACTGGTAAGCTGTAAATATATTTCTGCTGCTTTGTCCCACTTTTGTTCTGCTCTGAAGCGTTCCACCAGTTCGTTCTTTAATTCTGCTGTTTCTGCGCTGGCTTTGGCTAGTTGCAGCCGACAGCTTGCCAAGTCTTCGATGATACCAACTGGAGTCTTGCAGCTCTCGCAGGCCTCGAGTTTGGACACCTCGCTGGTCATGTCTAGCTTGGGAGAATGTGTCGTTTTTTCGAATTTGGTGTTCTCGAATGCTTGATTCTCTTCAGGTGCAAAGTTTTGAACTTTTCCCTCTGCAATCTTTTCCGTAATCCTGATGACTTCGTTAGATAAATTGACCACTGCATCAACGTCATTCGTGGAATTTCTTGAAGAGAGACTCATATAGAGCCGTGGCGCAATGCTATCCATCTATCAGCAAGTCTTTTCTCTTCTAGATGCAGCGGGCCTAACCTTAACAAAGGATTATCGGAGTACTCATGCTGTAAGTTTGCATCTTGTAGGACTGTTTCTCGCAAGCTAATCACCAGCTGCTTCGTGTACAACTGGAGTTTGACAATAACCAATCGGACCTGTAGTGCACAGTGATCACAGCCACTTCCATGAGTACACTTTCGCAAACCACTGGTCTTTTCTACCAACTGGCAGATGTTGTCTTCGTTCAGAGAGATGCCTCTGAATGTTTCCCTGGGAAACTCTTTCGATACGTGTTCAAGGTCTTGATAGTGGTGATCAAGATCGATCACTACGGCCCAGAGACTGATCGTTTGTTTTTCTTCTTCCTCAGGGATCCAATTGGGCGTGAGACCCTTCTCGAAGAGAATGGTGGCTAGCTCTGCTAGTCGTCTTCTGATGCGTGGGATGTCCATAATTTCTTGTGCAGTAAGGGATTCGAATGTTATCAAAGCAAGACTTTCCTGCAAACCCACTTAAATGTAAGATTGTAAGAAGCTGGAGATATTGCCAAGGAAACTTTGCGGGGAGGCTGTGGGATGTGCCCGCAGAGCCCCGACACATCCTCAATTGGTGTATAGAAGGCTGCAGATGCATGCAGTGGCGTGACGACTTCCTCTTTCAGCTCTCCAGCTGCCACAGATCTCGATCTTTTCTGTCAAAATCACATTGGAAAGAGGACTAACAGCTTCCGTACCCACGTTCAAGTTCGAATTAAGTTACCAAGAACTTGCAGTAAAATGGACGAGAGCTCCCAGTCGTCGTCATTGTATACTCACGCAACGCGGAAAATTTTCAGCTCGGAGCCTGATCCAGGAGCAATATTGGAAGTAACCCTGGGTTTCTTTTAGCACTGCCTCAACTCAGAAAGTCGAAGAGAGTTCCGCCCTGCGAGCCCTCTGTTCTCCGTCAGCAAAGCCTTTCCAATTCATATTATACACTGGCCACCGGACTACGATAACCAGCGAAGCCGCACCATATGGATGTTTTGCATGCGATAAAAGGATCGGTCTCGACGTAGGCTGTTTAATTCGGTGTGCGTGTGATGCTGACTGCTACGTTGGTGTCAGCCTGCTTTCTGGTCACAGTATCGGCATGTCGCTTATAGTATAGAAATATGGTGCAATAGCTTAACAGCGCCACAATCGTGCACGTCGTATTCTTCATATTCCCTATAAGTTACCATAGTGAAGGTGATAGATATGGTGCCACTATATTGTTGAAAGAACGAGATTCTCTCATTTTTTCTTTGGCTCCTTTCCCACAACTTTTAGCAGGGCTGAGCAGAGCCTCGCAGGTAAGTCTTCTTCAGAAACTCACTCAAAGCTTGGCTGTTGCTGGCAATGCAGTGTCACCTCAACAAGGCTGCGTCCAAGTGGCAGCCATACTGAAGAGTTTAAACCCTCTGAAGCGGCGCCCAGTGTAGGGTATTCTCATTTTCGACCTGCAAAATCCTAATTTACAAGTCACTGTTCAAGAGAATGTCAAACACTGTGGAATTGTGCGATAGGACCCCTGATATTGAGGCTCAGAGAGCTTCGCACGCGACACAAGGTGGTACCGCTAGCGTTGAACCCGCAAGACGAAGCGACATCGACGATTCTCAAAAAGTGCTTGATCAGTTCAGTCAAATCGTGTCCACGACAACTGTATCGCTCATGTCAGACTTTGAAAACACCCAGAAAAGATTAGGCGTTCTGCTTTTTCTTGATTATGACCGAAACACCCAAGAAATCAATCGAGTCTATAGCACACTGTTGACTAGTCGTGTTCCTCCCTCGAGCAGGACTGACATTGGAATTGCTACCGAGCTATATTGTGAGTAGAACGTGAACGAGAAACGAGCACTTTTCTAACATTTGATCGCCTAGTGAAAAGCAAAAAGGCATATGATGACCATGTTGCTAGATCCGTTTGTCTCAATGAGACGGATGATAACATTGAAGCCTCGCAGCCGATAATTTCGTCAAACCCTTGGGCCAATGACTGCGGAGAACCAGTCAAGACTACGAGTAATCCATCACGGCGTTCTGATACACTGCGCTTCTCGACACCACAAAGCTCGAATGGCAAGAGCGATCCTAGAGATGAATACGATGGATATATCTGCAAAGTTTCGGCTGCGATCATGGGTTTAGATAAGATAGACGATCTAAGTATGGAAACTCTCCGAGCAGTCCTCGATCTCAACCGTCATGAAACCGAAGAATTTGCGAGTAATCAAAATGCGTCCAACCCTCTAGAACTGGCTATACAATTATTACCTTCTGCTTCGCAATCCTCAAGTTTCAACCACAAACAGCTAAAGACCGGGCGCTCACACCAGAAACACGAATTGTACACGTATGAGGAGCGTCTCTCCTTTGCTGTTGTCGGCGGACTTGCAATTTTAACTCCCATGACTGTTATGTCAATTCTCACCTCGCTATTTTTCACCACAGTGACAGCAATAACATCGGTAATGATTTGCGCCTTCCTGTTAGCAATTTTCATGAAAGACTCAAGGCTATCTGAGATACTTGGAGTTACAGCAGCTTATGCAGCCGTTCTTGTTGTGTTTGTTGGAGCGAGTATCGACTCTGAAGATACCGGCAATAAGGTGTGGATCATCTTTTGGCTTGCTGTTGTGGGGCTAGTTATGGGTTTTATGCCTCTGCATAGATGCATTAGAAGATGGTTTTTGCGTTACCTAATGCAACTTCCAGGGATTAAAAGGTGGACTAGATATCTTACGTATTTAGGCGAACGAAGTTAGCAGGACGGTTGATGATATTAAGAGTCATTTCTTTACAAATTTCCTTCTTGTACGGCAATGTTTGCAGGCGTGTACAAACATTAAGTCATGAACTCTTTTATTTTGTGTAACGATAGTGAGACCACGTCGAGTGAATAGCTTGACCTGTGATGATTTGTTGAACGAAGATTAAGAACAGCGCTTCGACTGTTCGTTCCTACATAACGTTGCTTTCCATTCTGACCGAAAAAGATGAGAACTCGAAGATTTCCAATGTATGTTTTTAAACTGCGGTGGATGTTAACTTACTGGGTCTAGAGCCAGCCTTTTATGTCAAACTACCCGCTCCCCCCTCGAGACTCTTCATACATTCTGTACCTTTTCCGACGGTGTTCGAGGATATCCTCAAGTTCTCCGCATGAGTCCCCATTCGCCGTCACGAACTTATAATTGGTGGCGACATCCATAGCCGCTGCAATTTTACACATTTTTTCTCTGCAAGGCTCACATTCCGGATAGTCATCGTCTTCTAGGTCGCCGCTCATGAACTGCAGAGCGCAACGCCTACACTCGTGCAACTCATCCTCGCATTCGTCGCAGATGTACACCTCATGTTACTCGTGAATCACCTTCACTTCCTCCATTTCGGAAAGAGGGTGGATTTCAGAGCAATTCCAGCATTCCTCTTCGTCGTCTTCGCTATCTCGACCCACATCTTCACGAAGTGAGAGGTCGTCTTTCCCCAAGGTGGATGGCACGCCTGTTTCTTTTCCTCCACCCGTAGCAACATCAAATACTGATTTGTTCACACCGGAACTCCCAGTAAGGTTGCCTGTTGTCTCTTGTCTTCCGACTACTTCATCGAGAGCCTTTTCGTGTTCAGACGTTGGGAGAGTGTTCCCCTCGGCAGCTTGCTGAAAGCCCAGCTCTTCAAAGATCATTGTACCATCTTCACCGCCGAACCCCATCTCCACTAACTCGCGTTTTAATTCAAATAGAGTATCGTCATCAATCTGCGCGAAACGCTTAGTTTGTGCTGGCACGATCTCCCGATTCATCTTCGCTGCCAGGACTGCTTGACAAACAGTTTTGAGAAGCATCTCAAGTTTCATAACTCGGTTGCGATCCATGATTGTCGTTTTGCCACTATGCAAACGTTCGACTTAGAGAGAATATTATATAACTCGAAACACGGAAGTCGTGTTTTGAAACGCGTCAGCAGTTTCTAGCGCGCCATTTTGGCGTTTTTGTGGATCTCGGTAGAGCCTGTATTTTCGGTTTTGTTGCACATCGCACACGTGAGAAAACTCGAGCGAGCCCCTTTCGCCTAAAAGGCTTTCCCCGACGACATACAACAAATTCACTTGGACCCGGTCATCTATTACACTATTTACTTGATTTCATTTTTAATTTAAATAAAGCGCATACCCTTCAGCTTGTTCATCAAGCTTCCAAATGAGTCGGAATCCCCCGCAAGGAGACCATTTTGGAAAAGACGAGCGGAATAATATGGATCCACGGCTTTTTACTCAAAATTGTGAAAGTAAAGACTAACAATGGACATCTGGGGGCTGCCACATTCTCGGCAATTTAAAAAAGAGAATATCTGTAGTGTGGTATCGACATCAACGTCTCCGTACCGAAATGGTCTGATACTCGTGGGTAGAACTGGGCTAATTCTACTGTTTCTGGTCTGCAGACCCTTTCTTCAGAGAGGAACATCAAGCACAAGAAAGAGGTTTAAAGTAAATCACTTAGGGCTCCGATTGAGGTAGATTGTTCGCATGAAAAATCCATCTAAATTGTTCTTTCCATTGACGAAGAGCTAATAAGCGGTGAGATAGGAACTGAGTAAAGCCGGCCCTTTGGATCCTCCCAAAATTGCATGATTCTTGATCACAACACTCAAAACACGCCCTACTCAACACTTTACGACCCTTCAACTTATGGTGTGACAATAGAACTCTCACGGGATGAAGCCCCTCCTTTACTGATCGATGACTGGTCCCTCTCCATGTTCTTGTTGGTTCCTTCAGTCCGTTGTGAAGTGTGAAGTCCACGTTGTGTAGAATGCACCGAATGCAATGACATCGCACTTCGCATACTGGCGAGCACTTTCTCTGTCGGGATTTTCTTTCTTAGCCACCACAGGGTAGGCAGATTGACAGCAATAAGCGCGAATCCCGCCTCCAATATCCACATGAAAGTCTGGGTAGTGTTGGTCCCGGATTTGTCCCGAACATGTTTCTGGATAATTTTCGTAGTGATTATAAGTCGCGCAACAACTGCTCCAAGCGAGACGAATGCAGTGAAGAAGACGAACAACACCGCCATTCGCCTTTGAAATGATGCTTGGAGACGTAATACCAGTGGAACAGGTATCCAGATAATAGCAGTTTCGATCACAAGATCTGAGATACAAAACCCCAAGATGAACTTGGGTCCAATTGTACAGTGCGCAGCACGAACTTTTGCAGGAGCAGACCAGACACTCAGATCTGGCCCGCATTGCAGTGGTGGTATAATGATAAAAGCTGCCATCCACAGACTGATGATTGCAATGGTTGAGTATATAACAGCGCGCAAAGTTTTGGTCCCTCCAGGGACGCAGAAAACTCGTCGAAAGAAGAGCAACGCGCTGATACGCGTGAAGCCTAAGGATGCAGTAGAAAGGATATCGAGGGAGACAACGAGGGAAGCTTGTATGCTGAAAGGTAGCTTCTTCGCCGCGATTTGAGCATCTGTATGTCCAAATTGTTCAAGATTGACCCCGAGAAGCGCACATGCTATCATTCCCACGAACGTCAAATATCCTGGAATGATCAACCAATCATCTGCCCCAAAGTACGTGCGTTGTGAGCGCCGAGCGTAGAAACGTAGAGCGACAGTAATAGTCGTAACCCCAAGCAGCGCACCTGAAAGGGCTTGAAGCCCATACGTAGACGTCGTCGACATGTTTGTTATCCCTTACTTACCGAGCTCATTCTCCACTGTACAGTAGAAGAATATATAAAGACATAAGCCAAGACAACGTGGACTCCACATGCTTCCCCAGACTTCGGGAACGGCTGATATCACGAATTGCAACCGCCTATCAACCGCAACATCAAAAAATGAAATCCGATAGTGTGCATTATCTCTCAACCGGGTCCGGCAGAATTAATTCCTCGTGGGGCAATAATCTACCCGTATTACTTGAAGCGAGGGGTGGTCGTACAGAGTACTATTAACCGGTGCAGAGCGCATGAAGTACAACGTGCGTGATAGCCAATTAGGTTTTGAGTCGCGATTTTGTCGGAACGATAACGTTCTAGAACTCGAGCTGAAAGGAATAGAACATCTGAACTAGACGTTTGGTATGCACCCAAGAAAACGCGACTGTATATAATTGGTCGACAGTACATATTGGGTTATTGCCGGCGAGACAACCGGTGCTAATCTTGGTGTGACTACTTCAACTACTCATGCAATGCAATGTGTACTTAACATTTTTCAGAACCCTAAATCATCCAAGTTTTGTTATTGGGAGATATCCGATGATATAAGTCCGTCTGAAACGGACAATTTTCTTGTCGCGTTTTCTTAGTCCACATTTTAATTTATCCTCACGCAGTATGTAGGCAGAATTTCGAATGTGCCTAGAATTATGAGTGGTACATAGCTTGGGAAATTGAGGTTATTGGCATGAATGAGTCTTGGGGAAGATAGCAATGATGGAGTGGTGGGTGGATATATACTTGATGTGATCCGTGGCGAGAAATGGAATTTTCATCATTCGACGCAATTCAAAAATCACAAATCTCTCGTTCAGCAGTTCATTTCATAGGGCATTTTTAGCCAATTACAAACATCAAACCAACAGTCAACATCACAGTTCACTACTTCAGACCTCTATCACAACATCTCATCTCCATCCACAATGAAGTTCCTCAACATCACCATCCTCATGTCCGCAGCATTGACTGCAGCGCTACCTGTACTAGTTGTTGACAAACGTTCGTGAACTCCCTATCATTGATCCAGGACTACACTGATACCTTATAGCTGTGGTCAAAGTGGAAAGCTTGACTGCTCTGATGGAAATCAGACGCGATGATTAAAATTTGATTTGGAGATATTCTGATGGGCTGCGAAAGAAGTTGTTCAAATGGGGTACAGGAGTTCTCTGGGTCATGGGAGACTGAAGGTTTTGTGACTTTGTTGATTTTTTGGTTTCTTTATTTCGCTTGAGGTGTTTGGAATTTGATGTCCCGAAGGTACTAAAGCTTGTTGGCATAAGGGCAAAACAATCTTTGTTTGAAAATCTGTTATGGAATTTTTATTTGGATTTATCGAAGTGTCTACGATTTTAAGACGAAGTTACATTCCTTCCTTCATAGAGATTTTATTGGCCCGTGGGGTTCAAAGTCAGATTACTCGCTTTTTTCAAGGCATTCATGGTCAAGCCGATCAACCTTTCCTGTAAAGAAAAAGAACCGTTCCAAATATCTTTGACTTTTGTGACTCATTGTATTGAATCAAGGAAATTTCCATAAGACCTATGTTTTTACCTCGACGGCGGAGCCAAACAGCGGCGAATGCTGAGTGACTCGAGTCCAGAAGGAGCCGCTGATAAAATATCCGAGTTTTCCAAACCGAAATCCCAGAGCTATGCAGTTCTACATAGATAAAATCCGACGTATGGTTCAAATATAAAAACACGTTTAAATATATCACTGAAGGTTGAAATGTTTTTATTGTCTTTCCAGTAGACGGAGTGAGTGAAAGGATGCATCCGAATTTGGTCCTCAATAATTCATAAACGTGCATTGTAATATCATAGGCGACTCTTGCCAAATCAACTCGAAGATTCTACATCCCTTTCTCCTTCAAGCCCAAGGCTCACTCCCATCCGGGCAACTTTTATACCTATCCTTCTCGGTAAATCCTGGCACATCATCAGGGACCCAGCGATAACAGGCCGAGTTCTCTGTGGCCCAGTCCATCAACTTATTCCAATCCCTACACATTCTGGGCTGACCTACCCCGCCAAACGGTTCTTCCTCATTAGCTTGATCATGCAAGCGTCCAGTGTACCGAGGCGTATCATCTGCATGGCACATGACAAACTGTCGTAGCCCATCGAGACAGTGTCTAAGATGTCTCAAGCTTACACTTAGGGGTTTTCCACTGTGAGCTTCGAGTACTGTTCTGCGCATGTATTTCTGCCCATTCATTAACATTGCTGTAATTTAGGTCGTGATATTCAAAGAGAACATGCTGAGATGAAACTTACCACACAATGCAAAGCATGCAACCCTTCAATGAAGTAAATCCCCTTCGATTTATCCCATGGCCATCGTTGAGCCGATAGCAATCCAACCGATTGTGTGAAAGTATCAGGTAAAGCGACAATTCCTTCACGAACCTGGAAGCCTCGTGGGTCGTTCCAAGCAGATTCTTCTTCCGTACTATTGTCACTATACCATGGACTGTCATGTGTCCACTTGATCGGAATGTTGCGTTGTAAATGTGCTACAGAATTATGTTAGCATACATCTATAACTTTTGGGGACAGAGTTACCAAAAGGCGTTTCCGACGACTCTTCGGCTGTTGGAAGTCCTTGAGATTGTATGTAATGAAAGAAGTTCAAAGTCAAAGAACCTAAAAGAAACAAGGAAAGCGTGTATGGTATCCAACTGCGCACTGGTCTTGGAAGTGAGATCGATGTTTGTTCTTCGCCATCCTTATCGGACTGCTCTAAGAGTCTGTAATCCGTCATTCTTGGTTTCTTAATAACAGATTTCGAACATAGAATTCGACCCCAACTCTGCAAAACGAAGTCACTCAAGGGCCAGCCAGAACAGATAGAACTGAAGTAAAGCACCAAGTGAAGCAGAAGTATCCAGATAGGCCGAGGCTTACGCATCCAAGACACGAACATTCAACTTCCTACACCAAATATCATTCTTACTTTGGTAATACCAAACGTGAGTTGTGCGAGGTAGAATAAGCATAGAAAATGCTGGGGTGTTGAATATAGCCGACCATATGCATATGCAAGATGCGGGTCAACACGCTGCATGCACTTGCCCTAAATCTTTCTTATCTCCCTCTCAGCCCCTCATATCGACCCTTGTAGCCGGATTTGGCGTCATGAGTTTGTGCTAGATGCCTCCGGACACGACGTCAAAACGTGCAGTATAGGTTTTCCAATGCAGAAAGCCAACTCACGCGTGGTGCAACAGCATTTCTCACCATATATTCTTCCGATATGCTTGGCAGGGCGTTGTGCCACGATGCACAACTTCTTGTTCCTCTTGGCCTGCATCTGATCCGTAAGGTAGAGAGTGTGAACAGAATTCGAGGCTGATAACTCTTGTCGGAAATGTGGGTCGACATACAGTTGAACTCCTTGTCCCACATGCTATATCTCCAGAATTCACGGACATTTCTTTTCTAATTTCGACCACCTACTGCCTTATCAATACTGTGCAGACAAAAGGTGATTCAACAGGCTTTGTCTTGGCATTTTCTACACCATCCACCAATGTATCCTGTTTTCGTGGCTGTAGCATCGGCTGCAGCTTGCATTCTCATAACGCTATTATGGCAAAAATGTACAGATTTTGTCGCCTTCAACATCAAGAGACGACAGACGGGCTGCTTCAGAGCAAAGTTGTATCCGCACACAGACAGATTATGGGGTTCCGATCTGGTCAAACAACGACAACAGGCTACGAAGAACGGGAACTTACAAGCCTTGTATACTCGGCATTTCAAGATGTTGGCTAAAACTTGGGAAGAAGTCTTTTGGAACCAACGTGTGATAAATACGATGGATACTGCAAACTTGCAATACGTTCATGTATTCGGATTTGAAGATTTTGGGAAACCAAATCATAGAATGAAGATCAGTGCTCCTATTTTAGGGAACGGAATATTTGTTGCCGAAGGCGCTCGTTGGAAACATTCCAGGAGTATCATAAAACCCATATTCGCAAGAGCGGAGCTTGAGAACATATCATCAATGGCAAAGCATGTTGACCGTTTTCTAAACCTCTTACCACAGAATTCTGAAACCTTTGATATTCAACCTATGTTGAAGAAGATGGTAAGTCAGTTTCAATGACATTGATATTGGGATTAACGAAAGTGACACATCAGGTTCTCGATATTTCAACGGACTTTTTGTTCGGTGAGTCCATAGATGCTCAGACACCTGAAGGAGGTCCGGCCGCCGAGCGATTTCTCCAAGCCTTAGACGAGAGCTTAGCAGGTTGGCACAAACGACGTTTGGCTGGACTTGGTTCTGTGCGCTATATTTTTGACAAATCTTGGTCTAGTGCATATAAACAACTCTACGCTTTCATTGATGCACACGTTAACCGGGCGCTCGAGCTCGTCTCATCCCCCCAAAGCGACAAAAACTCAACGGATCCAGTGGAAAATAGTTCTGAGAAATATATTCTCCTATATGAGATGGCAAAAGAGATCCGCGATCCAATACGTCTTCGCTTCGAGCTTATCAATGTTTTTCTACCAAGCCGCGACACTACCGCTGCGCTTCTTGCCAACACTCTCTTTCAGCTCGCTCGGCATCCTGAATATTGGAAACAGCTCAGAAAAACAGCATTATCGCTTCCATTTGATCCAACTGACCATAAGCAATTATCCTTCTCGACCCTGAAGTCTCTCACCCCGTTTCGCTATGTGATTCAAGAAACATTCCGCACCATCGGCCCAGTGGGACGAGTTTTCCGGGCGGCACGCAAAGATACGATGTTACCGCGCGGAGGAGGACCAGACGGAAAGTCTCCAGTCTTCGTAGCAAAGGGAACGACAATCTGCTCACTCCCATATCACATTCACCACGACAAAGACATCTGGGGAGATGATGCTGATGACTTTCGTCCTGAGCGTTGGGCAGAGGGGAACAGGAAAAGCTGGGAGTATGTGCCTTTTCTAGGTGGCCCAAGAATTTGTCCCGCACAACAGCAAGTCCTGTCGCAGGCGACGTATATACTGTTGAGGCTGGTGCTGGAGTTTGAGTGGATTGAGAATAAGGACGAGGTAGTAGAATACGTGGAGTTGCAAAGAATGGCGATTGAGAGCCGAAGAGGTGTTATAATTGCTTTGGGGCCAGCAAAAGATTGCCGTACTTAAATTATGTAAACTCTATCATAATAGGGATAATTCTATCGTAGAGGACCTGTGAGTACCATGAAATGGATTACACCCTCTGTGTGCAGATTCATACTTGATAGTGCAGTTCTTATAATGAGAAGGCCGGCTTGAGATAGGTTTATAAAACTTGGTTTGGAATAATATCAATTAACACAGTCGGCTGAGATAGCCCACTTAAATTTAGAAAGGGTATATTGAATCGCTGAATCACGAACTTCTCTCTTTAAAAAACCCCTCAACCCGATGCAAGAGCGAGTTGATTCCACTCCCGTTATCTCCGACATGAGATCCTGTCGGTCCAATCACTGAAATGAGACATTTCTCACCACCCACCATTTTCGTGATCCTAATCACACACCCAGTCTCTTTCTCCCATTCTTTCACTTTCGGAATCTCAGCCAATGAGTATCCGTGTTCTTTGCTCCCTCTCGGTATGTTTCTCAAATCCATAACAAATTGCAGTGTTCGAAAGCGTGCTGCGGAAGGAACACTAGCGGCTTGGTACCAATTTCCAAACTCTTCGTCTCTAAAGTTGTCGATGAGCTTGCGCATTTCCGACCTCAATTGGCCTCTTGGGAGTGATAAGAGATACTGACCGCCCGACGTATCAGAGGGAGACGTGAGGAGCTTGACCGTGTTTCTGGCAAGAATGTCGGGGTGCTTGGAGGCGGCATCGGCACGGAGAGAGCGTATTGCATCAGCAGTAGATTCGGTGAAACATAGGATAAAGTCATAGGTTACAAAATCCTGGTGACATATCTTTAACACAGTTTGGGCTTTGCTTCGGTTGACTATCCTGATGACTTCGTTGGGATAATCATTGGCCCAAGAATATCGCGAAGAATTAGTGATGTTGTGTACTTCGGATGAAGGCACAGAAGCTGGGGGTATTGTTTCATTGACATAGAGTCCCTTGGAATCAACTCGTTTAAATATCCATTCTCCAGTTCCATGGGCCACTCTCGTTCGCGAGATTTCTAGGAATGCCTGCGCAAGAACCGAGATGTCAACAAAGTGTCAGCTAACGTCATTTAGCATTCTCGGTACGGCAGGTACTCACTTCCATGATTCTCATCTACACATAGAATCCTGGAGTATCCCTTGATCCCACTTTTAGACCTTCTCGATGTGCTTGGTGGTCTACATGGTAGTGATGAAGTAGAAAGCCGGCTTTTGGGTGAAGGGGTCTGTTTGGCTGGCTCTCTTGGCGATTCCTCCTTAAGGGAATCATGCGAGGTAGTCCCCACATCTAATATTCTATCAATCTCTCTTTTGAGTGGAAGCAGTTGCTCTCTCGCAGCCTCCCCAGTCACACCTTTGGCTGCCAAATGCTCTTCCATCTGTTTCAAGATAGACTGTGGGTCAAGCTTTGGACTGGCCTTCGGCAGGGAGAGGTCACCCTTGAGAAGCTGCAGGATCTCCTCAAGACTCTGCGATGTCTTCTCTCCATTGTTTTCTAAACTCTTCCGCAATTTCCTTATCTCGTCTTGTTGTCTCAAACTAGACTTTGTTTGATTCTCGTTAATTTGATACAGTACAGAGCTTTGACCTTTTTGTCGCCTCGAGATGATAAGATTTAATATCACAATAATATTTATACGATGACCCGTGAACTTTTCGCGCAAGTCATCAAACCGATTCTTATCAAGCGTTGCATAGCGGACTTTGTCAAGAAACTTTGGCGCCGGATTTGTATACGAAGTTAACATTTCTTGAATCTCTCGGACATCGTTCTTGAGTGGTTTCAAACTGCTTCGAATTGTGGAGACCCTTCTTTAACGTTAGCAAATACACGCATCGGTTGTATATTTGACTTAGAGTGATGTTACTCGGTATTCCCGCTTTTAACAAAAAGTCGTTCATCGCCAATCTCATCTCTCAACAACAACACCGTACTCCTCAACATTGACACATCACGCTGTGCAGCCAGCAGAATTTGTTTCGTTTCGCTCGCATTTTTGCAAATTGTTATGATACCATCGAGGATCAAACAAATATCACCTATGCCGACTCCAAACGACATACCGCCTAGTACTTACAACAACCGCATAATTTAATGGGAGAAAAGGTACTAAATACGACGGTAAAGCATAAGTGGGGGTAGGCTGTACAAAAGTCTCTCCGCAAGTAGTGCTTACAGATTTAAGCGAGTTAAGCGAGGGGGTCTGGATGCAACCTAATTGCAGTGCCTCACAATACATGACGTCGAACTGCAGCAGATTTCGCACAGCCTCCGTGAGTAGAAATGGGTACCTATTTTCAGCCTCAATTTGACGTCCATAAATCGATCATCTGTACTTGAGTTCCAGAGTATTTGGGATCCTCGCGCGAAATAACACCCTTACGTGTTGCTAACACGGACCAAAAAGACAAAACAGATGAAAAGAAAAAAGGCCCACGGCCTAATCACAAAATCAAACTTCAAAGATGTGGTAAGTTTTTGAAGTATAGATTGTGTAGAAAGAGTTTCAGATTTAGGAATCGGATTTTCAGTCGCAAGCTGAAATATCCGCATCTGCAGCCTCATTGCTCTAGAAATCAAACCGCATTTGTCCACTCCTCCAAAATCCCATTTACCCTGACTTCGTAATTATCATCTTCACTCCGTCTCCTTTTTTTCTCATTAACATTTTCCCCGTTGACTCTCTCCTCCTTTCCCTCCCCATCTACCGTTTCGTTAACCTTCAAATCCTGTCTCCTCAAAAGAGTCCAACTCTTGAACGGCCTGATCTGGACGACATGCAGATCATTGTTATCAAAATGCACTTCTTCCATCTCTCCTCCTCTATCAAATTCTGTCCACAACCTAACGGTAACATCATACGGACAGGGGCTGATGAATTGTATCCAGGTTGGTTCATACTCAAATCTGATGTTTTGGAGGATCTCGAAGTCGAAGTGGTAGGAGATGGCACGTCCAGCTGTGAGTGGTCCGATGTAGGCGCATATACGCCAGGAACTGAAGCGTGTTAGTGAAAAGAAAAGATGAAGAGAAAAGGATTGGGGGCCAAGAGAAGACTAACATTTGGTGGGCTTGAAGGTATGGTTGACGAATTGACATGGTCAAAGTATAGGCTGCTTGTCTCTCTCGGATAGGTTTAAGGATTTTGGTGAGATCGATGAGTGACGATCAGTTGTTGAAGTTACTGGTACAAGATGAAGTGAAGTGATTTAAATACAGAAAATACACATGAGTTCACAAAGAATAGTATACCGTTGCAGGGCAAATAAAATCAACGTCTTTACTTTACGTTAGAATCTACATAAAGACTTTTATCAGGCCAATCAACTAATGAACTTAAATTCTTCAGCCTGAATTAACAATTGTTAGAAGTTCATTCAATACCACAAAAAAGTCTTGTCTCACTAGCTAACATGTAGTATGCTAGTTTGTATCCACAAATGGAAATAGCGAAGGCCGACAAACAGATTTCTCGTGAACTTCCTCCTTTCATTAATACTTCAACATGTACGTCTAAGAAAGTTTCCAGTGAACAAATAATGTCGTCCTTCCATTATCCAGGTAATTGACTGACTATATTAACACCAGGTGCAAAGCGGGCAATGTTCTTTCATGTACATTTATTGGGCTTCTAACAACTGCGTCGTCCTTGCAAAGTTATTGCGTCTTACACTATGTAATTTGCTTCATGCTTTTATCTCAAACTGATTTTGTATCTCTTTAAAATTCCAACTCGCCTGCCTCACAAAAAATTGTTCAAACAATTACCTACTTTAACAAAGGGATAAGATGTATATTTCTTTAGGCGTAAAATAAGATTGTTAAAACAATTATGCAACAGTTCAAAGGTTAGTACTAGCAAAGCGCTTGGCCCTGTATAATAAAGCCAAAAGAGTATAATATAACTCGCATCATTATACCATCTCTACATTCACGTACCTTATTCATTTCTACGCCTTCATTGAAGCCTATACCTAATTTAGAGGGGAAGAGGTTGAATTAAGCGCCAGCCTACTCGGCAATCTTTCTACTAATTATCGCTTTTATTATTATCTCTTTATTTTTTTCGATCGAGTTAGTATACTAAAACTCCTTTACCTATTCTATGCCTTCCCGTATATATTTGATTACATAATTAGGAGTACATTTTTCTTGGGCTTTCTAATTGTAGTGTGCCACGTGCAAAATGTTCGCAACCATGTTACAAGTAACGGATTGTAATAACTTACTGTTATTTTAAGCACGATAGTGAGAGTTACATGAAGAAGCGTACGGTCAACCAATACATCTGTGCACATCCATGATGCTGAAGGAGAAAGAGAAAGTTAAGAATCGAGCAAAAAAATCAAAAACATACAACAGCAGGTATTCGCTGGTGGTCACCCACCCAACTACTAATCTGCCGATCTAAGGCTTGTGTATGGCAGAGCGGACGGGATGCCCAATTCTCCTTAGTCTGTGGTCGTATGTGAGAGAAATGCTTGATTTGGCATCTATAACCATGAAAACATATTGATGTATGGTGGTTTGTGCGTCCAAGTTCACAATTGGCTCCGAGGAGTTGTCTTCGGGTCCTCGATTCACGACCCTCGTCGCCTAGTCAAACATTCAGATAATCCTCTTATTCACCGCCACACGATCGAATTTGATCCATATTGGTCTAGAAACATTGTTTTGATCCAGCGCAAGTAATTGGTCACAGTGATGTCACCACAGCCACAGCCAAGGCATCATGCATTCCAAGCAGGTTCACGAACATCAATTATTCAGGTCTTTCCCGCAGTGGAGGACTTCCCCGCTCACTTCGAAGTATATAGCGCCTCAAATATATCCTTTGAAGCCTGCGTTCGATCTGCTTATTTATTGCATCGCAAGAAAGCTTAATAGTCTATCTGGGTTTTCTTTCTTCGATCTGTCGCCTAATTGTCTCGCGTTAATACCGCGCTGAGCCATCCTGTCTCAATATGGCATCGCTTCTTGAGAAATTGACTGCTGAGGGCGGCGGGGAATCTGTGCGTAAGTTAAACAGCTAAAACTGCCGTCAAATTATGGCTCTCTTCGGTTTCATGGCGTACGGTCGCTAAAACGTTGAGTATCTAGGCTTCTTGAACGACATCGTCGCGCAGCTATGGCCGCATATCAATGTTGCTGGCTGCAAAATGATAAAAGAAATCGCCGAGCCTATGTTCAAGACAATGCTTCCAGGGCCCCTGGCCAGTCTCCATTTCACTAAGCTAGACCTCGGTCACGTTCCTCTGGAACTCTCCAATTTGCTTGTCACAAAAACCGAGACGGATGGTATCAAGCTCGACTTGAATGTTGACTGGGCGGGCAAATGTGATATTGCGCTAGATGCTTCCATGATTCCTACTGTCGTAAGTTCAATCCTAGCCGTGCTTTTGAAACGTCCGGGATATAACTTACGAATTGAATCACGACATAGGGAGTGAGAGGTGTTGCACTTCACGGCAGACTTTCCGTCCTGCTGGGCCCGTTGACCGACATTATTCCGCTGGTAACAATTATTCTTCCAGTAGCACGATATTTGCGTATTGACGGTGACTACAGATAGGAGCTGCCCAAATCGCCTTTGTGAACCCGCCAGTCTTGAAGCTGGACTTCACCGGGGCAGCCAATGTGGCCGACTCCGACATGATTGACGGAGCAGTACGCTCGGTAATCATGAGTATAATCAACTCTATGTTAGTGCTGCCCAACCGGCTCATGATCAAGTTGGATGCTACAAGCGACTATTTCAAGACACAGATTTACCCGCTTGGTATCCTTCGTCTCACGGTGGAGAAGGCATCGGGATTCGCTGAAGAGAAACAAAGCGCGAGCAAGAGATTCCTATCAAAAATCACTCGCGCTTCCCCCGACACCTATTGCAATGTTAGTGTTGGCGCCGAGACGACATGGCGGACATCGACCAAGAACAACACGACTAATCCATCTTGGAATGAAGTGCATGACTTTGTAGTCACAGACATGAACCAATGCATTACAGTTGACTTAATGGATCATGACGTCGGAAGCGATGACCAGATTGGACTCGCTGTCACTACTGTTAAGGACATTCTCTTGACCGGCGGTAAGCAGGAACTGAGCATGGTGCACAAGGAACAGCCGATAGATGGTAGCGTCTCGCTGTCTTGCAAATTTTACCATTTCGCACCCGATAACAGCAGTTTCTCTGCCTCGGACCACAGCGGTGAGGGACGCCTCTGCGGCATTGCTACCATTATGATAGCCGGCGTGCTCGGTATCCCAGGCAGGCGAGAGGAGCTGAACCCGAGCGTGGTGGTTACTTGGGGCGAGAAGCATCGCTTCCAGACGGCTATGAAAACGGATGCACCAGGGACGGATATCTCAAACCCTTCTTTTGATCAGAGTTTCCGTATTCCATACTCGGCAGATATGGTATCCGGTGGGGGACAGAGCTTCCGCATTGCTCTTATGAATAAAAAGGATGAAGTAGGCTCGATCGATATTCCGCTGTCGGATGTACTGAGCGCGCCAGACATGATTGTTCAAAACAACTTCGGCGTCGGCGGGGGCGCAGCGGTCAGAGCAAGCATAAGCCTTCGTGGTCTCACAGCGGCGGATATTTAATAGCGGGCGAGTTTCTCCGAGCTACAAGTTTGATCATTTTTTAATATGGCAAAGAATGGAGGCTAAATTTGTGAGCGAAAGGGAACAAGGATAATAGGGAAAATCAGACACATATGCCCACCTTGCTTGGCTCTGCCTCGTAGCTTATAAGGCAGCATCTGACTCTTCCAAAAAAAAAAAACACAATTTGAAGAAGATCTTGAATCAAGGATTTCATTTTCCAAAAACTATTGGTTCAGCTACTTAGTAGAGTCTCCTAGATCCGAGGACGAAACTTGCGGATGTTGCTGCGGTGGTTGATGCTAAATTATGATAATTTAGGAAGATACCTTAATTTGCCGGAGTCTATATTGTTTTGTGATGAACATGCTTGAACACAGACGATACATGCTACAGCCGTGTCTAAACGTCACAGAACTCTCATGTGTTTCGAACCGATCTGACTTTAACTTGTCAGATGCTATCGGCTCGAATGAACAAGAGTGATCCTAAGTACAACATGATACTTGAACTCTATAGAGACTCGCTAAAATACATTTCCACCAAAAAGAACTTCAACGGAACACCTCGTTGTGGAAGGGCTTCGGATTGCAAGTCTCGGGTCGAAATGTGGTCCGATTTGTGTACCGTCATCATCCTTGATTACCGTCAACATCTTTGACAAAAAGTGCCCGTGTCTCCTCTCCATCGTGAGATTCTGTTCTCTAACCCGTGTGCAATCCCGCTGCTAGCTTCTATCTGGATAACTCCACTCTCTTGATCGAGATAGGCACGATCCCACCAACTTGTCCATAGCCGTCCAACTATTCTAACAGCCTTCCAAGGATTAATTTGTCATTCGAAGAGAGCCAGCAATAGGGTGAACCAGTAGCGTGGTAGTGGCCGATGTGAAGATGTTTTACAAGACCCAGTAAAGTGGTGCTCGTGAGGCCACTATGTGAGCATGGGGTTCTGAGGTTGTACGGTTCAGGTTAGCCAATCAGCCTTGATATTTGCAGCGATTTTTGAAACATATTTATGGCCGGGCGACTGTCGCCGGGCCATACGGCCAAGCCAAATGATAATGCATGTTGTTCCAAAATGGATATCGGCCATGCGTTTCCCTTGTTGACTTCTTTCGACAAGATTATCTTGATCAACACGGACTCCATCGACTACGACGAACCTAACCAACTGGTCACACCCGCATAGGCAATTCATTTTCGCATAGTGATTTCCCACATCATCTCAAGTTGCGTTTGAGTGACTGTAGCACAAAGGTCGTCCGGGTTTCCATCTTGCGCATCTGAAATCATCTTAAGATAACCTAAGCGGTCTAGGTTGACGAACACTACTGGGAGATATCCTTGACGAATCAGGTAATCAGCCATCAAAACCCTACCAAGTCTGCCGTTTCCATCTAGAAACGGATGAATATGTAAAAAGTAGGTAGACAAGTGAGTCGATAAGATAAGTGGATGAAGAACCTTGCCGGCATGGGTACGGTCGCGCCACTCGATACAGCGATCCATACAGGCAGAAATTTCTTGATGATATGGAAAAATGCGCATTGGGTTGGATTTGACGGAAATAGGTGCTGAGCGGTATTCTCCGATGTGTGTGCGCTTGCCCTAACTGGAAGCATATAAGGTCTCCGCATCAGTTCCTCGAAGAATCATCATGGAAAGTTGTTTTATATCGGCAACGGAGAGTCTAGTTGTAACGGGATTATTAAGAGCTACTCCGGTTGTGTAACGGCTAACAAAAATATGATTTCGGAGCTCGGCGACGTGGTTCGCGTTCTTTCCCGGTAGAAGGTTTTCTGGGGTAGGTAAAGCAAGTTTTGAGACTTCAGAAGTTGACATTGCACCCAGAGAATCGATATTGCTGAACAGTTGTTTCTCAAGTTCGTCGAAGATGACTACTGCGTCGCCGGCATGAAGAGGGTTCTGTTCAAGAGATGTGCTTTGATGAGCATATTCAGGAACCAAAGCTCGGACAATAGTTGCATAGGCCTTATCATTCTCTCGATAGAATTCTTTTAGCTCATCGATTGAAGCCAAAGTTTGCTTCAAGTCTGATTGAGCTTGCAGATAAGGTTCGATGTTTCCAGGCCGAAAGAAATTTTCCCAAACTCTGCCAGATCTTGCTAAATCCTCATATTCTGATGATCCCTTTTCGAGATTTGCGAATGCTGGACGGTAGACAGAGTTGAGCAAGTCGACACGTGGGCTTAGTAGTATAGCACCGTACAGTTTGTAAGTCGATACAAGAAGTAGAATTTGCTGAGGCTCTCCGCAGTATTTGGCGAAAACGTTGCGCGAACATGGCGAATGTCGTTTGCTTAAGGCGTTGTTGTATTAAAGCAAGAAGTGAAAAAAATAAATCATAATTCATCGTTAAACTATCAGGAAGTAAGTATGACGCCAACCATGCTAAAAAGCTTACTACAGTAGCTCGCCTTGCCTAATCGGTAGTGGCTGCTAGCACCAGCGCCCGTGATCATTTTGTCAAGCTTAAAAAGATTTTTTATTATCAACTCTACTTAAATAGTAGTAACTTGGCAATGTTAAGTGTAATGTCCCTGTCTTTGAAATTTTTACACATATTTTCCCCTATACCGCGAACCTTAACCTAGATGCAAGAAACGAAACTCCGCAGAAAACAGAGGTCTAAACATCAAGTTTCGGCGGTGTTGCGATTGTATCGATTGAAATAAGAGCAAATGGCACCTATCCACAGCCTTCAAAATCGACGCCTACGTCGTAGAAACGGCAAGACTTCAGCAAGATTTTGGATAATCGACAGATCCCTTGCGTTGACCGTAATTCTAGTAAGATTCTCCTTTGAGCTCCAAGCGTAGGAACGCACTTCGAAATCCATGGACTCTCCTCGTTAATTTGCTCTATTTGAAGTTGCATACCTAAAGGAGTTTCGATGACCGTCTCCCCGAGTCCCCGGTTAGAATACGAATTTCGTGACGTCTCTCGTTCAAGAAAAGATAGTGAGATTGGGCCATTTTGGAATTCAAATAATACCAGTAGAGGGCCAAGAAAGAAAACAAAGGACGTCTAGGAAACTGGATTCAAAAATGTTGAAATTTGTCGAGAGAGCATAACTTTGCGATCATTCCTTCCACTTTTGGGATGTTTCAGCTGTGTTGGCAGTCACGTGACTAGTCTTGGCTTTGTTGGTCGTTTACCCTTCGCGTTTCTGTCTTTTCCATTGCTACCTCGTCTCTGTCTTTGCATTGTCCCAGTACACCATTAATATATGGTATATCAGTGCATTTGGCCTATGCCTGGGTATTTCTTTTGCATCCCGCATGCAGCTGCTTCCAACTAATAGCAAAGTCAAAAATTCCGCGATGGAGAATTGTGGTCTGTGCTGGAAGTGCCAGAGTCTTTTGAACACCCAGTATCCTAAGGATCTTGTCATTGATAACACTGACGAATACGGAGACGTGACAGATAAGAGAATTGTCCGAATATTAAAAACACGCGAGTCTGTGGAGATTACCGCTTCCAATGGGTGTCTCCTCTGTTTACACATATTGCACGCTTTGGGCATACCGGCAAGAAACGCTTTACACCAGCTGACAAGTGTAAACGACGAAGCTTCTCCTCATGATATTGTTTACGAAATGGATATATTTATCGGAGATGAGAGGGATCCTCCAAGTATTGGACTGTATGTGGATCCCGACAATCTAGATCTTGGGTGGAATCCCGGGAGCGAAATCAGGTGCTCATTGAAGCTGTACCCAGAAGCTGGTAAGGATTGAGAATGCCAACTAACCGAGTGATGCTATTTTAACAGAATTTCCAGAAATGACACCTTATGCCAACCATGGAGAAGTCAATGCCAGTACAGGTTCAGACACGAGCTTATCCTTAGCCGCAGCCTGGCTGGAGAAGTGTTCAAACGACCACGAATCATGTAACCGGTCAACATCTGTAACAGCTTTCCTTCCTTCGCGTGTCATCGACCTTGGATCAGGAGAGCCGAGGTTGATAGTAGTTGACGAAAATACGCCACTTTTGCCATTTGCTACTATGAGCCATTGCTGGGGTTCTAATGCGCCTCTGCTATTACTATCCAGTAAGATTGCCGAATTTCAGACGCAGATACCAACGTCGGAGCTGTCCAAATCATTTCAGGATGCTTTTATAGTCACCCGACGACTTGGTTTGAGATATATCTGGATAGACAGTTTATGCATCATTCAAGATTCGGCCGAAGATTGGGAAAAGGAGTCTCAATCCATGGCCGAAGTCTACTCGCATTCCCATTGCAACATCGCGGCCGCACATGCCACTGATGGGACACAAGGGTGTTTCATCGAGAGGAATCCCGATTTAGTCAAGCCGTTGAAAGTCGAGCTTAACTGGGGCCCAAATCCAGGGACTTATTACGCATTGCCATGGCGCTACTGGACTCATAATGTTATGGCCATGCCCTTGCATAGACGGGCCTGGGTGTGCCAAGAGCGATACTTGGCACCCCGAAATTTGTACTTCGGAGAGACGCAGATTTATTGGGAGTGTTGTAGACGAATTGGAAGCGAAACATTTCCCTTAGGGGTACCAGGTAGAGTTGCAGGGTCATCCAAGGACCTTGACCCAAGGACAAATGGTGCTATCAGAAGAAAGTCGATGGGACTATCCGAGACACCGGAGCTGGATACATTTAGTACTTGGGATCTTATCGTCAGCACCTACTCGCAAGGAAAGCTCACTTACTCAAGGGACAAGCTCGTTGCACTATCTGGGTTGGCGGCGAGACTACAGAAGCACACCAATTCTAAATATCTGGCCGGGATGTGGCGAAAACATTTAGCTTATCAGCTTTTATGGAATGTTGGCGGCATCCAGTGGATTGTGTCCAAATCACGCCCCGAGATCTACACGGCCCCGAGCTGGTCTTGGGCTTCTACGCATGGACACATCGAAGACGCCTGCGTTATAAGACATGCAGACGACCGCGAGATTATTATGGAGATTTTAGCCGCGGAAGTTGAGCTAGCGAATGAGAAAAACCCTTTTGGGCAAGTCAAAGGTGGATCTCTGAGGCTCCGTTGTAGCTTAGCAAAGGCAGGAGTTCATCTGGAGGAGGAACCGATGAGTAGAGGCTCCTTTAACCTTTTCATCAACGGGGTACGGGGTGGAAGCGCAAGCCTAGATCATTATAACCATGCGACTGCTCAGCCAGTCAAGCAATACGGCCTTCACTATCTTCCAATCAGGTATACTGCAACATACGAAACGATAACCCAAAACGGGGTGACGATGAGTGTTCCATGGATCTCTGGTCTTATTGTTCAAGCTACTAGTTCAATAACTCAGAGCGAATTTCTACGGATTGGCACATTTGAAATCTTTTATTTACCAGAAAGCTTCCAGGCTGCGTGTCGGCAATACAGCTCAGAAGTTGGACAAGTTAAGACCGAATATGGAATGGATCAATGGGGGGCGAAGTTCGATATCGTAATCATTTAACGCAAAATGTCCATGGAGAGAACAGAGATTGTAATCAGGCTTTGATACTATGCCCCCCTTGCTAATATCAAAAGAACACGCAGGCGGGAGTAAAGGAATCTGCAGCCCTGTTACAGCCCTCGGACACATGAATTAAGTGAGATGGCTCTATTTCTCGAAATTTTCTCCGTCCTCGCCAAACATATTCCATGCGATCCCAATGAGCTAAAGCGACCATAGGCACAAGGCTCAGTTGATACTAGTCCTTGCAATGATGAAAATGGAGTTGTAGAAGGTAAATGAGCACAGGACAATTGGGAAATCGACCATACAGTATAATATCTGTATCTCCTGCATTAAAAACCTCGAACTGTAATTTACCAAGATTTAATTCCTTGGTGTCGAGTTCATGCACACCCCGTCGCGCCGGTGGAAGTGGCCCCACATACTTCACCTGGATATTTCGGGGTGATTTGGCACAGCGTATAAACACACTGGATCTCGAGAAAGTCGCACCATGACTCTCAGCATCTCCAAATAAAATTTGCCCAGAGTCTTTTGTCATCATGCAAGCAAATCCAAGTTCGCCTCTTACGATTACATAACGCTACAGTAGCGGAAAACCACACCACCTCAAACGCGGTTGTGCATGCAAGTTTGTTGTCAGTCCACCGCTGCATATCAAATAGTGCTGTCATAATATCGAATGTAGATGGTTTTGACTCACACTTTTACATGCTCTGACGAAGGTTCATATGTCAAAGTGAGAACATGATATTCGGTAACGGTGGCATGGTGGAGGGGAAGTTGAGTAAATGAAATGAGGTTATTTGCAGGAATGCCGGGAAGAAAATAGTATGAGTCTTGTTTGAGTACAACCCAAGCTCTTCGATAACTCACGAAATTTACCTTTTTATTTTAGCAATACTTCGAGAGAACCCCCGTACTAAATGCCTTTCTCATTGTCCAAGGGTCCGTCACATAAGACTCGACAATCGGAGTATCTGAGAGGTCAAAGCCGTCCCAGGAAGCGACTCCAAAAACGACGGCCGGGCTCTAAAAATAAGGAAAACATCTACATCTTTAACTACAATACTATGAAAGTAGACACGTGTCTTACATTGCTGACCGGTCTGGATGAGTGTTATGTTAAGGAATGCTCACCCTCTTCGCACATCACGGAGGAAAATTATCGCTATTACGACATATCCAAAAAGAAATCAAAGCATCTTCTTGATGTCTATTGTCATTCAGAAAAAGCAGATATAGGGCTGTGGAGAGACACCAAGACTCCAGTGTTTGCCATCGGACAGTTGGAGAAAAGCGATTCTAAGCATCCAGCTGCTCAAGCCACAGAAGCTCTTGCGGGAACCTACCACAATTTGTTACCAACACTACCTAATACTCCGTCTCCTGGTGATGAGAAAACGAGTCACCAGCAAAAGAGAATTAGAAAGATGAAAAGCCAGCTCAGCTTGCGTATCCAGACCAACAACCAGCCTATCTGCCCTGCTTGGACGAAGGACGAAACTCATCTGGGTTCTCAATTTGACTCAGCATGGGCACAAGAAGAACTCGCTGAGGGAGAATATGAAAGTGACAAAGAGTCAAACGACAAGTCTGGATCCTCGACCTTAACAATCGCTCCAAGTATCAATCCCGGATTTCAGATCTGTCTCGACCTTCTGACCAGCGAGCTCACTGCTGCTTTCTTTCAACGACACCCCATGGAAGACCAGAAACGGGCTTCCAGATTACAGATTCAGCTCCTGATCGAAGCGTATGAAGATCTTCTCCAACAGGTGCAGCAGAGGCAAGGCGGGCTTCACATCTCCAGTGTTTCGGAAGAGGAATGGGAAGGTACGGAAAGGCTTTTTGAGTATTGGTTGGATATGTTGTACTATTTTTATGATCTTACGGAGGCTTCCGAGGGGATGAATAGTTTGTAGTTTGCGGTTTCATGAGGTGTGATGAAGGGTCTGCGAATAGTCAATCAAAGGAATTATTCAGTGCCTAAAACGCCCTGTGTTTCTAGTTCTTCGATTCCCATTTTTGTGTGACTATCTCACATACTAGGCCAAAGAAGCTGGCTTGGAGAATTACCTTTGCAAAGCATGCATGATATAAATCATTAATCCTAGATAGTTCAAACCTTCTTTAAGCTTATATTTTATAGTATGCAAAGCCTGCATACAGACAGGGTGTCCTTCAAAGCGTTCCTCTCACGGACGACTTACCCCGCCTTCATATGTCAGACCACCAGGTTGTGGCCAGCTCGCTAAAATCTACACGTATGGAGGTACGGTAGATCATGTGCCACAACGTCTTCGAAAACAAGAACTCCACCAATAAGACTTACCGTTACGAAACAAATAGAGAGAAAGCTGCAGCCAGAAAAAATTTGGACAGTTTCATCTATAGACATGCAGATTTCTGCAGTTTATCGTCCCAAAAACCTGGGACAACAGATCCATCATCCCATCTTTCCATCTGATCTTTCCTAATTTTCAAAACATGAAGTTATAACAACCACATGATAGAAGCAGGCGTGGGCTCGATTCGTATCGTACCACGAAGCTACTAGGCAAATTTCATGGTGCAGTGATCTTGCGCTGATTGTCAGATCATTGTTACTGAAGGAATGAGGCTGGAGAATGAGATGGTACGGTGTCGTGCGTCAAGATTCTTTGACGATTTCACTGGTTTTTTTGACGGAGATGTATGTTTTCGCAGAGCAGTGCAGATTCGTGGCATACATACAGACAAGTCATTGATGTGAGTGCGTGGCGAGCAACATCTTGTTTACTTAACAACAGCAGACTCCAACCACAAAAACCTTATAAATACCCCCATAAAATCCACTCCATCAACCCAAACCCATTCTCTCAATTCACCATCAGATAAAGCCACCTTCACTAGTATCCTTGAACCCAACCATCAGTCTCACCAGAACAACAATGAAGCCCTCTCAACTCACCCTCCTCACACTCCTCACATCTACTCTCGCTATTCCCCTTTCTTCCAACGAAGGAGCTAGCACGGCATACGTCAACGAAACATCTCCTCTCTTGTTATCTATTCAGACAAACGCAACCTCCCTAGTCACCAGAGCTCAAAACTATGACGGCTCTTGTATCCCTGGGTAAGACACCTCTCCCTTTCTCATCCCAGTCCAATCTCTTCCTCATCCCATTCCCCTTCATACCATAATCACCCCTCCCTCACTCCCCCTTCGTTACACCAACACCCCATACTCCAACCGAAAACTAACCTCAACCCCAGCATCCCCGGCAACTGTCCCCCCGGAAACTGCTGTTCGTTCTGGGGATGGTGCGGCTCCACACCCCTCCACTGCCCCGGTCCTGTTCCCGGGTACTGTGTTAACAACGGAGGCCCCTGTGCCGCAGGTCTATGTTGTTCGAAATGGGGGTGGTGCGGGACTGGGGTGGCGTATTGTGCGTGAAAGGAGGAGGGGGAGGGAGAGAAGGGAATGTGGAGGAAGTGGAGGAGGTGAGGGTAGAGGAAGTGAGGGTTGTTAATGAGGGTTTTGAATGGAATGATTATGGTTGTGAGGTGGTTTGTCATCTAGTGGCGCGCTTCTCCATGTCCTGGTACTTTGAGATATAATTACACAACGTTGAACCTACGTTTTGAAATACGCTTTCAACGCAGCGTGACATCCAACGTACGAAGTAAACAAACCCACCCGAAAAGTACCGATACGCCACAACCTTCTTCAAAACCTAGGCAATCTATTCTCCCCCTCCACATAAGAAACCCCCGCCTCCTCCCTAGCTAAATCATTAACCCACCTCCCACCCGGCACAACCCCGTCCCCATTCCCCCACTGATCCACCAAATAAAACCACGCCAACGCATTTCCCACCGTCCCAACCTCATCACTAACACTCCCCCTCGCATACCCGCTCATCCTCCCATACATCTCCCCATCCGTCCACAACTGCAGCAGATATCCAGCAACCGCCTTGCTATCGCCCGCTTCGACTAGGAGTCCATTCTTGCCGTGCTGGACTTGGAGGGGTATGCCGCCGCTCTTCGTGGCGATGACGGGGATGCCTTTGTGGATTGCCTCGGAGACTTTCACTTCGAAGCCTTCGCGGTTGGAGAGCTGGAGGGCAACGTGCGAGGATGAGAGGAGCGTGTTGAGAAGCTGGTCGTTGGGGGTTAGACGCATGACGGAGACTGAGGGGAGGAGTGAGGGGAAATTGGTTTTGAGGTTGTTCATTGTCTGGGAGTAGACTTTTGTTCCGTCGGGGTCGTCGACTGAGCCGTTGCCACATCTGAAACGTGATGTTAGTAGAGATATAATGGTAAGAGAAGCTTAGCTCACATTATGAGCTGCGGAACTTCAATAGTTGGGTGGTGTTTTGATAGGAGGTGGCAGAATTCCCCAAAGGCCGCTATGGCATCTGGTATTCCTTTTGCGGGGTCGAATCTAGCTATCTGAATTATGTATTTCTCTGTGCTTCATGTCAGCAACCCTCCTGATACCTGCAACTTCTATGAAACTCACTAGACGGCCACTTCAATTCCGTCCTGTGAGAAGGTTGTCAGCCGCTTCTTTCAGTTAAAGGTACTAGGACTTACATTCCAACGGTATGGCATTGTTGGTTGTACAAATTCCTGTAATAACCCATATTCCATTCATCGAGAGGTTTGTTCAGTCCATCGAGCCTAGTCGCTAATTAGATCCCTGGAGGCATTCGAAAATGAATTGACTTACCAATCCGTGGTTGCAGGGAGATAAGCAACTTTGGCATTTGGCACGTTACTCGGAACAAACTCAGGAATTGGATGGCTGATGAACATGTCTGCCAGCTGGATATTCGACCAAAGAAATTGCCAGGTGTCCGCTTGCGGCGTCCCCTCTTTGCTAATCAAGTCACTCCGAATTTGGATATGACTTCTAAAGAGGACGGGTCTGTTTGGTGTCAAATTCTTGATGAGCGGAATGAGACATGGCATTTGAGGGTCATCAATCTACTCTAGTCAGAAGTTTCTTAATGCCAAAGGTAATTAGACTTGCTATCACGACATCAGCGCCTCCTTCTTCAGGAGGCCTAAGTGGTCCCCCTTCTGATAGCCAATATCTATTGGCATTGTCCTGGATCCAATCTGATAACGTCTTTTTGTCTTCGCTGCTGATTCGCTCGTCTTTGTCGCTAACTCCTTGTAGTATGTTGTGGACTGTTTTGGTGATGCGAAATACACCCGGTTTAGGTTTTGGTACGTACCTCGCACACATGATTAGCTACATTTTCATATAACCATATTCCTACAATTACCACTTACCACTTCAAATCGACCCCCAGTTGTCTTGCTAGTCTGATAAGAGCGTGTCTCATCAAAGCAACTCCGCCCCCTTGAGGAGTGCTGCTAAAGAACGCAATTTTTGTTCCCTTTCTCTTCAATGAAGTAACGAACTTAAGCATTGCATCCCATGTATGTGAGCCGCATGTGCTTTTGTAGTTGTCTAACGTGAGTAGAGGTGCTTTGTAACCTGCATCAACTTCCACGATGCCTCGGTACCCTACTTGCAAAATCGCTGTCATTGTTGGGCCGAAATACCTATGAGTCGCGTTAACAGCATACCATCGAAATAAAACCAGAAACATCCTATATACAAGAACGGTGATGTGAGTTGCATATGTGGAGCAAAACTTACAAAATACATTTCCTAGCCATCGAATCCGCCTGCTCATCGACAAATTTGACATTCCAAAAACAAGTTTCTTTCTTACCCTTCTTCGCTTCAGGTTCGATCGAGATAGGAACGATATCGAGCTCAAGCCATAATCTAGAGCCAAGTGTTGGACTCTTCTTGAGTAAATCACATGGCACTCCAGCACCAATGTATTTGCTCATGTTTTGCCGTCCATAGGTCCCCAATTCACGTAGTATATAGTCCGCAATACAGTCTTTACCTTCCTGTAAGTCTCCATTGAGCTCGATCGTAGCGACAGAGAAATCGAGGAGGTAAGTGCAGTCACGAATAGCGACGGCGACTACTGCGGTCTGATGGTCGCTGAAAACTGCTGAAATGCCTGCATATACTAGCTGATATTTTTTGTTAGATCCCATCCATTATAAAGGAGATGTCTTGACATGCTGTACGAGCTGCAATTAAATCCCCATCGTTCTTTGGAACCTCGCTCATGTTCCGCGTGTATTGTACAGATGGCTGAGTTCTGCACTCCTGTCCATGCCGAGAAGCCATAGTGACGTATGTACATACGTAGACTTTTGAATGTCTGTTGAACTACACTTTACCAGGATTTTAATTCCCTGATCACCCTGATCTAGATGGTGAGACGTTGGTTGTGGACTGATCTAGTGTCAAGCGCCCCGCTCTTAGCCTCAGGCAGTTAAGGCTGACGGCGAGACATTCCAGTTGATTATTGATTCACCTGATTGGCCTAGTTCCACTCACTCAGTCCCGAATAGGTTTAGCGAGTCATATAAGATATCCTTCAAACAAAATCTATTACTCCCCCATCTACACCCATCAACCCGAAACACCACCCGCTCAACCCAATCATTTCATCTAAACCACTATATACGACTAATGATACACATATACCTCTCCGCCCACTCACCCACGATTTAGACCCCTCAACCTATCCATTCACCACCCAACCATTTCAAACTAAATCAATAAGGTGGACTCCCAACCACATCCCCCTTCGCCATACCCTCCGTATCAATACCCTTAAGCACCCTCTCCAGATCCACCGCCGTAGCCTCATCGCCCCAGATCGCGCTTCCAAAACTCGCTTCACGGTCTTTCGTATGCAGACTCTTCGGCGGGTCGTGGAAGGCATGGTCCTGGACCGCGGTAGTTTTGCCGGTGAGAGAAGAAGGTAGAGGCGGGACGGGAGGGACAGTGTCGAAATTTTCGCCGTCGAGATGGATGAAGGGCTCGGATCGGCCGGTTGAGGGGTTAGATGTGAGAGGGCGCTGATGTTCGCCTTGAGCGGCGACGTGGTCGCGGGATTTGGATCTAGGTCGCCCGTTTGGCCCGCGTAGGGAAGCGGAGCGTTCCATGTACGAGATGTTTTGGTGGTTGGGGCTTGGGTTGTAGGATAATTCGGAGGCGGTGAAGTCGTAGCTGACCATGCTTTCGCTACTCGCGTCGCTGTGTGCCATGCCTTTTCGGGTGACGGGAGGTGCTTCGACTTGACCAGACAGCACTCTTTTGAGCTGGTCAACACGCGTGACGGAGTTGAAACTGGATTCGCTTGCCGGTGTGTCGGAATTGCCGCTTCCCTTTCTCAACTTTGCAAGTGCGCCAAGCTCGCCCACAAGTCCATATGAAGAATCCGCTTTGCCCCTGTGAGAATGATGGGAAGTCACTCCCCCAGGCGGCGACTGATTCCGGCTGTTGGTGCCTCCACTGTTAGACATACCGTTCACGGCAAGGAAATTCCGATGACCAGTGGCTTGAGTACCAGAGCGAGATCCAGTTATTGAAACGGACTTGCTTCCTTCTTGGACGAGTGCAATGACTGCTTCCCTACTCCATTCTGCCATCATCTGATCCTTGACCTTCTCGGGAAGCTCTACGTTCTCAGTGACTGCAGGACCGGTACTCAAAATCGGATGCGAAAAGCTACGCCCTGGAGATGTGGGTGGGCTAGTAGGCGCGGACGCAAGCGAATCGGCATAAGACAGTGAGATAAGCTTCACCATCTGAAAGCGGTCATCAAAGGGAGTAAGTGATTCCGATTCAATATTGTGTGTGGGGAGGGGTCGTTCAGGAGATGCTGTCCCTGGCGTTGTGATTTTGTGAAGACCAATGGGTGGCATCCGGATACGCTCGACCCAAAATGACTTGCTTCGACGTCGGTTGATTTCGTTGTGTAGAACGCGGCCCACAGGGGAGGTGTCGAAGTCGAATCGCTCGCTCAGAATCCAAAAGTAACCATGACACAAGCTACCCATGCGTATTTTGGCGATAGGTGTCTCAGCTTCCAGAATATCCTCTTGTAATCGATATATCATGGGAAGGCCACTTGCAACGGCGTTCACACCAAGATTTCGAATGAGATTGGCCAGCAAAAGATGTAATAACACATAGTCCGACTCGCTCTCCGAAAATTGCAACGCATTGTCATAGACCGCCAAGTGTAAAAGCTCCAAAAAGGTAGTCGATGCGACTTTAGGCTGCTTCTCTTTCTGAGACGCGTTGGATACAGCACGCTTGGTGAGATTCACCGACGAGCTATTGTGACCAGGCTTGGATGATAACCTGTGCTTCTCTACTTTAACTTTTAGATCTGATTTTGTAGTCTCCGTGTCAAGCCAAGTGGAAAGTGCGTCGACATAGGCTTTTCGAACTCTGCCATCGCTATCCCTTAGTAACCACTGCGTTCCCTCCCACACCTTTAAAGGGACAGAGTTACGGCCCAAGCTCGCTCCACCAATAACAGTCTTTCGATGACTTGCGACAAACAGAATGGCCTTGATAGCTTCGAGTGCCTTGACTTTGGCTGTGCCAAAAAGAAAGAATCCATCTGTCTTTGTGCTATCGAGCAAGTCACCCACGGCGCCCAAGTTTCCTGGGTTGGGATTTTCAATGGATGCGATGGTGGTTGCCGCTGTAGAAGGAGATGGCTTCAATCTCATTAAAACAGCGGAGACCATGTCGGAAATCTGGTCCGCATAATAAACGTGGGTCGCAAGATCTCCAACGCAGGCCTGGAGTCGAGACAGAAGCTCTTTGCGTAACGGGCTCGGCGTTGATATACCACTAGATTCCAACCCGCCGTTACCCTGCTGGATCTCGCCCTGCACCGGTAGAGACGCGTGCCGGCTAGGTGATCCTCCCGACAACTGAAGTAGCTTCACAATATGATGTATAAGCGATAGTAAGACATCCATGACGCTTAAACCAATCAAATTGATGTCCGACTTCAATAGCGAGTCGATCATTGTCGCGAGAAGTAGTTGCGTTGGCAGATGCTCTTCGAGAACAGGGCTTCGGACCAGCACCTCCATCGCTGTAACCAAAATTACGTAGCGATCTTGTACAGGCGTCCACCGAGCAATCTTCTCGAAGATCTTTGGCGCCCAGCCTCCGTGACTGTCGCGTTGAGGTTTCTCGTCAAGTACCTGTCCATTTTGCGCCACTCTTTCTGTAATGAACCCAAGTGTCGCAGTTGTGGCTCCATGGATCTGGGATCTGTTAGGCACAACAAAAATCTTCTGTAAGCATTGCATAGCGAGGACACCAATATTTTCTTCCGCCAACTTGTCCGCTTCCGCCGTGGTCGCGGACACGGTTCCACCGGGATTGCCCACTGTGTCGACGGTCCGTACCGTCGCAGCGCTGGTTCGGCGCCGCAGCATCGCCTTTTCCGTATCCGTCTTGACCTCCTGCTCAGCTCGCTGCTCCAGCATCTCAACAAAATCCTCGTCTCCTGTCCATAGATTTTCCAAAAGCATCGGTACTATCACATCTATCTGTCTTCCTGCGATTGACGCTAACGCTTCCGACGACGCGACGCTTTTGATCGCTTGCAAACCTACGTTTCTCCATCGTATGGCAAGCGGCGCAGTCATAGGGGACTTGGTCTGTGGGGGGCGAGTGGATGCGAAAGACGCATATATCTTGACAATTTCCTCATACTGCTGGAGGTATTCTTGGTCGGTCGACAGAGACGCTCCGTCGTAATGCTCACAGAAGGCTTCAAACGTTGGTATAGAAGATTCGACCATAGTGATATCGCGAGAACTCAGGATTATGTTGAGTATTTTGAGTACGTAAGGAGCGTAAAGGGGGAGATCTCGGGGCGCCTTTTCAATCAAGCCCGCGAGGATTTGGAGCGTAACCTGGACATTGCTGCAAAAATCGAAACCATCAGCATGCCCTTTGTGATATGAAGTTCGAATGAAATCTGTCCCAGCTCACCCTATCCGTGCCCTCCACACATCGCTCGCTGTCTTCTTCTCCAGAAAGGCCCCAACCTTCTGCACCTTGCTTCGTCGAGTCGTCGCATAGTAAAGGAGGTAGCTGAGCTCGCTGGAATTGGGCTTCACATCAACCGCGCCCTTTGTTGTCCTTGGGTAGCACTTGAGAATTAGTACTTGGTGTTTCGGGCGACATTTTTGCCGTATGGCGTTCATTTGTTATGTCCGCGTTGCCCGAGCCTCGAGTCGACGGTTTCGATCTTGCACTCGTATTTTGGTTGTCGGGGATTTGCGGCTGTCACGGTGTGAAGAGGTGAGACTCGTAGCGCAGAAGAATATCGCAAGAGTCTCATGTAGACAGCGCAAGGTGGGGTGGAGAGAGGTGAAGCTATCATGAGTCTTGATCGGGATGATGTTTATGCTGACGGGTATTTTAATTTGATTGTTGTCTGGCCTTCCAAGCGAGCAGCAAGTCCCAGCCACGTTGTGACCGATTCAATGGGTGAGCCTAGTGGAAATCCGGCTTCCGTACACCTGCACCTGCAGAGTGGAGATGACGTAGAGCTAAGTCACCTGACCGAGTCCCCTTTTTGCAACTTCCAAGTTCCGAGCTTTCTTCCCTTCATGGAAGACAGCTCAGCGCAACACTTGCCTTGAGTTAGCCTGAACTACCCTACGTAAAGTTAAATTTCCTTGAGGTAAGAAGGAAAACGATGGTAGAATTAGTCTGCCGTTTTTGTCTCGAATTGTGGACATCGTTGGACTGTTTTGAAACCAGCAAAAAGGGTTTCCATAGTGCACGAGACAAGAGCCGGCAGATGATATACCTTCTTCACTTGTACATGGTAGATGTGCGAATTCGGCTCTTGTATTCAAAGTATACCTTCACCCTTCCTCCTACTCAACATGTCCACCTGATGCCGGCAAGTGATACCTACGATGGCATGAATTCATCCCACCTTTTCCAGGCTTCAATCACTCAACTGTCAAGAATCATTAAATAGTTTGCTTCTTTGAAAGATTCTTACAGGTATTCTTATGAAGGTACGATATAAATCCAGAACCACAAGTCTGGCCGGTTTCCAAAAGAGGCAGCTCATGTGACATCGAACCGTCAAGCACTTACTTCATCCTACAAATTTTCGTTTCATTGAGAGTACTACTGGAGAAAGATAGAAGCGAAGAGGCGTCTGCGTGTCAAGAAGAACCACGAAAAGACCACAATTGACCATAATTCTAGCCGACTGCACGTGACTTCTCGACCCTTGTTTCTAGAAGCTAAGGTAACGGATACCCCCGCTGTCAAAGGAGCAAGCTTTCTCCAAATCTCCAAACGTGAAACAAAACAACTACATCTTCGAATCATCTCCACCACAACCATATCTCCTCCACTTGAGACTCCATATACCAATAATGCAGCCGCGTCAGAGCCGCACTCTCTCGACAAAAATGCGACCCATTTCCTGATGCAACCCTCTTCGATCCTGACGAACAGCGGATGTAAGCCCCGCCGATATTCGAGAACCAGTCAGACGGCAGCAGCTCACCGAAATCTACCAAAGAGCTTGAAGTCCTGCATATGCACTCATATGCAGAGTCCTGGAAAACAAGCCAGATTTCCCGATGATGGCGACACCAACCATTTTGACTTTTCGGTACCTTTTAGGTTGCTCACACTCAGTGTATCTCTGTCTGAGGGCGTGATGCGCTGCGACTAGACTGCATTTCGAAAAAGATGTCCAACAGTTCCGACCTGGTCTATGGATTTCTCAGCATATTACCATGCCATCAAGAAGCATCATTACCAAATAGCATCATTACGGAGCAACCAGTCAATGTGAGTGATCTCTACTCCGAGCTGGGGAGTCTACCATTGTACGGAAAGACGCTCCAAGTCGCTCGAGTAGCAACGGCACCTTCACAATTGCCGCGCAAAGGTTATCATACGCTGCTCTCTCGGCCCTTGACTTGCGATTGATCAAACTTTGTCAAGCTGTCAGCCCTAAGCTTGTCTGCCTTGTGTTTCTCAGGTCTGCAAGGTTCATTGGCGAGGCGGTCGTGAGGCAATCACCCCACCACTCACCATACCGGATGGCCATCCTCACCCCCAAATTCGTTGAACTTTGTACCTTGATAGGACCGTTCGATTAATCAGATACCTCGTCGTGCAACCTATTGGCCAATTCACGGGATTTAAAGTGTCCGTTGGACAAGCCGCTTGGGACGTGCCACCCTATCTTCTTCCACCTCCTCCGAAGTGGCTTTGCTTTTGTCTGCAGACGAGTCCTGACTTTCTCGCCTGAGAATACGAGTAACGACGCAACAGTCAGGAATCGTCCGTACTTGATACATAACTCATATGGTATGCGGTGGCAATATGGACGCGGTGTTTCGTTCTTTTGATTGATCGCTCCGTTTTATTGTTCTGTCTTAGCATTCTTGCCCCTCCTACTCGATTGTTTTGGTTCTCGGCGCCACGTTTGGGCGAGTACAGTCACGATGTCGTTCTTGAGCAAGAGGAGTCGCAGCCAACGGTCCTTCACGCGGGGAAGCGAAGAGATCTCAGTAAGAAGATTGGGGCCGGGTAACGAGCTTGCGAAATGTCGTGAGGACAATGCCGATTCAGATGGCTCGTCGCCGTCCAACATGAATGCGACAAACTTTGCGCTATACGGTTCTTGCGTGTAAGTTGCTTCTGATATCTGAACATGCATCTTTAACATCAGTAGCTCCCGAAAGTTTCCTAAACATAAATCATCGCATCTGAGGTTCTTAGCATGGGTAGCCTACACTCGCAAGTTTACCGACGAACCCATTACGGAAGATGAACGAAGAACATGTCCCTTGCTTTGGTGTCGGACAGTATTTGAAGATCAAGAAACTATGTTACAACATGTCTGGGACTGCGAACACTTGGCAAAGGGACTGTACTGGTGCTTTCACTGCCAGAAGCCAGAGAAAGCGGGCTCCTTTGAATGCAGAAGATGCCAGGGCACACCTTCGAAGACTGACCGGATCACGACCGTAGCCAAAAGGATCTTCTCTAAGTTGGGATCGAAACGAAATCGCACTTCCACAATACCGGAACCCGAGCCAGATATGAGTATTGCGAAGTATGTTGAGAAGTCCAATACGCTTGAGCACCATCCGGACTTCCCTACTATGTTCGATGCCGGTCCCGCGAGGGGCTTTCCATCTCAAAGCTTTCAAGCTGAAGATTCTTTTGGTCGAACTTTTGACTGGAGGGCTTCTCAAGAACTACCGGATACACAGATATGCGAAATGACCGGGTCTGAATGTCCCCTGGAACTTGGTGTTAATGCACAGGAAACTTGGTTGAGTCATGAAGATTATGCAGAACCAGACCATATCTGGCTTAATCCGGGACCGGCATGTAAAGTTCCTATCCCTACGCAGAAGAAACGAGGAAGTTTGGATATGCTCCCCCCTCTGAATACCCAGCTGTGCAATTTGAATCCAGAACGTGGGTTTGACAGCATGTCAAAAAATGACTTACCTGACGAGCCGATGTCCGCAACAATCGTCTCGCCCATGTGCGCAGATGATCGATACGCGTCTATTCTACAGGAGATATCGCCGACCGACACCGATGCCAGTGGAAATAGTTTCCTGACCGACTCCGGTTACACGAGTGCAACGATGTTCTCGACCTTGGGCGTTTCTTCGCCCTTTGAGTTACATCCGGGGTTCAGTGCACCGAGAGGTAAAAAGCGATCGCGAGAAGAAACGTTTACCACTCAACTTATTTCCAATTCCGTAGAGATATCCAGGAATAACTCAGCGAAGTCAAATCGTTCCTTTACGAATCATCCCCAGGAAGCTATCGACCCCGTTGATAGCTCACATTCTCCAAGCAGATGCCCTAGCACGAAAAAGCCGAAGATGCAGTCAGCTCATTGGTCCAGTGCTAGTACTCTTGTGCAATCCTTTTCAGAAGTTTTAGATGCGCACATATCTCACACCAAGGACATTTTGCGCGAGTTGCCTGAAAGTCCAATCACTCAGGAGCTAATCGCGATGTCCCGGTCTTCAATGGTGTCGATTGGACTCGAAGTGCTAGCTGGTATTATCGAAGGACGTAATCCGACAGCAATTGTGCAAGTCTTTGCTTTTACACATATAGCATACGCGTTCTCGATCGCCGTTGACCATGACGAGATCAAAGTACATACCAAGGAGTGGTTTAATGACTCGCTATCATGGGTACACGACTTGGGATCCGAAAGAGATCGTGTCAGATACAGCAGAATCGCCAGGGCAGTCTGGCAGCCTGTTAAAGACGTGAGCGGTGATGCCGCACCTCCCTTGTACTCCCCGGATAAGCAGAATCTACTCTATCTGGCCTGTCAACGCTTTTTAGACAGTAAGTCGAGAACATCCATTGATGACTAGGTGTTGACAAAAGTAGTACTCGAAAGCTTTGTGATCACCGAGAGCAAACCTCATTCCGATCAGCCGCCGACAACCTCAGACCTTGCCTTTTTAAAGAAGGCACAAGTCGAAGTTATCGATGAGCTCATCAAAGCACCCTCTATCGAGGGCTTCATCGAAGATGTAGTCAAGATAGAGGCGCGCCTAAAACGTGGCCGTATCAGACATGTGCGACATTTAGAGCTTGAACTCATGTGCGCAGGCAAGGTAAGATAGATTATCTTTGTATGATTTTGTCTGGGTGACAGCTAACTCCGTATAGCTTGCGTCACAGTCGGAACCTGCATACTTTCGATTTCTGTGCTACGTGTCACAGCATTGTAATAGCCTATACGAGACATCGCCCTCACGAACTCGAGCTGCCTATCGCATTCGGGACATCGCACGTATCAAGACTCTGCTTCCCGAAGAATTATGCTATGACCCAAGCGACGAAGAGGAGGCAGCCTTTGACATGGATGACGATGCACCATTAGGCTTTAGCCTCAACGTTCTAGGTAGGTGTGATAGACGGATGGGAAGTCACATGGACGAGTTTATGAGAGACGCAGATGACGTTCTTAACGAAAGCTGGTATGTTTTATCTTTGGTTGTGGTGACTTCGAAACTGACAGTATTTAGTATTCTCGCTAGGAGCAACTCTTTACAGCCTCTTTCCTCTGTTGTGTCCGCCCCAGTAAGAAGATCAAAGTCAGACCAAAAGCGCCCCACCGCATCACGGCCAAACAATGCTATAAATTCTACACACGCGCTTTCTTCGTCGTCAGTGTCCCGAGGACCACCGAGGCCAAAGACTCAGACATCACAGGGTAATCCGCCAAATTTACCCCCAATTGTCACAGTCGAAAGCCCATCAACTTCACCCGACTCTGCCGCATCCACGCCACCTCCACCAACACCACCACAGAGCGGTACGACTCGTCTGTATCAATGCGACCTATGTGATTATGTTCCCAGTGGGGACGAGAAATGGAAACCATCCAATCTTCGTCGTCATAAACGTACCCAGCATGCCTCGGCTGATAAGAAGGGATCGTGGGTCTGTAAATGGGAAGGCTGCACCAAATCCTTCACTCGAAGCGATAATCTGAGAAGTCATATGCGAGACAAAGGACACGGAATAGAAACCGCCACCAATCCTCATGCCATCGAAGAAGAAGACGAAGAGGGACACGGCAAACAAGATCAGGATGGCGAAGAGAGAGGGCCCAAGAGGAGGAAATTGGCTGTCGGCTGAAAAAAAGCTGATATTTGTCGCATGTTTACGACTCAATATCCAGGTTGTTTCCAGAGCCCACCTTGCGGGTCAAGGGCGAGTACAGCACTTAGTGCATCATCGTACTGGATATTTTATCATACTGAAAAGTGTGATTGTTGAACCTCATTTTGGCTAAGTTTACGGTCCTACAACGATGTATTATATGGCCTTTGTTAGCCATCACATTGGATAAAAGGTGTTCGGAAAAACGGAAGATGGAGTTTATAGGAAAGGTTAATATACCCAGGGAACGGCAGTTTAGCGCCGAAATATGTGTTATCTAGATAATCTGAATATTAAATCAAAATATAAATCTTCTGATGTTTACTTTGTCAAGCCGGAGCATTAAGGTACCTATTATTGACATGTGATAAGGGGTTCCGGGCTCGGTCCGACAATGAGCGATTCTGGCACCGAACCTCGGCTCAAACGTTTTCAACGACACGTCAATTGATAACAGCTCTTCTTTCTCAATTATTGAGATTCATGAGACGTGGTTTTATTCGAGCTACTAAGTGAAGATTAGGCCCTGCAGTTTCAATTCTGGAGGTACGCAAAATTGTATTATCAACTGCTAGAGGATTGCACCAAGAGGAAAACACCCTATTCATATACCACTCAACTGTTTAGACATCATGGCGGACCGACGAACGCTTGTGAGGCCTCCGCCATTAGATCCGAATAAGTCAGCGATTGAGAATGTGTTGGAGTTAACGGAACTAACGCAAATCGGTCCTGTAAGTAAGAGTCTCTGCTTTGCCAAAACCTTCGTTGAAGCCTCTCCCCTCCCCCCTTTCCCGGGCGGTTTAAGCGACATCCTCCTCTAACACCACCGTCCAGGATATGTTTACAAACACACGCCCTCTATGGCACCCCCCCGGAGCTCGCGGTATATACGGCGGCGCCGTAATCGCCCAATGTCTCGCGGCAGCCCAACAAACCGTCCCCACGAACTTCTCCGTCCACAGCATGCACTGCTACTTCGTCCTCGCCGGGGACGCGACCATCCCAGTCATGTACTACGTCGAGCACATCCGCGAAGGCAAATCCTTCGCCACGCGCACCGTCCAGGCGAAACAACGCGGCAAAGCCATCTTCACAACCACCATGTCCTTCGTCCGCGAAAACAGCGGCGGCAGGAAAACAGTCAACCACGCCGTCCCGCTACCCCAGAACATCGTACCGCCCGATGAAGACGGCAGTGAAGTTGATGATGAAGAAGGGAACGGCCCGTTCGTGTCTAAGAGAATCGAGATCTTGAATAAAGACAGCAAAGACCCGCACGAGAAACGCACTCGCCAGTGGATCAAAGCCAAAGGTCGCATCTCCCCGCAAGGCGGCCACCAAGCCCATCTCTCCGCCCTGGCCTACATGTCCGACTCCTATTTCATCGGCACCGTCTCGCGCATCCACGATCTCTGGCGTTTCGGCACCCCGCCCAATCCCCCGCCCAATGGTAAGTCCACGCCCGAAATGGAACATCGCCGACAATACATGCGCAAACTCAAGGAATCAGAGGGCGTCCACGGGGATGCGGAGAATGTTGGCGAGGGAAAGAGACCCGAGGTGGGCATGATGGTTAGTCTGGACCATACGATTTATTTCCATGAGCCGCGCGCGTTTAGGGCCGATGAGTGGATGTTCTCTGAGATGGGGAGTCCGTGGAGTGGAGATGGGAGGGGGTTGTGCAGCAGCATTTGTTTACCAGGGAGGGGGTTTTGGTGGCGACGTGTTTTCAGGAGGTTAGTCGATTCCTTTTTCGAGCGGTTTGGGTGATGGGAGGGGTGTTTGCGGGGGGCGGATTACTAACGGTGTATAGGGCGTTGTGAGATTGAAAGAGGAGAGACCTGTGGCGCGGGCGCCGGGGTCGAAATTATAATGTGCTCGACTTATAGTTGCTAGAACGTTGGAGTCCGGATGTAAAATACTAATGTATGCCCGCGGCTTGAGAACCGGTTCTTCGTCGGATACCTACCTGCTAATAACCGACTCCCGTTTATGAAGTGACGTTAATCCCCTTTCTCCGCGCATCAGACCAGCTCTCACACTCGCCAAATTCGTGCCCCGCGAGGTCACGACACTAGCGCAGGTGTTGTAAGCGTCGACAACGAAGTGATTGTACTTCGTACAAGATGTAAATAACCAGCTCTCCACATCTGTGTACCGCTCTAGAATAGTGTAATACTAGATATATCTAGCAAATTATCGGCGAGGATCGAATAAAACTTAGCCTCATATGGTAAGGTTACCGTGTAGAGTGGCGGAGGCGAAAGCTGGATATTTCCATCATGTACGAAGTACTCTTTGGCTGGGTTTCTGCATTGCGTGTTGGCTTCCGCGGCAGCGGAATGGTAATATAACGGTATGTAGTGTCTGTCATGAACGTAGAAGAGGCGTAGCATTATGTCGGACTATCGATACGAAGATGACAAAACGCCGTGGCCATAACCTTCGATTCCTGTAACCGAAAATAATGAGCGTCTATCCTCCTCGCCATGAACTCTAGTGGACAAAAAGTCCCTCGGTATATTCTTCTAGTAACAAGCCCGACTATCAGAAGCGCCGAGGGTATATAGTCACGGACATTAAGTTTGAGCCAAAGGGCTTTGTACATTAAAACTTATAGCGAGAACTTGACAGTAATTGATAGCGACGTTGTTCATTGTGTTTTCTATGGTTTAATTAATTTAGAAATTTCTAGGAAATCGATCGCCCAGCTTTTGGCTTCAAGTATGTCGTCGCGTCGATACACCGCAGTAAAGTACGGTCGTCGCGGAAAAGCGACTCTTTTTCGGACGCCCGACTTTATTAATGTACGACACCACGAATGATTGTTTAAACACGTTAGCCTCGATACATATTCACTACCGCCTTCTGAATTAGTATTTAACATTAAAAGCAACCACATCCAATGGACAGGTCATGAGATATATGTCGTTGTAAAGTGTAGAAATGACCGTTTTTGGTGGGACTTTTGGGCTTTCGGCTGGAATTTAATGTCTAGTGATATTGTTACTATCATAGACAGGATTTTGGGGGAGTTTTTTAGTCCGACGATCCTGTCTCTCTTCCCCTTAGAGCTGCCTAGTCGGACAGGATTTTAGAACCGTAAACATGGCTTTCGCGGGTCGCTTTGGTTTGTATATGCGACACTTTCTTTCGTCCACGTATACATCTACTGTTGCTGGCTGAAAGCGCCTTCATCCGCACACATATCTCAGGGCTTCGACTGCCGGTAATGTTCTTCTCGAAAGATGCCGTGGGCCCCTTTCTCGCGATTTTGTATTTATATTTTTTTAAGGTACGAATAAGGGGTTTTGCCGGTGACGACGACGACATCGTTTTTCTCGGTATGACGGTTTAGTCCGCTAGATCGGTTGCGAGGAAGCTGGATTCGAAGGCGAAAGTCTCTTTGCCTCTTCTATTGTGGTCGGCGCTCGGGAAGCTTGTGAGGAAGGTCTCTCTCGCATTTGCTTCAAATTTGATGAACTGTTTTCATAAGTCATGCCTTTGAAATTCTCTTGTTCGTAATCGCAAGATGTCGCTAGATAGGTAGGTGTACGTATGTACTCATACGAATGCGCGTAGGTCATGCGCGCGTCTTATGCTATGTTAAGGTAGGAATAGCTACTTAAGCACGATGAAATCTGGTTCACCCCAGTAGTAGCCGTCTCGAATGGCACGAAAAGTATGCTTTTCTCCCTGGTTGTTGATGTGCGTTGAAATATAGTGGTTCAGTTGTGAGAAAGAGACTCTACTGATATTCCCAATGGAAGGAAGCGCTGACCACAATACTGGTAACATATGTAAGCACCGACGGGTCGTTGTGTTTAGTAAACTCTACATTGATGCTGCTGGTAGCATATACTAATGGGGGAAGATCGAGTAGGAAACAGAGACCCGAACACATCGCTCCATACGTTAACGAACCTTGCGTTCACGCCGACCCAACTTTCACAGGTACCTGTAATCGTCTCTTTAAGTGGCTCTAGAGAGGTCATAAGTCGGCGGCATGGATTATGTCTCAGTCCGGGCTACATAATACGTAGAAATAATACACTTTGCCTGGACGAATCCTTGAACCGAATCAACTACATTGTCATTTTTTCGAGCGCTGTTAGATCTGATCAAATTTTCTAGAGGCTTTCGCGATATTTCGGTTTACTGTAGGCGGTGTGGGAACTGTAAAGTCCTGTTCTGGGTGCACGCCTTTTAGACAAGCAAAAAATAACGTTTTGTTGAGCGGCACCGGTTTTCTCGATACGATCGTCATCAGGAAAGATAACTTCCCATGGTTATAATCTTTCGTACCTAGGCAGAAGCAGGCGCGTTGTCCTGTAACATCGCTGGCCGTCTTCAAGTAGACGATCTAGAAAAAGCATAGCATGATGTGGAATAGTATCAAGAATTTTAAATATTTATTACTAGAGTTTGTGCATCATTAGCTAAGTTCTTAACTCGCTCTTGAACGCGTCCAGTACTAGTGAAAGGGCACGTGGTGGCTGTTGATGTCGCAAAAGGGCTGCGGACGAAGACGAAGAGGAAAAAGTACGAAGATGAAAGAAGTCGAAGATGAAATGATGATACAGGATACTGAGGGTATATCCTTTGCAAATCAAACTTTAATAATGATGAATACGCCAGCTATATCTATAAAACCCAAGAAACAAAATTGCCAGCGGTATTTCCTTTGCGCGCCATCTTCCGCTGACCAAGAGTAATGTGGATATTTCTATCCGTTTCCAACTCCGGTAGGAAAGACCAAATCAAAGGTCTGGTGGCCAGTACTCTAAACTATGGGTACATCTGTTCCACTCTATGCCTAAGTTCTTAGCCGAGGGTATGTCATTTGCGCCTTAACTCTAGTAATCAAACACAACGTATTTATCTCCTTGCTTTCGAACTCCGTTAGACACGAGTATATCAAGAATAAATCCTCAGTCGTCTACGCCATATAGAGTCTCATCGTAAACCAATTTCGGCATGGCCTGGCCCTCAGGTTGGGACCCCCGCCGGCTATCATGGTCGGTTTCTTGGAGAGGTGTCCGATTTGGCCAATGACTATCAGGCTGTGTGAGCGCCAGGCCTCTCCGCGCATTGGTTGAGTTAAAACATTCAACGTCGCTCTGTTTGCATGTCTGACAGGTTTTAACTCCTGCTAGAACGGTTGGGGTGTAGCGGTCGTCGCAGTCTAGCCTGCGTATGGTGCTGCATGTCGTGCAGACTGTGTGATGAACGTTATTCGGATGAGTTGAAATGGGATATCAGGTCTTGCTTACCTTCGCATTTGGTCGTAAATCGTTGAGCCGGTGGTCGTGAAGTCACGACGGCCAGGTTCGTGGACTTCACGGCGGCTGCTCCGCCAGTCATCACCGCAGCCGAATTGACTGCCATCCATGCATATTCTGACCGGGCATTTGTGAGAGTAGGAACATTACTCTTGGGCTGTCTCGATCTTTTGTGGGCTTGGAGGGCGTTCGATATTAGCGCGTTGTTCGACTGTCTCTTTCGGACAGGGGCGGTGCTTGGGATGTCCTCTTCTCCATCTGTATAAGACGAATCGGGAATACAACTGCTCGGTATATTCTCCCGCTGATGCGCAGCGTTCTTATGAGCGCCGCGGTCTGGAATCTCAAGCCCGTTGACCGTAACCTGTGCTTGACAGATTTGGTGTCTTTCATCTTCTGGGAGGATCAGTGGGCATAAGTTACGCTTCGAAGGCGCTGCTTTACACCTGCATGTTTGACATGTCTTTTGCCCTTCATAGTGGACGTGGGATAAGTCGTATTGTTGGATGAGCTTACAAGTGTTGCAAACTGTTGAGTAAAGGTAAGCTGAAATCATATGGTCGACTAGGAGTCGATGTCCACTTGCCTTCTCCGCAACCCGTTTTGTGCGCAACACTTGACCGTTTGCCCACTTCTACCGGTGAAACCAGGCTTTCAATAGACTACCAAACATTAGTCAAGTCTTGGTCATTTGTATGATTAGTATATTTGCCTTTTGGGGCTTACGGGCGAGCGTCGCCAGACGATGGTTGACATGTGGAAGATGTGTGGAGGTTTCGGTTGCTCGGTGGCCTTGACGCAACGAAACCGTAGTAACAAGACTCGAGGATAAACTGGGCTGGGCTGAGGTTGGGCTGAGACTGACGCTAGAAGCTGCCGTTCCTGTCGGCTCAAACTTTGAATTGCGTGCGTTTCCGCCAAAGCCAAGTGGTGCGTTGCGAGCCTCCCAAGACTGTCCAGATCGTTGCGTCGAAGGGTCGACAACCGAGACGTCCTCAACACGTCCTCGAAAATGACCTTCTAACATATTCCTTGGAATACCATTGGCCGTCGTGCAAGTTGTGTTGTGTGGTTTTCCCCTTCCACGTTCGGGAAGAGTGGAAGAAAATTTGGGATCAACTCGTGTGGGTTTCCAGGAGTAATAGGTGGCAAGGATATAAGACTAATTACAGTAAGTAGAAAGATTTGGGAGGTGGAAATAAAACAAAAGTAAGGGGATGCTTATCTTACTTATTGTCTTTAGAGGTATGCAGTGTCACGAGATATTATGTGGGTAATCGAGTTTGTTTGAAGAATAAAAGCATCTGAGTTAGTTCAGTTAGGTCTAGAATTTTCAAGTAACTCTTTTATATAATATCAATAATGCAATATAACTATTCTGGCCAGTAATCACTCATGTCTTCTGGAGACCTACAGGTCTTTCGGATAACTCACCTCCGGAGAAAGAGACATCGTAGCGGTGAAGACAATGACAACACGAGAACTCATTGGTGGGGTGTAAAACTTTCATCCGGTGCATTCTATCCTGCGGTTCTTCTTTGAGGCTAAACTGAAACCCCAGGGCGACACTGGAATGGGAGGCTTGGACATAAGCTCGTTCATGCACTCTTTCTGGTGTTGGTACCAGAAAAAAATTGTCCTTAAATCAAGCTACATTCGATGAAATGAGCTAAGTCATTCGGGTGATTTTCTCGGCTTCGAAATCACCCTCTTAGTTGAACCCATGTAACCTTGTCTGCTTTTGCGGTGGAAGCGTTCTCCCTGCTCGCTGGACGTCCGAAGGAACGGGATTAATGAAGCACAATTTTGGAAACTGTCTCATTTAATGATTTGATCTTATGAGGGTAACATAATGTCAGGATGTCTGTTAGCTGCCTAAATTTGGGCTCTTTGTGAGATCAAAGCAACTGGTTTGAAGGGTAGGCTAAGGAACGCTAGATTTCCCTGGTCTTTTCTTTTTTTCATTCACGCACTTCATTACAAAACAAGCCAAAGTTCCTTGTCATTTGTTAGTGTTTGCAGTGCAAAGAAAACACATCATACGGTTTTATATTATATCAACCAAGATAATTAGTGGCGTCTGCGCACTTTGTTGATGGAAGCTGTGGCCGCCATCAATGGTGATTGTTTTGGGATAGGTATAGTTTCACTTTACTGCACCGATACAATTTGGAGTGGGACCAGGAAGCTAAAAGCAATTAACCAAAGGCAGCATAAAGCACGTGTACATATTTCAAAGCAATTTACGTACCACAGACCTAGTTACTAAATTGTCTGCTTGCTCAAACATGCTTTCATAAGGGCCTACTAAATTGATAATTCATGTGAGCGACAACGAATAAAGCCGTGACAGAACAATTTCAAGTTATGTACAACTTCTGCCGAGAGAATTATGCAAGCCCGCATAATAATGTTGACTCATTATCGCTTGGAGCTTTTGGCGGGGATGCGGAAAGGAAATCCTACCAACCACTGATGGTGCGTATTATGATATCTTTCATTCTGCGCTTTCCCAACTTTCAATTTTTGTACCCCTATTTTCCACAGGTGCGGTTTTAATCGACCTGCGAGTGTATATACTGAACGGTCGGTGATCTATCAACCGGAAATTTAAAACTCACCTCAAGTTCGCTGACTTTCCTGTCCGTTTGCCAAAAAGAGGAATCGGCATCTTAGCGCTATGTTTCATAATTATACTGAATGTACCATTTGATGGATTATCATTGGGGGGCATTTCCGAGACTTTGAGCGCATGGAGAATGTCAGCGTTGTGACCTTCCGCTGGGGAGGTATGTAGCCTTCCCCGGCCGGCCGCTCCAAATTACTACCAAGTCATATTAGCATGGTTCTGACGTAGACTGGCTTAATATTGTGAGTAATATGTAAGATTTCTTGTGTAACCAACTGGAAGAGAAGGAGTTTTCCACAATCGATAGTGTTATCCGCTGATCCTGTCCCGTAAACATTAACGAAGGCCCGCAGATACGTCAAATACCCTTCCCCGTTATTCCTGCCATTTGTGTTGTTTTTGAAATGGGCTAGACGCCTGATGCTGTAACACAGTAAAATGCAGGGTTTTAATATTTTCGTTTTGTTGGTTGCAAGGCGGCGATGTACGGGAAGCGGGGTTACATGACTTGAACGTAGACTGGATAAATTCAGCTAGCGGTCAATGCATGGTGGTTTTCATCTGCCAGAAATTAACGATATTCGTTAAGTGTCGACATGGATACTCACGAATACTTCGAAGTAAGCTCATGGCGGTCCAGAACTACAGTGCAGGGGTGGATGTGACCAACGTATCCAGTATTATGCGGGCTATGGAATCTTGACTCCTAATTATTTCTCTCAGTCCTGAGGTTTCGGAGGAAGCCACTTTAATCGATGATCCGCCAGTATGGTAACACGTCTGCAGCACATCCAGCTTAGATGATTTGACAAGGCGACGGTGTTCGAGTCATCCAAGGGTTTGTCATAACTGTGGCATAATGTAATACTACCTATGTATCTCAAATGTGCCAGTACCCAACGTGACGCAGCCTACGAAGAATGAATTTCAAGTTCTCCGGAGGGTAGCACAGAAAAACTTAGCAATATTCTTCATCTATCTGCTATAACTTTCCAGTTGGTCTTTTTGCGCACATCAGTTGAGATGAAGAGATTGAAAGTCTTGTAGCCGCTCTGTAGATATAAGACCATAATTAAGCCACCGGCATCACAGAATACTCCCTGCGAACACCTTCCCCCACTATATCAGAGTATGTCAAACTCGATTTCAATATAAACACGTCTCTGTGGACTAGACAAAAGTAATATAACGCCCAATTACCATCTTTGAATTTAAAGATACCTAATCTATGACAAAGAGAAAGCCCCCGCCAAACATGATTTCGTAAGCAGTGACATCTCATGTGTCGTAACGATCGTTGTTGATAGAGTTCCATGTATTCCATTTTCTTACCCTTTTCGAAGCTGGGTTCCGCGATACCTAAGCTCATACCAGGCTATCAGATTTTTGTTTCAGCGTAACTTTTCGTAACCTCAAAATTCCGGACAAATCTTTCTTCGGGCTTCATTCGCTCTAGAATTGCACCCTGTATTACATCCCACTTCCCGCACCGGCTGTGGAAAAGTTTGACGGGGTATTCATTGTGAGCAGACCTTTCTTCAATCGTTCTTGTAGATATCGCGAATTTCCACCAAACTGCCCTAAAAAAACCACAGCCTAATAAAACATCAGGCCGTGCAATGAGATAAAACAGGGACTTCTTACTTTGAGCTGAGGGTAATCTACAACTGTGGCCAAAATCTGCTGTTCTAACTGATGGATGATGGGATCAAAACAGCGCTCCAACTCAATCCTGGTTTGATTTGTGATTAGTGCAACTTCAGAAATACTAGTCAAAGGGATAATAATACCAATCTACTTCAATAACGTGCTTTTTGAAACCTTTCTCGGGATTTGCTCTGAGACCAGTGACCCGTTCCCTGGAAAGCTTATCATTTGTAGCGTGTCGTCCAACCCATTGCTTCTTCTCTTCGACTCTGCGTACTATCTTCTCAATCGCCCAATGTATGTTTCCGGGGAAGTCTGTACTTGTAATTCGTTTCTCGAGGAGCGTTCGGAAGTGGTTATCAACTGCATCACCCGAGAACGGTAGAGCTAAATTCAAATTAGTTACGACATTTCGCTAAATTCGAATGCCTACATAAAGTCGGTCCCAACTGGTCTACCCTCACTGGACTCGTTGCTATAAGTCGAAGGACGGTGATGCACGCAGTCTCAGCCCCAACATCAAAAGCTGAAAATACATCGTTGATCTTCGAGTATTTCAGAGTTAGTCATGTTTTCGGTAAAGGCTAGGGAATCAAGGAATTGACTTAACTTACCTCTGTCTCACTTGCGTTTTCGTTCAAGCTTTGCTTTATCTCCGCACGACGGGGATCGGTCGGGCCAGTCTCATAAAAAACGGTTTGTCTCAGGAACTGACGAACCCCTGATAAGGTATCCGAAATAGTGAGTACATCTTCGATGCCAAATGTTTGAACGTTAATGTTATTCCGCGCTAAAGACGTCTCTGAAGATTTGGACACAGCGTGTGCAACACTAGAATGTAGAGCTTCACTCCACTCACTGGGCAAGCAGAATCCTACTTCAACATTTATAGGTTGCGAAAAGTAGCCCCAAGGCGTGTACTCTAGAACAGCACTTCCCAGTATATGGGAGATAACTTCTGTCAGAAGATCTTTGAAGACATCGATCGCTTTCTTTTCTAAAACGTCTTCTAGAATCTTCTTTGCCTGAACCAGATGTGGCAGGTGAGAAACTTTGTCCACGTCGTGAACTTCTCTGAGGTCTTTGAGAAGGGACTTGATGTGTTCAACGACCAAGACGTCGTCAAAGTCGTCACCTGAATTTGTGTCCTTGAGATACTCTTCAGCCCCAAAACCCCAGTGTAGCTGGCGCTTGGTCGCCTTAGAGTATATTTGAACGCATGGTACGCAGACATGTCCTGGATTGACACCAATGGGTGAATCTGGCCATTCGTCCAGGGCTGTTGGTTCGTTTATTTGGTAACGAACTCTATTTCCCAAGTTGTCAAATATATCGCGCACGATGGCATAACTTGCTGTCATAGAGCTCGTTCCTGGGTCGATAACAATTATAAGCGTGTACCGCGGTTCCAACATATAGAAGGTCCAGCTGAACGTATCTTCTAAATCATTAGTCGTTCGCTCGACATAACGTCATTCAGGGCAAATACCGGGAAAATAAAGTATCTATCTGCGAATTGTGGCCAGAGGATGAATACTGGAAGACTTTGTTGGACGGGTTGACTTTCGAGGCTTATGGAAGATCGAGACTCAGGTATTAGTAGCACACAAGATACACTATCCACCAGGTAAGCTACTGCGATTTCTTTACGCCACCAAAGATATGTCATGTGAGAAGGGGGAACGGGCGGAGAATGCAGCGATGGATGCTAAATTGATATAAACACGGTCAGTCAGTACTTTCAGAGTATTGAGGTTGGCTTTTTCGGGGGGTGGGGGCAAGTCTTTGACGGTTCGGTGTGCGTCCGTATCCATGTCGACACCCCCCAGAAAAGGACATTTCCAAATGGAAAAGGCAATGATTGCCACCAGTGAGACCGACAGGGAGTACACAAATAGAGCCGGGGCTATCTCTTCCATAACCCTGTTGTTGAGCGCGGGAAAGGTGAGAAGCTGTTCAAAGCCATCGATTAGGTGATCGCGTTGCCTCACTTAGATAGCCATCGCTAGTCGCAGTGTCGACGCGACACAAAGGTAAACCCCCGGAACTTCGGGCCTCTGATAGAGGCATTGCATGACTTGTTCCGTCCAGTGATATGTGAAGACATTTCGAATCTTCCGATTGTTTACCTGTCCTCGCAATTGTTATCGCGCTCACAGACCCCTGTTCCGTAAGCTGTCAATCTATAGGCGGCGATCCCGCAGTCACTTCGGCCAATGGTACAAAACAGGGAATTCGATGAAATTTATTATTGTGTGAAGACTAACGGGATAATATGTTTAGCTTAACACAGTCCCTAGTCAGGCCCGTGCCTAGTGCAGACGTCGACTAAGGTAAGCCCCATAAAGTTGTTTTTAGGGCGTTCGCGTTAGACAGCCTTAGGTTGGTTTTCGTTGTCTTTTGAGCTCTGTGCATATGTCTTTCCTGGAGCCGGGGAGGATCCAGATTCAGGCCGCCTTAAGATGCGGAAGGGATTTCGTTACACAAGTTTTGGGCGAAGCACCGTAGCCTGTCATCCACGCAGTTTTAATGACTTTCAGACCTCATCTCTTCCCATGAAAATTGAATTCAATAAAGCCAATGCTGACAGGCATCTCAGATCAACCCGACTTATTCATGACGGGGTTTCTTAGATTACTCGAGTATGTCGGGTAAATAATCTGCAAGGTGGTATCAGGCTTTTCCCTCACGACTCTCGACCTTTGCCTTCCTGCCTCGCGGTGTACGGCTCAATTCTCGACAGTACTGTAGCTAAATCTTTTAGAATTTATATGCTGACAACCACTTGTCAGGTTGACCGACCGCCAGCTTTTATCCAAGAAAAGAGATTCTGTTGGATTCATTGAACACTCGGCCCTTTAAAGTCGTCATTACCTTCGAAGCTTTTCATCCTTGTTCGCAGTTTTTCACAGATGCACCATGGCAGGAGATTCTCGCACTTGTACAGGCTGTCTCGGGCAGGTTACAAAATGCGAGAAAAGGGCACAAAACCCGTGTACACAATGCGCCGATAAAGGCAAGCTGCAAATGGAAAATGGTATGGATTCTTCAGCCTGAGATAATGAACTCAATGGTATTACAGAACGCAATGCGAATACACAAACAATTATTCTACAATGTTCAGCTTTTTGGTAGCGTATGTACACGTCTGATTACAGGACTTGTATCTGCCATTGCAAACGTTCTACTCGTACGTGAATGCCTTCTTAGCTCGCCGGACTCTTTTTGCCGCCTGTCGCTTTTCTGGTTCCAAACAAGCGCCTTTGCGCTTGCTGCGCAAATATTCCTGCTGCTTGTCGCTGCTTCTGTTATCAACCGTGATGGTGGTTTCCGTAAGTCGAGCGACTGTGGTGGAGTTGAGACAATCTATTCCACGGTATAAACAATTTTGGCAGCTTTTTTCTCCTGGCCAATTAGTTTGCGTGTAAGCCATATCACATTTTACTAGTAACCGTCGTGCACATGTCTCACATTCTACGCGTAAGTGGTAAGGTCAGCATATTGGCCAATTGGATAGTGAGTGTGCTTACCTTCCATGATTGTCTCAGACAGCAGCGTAAGCGCAGGAGATGTGCTGAGGATTTGAGAACAGCCAGGTGTAGAAACGGAAAACTGTGTTATAGTTAGCAATGGCAGAGGTGAATGGCTTTGGAACATACATCTTGTTGTGGCCGCGTTTGTGTGCTGATTGTCTTACCAGAATACGACAAATCAATAGGTGGATGATCAATATGAAACTCTTCATGGAATGGGTTGGTTCTTGGAACAAGAGCAGATGTTGTTGGCTTCGAAAAAGTTGGTTCTTGTAGGCTGTATGCCAGAGGTCGAGCTTTTTCGGTAAACTCAATATCTTTGTCCAATGCTACAGATCGAGATTCCTTGGATGGTAATGACATCGAGAAAAGGTTCGAACTGGCCGAAACTTGCACCCCAAGTTGTGTTGTAGGTTGACCTATGGAGTAATGAAATTTCGGTCGATAACTAATTTTAAGTTGAACCTCGGTAATTTCCCAAATAAGATCATGTGGCAAGACGTAATGCAGACGTCTTTTCGCGCGACCGCCGTGCCATCGCGGGAAGTATTCCCGTTTCATGTCACTAACAACGTATGGACCTTGTTCAACGCCGTTTTTGTCAATCTTTTGTGACATTCCGAGATCCCACTTGAACGGCAGCTGCTGAACTTCTACTAATTTATTGTCAGGGTGGTTTATCAGACATAGAGCCTAAGACTCACCCTTATGTCCACGTTGATCAAATAGCTTGTTCTGGTCGTGATCCTTAGTCCACAATGTAAATTGCTTTTTGGTTTGATTTCCGGTACAACTTTCTGGATCGTCTGTTGGTGCTGGAAGCGTTTCTTCGGATACGACCATGACATCTAGTATCTCTATGTCGTCCTTCGCTTTCCACGAAGACAGCCTTTCCGCGTCAGGGCCCCGATCAAAAACCGAGTCTGTAATTGTACTTCCCTGGTTACACCGTTTAGGATTGGAAAAGGTGTGGCATGAAAAATGGAAGAACAGATTGTTTCTTTACTCACCGAAGGAACTACCCAATCAATGACCAAAAAGTATCTTCCAGTATCCTGAACTTCCAAAATTCCAAATTCATCCACATTCTTGTCACCAAATAATGTTCGAGTGTTTTTTTCTGTCATAGCCAGCAAAATTCCGTAACTTTTTAGGGCTACAGAATTCCTGATAAACTTTTCCTGCAGCTTAGCACGCTGGCTCATCGCCCCCAGAACAACATCCTCTTTGCCGCGCGGACTATGGAATATTCTGACCCGACTCTTGAGTGGACCGGCTTGCAACCTTTTTCGCAGATATTGGGAGCCACCGCCAAATTGCCCTTGAAAAATCACTGCCTAAGCTATTATTAGTGTTAGGGTTCCCGTCAAAATAGGATGTACTCACTTTCACACCAAGGGAAAGCTTCTTCTCGACTTCTTTCTCAATTAACGCGACAACTGGGTCAAAACATTGTTCGAATATCATTCTAACAGGAAGTAAGAGGAAAGATCAGTCACCATCTGGGTCGGCGATTATCTAAACTTGTGTGGACTTACCGATGAACAATCAAGATATCCTTCAAGAAGCCCTTTTCAGGATTGGCTTTGAGACCCGTGATGCTTTTCCTCCAGGTTTTCCAAGGGCGACCGGTCTCTTCTCCTACAGAAACCTTCTTGCTTCTGAAGGCGCGGACAAGATCTTTTATAGTCCATGAAAGGTTGCCTGTGAAATCGCTAGATAAGTCATCCTCTGTGACGTTCTCGCTGAGCCACTGTTCAAAAAGACCATCAACCGCATCGCCGGAAATTGGAAGAGCTACGTGGGCGTCAGTGTTATATTTCCGGAGGATAAGATCAACTTACATAGTGTCCCACCCAGCTGGTCTACCCTCAGCGGATTGGTGGCTATAAGGCGAAGAGTGGTGATGCATGCAGTTCCTGCACCAATATCAACGGCCAAAATGATATCGTTCTCCTGCAGAAATTCAATTAGTACTGTGCGTTTGGGATGTTTTAATAGCTGGCACAATGACTCACACAGATGGCTTTGGCGTTGAAAGCAGTAACAGTGACCTCTGGTGCATAGGTCTCGGTCATCTTTGGAAACAGCTTATACAACCACTCTCGTATTCCCGATAAAGTTTCTGAAACCGTATAAACATCCTGGAGACCGAAATTATCAACTCGTACTTGGCACTTCTCCATTGACTTTTGCATAGCGTTGGCAGCAAGCTTGGCGACTCTTGTATGTAAAGCACCGCTCCAACCTCCCGGAAAGCATATTACAAACTCGACGTGTATTGACTGTGAGAAAAACGAGCGCGCCGCATGTTCAAGGATCGCCCTTTCAAATATGTGAGATAATGTTACTGTCAAGAACTCTTCAAAAATATCGTCGGGAGTCTTGCCGAGGACTTGTGTGATCAGATTTCTTGTTTCCCTGTGACGTGGAAGCGAACTGACGCGGTCCAGCTCCGTTGCATCTTCTGGCTGCTGCAACACAATCTTGACATTCTCGATCACGACCTCCTCAAGTCGATTCATGACCGTTTCTTCCTCTTCCAAATATGTTTGGGCGGCAAAGCCCCAGTGTAATAGCTCTTTCGACACTTTACTGAAGACCAGGGTGGTAGGAAGGTAGATAGCTCCAGGACTGCTAGAGCTGGGCCAGTTGTCAACAAGACTCTCTTGAATGACCTCGCGTTCGAGCTGGCCTTGATCATTGAAGCTGTCGTAAGCAATAGCGTAGCGTGCGGACAGTGTGCTTGTTCCTGGGTCGATAGCAATGATGAGGACGGGTCTCGTAGTCTTTGTTTTGGATCGAGAAGCCATGGCTTAACTGCACAGTAAGTCAGTCCCGAAAGCAGGATGATTCAGATTTCGTGTTTCGACATCTATAATTCTTTATAGTGATCAGGAGGCAGAGACAAGAATATATCTGTGATTGATGATGACTAGATACCTGTATACGTGTCGCAGAGTCGGAGTGTAGAAGTCGATTTTAGGGTGCCCATTCGTGTTGCTATGGAGAAGAGACCAATGCAGACCCTTGAACGAATCTGTTTTATTCGCAACTGTATGAGCCAAGTTTAGTGGTGATTGCTGCACGATGGAGACCACATAAAAGTACTAGTTGTAAATACACGTAGTCACTTAACAGGCGTTATAATTCCTGAGAACTTGGGCGAGTATCCTCGGACAGTAACGATATAATGTGCCATGTGAAATTTATTTACAAGGGTGGGTTTTTAGGGGCATATGATGTACATTGAGTGGTAACCTTGTTGTTAGAGGAAGATCGCCATAACGGGAGTCTGCATTTTGAACGGAGGCGACCCGCATGGGAACTAGGAGAGGTGTTTCCAATGGAGCCGCTTTAATGACTGCGGTACAGCCGACACGTTATTTCCAAACGCTCCGAAGCTATGCCTTGAATTTGGCTGGTAGTTGTGGTCGGACCCCGTTCACATCGTTACACACGGAACAGGCTGTAATGTGCCCCGGCTCAAAAAGGAACTTACCAACATATGGGCGTCCAATCGGACTGTTATAATCTTTTTCAGTAGATTAAAGAGTCACATCGCATCCTTGTCTGTGACTCAAACATTGCTTTTTCACTCTTGATTTGTGTTTTGTTCATTCTCTCGCGGTAAGCATAAGCGGCCGATTCAGTTCTGGATTATGGCTAATCTTACCTCAATCTAGTATCAGCCTGTCTCCCGATGTGCTGCTATGACCGCGATTTCCGACGCCCTTCTTGATAGCCTCTGTACGCCAGCGTTGTAATAGTATTCATTACATTGTGTGCTCAACACCAGCACTTTGTCTCTACATAATATCATGTCGAATAACTGTAAGGGCTGTCTCGGGAAAGTTGAAAAATGCCGAAGCAATGGAAGTAAAGAATGTTCCCAGTGTCAGCTGAAAGGGATAGACTGTATCAAACTCACAGAGGAAGAGAAACTGGAGTCCATGAAGCAAAGATGCCAAATGTGCTCGAAGGAGGGTAGGGTATGCCGTCCATCTGCTGATGGAATTCGATATCCATGTGGAAATTGTATCGAGCGAAGAAAGAATGCAGGGTGCGTACCACCACAAATGCAGACCAATTTGAAGCGAAAAGTAGACAGCGATACCTCGAAGATCTGTGTATTAAAAGTTCGGTAGGTAACAACAGCGAAAACTTCTTTCTCTAGCTCATACTCTTTAGTTCGATCGATACTTCCACATCCAAGAAGCGCTGCCCGACTCCGAAATCCCTTGGAAATTATGACAAGAAATGGTCAAACCAAGAGTCTGAGCTATTCCCAGACAATGGGCGTTTTCTGATGACAGGCAGTGATGGAACAAGGTCTTCATCTGACTTAACTCGCCGAGCGTCTACCTCCGAATTTAACAATGGTTCAAGTTATTGTCAACAATACGCCTCGGCCTTGGAAAACCCATCAACTACACGCTTCGACCCGAGACTCGAAGATAATAATACCACCAACTATCAACGACCAAGCAATATTCGGTTCAGCGGATGCGAAGAAGATAGAGTACAAAGATTGTTCGTTTCGTTACACGATTCTCTATTTGAATTTGAGACAGTAGTCAGAGAGGATATCAATAAGGCTCAACAAAAAGGTGTAAGTAAGTTCAACGAACAGCGACTTGGCGCTGATTATCTTGCAGAATGACCATCCATCTCCCGATAATGTCAAGGAACAGCAATCAGAATTAGTTGCGGCGATCCAACGGATTATGCTTCAGGATGAACTCCCCACATCGTCTGCCCTCGAAGACCTTTTGAAGGTGACTTGGACCGATAGCCAATCTGTCGAAAATCAACTGCAAGGGATCTCATTGTCATTACTGCATGCAAGTCTTGTGTCGTCATATGTTTTCCATTTTGTTCAAAATAGGGATGTCTTCAATAAGCAACCCTGCGTGGCGGCAATGAAAGTAGGATTTGAAGTTTGCCGGCGATTGGCAGACGATCGTAAGTAGTCACAGGAGGAAAAAGTACATTATAGCCTACTAATATGCTCCAGGATATTATGGTCACGGCTATGAAGCACTGAGAGAATTTCAGTTGGAACTTTTGCACAACAAGGTTTGGAAAGAAGAGCTGTTCGAAGCCAGCCGCGAGAAGTTCTCTCGGGACCTCCTAAAGTTTATCGAGCCTCTCACGAAAATCTTCCGAGTCACCGAATGTCCGCTCGCAGAACTAAGGGGTACCATTGTCGATTCGGCCCTGGAGCTGTGGTCATACCTGCAATGTCTCAGAGGAAATCTTGAGCTGATCATACCATCAAGAGGCGATATCTTCAACCCGAAAGAACATGACGTTGTGGATGCGTATTCTTCTCGCATGGAGCCCTGGAAAGCCACCAACAAGAAGGTTTTTCTGGTCAGGTCTCCGGGTCTTCGATGGTGGCCCGAAATCAGTGGTTGCGGGAAGCCGGTGGTGGCCTTAGTTCTGAAGGCCAGAGTAATATTTGATTTGTAGCAAGAGGGGATCAGGTCGTGAAGAGCTCAGAATCATCAAGACATGAATAAGTACCCCAGAAATAATTTTACCATTTACCTCTATTTAATATGCTGAGACTATTCGAACTACATGTATCCATGCGTCCACTTCTGTACTTTACTTTTTAGTTAGTTAAGGGTATGCGTACTTCTAGATAGTGTTCAAAATGTTAAATTCTCTGTCAAGGTTACAATGGTGCAGTAAGAATAAAGCTGATTTAGCATCCTTCGTGACTCACAGGGATAGACTTCAAAATTATATCTTTCCCCTGTGAGTGTATATTTGGCTTATCTTTTATCAAGTTGGCATGATTAAGACGAGTTCGAAAATTTTACTGAATATCAAGTTTCAGAACATTGTTCCTTACATTTTTAGTATTTTGATGGGTTCGTCCAAACAATCCAGTACCTCGGATGAGATGTGCGTTATTTATTTCTTCATGGGAACTTCTAGTACAGAGTTTGAAGGACGACATGACAGTATACCACTTTACTGCTCTCTATAGACAATGTTGATATGACTTGTCTTTAGGTGGCAAAGTCTTAGTATCAGTGTATTGTAGGATTACTGAATCTACTCAAACTATTCATGAGTTATTATAAGTTGGATTGAGTTGAGTTGAGTTGTGTCAAGTTAGAAGCTAGACCTTCACTAGCCGTATTATGTTCTCTGGTGAGAAATATGCTTCCCGAGATGATTCAACAGCAGATTGCTCACAATGTCTCTATTTACCAATTCTCACCCTAGGCAACAAACGTCGCATGTGACCAAGCTCCCTAAGCATATCCGCTCTACTGGCGTACGGGGAGATTGACTTGAAATCGCCGAAATGCTGATGAATAGCTTATGGACTCATATCCATCATCTCAGTTAAGGACAGCGATTCCTCCAGTTGTGCATAATCTGGTTTGGGGATGCGAAGTACTTGTGTTAACCTGGTCATTCTTTTTCACACTCGTATCTGAGTAACAAGTTTTTGTTTTGAATTGAATAGGTAGTTTGATTGAATTTGAAGTCCTTCAGCAACAATTTGACACTAAGAGAACATTAGCTTTCTAGAGTACGGTTTATCCCTCATCCCTCTCTATATGTTTCAACAAACGAGCCCTTCTATAAGACTAGACTCGAAGAAGAGAGCGCCTTATATTAAAGCTCAAGTTGTGTTCTACTACATTTCCGTAACTTCACAGTTAGTTTACTTTAAAAAGAGAATTAAGAAGAATTATAGTATATAATTCGGGGCTAAGCCGGGTATATAACGAATAAAGTTATAAGACTAAGAGAGCTAAAGTAGTAAGTATAGAGAAGGAGCTAAACACTGTTCTTACTTAGTCTAAAGAGTAGGAAAACTATCTATAGGATATATATTATATCTATTATATTAACTATACTAACTACTTTAACTACTTTAACTACTTAAATAGTAGAAACATAGATATATATATTAGTTATAGTCTAAGGCAGTGCGTCTATCGTCGTGTCGAGCACGAAGGCAGCTATTCTTTAAGTAGCTTATACCTATACTAACAGCAATTAGATTGCCGACTCCCACAGTCTTGTTTTAACACTTTGACTTACACTCTTGAAATCTTCAATACAATATTAGGTGATATATGTTCTGCTACTATAATAAGTCTTGAAGAGTACTCTGCGAGTCGACGAATTCGGTTCGGCGAGACTTTGAGCGAATTAATTGAATTAATTTGATCACATTAGATTAATCGGATACGCCCGGTCAATGAGAATGCTTGCGTTAACAGCGTTAACAGGGCCGATCTCAGTAAGCCGAAGGACTCGACCGATTTCACTCAAGAATCGGTGAAAATGTCTGTCTCAACAACCGCATATAAGCAGCCGAGGGTGAAGTCTCCCAACATATGGCTCTATCAGAGAATATTTATAAGGCTTGTCAAAAGAATAAATTTCAGGGAGCGTCTTTGTCTTATCGCGAAATCAGCTACAGAAGACCAAAAAATGGTCGGACGTATTCGATGATGTTCAATTTGGATTGGGGAAGCGATAGATACGTCATGACGTTGCGTGGGAACCGAACATCGCCCGGCTGAGACAATCGGTTGCAAGGCTAAATTCAACCTTTGACACGAGACGATATTTCTGTAATCGAAATCTTGGAAAGAAAATTGCTGCCTTTAAATATCGATATTTTGAGCTCGGGGCTCAGTTTAGGTGCTGTTTCGAGGGGGGTGAGTGATATCACGTGACGCAGATTTATGCTGCTTTGGGGATGATGCAAGAACGGCATCCCACTATTGTTAATGAATAGGGGCTTCGGTCTATGGTGCCGTGCATTGAGGGTCTGGCTGGAAACTTAAGTTCGGCTGTTAACGTCGAGAAATAGAGAGTAAAAGTCGGTTTTATAAATAAGTTATTCGATCGCGGGGCGCGGGGTTCTACTTTTCGCCTAAGAAATATAGCGAAAATAAGGTTAAGCAAAAACAAAATAAGGCCGAAAGAACTTTTTATTTTTAAAGTAAATCGTCCTTTAATAGTATTTCTCGACGACGAATTACTTTTATTTAATTATCTTAAGATAATATAAAAGATCGAAATCTATTCTATATCCTTATACTATCCCTACTAAGTCAAAAGGTCGTGTTTTATTACTAAACCTATCGATATTACTTTACTTCTATTTTCGTGTTCCTCGGATAAGAGTTTTGAGCCAGACCTGGCACCATATCGGTCATGAAATTCAGTGAGCATTATCGATGAACGAGACCACTTGCCTTCAGTATTTTCCTCAGCAAAGGAACAAACCGCCCGTCGGTCACCCGATCAACATTATTAGCACGTAAACAGTCAGCGCCAACGATGCATCCATTCTCAAGAGCTGCATGAACTGGTCCCATACATTGCCCAATGAGTATCCTTAGTCGGAGCCGGACACAGCTTAAACCTCCAGATGCGAAGATTGGCAGTCACCAAAATGCAGAAGTACTTAGAGGTACCTGAATAGTACCCGAGCACAACAGCAGTTCCCCTATCTATTGGCGGGGTTGATATCACTGTGAGATTCGACCAGGTACATTACAGCAACAACATGCAGCGCCAAGCCGAAAGGAGAAGGTCCCACATCGGAAATAAAATGTGCCTCAAAGCTTGACCGTTCTTGGCAGGTCTGTTTGCTCCTCGGTATCGAATTGCATCTTTCGGGTAGCATGGCAATGCAGCTTATCGTGAAAATGGGTGCAATAAATAGGAGGACTTGTCCCATTCAATGCATGCCCAGCTTTGCCCAGGAAAACCAAGCACTATGTTGTTTCCCCTTACCTTCGTCCTGGCCAGCGCCGGTCTCCTTGGAGAAGTTCTCGGCAGTCCTCTTGCCCCTGGATTGAGGAAGCGAGTGCCTCCCGTCGGACACAAGCTCCATGAACGGCATCTACCCGATTTGTCCAAATCATGGGTCAAAAAGTCCAAAGTTCACGAAAGTCAGGTCTTGCCAATGAGAATTGGCTTGAAGCAAAGGAATTTGCAGGCTGGCCATGACAAACTTATGGAATTGTATGTTATGGCATGTAATTTGCGAGCTTCACTAACTTTACTGATAGGTCAACTCCTGGAAGCGGCAGCTATGGAAAGCACATGACGCCTGAAGAAGTCATTGACTTTTTTGCACCCCATGAGGACAGTACCGATGCTGTTTTGCAATGGCTCCAACAGGCAGGAATTTCTGGAGAGAGAGTTGCTGTTTCTGTCAATAAGCAGGTATGGTTCTAATAATTCTTTTATCGCTTTTTAAACGAATCCTCCCACCCACCAATTTGCATGTCCTGAGTTGATAACTATTCTGACACTGTTATTACAGTGGGTTCAATTCGATGCCACAGCTGCAGAGGCCGAAGAGTTGCTCGTGGCAGATTTCTTCGTCTGGCAACACACCTCTGGCAAGCATGACATTTCTACCGAGGAATATCACGTTCCAGCACATATCCAAGAGCACATCGACTACGTGACTCCTGGCTCAAGACTACGACAGAGGAACTTGAAGATGGATTCTGTCAACAAACGGTCAACCGCAGAACGGCCACAGCCTTTTATCACCCAGTTGCCAGCGTTTCCTCACCCAAATTCTGGTACCTGCGATAAATACGTCACAGCTGAGTGTACAAGAGGTATTGTCTTCCCGACAGACCTTTTCGTTGTGTCGTAATAACAATATACTTTCTAGCACAATACAATATCCCAAACACCACGACAGCTGCACCCGGGAACGAGCTGGGTATCTTCGAGTCGATTGATGTTCACTACAGCAGACATGATCTCGATATCTTCTTCAGCACACTTTACCCGTAAGTAATTCCCAAATCTTTCAATTTTTTGAACGCATACTTACCAACTTAGCAACATTCCTAACGGTACCTACCCAATTGAGCGATTAGTTGATGGTGCCATCGGTGCAGTCGAGGATTCGCCAACGCCAGTGCCAATTGATCTCGAAGCTCCATTGGACTTTGATTCATCTTGGCCACTCATCTACCCCCAAAAGGTTGTCCTTTTCCAAGAGGATGACGAATACTATGAGTCCCATGGAAACTACAACGGTTTCTGGAACAGTACGTATAGTCGTGAACTAAACTTCAAACCTCTTACTGACACCATGCAGCTTTCCTCGATGCAATTGACGGAAGTTACTGCACGTACAGCGCTTTTGGTGAGACAGGCGACTGCACAAAACCAGAATGTCTTGACCCACAATACCCCGACCCAAACCCAGGTGGGTACAAGGGTCAACTCCAATGCGGTGTCTACAAGCCCACCAACGTTATTTCCATCTCATATGGAGACGGCGAGGCATACCTTCCAGACTACTACATGAAGCGTCAATGCAACGAGTGGATGAAGCTCGCACTTCAGGGTGTCACCACTGTCATGTCATCAGGTGACTCCGGTGTCGGTGGTGCTACCTGCAACGGCGACTCCGGCAAAATCTTCGAGGTTGACTTTGCAAGCTCCTGCCCATATGTCCTTTCCGTAGGCAGCACCGAGTGGGATCGCTTTGACAGCACAATCGCTCCAGTCCCAGGAGAGAAGCTGAATGAGGTCGCCACCAAGCGATTCCCCAGCGGTGGTGGTTTCTCAAATGTGTTCGGTATCCCAAGCTACCAACGTACTGCCGTTGACGCTTACTTTGATCAAGTCGAGAAGAAGCTCGGTTTCGATGGGTACCATCATTATGTCGTCGATGGTAACTTCTCTAGCGTCACGGGTGGTATCTACCATCATGGTGGACGAGCCTATCCGGACGTCGGAGCTGTAGGAGATCGCCAATTGGTCTACTCTGACCCATCTTGGTGGTTGGTCGGAGGAACATCTCTCTCTGCACCAGTATGGGGCGCTGTCCTGACGCTTGTCAATGAGAAGCGTATTGCTGCTGGCAAGAGTACTGTTGGGTTTATTCATCCTGTCTTGGTAAGATTATACATGCCCTACAACATTACATCTCGCTAACACTTCATTCATAGTACGCACACCCAGAAGCCTTCAACGATATCACCGTCGGTAGCAACCCTGGTTGTGGCTCGCCCGGTTTCATTGCCGCGAAGGGTTGGGATCCAGTCACTGGACTTGGGTAAGTCATTTCCTCTTCTACCGTATGTATAAAAGAATATACTGACACTTACTAGGTCTCCAAACTTCCCAAAGCTTCTAGAAGTCTTGATGGCAATCTAGATGAAGAGACATGGTGTTTAGTCAGCGAAGTAAAACATCTTGAAGGCTACGAACGTAGTGCCGTAATTTAAATTTAAATCACTGCACTGTTTAAATCACGTCGCTTCCACCTGTTAAGTACTGTTTATTAATAAAATTTCTCGAAGGTAGGCCTTGTGAATTCCTACAGAAAATGATCTCTGAACTCATTGTTATGATACGCGGTCTCTCGACGTTTGGGTATAAACTTCGTCGCTCGCTCTGTAACAGGTTCTATCGCTTAGTTTATCTCAAGTGGCGGTAAGATTTATTCAAGTAAAAAGTAAAGCTACTCGTGCTGCCGATCGAGTAATCTACTGCCGATCGAGCAACATGTGGGTAAGTACCCCTGCCCATATTTAATCAATCTTCGCGGGCTTCACCTATAACATATGTAAGCAACATTTACTCCGAAGGATCCTATGCGCTCTCAATCTCTGTTGGCCCACCTAACTCCGCCCGTGATACTATCGCCCTTGAGGTGTTTCTCGTCGCTTCTCAGATTCAAGCTTCAACCTGGTGTTAGTCTAGTAAAACTTTCTTTATTCATGTCTTCCTTTGTTTACTGTTCTGATTCTAGGTTCTGTGGGCGACCCGGCGAGGAAAGGCCCTCGATTAAGTTGCATTGTGAAGAACTGAACCGAGGGTAATTGTGACAGACAAGTTGCCAAAACTAGGTTAAAAGTAGTATGTTACGTGGGCACTCAACTTGAACCGATCACCTCGATCAACGCAACTCACTAACTGATCATATTAATCCATTTACCTCAACTAGTTACTAACAGAACCGATTTTAAAAAATCACGAAAGAAAAAGTCTTGGTATTTACCACAGGTAGAAAAGCATTGATTGCAGGTCTATTAAGGAATGAAGTGTGCAATTCCAAGCGCAGAAACAAAACTGTGGATTATTATTGCTATCGCTATACTATCAAGTACTAAAAGAGTGGTTGGCTTCGTGCATCGATACGTCTATCGATACACTGCCCCGAATAGAACACCAAATGACAACTTTCCTCCTGTTCTCACTGCAATTTGTCTAGCCTCGCACGGCTCTCCATTCAGTACTTTTTGTGACGATGGGCGCGCTTCCCCTTACTAACCCACCCAGCACTCTGCGACGCACTGCTCATATCCTGCTGATATCTTCCTCGCTCTTCAGAACGAGCATAGGCATCGTCGAGCTCTCGTTCTCTTCTGGCGGCTTCGGCTCTGTCTTGGGCCCTTTGCTGTCGTTCCTCCTCAATGCGTCTCGCATTCTCTTCGTCCCGAATTTGCTGCTCTCGTCTTTGTTCCTCTCGTCTATCGACTCGGTCTCCCATTTCACGGTTTCGTTGTGCTTCATCGCCTGCTCTGCGCATCATATCTCCATTTCGTCCCAAGCGGTCAAAACCAGACATAACGTCTGAGTAGTAGGTTGTGTTTGTGGGCTTGGAAAGTGATGATACGATAAGCGGTTGTCTGATGCTGAGAGTACAGTATTGAATGCTTGGTTTGTGATGAGGGAGATGATTGAAAAAAATGAATTCATTCAATACAACGCGTCTTCTTATACTTCAACATATTCTACATCTATATTGTACACATGATCGCAATGAGTCTTCCAACCATTATGAAAGAAAGCTACGGTGAACACAAAGAGTGACAGTTCATGAACAAGTTGGAAGAAATATGTGTTTCTCCAATTAGGACAAGTATGATAAGTAGTCTCACGTCTTGTCTTCCTCCCTCGTGGTATCAGATGTCAGTCTTACTCACATCATGTCGATGGTGAAGAAGTTGAGTGTTATTCCAAGGCACATGACTGTCTTCTTCTCCATATAGGAGCTATTCCTAGGCGCGACGTTAAGCAAGGCTTTTTCCTTTATTGTTTGAATCGTAAACTAAGAGTCATTTCTATCATTATGTTGGAGTTTTCTCGGTGAATAGCTAGTATCCAGAGGCAATTTGAATTACGAGACTGAGAGACAAAGATAGTGACCTACATTACCTACACTACCTACATTACCTACATTACCTACATTGTGCTGTCATTTCCAACAACCAATGTAATAGTACCAGATTTGAAAAGGTACTTCAATATTTCTATCCCTTGGAAAAGGGCGTAAAGAGTACAGATAACACAATGTGATAATTTTGTCTCTGTGAAAATGCAAACTCGCTTAGCGAGGGAACCCCGAATGCTTCGTTCTCTCCTCGATTTCTCTCCCAACAGTTACGCCTTCCGTTTTAATTATTCACCGCATCTCATCGAAAGACAGTCACTGATGTGACAGTAGTTTTTGGTTTTCTCGATGCATCATCGATTGTCTCAACCACAGATGCCAACTGGGGCTATAGGTAACCCCTGGAATACTCGTGCTGAAGGTCACGAGACCAGACAATTGATTTCGACGTCAACCGTTTTGTTGGTTCCATGAACATTAAGTTTGGATTTTACCCTAACCGAGAACTTTGGCACACAACGCGTAGCAGGTTGTATGGGCTGGCGCTAAAAGCACCTCTATGTATGGAGCAACGGGAAACAGGATACAACACCAACACGAGCTATTAGCTGATTGATGAGTCAGTCATCTCAACTCCTAGGTTTTCGCCAGGAAATCAATTAAGCAGCAGCGTCTGCTTCAAGATCAGTCAGAAACAAAATGCGAGCTGTTCCGAAGTTTTCACAATTTTTCTTTGATTGTTCAATAGGCTAGTATCATTAATCAATTATCGTGTTATTGATCAAGATATTATAATTGACTAACTAGCCTCTCGTTTCGTCAACATTACACTTTTCACTATTCTTTCTCTAGAAAACCACTAAGGTGCTTCACCCGAATATTATATGATATAGAGCTCAAATAGATAGAAATCATAGTCAGTTCCTTATAGGTTATATACATTTTTTGTGTTATTTAGGTATTTTTCATAATTTCCACGTTTAAGTTTAACTTAATGAGTTAGCTGTTCTATTCGCTAATTACGATGAATCATTCAATTACTCGATGAATTAACCAATTTTTATATCTACTTGGTCAATCGAACAGTTGTCGAGTAGTTCGGCCAGTGCTGACAGAATGCGGGGATGAGTCGGGCCCGATGCCGATATCCCTCCGAGTCGTGAGGTTGTACCCGCTCGCTATTCCCCGCATTAGTAACTTTACGTTGCGCCAATAGTTTACCTCAACTTCTAAACACTATTTTATCACTTTTGCAAATCGACACATACAACAACAGTCTTGAACCATGGCATCAGCCTCTACGTTTAGAGATGGCGCATGGCATGGCAAAATTGAGGAAGGCGGACAATTTCCCCCGGAGGCTGGACGATACCATCTATATATCGGTACGAACCGAACCAGACACTGTTTCCAACCCATCCTAACTCATTCCTAGGCCTCTTTTGCCCCTTTGCTCACCGAGTAAACCTCATTCGACACCTCAAAGGCCTTACAGGGATAGTCGACATATCAATAGTAAAAGCCTACCCAAAAGGCGACGACAAAGGATGGCCCGGCTGGAAGTTTCCCAGCGACGACGACCCCTACGCAGATGCGACTACGGATCAGCTCTTCGGAAGCAAGTATTTGCATGAAGTTTACTTTAAGGACAAAGGAGATTACGAAGGAAAATTCAGCGTCCCGGTTGTTTGGGACAAGAAGACAAACCAAATTGTTAACAATGAGAGCTTAGAAATCCTCAGGGATTGGAACACGGCTTTCAATTCAATTCTCCCAGACAATTGCAAGACCGTGGATCTATACCCGGAAGACTTGAGAGGGAAGATTGATGAGATTGGGGCTTGGATGCAATCGGATTTGAATACCGGGGTTTACAAGGCCGGATTCGCACCTGACCAGGAAACCTACGACAGAAACGTTGTTCCTGTTTTCAAAGCACTCAATCGAATGGAAAAATTAATTGCGCAAAACGGAGGCCCTTATGTGCTCGGCTCGCGGATTACCGAGCTGGATTTACGCCTGTATCCCACGATCGTAAGATTTGACACCGCGTATGTCCAGCATTTCAAGTGTAATCTTGGGACCATCAGGCATGATTATCCGATTTTGAATGAGTGGTTGAAGAATCTTTATTGGAATGTGCCTGGGTTCAAAGAGACGATGAACTTTAAACATATCAAGGAAAATGTAAATATTTATCATTCTTGGGGACATTAGGTGGCTGACTAACACTATTCTCAGTACACCAAGAGCCACGCTGGAATCAATCCTAGAGCTATCACACCTATGGGACCTGTACCGGACGTCGAATCTAATCCACAACTAGACTGGGAGAATATCCAGCCTGGAGAAGTGCAGCTACCCGAATAGGCTTTTAGTTGGGCGTCGCAAATGTATATGACGACGAGGCTTCCAGCCGTTACAGTAACTCGCTCTTCCCGCGCTTGATAACGTCTATTTACTCAGTCAATTCTGATCGTTGTCTGTTTTGTTTGGGGCTTCTCGAACTATGTCGATTTAACCAATGCGCGAGAGAATTCTTACTTTCGACGAATTCGACGTTCGGGCCGCTTCTCAAATGGTGGCTGAATGTAGGCGTACCTGATTTTACGGCACATGACGACCTTAACTAAAAACTTGGTACATATCCTCAGCCGTGATCTCTCCTATAGGTCGCTTGCTAAGCGAGGTGTGTTGTCACCTCACGCTTCCAACTTGTATTCTGACCACCTCAATACACCCTCACCATCATGGTCTCCTACAGAAAACCACGTAATCTCACGTTCTATATCTCAAGATGAACACGATCTTCAAAAACCTCTCGGAATTCTTCACGCCTGAGAATGAATCCTCGAGTTCTGAGCTACAACGAGCGTGGCCGGTAGACCAATCACAATCTCACACTCGCGAAACATCCGATGACGGATCACGAGGGACTTCGATCTTCAATTTCCCGAGAAGTAGCAAGACAAAACAGTTTATTGAGCGACGGGTTTCGAAAGTTGCAGTTGGACAATTTTTCAATAAGGTGCAATCGTGGTTTGAGTCTAGCGATGAGGATGATGGGTTTCTCGCTTATAGCGCGGAGGATGTGAATTATGTCCCGGGGTTTGGTGTCGAGATTAAGAAGGAGAATGAGAGTAATGTAATGATAGTGCGGCAGGAGAATGATCGTTGGGAAAAGAGGAGGTGGAGGGATGAGGTGGTCAGGGAGGAGGACGAGTCGAGGGGCTTGTCGAGAACGAAGAGTTTTAGTGAGCCGCCGAGAGGGAGGAAGAGGAGTAGGAGTGTTGAGGGGAAGTGAAGGTGAAAGGGAAAGCAAAGAAATGTGGGGTTGGTAGTGAGTGTTCTGTGCATATCATGCACCAACTTGGTAAAGAGTATCGAGGAAGGCGTCGGGATGTTTCTTTGCATCCGTGGTTTAGGGAGAGCGGTGCCTGATGAAAGCTACGTTACATGTCCAAAAGTTATCGGTTGAAGAGACGCTATATCTTCGACAGCTATTAGCTGACTTAATTAAACTTATCATAAACCCGGGTTCTTGAAGTTTCGGAAGTCATAATCTAAGACCCTTAAATTCACCTCTCTATTGTCGACAAAGCGGTACCACGAGCTAATCAGCTTACATTCTTTGCATAAAATCTTTGGACATTATACATGAAATTGAAAAGCGTCTTGAAACTTAATAATTGTTACATAAATCGATGCGCCCTAATTGACAATGCGCGCACCCTCTGGGTTCGAGGATGCAATTCGCCATATCTCCCAAACTAACCAACCCTATCGCGCAGTCCCCTCTTAATTCTAAATCAATACTAATTAAACAACCCCTTTCTACTCTAATAAACTCGACTTCATTATTCTAGGTAGACTTCCGCTAAAGCTATTTCGGCCGTTTATCCCATTAGTACGTGTCGAGTATAACACTTTATATAATCCGGACATAGTAAAGCGGTTTAATATTCTGTTAATTAAATCACTTTAACAATTAAATACATTCGTAGTCTCCTTATTAAAACCCACATATTAGCAAACGCGTCCGAGTACTATAAGGTAAAAAAATATTTACGTCAGATACCCTTAAAGTATATTAGAAATACTATAATAATACCTCTAAGCTATTAGAACTAGAAAACCACCCTTAAACCTAATACCCCTACTCTTATATCTCATTAAGCGCGCGAAATGAAGTCTAACAAAATAAAACCTCTATAAAGTTTAAACCCTCTAACTAACATATCCCACGTTCAAGAAGCGTAGTATACCCCTTACTACACTAGAGAGGGCTAAATTAATACTTCTAAGAGATAGATAATAGAAAAGATACCTAACCTATAAATCTCGACCGAGGAAATTCACTATACCATTCCAGCGAGCTTTGTTTTCCTTCGAGAAGAAGCGATGAGTATTTATCCTTATCTAAGATTAGCCATATACTATAAAGCTCGCCGCTATTCCATATATAACTACGCTCGGAACATCGCGACGTACTAGGAATTGAATAATCCGGTTTTGCGCCCCTCCTGACTCCTAAATACAGATTGCGATATTACACAATTGCCGTGTTAGACAAGAAATTGCGACGCCCGACGAGATGAAATTCGTGGAGGACGGAGAAGGATCTTGAGTATTAGGTATTCGGAAAGTCGAAAGGTGGATTTTAGAAAAGGAGTGCCTTCTAGAAAGTTTACGAGGCGGGAGAGGCCATATTGTCAGTGCGTCTACTCAGTGGTAAGTGACGTGTCACGGCAATCAAAAAACTTCTTAGTCAATTTTGAGTAAATTTTCATTCCTATTATTTGTGATACGGCACAACAATAATGCAGCTATACAATCCAATCTAGTTCTAGTGTCAAACTCCAAGCAATGCTAATTTTAATTTCGTGACTTCATTATGGGATGTTTTACCGCGCTATTCCACCGGCCTTAAGCAAAGTAACCACGACGAGCCTTAACCGCCGGACGATTGTACGGTCCATGAGCCGATGGCGCCGAGACGCCAGGGACGTAGATCCCGCCTGTTGGAGCCGCGGTGCCAGATGTTATGGCGGAAGAGGAGGATAGGGCTGGTACACCTGGGATGTAGATGCCACCAGTAGAGGAAGCGACACCGGAAGTCGTGGTTGGTTTGCCAGTCGAGATAGGAGTGGCCGTAGCGGTATCAGTCGCGCGGCTCAAGAACTCGGGGAACTTGTTGCCCGGGTTGACGGCGAGGACCATTCCCTTCTTGCAGTGGGCCCCTTGGGCGCAGTAAAACCAGAGAGGGGTGGAGACTTCAACCTTGTAGTCACGGAATATGAGGCCGGTCTTACTTGCGTTGTTGAATTGGTTGAAGCCGGTGTTAAACCCGCCTGCGAGTGGTTTGCAAGGCTCGAGGAAGGAGGATTGGGTTACGGTGTGGTTGGTAGAGTTGAAGTCGAAGCGGATGATATCGCCGATTTGGGCGGTGACTTGGTTGTCTTTGTATTTGAGATCGCCGTCGGCGCCAACGATAACGAGATGGACTTTGCCAGTGCCAGTTGGGGGTGTGACAGTGGTTGTGCTAGCTGGTGGTGGCGGTGGTGGGGTAGGCATCCATGTTGGCTTTGGTCCATTGGTGACTGTGGATGTCACGGTTGTTGGAAGGCCGTTGATGACGGTAACGCTGATGTTGACGATAATGACGGTGACGGTGTTCTGCTCATAAACAGCGACGGTGCAGTCGTGGCTTCCAGTGCCAGTTGGATAGACCCAGACTGAGGTTTTGGTTCCGGAGTAATCAACAGAGGTGACTTGAGAGCCGGCTGTTGTCACATAGGGTGGCTTGATAGCAGCTGCAGTGACTTGCGAGTTTGCAGTGGCACAGGCAGTCACAGTGACAGTTTCAGTGACTGTGTATGGCGGTGGATCTATACAGACGACTTCTTGAATGTGGTTCGCGGCTCCAATGCTGAGGAGACCAGCAAGGGTAGAAAGAGTCGAGAACTTCATGGTGATATTCAGTCTGAGCTTCGACTTCGCGTTTGATATTAATGGATTAATTTACTAGTAGTGAGTAACGATCGACAGACGAAGCGACTGTGTCAAAGAAAGTGACTGAGGAAGAGAGAAGGAAATTAGGGGATAGTTAGTTGGGGAGAAGGAATATGAGAGGCGGCTCGACTTTGTTATATATATTTCAAGCTGCCATGCTTAGGTCATTGTGGTGGTATGATTACTGCTGAATTCGTGATCGAGCTCTGCCGAGTCGTGCCACCTCACCGAAGTACCTCGTGAAGTCCGGAAAGCGGCCGACCCGGAATAGCTCTGCTAAGCATAAGGCTATAGGAAAGAAATTGTGGTCCACAATAATAGAACATTATTTGCATAGCATGATTCAGCTCGCAAAAAACCATCTCATTGGAAATTTAAGCGCGAGGACGGACGCCATTGGCTTGCTGATGGCAGCTTACAATTTTTTGATTGGATGGATTACAGAAATATCCATTTGGATCCGAATAAACGGCGTGTAATCTTCTCGGATGCGCTGGGATTCGGCTACTTGTTGTCAGCATAGACGCCATTTGCCAGCTATACGGCCTGCAAGCCAGACACGAGGATACCCGGGACAGAAAAGCTTAAAAATAGCCAGTGACGTTCTGGAAGAAATTCTTGGACATCAGCTCAGACAAAATATTGAATAAACTTGGTTCTGACGAATGGAAAAGCGGTCGTGATGTTGACCGTACATATGGGACGATGCTCGAGGCTCACTAAGACCTATTGAGAAAGTGCTCGGCCGCTAGGAAATGGTCAATTCTCAACGCTGACAGATCTTTGTGCTGCTGAAGGATGACTGTTGATGGAATACGAGAAAATCAAACGTATCTGAACGTGATTGAGCAGGAATAATGACGCTAACTTGTAGGAGAATTAATCGGACTCGAATAGTAAATTCGAAGAGAGAAGAAAGAAAAGAAGCTTTTTTTCAATATTTCACCTCGTACTCGAGTGCGTACTTCGCGCGGTCCGATGGTTTAGAGAACAGTAAAGAACTCGAATTCCACGAGGGTATGAACAGAAGGCCGCCCGCCACTTGGCGGGCGTACTGAATAGTAACAACAGTGATGCAACTTGGTGAAAGATGGGCAAGAAGGGAGATGACGAGCTGAAGTATTTTAGATGCGGTGGCAGTTCACCAAAGCGGTGAGCGGTGAGGTTCGCGGGATGTTCAGGCCGCGGCCCGAAGTTGATCCGATTCAGGACAAAAGCCCGCCTTGCCCCGGCTCGAGCCCGGTCATCTTTCGATGACCCCACCAAACGGAACCACAAACGATGACTTCGATATCGCAACCACAGCATTTTGGTATCGCCTTCTCAAATACGAAAAGGCTATTGCTCTTGTCAAACAGAATATCAAGTTGAATCTTATATTGTGCACAAACCTGCAATAATCATGGCACTACAACATGGCAACCCCGCCGACCTTCTCCCCGTCCACTGGAAGTCGCAAATCACAGCATGGTTCGCTGAAGATACACCATCTTTCGACTACGGCGGGTTCGTAGTCGGCGACAGCGAGCGGACGGCTACTTTATACGGGAAATCGAAAGGCATCCTTGCCGGCGTGCCATTCTTCGACGAGATATTCGCACAAGCTGGATGTACTGTGAAATGGCATCTCAAAGAAGGGACCCTGGTAGACCCAGGAGCCAAAGGCAAGGTCGCCGTCGCGACAGTCACTGGTCCAGTACGAAAGCTGTTACTCGGGGAAAGAGTAGCGCTGAACACGCTAAGTCGATGTTCTGGGATCGCCACGAAATCGAGAACGATGGAGGACCTGGTGCGGAAGGCGGGATATAAGGGTATACTTGCTGGAACAAGGAAGACTACGCCTGGATTTAGGTTGGTGGAGAAATACGGGATGATCGTTGGTGGTGTTGATGGTCATCGACATGATTTGTCGAGTATGACTATGTTGAAGGATAATCATATCTGGGCGAGGGGAAGCATAACGGAAGCTGTGAAGGCTGCAAAGTCGGTAGGTGGATTTGCCTTGAAGGTCGAGGTGGAGGTGGATAATGAGGAGGCGGCTGACGAGGCTATCGCTGCGGGTGCGGATATTGTTATGTTGGATAATTATGATGGGGATGGCTTGAAGGTTGCGGCGAGGAGTATCAAGCAGAGGTGGGCTGGCAAGCGCGAGTTCCTGCTTGAGTGCAGTGGAGGTCTCACTGCTGAGAATGTAGAGACCTATATCAATAATGGTGAGTTGATTCAGTTCTCTGCATGTAAATATGGTGCTGACCTGCCTTTAGATATTGATATCATATCGACAAGTTCGATACACCAGGGCGTGCCCCATGTCGACTTCTCGTTGAAGATCGATCACTAAATTAATCATAATATTTACTCAACAACATCCCAACTCTACAGTACCTCCTATCGTCGGAAAGCCGTTGGATTCGAACTCGAATCTCGACAATCTCACATTTGGTACCTTGTGCATTTCTCTAATTCTGTCGTCCTCCAACCTCCAACCCCACTACCTCCTCACTACTTTACGCAGTGCCTCGCCACTTTTCTTCACCCCCTTCATCACCTCACATCGCGAACCCCAACACACCCGCCCCAACCAAACTAACACCCACAACCACCCACCCCTGCCTTACAATCCCCCTCACCCCCAAATTCCACCCCCGATCCCAAACCAAATGTCCCACCCCATTAACCCCATGAAACACAAACGGCAGCGCCACCCCCGTCTTCACCATCCCCTTCACCCCTTCGCCCAACCCGCCAAATACCTCCACCAAACTATTACTATCAAACCCATACCCGAACCATGGCGCCACGAGGTATGAGAACCCGAAGATGTAAAAAGTTCCGGAGAGAAAACAGCCGGTTATTCGGTGGAGCGGGGAGGTTATGTAGTTTATTTGCGGTCGGTAGATGGAGAGATGCGGGGATGTTGGACGGTTTAGGCGTTGGGAGATGAGGAGTTGGTGGGCGGTGGAGGGGGTGAGGGGGTGGATTTTGGGGTGGGATGAGGTTTGTCTAGGGGGGTGTTAGTGTTTGTGGATGGGGTTGATGAGGGTTGTGTACCTGGTTTGGGGGGTGTGAGGTTTTGAGAGTGTTGTGAGGGCTGATCTGTAGAGAATTGAAGGGCGGGATAGTTGTTGAGCGCCTAGTGGTGGTGGTGAGTAAAACTCTTGGGATGGGGAGGGATGTATACCTCGCGACCTCGTGAGTCTGGAAAACGTACGCATATACATCTTCCTCTTCGATCTGTTATTAGAATTAAATCTCCTTTTCCCTTTTCCGCTGCTCTCATAAATATCAATACAACCCTCGGTTATACACCTCCCGGGTATACCCGCACTACATTTATTCCCGCTAGAACACACTTATATCCACGAAAATAACAGCTATGAAGCAATTCCTCACTCATCCTAAATGTATAATTGGATAATCTTTCGTGATGTGATTCCCGCCAAGAATATCCATCTCCTTGGCGCTCGCGCTTCGGCGTTGAGGTTGTGGCCGAGATGGCGAGGGACTGAGCGTTCACCTACGAGGTGAAAGGTGGACTTGGGGAGTTAGGGAGTTAGGGAGTTGGAAGCACGGTTTATGGGATATGGTTATTTAATATAATATATCTTTCTGGGGACAGGGGTAGTAGTTATCTAAGAGGGTTGTAACTTTTACGATTATAATTGAAAGATTACGACTTATGCGATTTATACTACTCTTGAGAGGTCTTGTAGCTTTTGGGATTGGAGTAGTATTGTAGCGTGTAAGAGAGTGTTTTTGACCCAGATAACTTCATGATTAGGACCGACTTTTTAATCCCGTCATAGTCCCAGCCGCGATTCTGGGATTAGATAGTTCTTGCGGAGCTCTGAAACAGAGGAAGCATAAATTACATGGAATTATAGACCTAAACTTTAATAGGAAGTTAAAAGGTAATCCTAGAATTTACAATACCTCTCTATTGAGTTGTCTGGCATTGAGAAGAGTGTGAACACATGTGGATAGTAGATGGTAAGGTTTGTTTGAGGGGATCTGGGAGTTTTGAGATATTTTTAAGTGGGTTATTAGTATCCTAAGTTGTTTGATGGGGGACCACGAGTCTTGTGTCTATGTTCTTTTTCGACTGTTAGTGTGAGCTGGTATGGACGACTCATTGCTGGAAGTTGCCTGCGACGTAAATTCCGTATTTTGGCAGTAATAGATGGGGTAACGACGTCTGTAAACAGGCTGAACTAAACAAGGCTTGAACGGTGCTTCGTGTCGATAACGGTTTTTGAGTTCGAATCTACATGACAGTACATGTTGGAGACAATGACTTCACGAAGTAGTCCAGCTCGGGCACGCGACTGGAACGCGAGACTACTATTTAAGCGTGGAAAGTAGGTCGCATGAATTTTTTTCATGGGATTTGGGAGTTCCTGTTTATCTAAATACATTACTGGTACACTTAGATTAGTTGGGGACTAGAGTCGTAATCGGTATTGACTTTTGACGGTTAGCGTGGGCAGATATGGACGAATTGTTGCTTAGAGTTGTTAGAATTGCAGACAGTTTTTAACACACGTTTGCAACTACCTTGGATTAATCCTTAAGGTCGTCCCTCACGAGAAGTAAGGGACGGTCTCCTTGATTGCGTGCTTTGTTCTGTTCGGCCTCCACATCTTTCACATACTTAGCAGTCTTGCCGGTAATCAATTTAGTCAGGCTAAGATGTTAGTCAATCCTCTAGATACTATGATTAATAGACTGCCTAGAATGTTGATAAATATAACATAAGTGTTAGCTTAATTCTCTACGTGCGAGTGGGAAATGAATAATAAAGCGATAGATTGTTAGTGTTTTTCAATGAATTGAAGCTTAGATTGTCTAGCCTTTAGTTTAGTCTCCTACTTCCACACATCTATAGAAATCTATCATATTTTACAGATCTCTCACACCATAGCTTCATCTTTGTCCTATTACGAGAGCAGTAGTTACTAATTAGCGTGCACTTTTAAACACAGACGAAGACGTGTAAGAATAACATCGGGAGCTACTCGTACAGGCCACCGCTTTAAACCGTGGAGTAAAATTAGTGCGTACTTGATACGTCGCACTTGTACTACTTGTAGTTACCGAGAATGTGCAAAACTTTTGTTTGATGTGAATTACCATGCATGTATAACATCCACGAATCAGAGTGCCACAAGACGTACCAGCGCACTGTCACGACCCTCTGGTCTTACCAGAGAAAGTTTGTATTTAATGTGGAATTCAGTGCGTGTTGTCATCCGACGCTGAAGCTTTGGGTGCACTTGTACTTGTCCAGTTCAATGATTTGGGAACAGCTCTCTTTGGTCATGTTTGATGCAGGTGCGCCGCCAGACCTGTAAGCGTCCGCTAAGATATTGCAAGAATTCTGACACGTTTATCACTCTGAGATGGTTATTTTTGATTCCTAACACTAACATATTAATGCATAAGTTAATAGTCGCTCTGCATGTAGTTTTTAGGATTACATGATACGCTGTTCTTGGATAGTCACTGTACCATCCTTGACCTTAACACTTATTAGTTCACATCCGCCACCTTGATATCATGATGTGAGCAATATAGCCCGGTCTGATATGAAAGCTATTCTGGAACTGATAAACATCTCAACTAGGTCATCTTAGAGGTATATTTAAACTTTATTTAAATTAGCAGATGTAGTTATAGACGTTCATATAGTGCTGAACTTGTTATTTTACTGCGCGCCATGACAAAATTACATAAAAAGGGAACTGGAAATTCAGTTTAGCGGTGCTTTTCCTGCACCTCTCAGGAAGTGCACAAATTTGTTCTATATTGAACCTGATAACCGTTCTACATTGGTATGAGATTCTATTTGCTTATTGGCTGCCAACTACCTCACACAAATCATCCTGCGTCCCTTTGCGTAATAATGCCACTTGGAGCTTGCATTAACTAGGATCTGGTACAAAGGATTACAGAGACAGGTTTTCTGTAAAAAGCTAGTCTAGCACCATGCAGCACAAATTCGTGGCAGTTTGTAGGCTTTGTGGAAAAGAATTAAAATGTATGACTTATAGACAGCAAAGCTTCAAAAATATTTCTGTATAAGAAGCAATACAACCGAAGCTTTGTCGCGACATTGAATTTGCATATCAACTCACTCAAAATATCACTATTCTGAGAACAAAATCATGGCAACGACTTCCCAACAAGCTCTCGACGCCGAAAAGCTTTTCGATGAGATCAACTTTTCTTACAAGGTCGCTTTCAGAGACAACCCCACGCTTCAAAAGGTCTTCCAGGAAGCTCTAGAAGATCCTGGAAATGCGCGTGCCTCTATACTCGATGTCGGTTGCGGGACAGGTGGTCCCGTTTCATCGACGCTTGTCGCAGCCGGTCACGATGTTACTGACATCGACGTCTGGCAAGTCATGAATGGCCTTTGCGGGAAAAACATCAGAGAGAAATTTCTCAAAGCAGATACGACGACATTTGAGCCAGAGAAACGGTTCGACGCGATATTCGCCATCTTCTCTTTGTTGCAAATGCCCTACCGAACGGTGTACTCCACGATTTTCAAGTTTGCTTCGTGGTTGAAGCCGGGCGGCACTCTCATCCTGGGAACAGTCCCAAGTGACGACTTGGTTGTGGATAAAAGGCTTCTCGATACCTCTGGCGAGTTCATAGATGGGATCGATGTTCGATTCATGGATGACATGATTAAGTGTACGTTTGGCACGCCAAATGGTTGGAAGAGGCTTGTTGAGGCAGTAGGGTTTGAGATTATGCGCATGGAACACTCCTCTTTTAAAGCAAAAGTCCCAGCTTCCTACTCTCAACAGCATCTTTTCCTCACTTGCATGCTGGGCGCTAAGAACTCTTTGATGGGTCCGTACCCTTTACCATCTACCTACTGCCTTCCGTTCATGCTGAGCGACGAGGCGTGGAGACCATTTCAAGAAAGACTTACACGATTCGAATTTGAAGCCGTGATGAAAGCGGTGGAAGACAATGTTGAAATCCTTGACGTGGGAAGTGGTTACGGAGGTAAGTAGAATCTGGTAGCTTTCGTTGACGCTTCAGATTTTGACTCCAGTATAGATCTCCCCAAAGCGATCGCTCAAAAGTTAGGAAAATCCTATGCCATCGAGCCAAATCCTGATCGGATGCAAGTCATCGAAAACCGAAACACTGATTTGGGAGTTCAGATCAAACAAGGAAGGGCAGAAGCATTACCATACTCAGACGACAGCTTCGATGCTGTTGTAGCAATGTGGATTTTACACTATGTCAGTGACGTTGAGAAAGCCCTAGAGGAGATGGTTCGAGTCGCAAATCGGAAAGCTGCCAACGCACGAATCGTTATTGTTCGAGGAGCCCCCGACAATGAATTGGTCAACCTCATCAACAATATTTGCGCTCCAATTGCAGCGCTAGACGCCAAAGAGAATTATGTCAGTCATCAGGGTTTTCTGCTTACAACTGCCACCAGAATATTCAGTAAGAATGGATTTGGGGATATAAGTCTAGAGCGAGTGCATGCACATTGCAACTTCCCTGAAACGGACTTCACTTTACGCTGCTCGAAAGCGGCAGAGATTTTATCTGAATTTTGGTATCGTGACCATCCTCGACTTGAGCAGATGAGAACAGCATTGCTTCCTGCTTTGGAGAAACATTTTGAAGATAGTCCATTTAAGATCGGTGATCAAGCTGTTATGCTTGTGGCAAAACCAACGCCATCACTTGATTTGGTGACAGTCTGATGGGAGAGGACAAGGTTGCTACGTGCTAGACGTTTGCGAGGCAACGTGAATGGTGTTTACAGCAGCGCTCTCGATAGATGGTTTTCTCATGAATGATTGATAGGTGGGTTAGATTAGATTAGAATAGATAGTACAATTTAGTTAACAGTCGATTATAAGTTAGTGCTTTTCTCGATAATTAGATGTTTATTGTCTAGGTATATATACAGTAGATTAACGATTTAGTATTATTAACTAGTGATGATATCGCTTTTTATGACCTTATAATCTAATAGTATAAATGTGCTTTTTAATTTACTATACTAAACACACTGACTTATATCATGATATCGTAAGAGGGAATACAAATATTGACAGTTGGTGAAATGTTCTAAGTTGTTTTGTGAAGTGAATCTTACGATTATACATCCACCCGACTCCACCGGTTCATCTTCGAAGAGCCGAAACTAGGTTTTAATCGACAAAACAGCCAGTCAGTTTTAGTCCTCGATGATATTTTTTGGTTTGTCTTACAATATATGTATATTATCTCTCGAAAATGAATTGAGATTTAACGACTAAACGTCTGATGCCCCGAAAATACTACGATCCTGCGCATTCCGGAATCTGCTACAAAATAAAAAGGTATTCGGGGAGGATGTAGAAATGTTTCGACTAGAGAGAGGGCTGCAAAGCCTGTAAGAAAAGCTTGAGCGAATGGAACGGACGTGGGAATTGTTGTTTGGCGCTGGAAAATTAAGATGTTTGGGGAAGGTCATCGTCAGTATAGTACTAAACAAGGTGTTTTATCAGGTAATCAATCATCTTATTTTCCGTTCGTGAAATTATTTTATAGTTAGGGTCGGCTAATAGTGCCACAATTAGTTGCTTCGAACCTTCGATTTTGCGATTGTCAATCCGATGGAACCGATGCAATCCACATGCAATGGAACTTTTGTGCACAAAGAGATAATTCTGAGAGTTGCGGATAAGAATGCATTACACTAACTAGACACAAAAGTGACTTATTTATTATGGAACTAGTTGTGGCTACATAGCGCTCATATATCTAAAAAAGGGTTGCGGTTACAGTTGGGGTCAAGGAATAGATTGTTCGCAAAGAGAGAAGAGAGAAACTCTTCCCTAGATATTTGTCTATCTATAGAAAGTAAAATAGTACACTATAACACAGGTTATTTATTAATACTATAATATTTCCAAAAAAAAGGCATCATTTATTTTGATTAAATAACTAAAAATACCTCCCAAAAATACGTTCTAAATTCTTGCTAGAATATCCAGCTCCTACCACCGAAAAAAAAAAAAAAAACACCCCCCCTCCTCCACCCCGCATCCCCGCTCCCATCCCCAAAAACCTTCCCTAAAAAGTAACCCCTCCCCACCGTCACTAAAAAAATCAAAAAAACAACACATCCGCCCGACGAGAGGCTCGAACTCTCAACCTTGGGCTTAAAAGGCCCACGCGCTAACCAATTGTGCCAGCCGGGCTGTTTGTTGTTATTGGTTGAAGCAGATTTCGACTTTTTCATATATAAAGGCTTCATGTAAGGGCCGAGATTGAGCCTTCGCTTAACTTTATGCGACCTAGGTACAAGGCCGGTGGAAGTAAATTAGCGAGAGTTCACCGAACACCCAACTTTCAATAATTAAATTCATTATACGACTCTTAATTAAAGTTAATAAGATTTAGTCTCTATACAAAAAAGCGCTTAAATTCTAATACCGCCTATTTTAATTATCTATAACCGTAGAGATTGACTAGAAAGATTACATAGAGATAACCTCTTATTCTTATCGAGCGTGCACGGATTACCCATCCATCTTGTCCTCCACGGGGACGAACCTGCGCCCGCAGCGAGACGGGGAAATTGCCTAGATGGAAGACAACGAAATGGAAGAGGAGAATCGGTAATAAGATATTACCGTTCTTAGTTTCGGCCCGTTCTCATCAATTACTACAAACTGTTCATGTCAAGCCCCAATTCGGAAAACGACATAGGGTGGCGAATTGCGATTTCTGGTATTGAAAACGGGCAAGCGAAGGGAGCTCCATGTCACGGCTAGTTATTTTGAAAAGGCTGTGCGTTCTCATCAATCATTAGCAAAGTGTTCGTTTCGCACCCAATCTGCGAACAAGACATGGCGTGGCGAATTACGATTTCTGGTGTTGAAGACAGTTAAGCGAAGGGAGCTCTGTGACATAGGGGTTCCAAGTTTGTTTTGAAAAGGAAGTTCTTTTTGCCTATACTTTGTTCCTTATGGCGATTTTGACGTGTACTGGCGTGTTTTGCTGTTATATACAGTAAGCGAGCGAGCACGAGTGACCTGTGAAATTCTCGAGTGGAAAGGGAGTTTTTACTACCTAGGTACCATCTTCTAACTCTCATTTTAATATATCCGAACTATCCAGTAGGTTAATCATCCCGTTACTACTTAAATATAAATATCTACACACGAATTCCTCAACGCAATTAGTCCATCCACATTGTATTATTCTCAACCAAGTATTACCTCCTCTACTTCTAACACACCACAACCCTCACCTCCCACATCTAACCACCAAACTCCAAAACTTCACAACAAACCATAAAACACCATCCCGACTCCTATTTCCAAGATCACACGACACCACCCTTCCCCCTCCCCTCCCATCCAGACCCCCATCCTCCCCGCCGAAGAATTCACAATCAACCCCGTCCCATTCCCCGTTCCATTCACACTCACACTCACCTGACTCGGCGTCGGTTTTACGGTCGTCGTCGTCGGTGGACTCGTTGGAAACGGTGGTATCGGCGTCGATGTAGTAGGTGTAGGTTCACCCACCGGTTCGAAACCTAGGGAGAGGGCGCATGCGGATGGTGTTAGAGCCTGTGGGGATAGGGTTAGTCAACGGAGGGGGGACTGGGGAGGAGGAGAATAGGAATGGAGGGAGGTGAGAAGGAAGGGGAAGGGAAGAGGGGAGGAAATATACATCAGGACAACACCATGTAGCATTCCTCCTATCTTTCGTACAATAGTAGTTTTTGTCACACGATTCTGTTGGTTTATTAGCATATCTCCTTATCCCCTCGCCTTCCCTTCCATCCCCTTCCCCATCCTCTCACCCCCCCCATCCCCATCTCCTCATCCTCATCCCCCATCCCCTCATCCCCCCATCCCCATCTCCTCATCCTCATCCCCCATCCCCTCATCCCCCCTCTTCCCTCCCCCAAAACCAAAGAAAACAAACTCACTGCCATTCCCATCCTCACAACACACCTGACCCGCCCCCGGGTCATAACAAAAAAGCGTCAACTGTGTACTCGCCGGACAACCGATCCAGCCCTTTCCACACGCATCCGCACAGTTGGTACCAAACGCGCATTCGCCGTATTCGGGGCCGTAGCCTGCTTGTCGTTTGAGGATTTGGCGGTGTGGAGAGGAGGGGTTTTGTGAGGTTAGGGCGGTGGTAAGAGGGAGATGGGAGAAGAAGAAGAAGAGGGAGAGAAGTGGAAGGAGTGGAAGGAAAAGAGTTGTGGTGTGCATTTTAAGTGAGTGATGAGTATAGGGGGGTTAGGAAGTGGTTACATATCTTGTATGTATCAAGTCAATTCTCAAACGAATAAATGACAACCACCTACCTTGCTCCCTCCCCTCCCCAACACACGCGGCTCAACCTCCACCCCCCCTCAACCCAACCGCTCGCGTAAGGCTCCACACATCCTATCTCGTGTAACCCCAACACGGCATCTCCAACCTAACACCATTCGAAATCAATATAGTGGCTTAAAACAAACCCCTTTCCCATCACTCGCAATCAAAATCTTGGCAGCTGAAACGCCCCCAATACGACGTCCACAAACCGCTGATTGCTCAGCCTTGTCGACCCCAGATATCACTTTGGGGTTATAGCTTATCTGAACGACACGCCTATTTCTGTTTTCAGTATTCGTAAGAATTGATCAGCTGTGATGATGAGGAAAGCCTGCTTCATAATTGGACAGCCGCGTAGCAGTTTTCCCAGGACGGCAGACTGCAACATCGAGGTTTTGTTATGTGGCTTGTTTCTATCGCAATTGCTGGGACTGTACAGTTGAAAAGGGTAACATACGATGATAGGCGTCGGAATTGATGTTTGCCGTGCTTAGCTGGATGGATATGTGATATCAACTGGGAGCGTGTTTTGCTTCCGGTCGAAAAGATTCATCGCTCTTCCCATGGTTTCTCCAAAATTTGATTTTCTCGACCATCATCGTCACCAACAAAATGCCCTCAAGCACAGCGTTTGTCGTCGAGGGAGGAAAGGCAGCCGTTCAATCATTCCAACCCTGCCATATATTCGGTGATGGCGACATCTACGGAGTTGGCGTGCGCGTCAGCTTTTACATCCAGTTCTTCTCTTCAATCGCTGCGCTTGCCGCCAACATTGACGAATGCATCACACTGTCAACAAACACATTAACCATCATCGGCATGGCGCTGTGGATAAACCTCATGGTCAATTCGACTGGAGATACCCTGGTCATTTTGGATTGGGTCATTATCCTTAGCATCATCGCATTTCTTCCATTCTATGCCATCTGGCGCCCCTCCCATTATCTTTTCAATGCGTTGCGTTCTACAAAGGCAGCAGAAAATCTTAGAAAGCAAGAGGCCCCGGTGCAACAAGCCATCAATCAGTTGGTAGAAATCGAATACCAGGAATACCAACTTGTCCAATTGTGGAGCGCTGGTGAGGACGATCAGGGCAGACTGTGGGTGAAGTACCAGCAGGCCGTTAGAGCCTACATTGCAACTATAACAATCGAACTTGGCGATGCAAACGTAGCGACACCCACCTTCAATAACGGCTTTGTACCTATCTCCACACTTGAGGACTATCTCGATCACTATCTGCAAAAGAATGACGCAAATGATATAGATGGCGCGGATTTGGCTCTGCGCCTCTTTCTACAGAAGATCACCCATGATATGCGGAAATTACTCGCAGAAATGTACGCAGAGATATTAGGTTCTGCAATAATCAGTCACGGCTTCGTGTTGCTAACGTGGAGTGCATACCTCTTATCAACTCCATGGCTTTTTTTCAACGGTTTCGACAATGGCAGGAAAGAGAGTTGCACAATCAAAACAATGGACGTTTTCTTTATCCCAATCAGCATTTATAGCCGCGGCCACCTTATATGGCTTCGGGTATCTTCGGTGGCGTTGAGTATAGCAGCAGCGTCGGGCATACTTTATGGCTTAAGTTTGATATACATCGGTATCACACAACTCCTCAAAGAATTAAGAGACGCACCCAAAATCCGAAGGGCGCGAAGAGATGTCACTGTACGCACAAACCCGCCGGCAAGCACAGCCAGCACCGAAGGCCAAGGTGATGAAGCCCAAGCTAAGTTGCTTGACGAATTGAGAGCCGACGCATTTTGGGACGAGTTTTCGAATGACGAGCTGCGTCTCTTACGTCTTTACTGGAATTGGGCCTTGCCAATATGCTTGTCAATAGCAATTGGTACGATAATTCTTGTGGAGGTGACGATCCGGTATGTAAACCATATCGACCTGAGTCGCTCATCAATCACAACACCAAGCCAACTTTATCCCCTACTCCTGAGCATATTTTCAGCAGTCCCAGTATTCTTGGAGACGATAAATAAATTCATTACGGATGATGAGTTCAGGGACCAATGGAAGAAGGCTTGGATTTTTTACCGGATTTTTGGCAAGAAAGAAAGTGTAAACCCCAATCAAGTCACCGACCCAGCCGAGAATCCACCACAAATGAGAACCGCAAGCAATGACTCATTAATCATACGCGCAGAGGAAGGTAGACGAAGTGAAGAGCCACGGACAAGAGTTGTCTGAAACTCATCACATTCTCATTTGACGTGGCCCACGAATCTCAAGTAGCACCAGCAAGAAGAGAAGGCACAAAAAGGGTCAGGCAACGGACCACTTGGTACAACAAAGAAAACTCAAACCCCATTCATTGTAACTTCGCAAAGAGGACAGGAGGATGTAATATTTCTTTCACGTACAGCAAGGAAAACAGAACAATGGAACAATGCGCACGCAAAATAATGATAAGCACGAGATAATGAAATATGATGTGTCACTTGAACCTCTCATTCCCAACATTCCTCCGGATAATCTGACAACTTCATCATGGCTATCGTTTCCAAAGCAAAGAAATGCGTCAACAACGTAAGTCACAAAGTACGTGCTAGCATCTCATCTGAGTCGAGTCGGAGTGTCAAACTTGACATCGAGACTGACCCTGATACAAGAGCCAAGTTGAGGAAAGGTCATACCGACATTGTAGCAGTCTCTCAACGATGTAAGGATGACAACCGCGTTACCAGCGTCCAATGTGATCGTGAAGTCATCGCCGCTGATACGTTCGCAAGAGATGACCGTGAACGATGGCTCAGAAGCATGAGCAAAGAAGGACGCAAACTGTGGACAGAAGCTATGTGGGAGCACGATGCGAAGTATGCACGCCTGGATGGTCCACATAGTAAGGAGAGCGCCGAAGCTCCAAGCGTTCAAGAGTTCCGTCTAGTAGTTACTCCTCCTCCAGAGGAGGTAGACTCTGCAGAGAGGGAAATTAAGAGTCTGACCAGAGAGACCTTTCACAAGGGCGCTGAACAAGCCATGGCAGTAGCAGCATTTGAGGCACGTATCAAGGCTGGTGTGGCTCGATTTGTCAACAGATATGGCCCTGGAGTTGGCGACCTCGCTGTCGTTGAGTCTGCACTCCGTGAGAAGTACGCTGCTGACGATGCTGAGCGTGTTCGTAATGGCGAGCCTCTGCCCCACGCTGTCTTCCCAACGACTGTGTTAACGACGACAGGAAGTTCAATCCACCTGACTCCGGAACGGATTGCCGAACTTGATAAAGACAGATTGGAGGCCTTTTTGCAAGAAGAGTACGCTTTCGAATCCGTCTTCAACGTACTACGATCGGGTCGCAATTCTCCTGCCGTATGAAACAATTAAACAAACAATTACCCACAATTAGCAATGATCCATGATGACAAGAGTGATGTATACTCAACTTCACCTTACTCCCGCTGTAACGTATAACAGGACCCTACCTTTCAAGGCCGCAAATCCATAACTATTTAAGTGACAATTAACATAAAGCACAGCGTGACCCGCACAGACTGGGAGAACAGCGTATGTTTTGCCACGTCGTGAGAGATGGAATGCTTTCCTAGTCGTGTTCGTGAAAAAGCCGATACCAACATTGTGTCCATACAAGTGCGTTGAGTTTCGTCCAGAAATTTTGCATTTGTTGGAGCTACAGGCTAGAGGACGAGTTGTAGGAAGCTTCCTCTTCAAAGAGGCCAGGCCAAGTAGAAATGTGCGAGGAGTCTGTACCGAAGTTTGAGTGTAGAATTTCGATGAATTGCGTCCGACTTTCGATATCAAAAGAATAGCTCTTCGAAACATCGACTACAGTCTCGTCAAGTGGTCAACATCTGCTAAGTGGCGAGCCCGAGAAAACTCCCCCAGAGCTGTGAAACATGACGGGAATTCCCCAATATCTCAGGACATAACCTCCGAGTTCCAAGACCTAGTCTCAGATCGAATCGAGTGATCGCATCTCCGTGACGCACGCGTGAATTCGCAATATTCTGTAAATAGTACACAGGACTAGACCTATGCCTGCATAATACTTGAATATTGCCTCGGTGATGAGCCAGGAAAACTGCCCCTCACTTGATAAGTTTCTCATGACCAGTTTCTTCAAACTCAAAACGGCAACACGCAATAATAGTCAACGCATTGTCGTTTGGTGGTGTCAGAAAATTTGATCTAGCAACTCAACGAAAGCCTCAAGTTTTCTAGACGCAAGATGTTAGCAATATTCTTATGATCATTGGTTAATAGTGGACAAACTTTGTGATCCGCTTAGAGTTGCTAGCAGGCTTTCAACAATATAGTCGACTCCTGAAGATCTTGAACGGTGCAGGAAATCATTGCCGCGTAGTTTTGGTACCAATTTTATCCCGAAGCGTTTCTTTCGATGTCTAGTCCTGCTGGTACTGGAGCATCCCATTGAGATGGAAACTGACGACGATAGTACACAACATCATGGACTTGGCCACTCGTCCCTGAGATGTTCAACTTCGATGCCGGGAATTAAATAATTACACTAACATTTATATCCGGGCACTTCTCCTTGTCGCTTGACTCCCCATAATGCGCTGAACACTGTTCGTTCAACAATTATTGAATCTCAAAAGCCGAAGCAGTTTAGCCACCCTCGATCTGGACAGAATCTGACCGGCGAACTCTTGGGACTGTTCATACTTCTGGATACCAGTAATTAGGATTGCGGTGGAGTCTTTCGCTTGTATCCACCTCGGCATCTGCGAGGGTCCCCCGCATTTCACTTAGTTCGTCGATCATTACCGGAACTAAGAAAGCTTCCCCAGACCCTGGAAGAGCTTAAATGATCGTCATTAGCCACCGCGTTTGTATGTTTCCTCTAAATCGCGGCAAGCCTGTTATGGCTTCGGGATAAGGAGCCTGTCGCAACGTCAATGTGGCTTTATGACTAGTTGGAATATGTCAATGGCGGTCCGGTGTGGCACACCTCTTTTGTACAGTAGCTGAAATGCCAGCGCCACAATCTAACTGCCTTGATATCATGACGTTTTTGTGTGCGGTACACACTTCGGAAGTGCAAAGGTCACTGTCGTGGCTGGTATTGTTGCTGTGGATGGAACACCTGCCACTGAAGAAATGACTACCTCAAGGCTGGGACTACACGCACCAATGACTATTGCGGCGCATATGGTTGGCTGAAGCAGTCTTGTCCACAAGTGCAGGCACGGAACTTATCTGGACTATGATCATCAAGCGCCCGTTCCCCGCATCCTCCCACTCAAAAACCGCCTCGGCTCTCGAAGTCGAAGTGAAATGCTAGCGGGATCTGCATTGAATTTTCCGAATCCAAAATTACGGATCTTGTGTAGCTTCAAAGTAGTTGAACCGGGCAAGACAGACAGTGGTCTCCGCCTTGAAAGAACGTGGGCCAGCCGAGGATCCTCCTCTGTCTATCAGAGTTGCATAGCGAAAATGATTGTAGAATCGGCAATTAAGCCATCGAGATCAATTACCGCCAGTGAATAGTGTCCATCCAAGTATATAAGGTCGATGAGATACCCGCAGTCTTTCTTCATCCAGACAATCTCATCTTCTCAGCATCTTCGCCTCTCATCATCCGCGTTCCTAATAAGCACTCAAAATGCAGTACGCTCTCCTCACCATCGCCTTGACGGCACCGACCGTCCTGGCATTCCCCTTCGTTGCCCAGATGCCAGGCGTTGATTCAAGCTTGTTCATGAAGCGTCAACAATCTGGAGGCTCAAACCCAGGTGGACCAGCAACCTGCCCAAACAACCCAAACCACGTGCCAGCTCCAGGTATCACAGCTCAGTATCCATACAATGGAGCGAAGAACGGTGCTCCTGGAAAGGGTGTTGGTGGATACCGAGTTCCAGCAGTTGGTGATACCGCCCATCAATTCGTTGCTCCTGGACCAAACGATATCCGTGGCCCATGCCCTGGATTGAACGCAGCCGCCAACCACAACTTCCTTGCTCACGATGGTGTCACAACATTCAACGAGCTCGTCGACGCCCAGCAGAATCTCTACAACGTTGGCTACGATCTTTCAGTCCTCCTTGCTTTGCTCGGATTGACCCTTACCGACGGTGATATCGTCACAGAGAAACTCTCCATCGGATGCGACGCCACCACTAGAACTTCCTTCAATCCAGTTTTGACTGGTTCAGAACCTGGTCTCGATGGCCACAACAAATTCGAGGCTGATACCTCCCTCACCCGCAATGATTTCTTCCTCGGCAAGGGCGACAATTTCTCCTTCAACGGAACCCTTTACAAGATGATGCAGACCACCACTGGCAGCAACTATAACCGTGACAATCTTGCCAAATACCGATACGAGCGATACCAACAATCTCTCCGAGACAACCCAAACTTCTACTTCGGCCCATTGTCCCTGCTGCTCTTCGGTGCCTCTTCTTTCTTGTACGAGTTGATGCCATCAGGAACCCGCAACTATGCTCCCGATGAGTACACTATCTCATCCTTCTTCGGCGCTGAGAGACAGGCCGACGGTACATACACATTCAACAACCAGGAGAAGATTCCAGACAACTGGACCAACCGTGTCAAGCCATATACCAACAACGATGTAACCGCAGAGATCCTTGCCCAGTACTTGGAATACCCAGTCTTGTTCGGTGGTGCTACCGGAAACGGAGGCTTCGATCTCCTCAACTTTGGTGGCAGTATCCAGGACGGAAAGCTTATCGCTACTCCTGGCAGCAAGGAGCTTACTTGCTTGCTCTATCAACTTGCCACACAATCTGTCCCATCCTACCTCAACGGCGTCATCACTCCAACCGTTGAGGCTGTCGGACTTGTTTCCACCAAGATCGGTGGAACCTTGGTCAACCTTGGCTGCCCTCAACCACTCACCTAAATAATGATCGTCTCGGTATCAATGCTGCAAACTGCGCGTTGCGAGTGAACCCGAAACTCAATGGCACGACCTGTACATATTGATATTAGCGATGGCCACTGGTTACTTTGTATCCTTTGCCTTTTTCTTTCCCGATACGATTTCTTTTCTGTATATAGTTACTATCCTTGTACATAGCTTCTCACGAGATAAAAAATATAAGTCTGCAGCACTTACAGATTCGTCCCCAAAATAGTGTCCTTACAATCACATGATAATATTCGCATTCTGATGGGTGCAATCAAAACAGCTTCCGATTGCGACTGTAGTACTTGTAAGGTAGCTTCGTCATGTCGAATATGAATTTCTGACGCTCCATCTAGAGCAGTAGCATCAACGCGACTGCGGGTGTGCGACATATCCCGCGTTGCCAACCTTCTATCCGGGGGTCAATTCGAGGCGTAATCTTGTAACGATACCGTCGTTGATTCAATGATGTGGAATCTCTGAGTAGTACGTGTCTTTGTGGACATGACGGATGAGATGCTTTTGGTTGTTCAGGAAGAAGGTGGCGAGGAAGAAGCTGGCTTGTACGGTGACCGGAAAGTCTTCTTCGACCGCCGTAACACATGGTGCTTCTTTAACTCGAAACCACAACACCCGCCGTTCAAATTTGAGGTATAGTGGTTTTGTGCTCTAAAGCTCGTTGTGAACATATCAAACAGTCAAAAACCCAATTTGCAAGAACACACCCGCTAGGCCGTTGGTGGATAGTAAAAATTCAGGGTTTCTTGACTACGAAAATGTGTTTTGAAGTCCATCTCGTTTCGATATATTATAATATCTACGATGATGTGTAATGATAATACTCTTTTTCACATTCAACTCTGTGGACAAACCCCCGGGTTCATGACTCTAGATGGACGAATGTAAAAGAACATGGGAAGGGAGCATTGCGACAAATTCAAGGAACATGAGAAAAGATACAACTACAACCCGGTAACTAAATTTCCTTTTTTGTATTTATTAGATTTTAGCATAACTCAAATACGCAACAGTAACGAGAGGCTCTCTATCTTACAAACCCATCCATCTACAATATTCCTTCTCCTCCCAAGAAATTTCGCAACCCAATACTCTACATGAAACGGAAATTCCCTCGGACATCCGCCTTCAACACGTGAAACCCACATATCGGACCTCCAACCCCATCTCATATATACCGTCCGAGCCTCGAACAATGTCTAGAATTTTGAGATCACATTTCTCAACTCACAAGGCAATTTAACATTGAAGCCCGGTCAACCAAAAGCGAGGAGAAGAACTCAAAATGACGATCCAACGTATAACACTCTTCAAAGCGCCCCAAGAATCCGTGGATAAATTCATCGGGGCATATGAAACTCTTAAGAAAAATGCCGTTAAAGTACCTCCTTTCCCCTCCCCTCCACTCTTCTCCTTCCTCTCTCCCATACTCACCTCTCAGGACTCAAAACCCTACATCCTCTCCCTGACCGCCTCCGCCACAAGTCCGGACCAACGAAACCAAGGCTACACTCTTATATCTAGAAGCGAGTTCAAGAGTCTGGAGGATATGAAGTACTATGATGAAGAGTGTGCCGCGCATGCACAACTCAAGACCGAGGGAAGGGAATTGGGGATTCCGGGGCCGCCGTTGGTTGTGTTTTATGAGGTTTAAGGGGGAGGAGGAAATCTAAAAGCACGTCAAGCCTCTTATCGTCAACCATCAAATCAAAATCAAGATCAAAATATCAAACCCTCAAATCAAACATTCTGTCCATCCATTCCTTATCTAATCCACCCGCATACCTACCAAGACACCCCTCTCCCCACCCCTTCTTCTACCCTCCCCCCAGCAATGGAAAATACCCATATCCCCCATCCCTCACCTGTACCCCAAAACAGAATATGGGGTCCTCCACCCCACGAATAAAACCCAGCTTCAAAAGCCACCTCAAACGCCTAATAGCTTATCTAAGGGATTTGAAAGCCTCGTTCTCCGGCATCTGAACGCCAGATAAATACATGTAAGCAGAGTACATGAACCAGCTTTCACCATCAAATCCCGGTGAATTGTTACCCCGCGCTCCCTCGCTTCGAACTATATATAAAACCACCGTTGCTCAATTATTCACAGCCGTTGTTGAAGTATCAAACTCAAGAGAGTTGGTTTTGAAAAACGGTCTATACATACCAAGTCATAAAGCAATCTCATAATGTCAATCGCCGGTCACAGCGCAGCATGTTGCGCCATCCCGCCTATCAACGCGAAGACTGATGCCCCGCCAAAGGGACGGTATGAGGAAATTGGGGGGTTGAAAACTTGTATATCTCCCTCTCTTTCTTACTCATTTTTTAATGTCCTAATCCCCTAACCACTTACTATTCCGCGACTCGCCCGATTAACGAAATTGCGACTCTCCTACCAGACTAACAATATCCAGATGTGACAGGCAGCCCCGAATCCACCAAAGCACTCTTCTTTATCTACGACGTCTTCGGATACTACCCCCAAACGGTGCAAGGTGCTGATATTTTGGCGTACGGGGATGAGAAGAATCAATATCAGGTATTCGTGCCCGATTTCTTGGGCGGGAAGTATCCTGATATTTCATGGCAAGTTTCCTCCCTAGCACGTATTCCCAGGTATGGATTTTTGGGGTTGACTGAATACCTAGGTATCCCCCACCCAACCCCGAAATCGAAGCCAAGTTAATGGAATACCTCTCAACCACCGCCGCTCCAGCAACCGCCATCGCGCGTATTCCAGGCATCATCGCTTCAATTGAAGCCTTCTCCCCTACCATCAAAACCTGGGGCGTAGTCGGCTTCTGCTGGGGTGGCAAGATCATCTCCGTCGCGACATCTACGACGGATACACCATTCAAAGCTGCGGCGGAATGTCATCCAGCGTTTGTGGATCCGAAAGAGGCGTTGGGGATTAAGATTCCATTGTGCATGTTGCCGAGTGGTGATGAGCCAGTGGAAGACGTAAAGAAGTTCCAGGAGAATCTGAGCGTGGATAATCATGTTGAGACGTTTGCGGATATGATACATGGGTGGATGACTGCGAAGGGGGATTTTGAGGATGAGAGGAAGAGGGGGGAGTATGAACGGGGGTATAAGGTGTTGTTAGAGTTTTTTGGGAAGTATTTGTAGTATTGGGGAGGGGAGGGCGTGATGGGATGATGGGAAAAGAGAAGGGATATAACGTGGAAACCATCATGAAGAAAATAGATACCTAGGATGACATAGCGATCTATGATGCCGGTTTCACTAGAACCTGAACACTCCGAATAACAATATCGTCCAAAGTACTTGAAGGTGAGGTCTTCCCTGAAAAGGGGAGGCAGTTTTAGCCTTTGTTATCGGTAGAAAGATTGATTTGGAGCAATGCCAGAATAGTGAATTCGATGGACCACAAAACTTACAATTTCTGATTTTTACCAATTTTCATTCCATAGAAAAATTCGGTTCCATCGCTGGATCCTCGATTCAATGGATCTCAATTATGCTCGAAGTCGCCTTCGCCCGACATCACCAAACATGCCGTCGCCATTCAAAAAGTCGAAGTCGTTGGCGACGCAACCTCCGCCAAGTCTTCCGCCAAATAAACCACCTCCGCCGATTACTGAGCCTTTCAGCCCAGGTGGATTTAGACGACCGCGACCTCTCTCAATCGGACGGCTCAGTTCCACCACTAACGGGAGTATTGGCCTTGGAATCTCTCTTACTCAATCCCCAGGAAGCTTGACACGAGTTGATGAAGGGGAAGGAAGTGAACATGGAAAATCCGACGACTACTTCAAAGACTATCAGAACCGTTCTACCACCCAAAAGAGCTCAGGTCTGCGACCAAGTGGACGCGATCTCAGTCGAGTCGATACGAGATTGACGATATACGAAGCGACCAAGCAATGGACGGAAGAGACGACGCAGTGGACCAAAGTATACGGGCAGTGGATCGAAGAGTCCAAAACACCTACGTCAATCGAGGCGCAGCTTGGTAGGACGGCCGGATGGGTAAATGAGGTGGAATTGGAAGGAGAAGAAAATGAGATCGCTACACCCGAAGACCTTCAACGAAAATTGAACGCACCAAGACCCCCTCTCCCTCCAGGAACTCCAGCCAACATCGATCAATTCATCCACGAGCAACTCGAGGAAAATTATCTCGGTCAAGCAAACACCTTTGTACGCGCAGCCAAGAGCCGCAGCATCAACAGCCCTCGCCCTCGCTCTGCCGTTCGATCCTTTAGTGTTCCGGCAATTACCCGGTCACTTTCAGAGCCAACCGACAGCAGTTGTTCACCAACCCAACTCCGTTCTGCAACCTCATTCTACACCCCAACAAAAATAGCCACAGCTCGAGGATACAGGACTGCCAGTGTTCCTGCTCGACAGCGAAAAGTATCAGCACACAAACATCTCACCATCGAACCCGCCCCAGAATCAACTCCCGTGCGAGAAGGAACCGTGCTTTGCGAGACATACGGAGAGACAGCGTCAGGAGCAGTAGGAACACCTGTCCACGCAACCTACGGCCACCGACTTCACAAAGTTCCATCTGGAGCTAATATATCCATCACCAAACGACGTTCACGAAGGCAGTTGAAAGACGTTGTGCGAGGTCCTCTATATTTTACAGAATCCGAACGTCAAGCCATCGCTGAGCTAGTACTTGCCAACCTCAAACCGTGCGAGCATCACGTCAACTGTACAGATTGCACCGATATCCGATACGCTCTTTTCGAAAACAAAGCCATGCCTACCTCAATGCCACCAGAGGAGCGACAGAAGATTATCAACAACAACAGGTCGTTGAGGAATATCAAGAATGCAAGTCTCGTGTCCGCAGAATCATTATTCAATTCTAACAAGTCGAGTAGGAGCTTGAGAACCTCGCAGAACACGGCGCCATCAGCGATGATGCATACGACACCATCCTCCGATCCCTCCCAGAGGAAACCTCTCTCAACGGAGCCGCAAGATCCAACCCCGCACCATCCCCTTCACCCGTCCCTACCAACGCATTCGCCAACATGAAGGTGAATAACGACCCACCACCACCAGCCTACAACACCCAAGGACCTCCCGCCCTCCCTAGCCGCACAAATTCCAAACCAGAACTTGCGCGTGTCACCGCACTGTACAGATACATCGAGCCCCAAGACTGCGCCTTTGAAGTTGGCGACGAGATCTCCGTCACCGAAAAGACCAATGCAGATTGGTGGTGGGGAACCAACCTCCGCACTGGAAAGGAGGGCGTCTTCCCAGTCAACTACGTACAAGTCCAAACCAACCCATCGCATAATGAGAAATCAGGCTGGGGAAATGAGAAAGCACAACCCTACCAAGCACCAGCACCATACCAACAACCGTATCAAGCCGGTCCTCCTCCACCAGGTCCAAGTAATCCTTACAACGCCGCCGTCCCACCGATGGCTGTCGCTGAGACCCCTAGTGAGCCCGGAAAGCCTGGAAAGGGACAAGAAATGGGTAAGAAATTCGGAAAGAAGTTGGGCAATGCTGCTATTTTCGGTGCCGGTGCGACGATTGGTGGAAATATCGTTAATAGCATCTTTTAGATGTTGAGTTGGAGGTTGGATGTTTGTAATGACTTGAACGCTGCGGTTGTTTGTGGCTTTTCTACTGGCCTTTGGGTGTTGAGGATTGGATGGTAGGATGATGATGCGATGCAGCTTATATAGATTGTTTGTGTTGGAGTATAGGTGTGTTTAATGAATTGGAATGGGAATCCTTTTTTGAATGTGTCATCGATGTGTTGATTTGAGAAGCCAGCAAACTAAAACCTTCCTCGAAATGGATAATTGATTAGTCAGATCACATGGGACTTTCGTTTTGTTCAAATATCGTTGTCTCCCCCGGCATGACTTGATGTATTGATCGTGAACGAAACCGAAATATATGGCTATGTAACTTGAGATAGGTAGACTTGGAGGGGAGTGTAGGTTTGAGGAACTATGACTGATAGCCTAATTCCCTGAGTCAGAAGATTGATGATTTCTACGGGATTCCCTTTCTTAACCAGGCGCTATTAACTTGAGAAATGGCGGACTGATTGTCCTACGTAACAAGGTCTACAGAAGGGTATATATATAGGAATAAGTAGTAAATAGGGGGCCTGGCCAGGTAGCTTAGCCTGTATCGGTAGGTATAGGAGCATATTCTCCGGTCAACAAGCCCTTGGGTTATTCGAGTCGAAATTTCAATTATCGATATAAGGTTAGCTTTGTGTATCGTTGTGGTAAAGGGTTTTAAATGTGCTTTCTGGGAAGGATTGGTGCGGGTTAGAGGGCTGTTATGTTAACGGGGTGACTTCTTTTTCGTGCTTGCAGGTGTGGTCTGTAGTGTAGAGATGGCTTTTTAATGACTAAGTAAGCTTGTATCTATGATGTACCTTTTAAGATGTCCCAGTTCTCCAGAAACCAAACCGAATATTTTCAGACCTATTCAAAATCACCCTCCGCTTCATCGCGTTACCACCCGACGGAAGTAGAATTCGAGGCGGGTAATTAAGCGAACGTCCTCACGCTTTGGCGAGAATATATGGATAGGTAGTACTTCGCGTTTTCTAATATGAGGAGGGGGTGGATGGGGAGTCAGATTTTTGGGGGGGAGTATGGTTTCTGGTGGGGGTTGTATGGGGGGGTTGTATTGGGGGTGGGTAGGTTTGAGTTTGCTTTTGAGGATGTTTGTATATGAAGTTGTGAATAGAAGTACAGTTGGTAGAGGTGATGTTGGTGTGTTTTCGGTGTGTTAAAGGAATAATAAAACTGCGCAACCTCTCTTGATTGGTGGAAGTAGGGTAGAAGTGATTATGTATAGTGGAATATTATCTTGGTGTCACGTATGAGTAAAGTTCATCACTCTGCGCCAATACATTAGGTTTTGTCAACCGGTAAACACACGATATAAGAAACAGCTATACCAGCCTCGAAGCCGGCATTCTGACGAATCTTAAATAAGGATTCACCCAAATGACTTAACCCATTAAAGCCTAATTTCCATTCGAAATTTAAACCCTACCAAACAACCCATAAACTCCACTCTCCTCTACATCCCCTCCCCTCCACCAACCTCAAATGACCCAACCAAAACCCCTCGCTCCTCCAACAGGAATTCCATTCTCCCGCGAGATGAAAATGACACTCCGCTATATCCTCCGGAATCACAACGTCGAAACGTCGGAAGATTTGGGGTCTTGCGATTGGGATGAGATAGTTGCGCATTGGGAGCGTATCAGGACGCATGAGAGGGAGATTGTGGATATTGGGAGGCCGTATACGAGGGGAGATTTGGAGGGAGAGATTGAGCGTCATAGGGTGTATTATTTGGTTGAAAGGGTGATGGGTGTTAGTGAGTGGTGGAAGAAGGGGGAGGAGGGAGAGGTTTGTGGGTTGGGAGGATGAGAGGTAGGGGGGGGAGGTGGAGAGGGGTGTTGGGGGGCTATGAGAGAGTTGGAGGGGGGAGAGGGAGTGGGAATAAGGTAAAACCAGAGAGGTGTTTTGAAGTTGTGGGTGAGGGGTTTGGATAGGGGAGAGCAAAGACTATGGATGTTGGATTTCAAGAGAATATGGAAAGGAATCTTACATCAGGTTCATTTTAGATGATATGGAAACTCCAGAGGGATTTCCATACTCTAGCTTTCCAGGCCCTGAAGGTTATCTGGATATGGCGCGGTTGAATGTTAGGCGTTGTAGTGAATTCATAAAAAAGGTTACTACAAATTCACCAAATACAAAATTCCATCACCCCACAACATCCTCAGATTTGAAGTTCTTTTCCACACAAAAATAACCCTTTCCAATTCTTCCAAGTCTAGAAGAACCTTCCTCCACCCAAAAACAAATCCCGAAAGCCATCTCTCAACACGAAAAACCCTCCACCACCATCGCACCCATGACCAACCCACCCCCCTTCACACCCCAAATGGCGCACCTCCTCCGCCTCCTCCTCCACCTCCAAGGCATGCTCACCTCCTGGCCGACCAATCAAACCCACGACTGGCTCATCATCCTCGCCGACTGGGAGAATTGCCAAATCAACAAATGTCGTCTCGATGGCAAACGCATCTACATACCAAGAATGGGACGGAGTTGGGATAAGATTGATTTGTGCAATGAGGTGAATGCGAATAAGGATTTTTATTTGGGCGTGGACTTTGTTGGGGGCGCGGATGATTGTACGGGGAAGTTTTGGAGCGCGGAGGTTAGGGAGAGGGTGAGGGCGAGGGAGGTAATGGGGGAGGAGGGTGGGGGGATTAAAAAATGGTTTGCGAGGGGGAGTAAGGATGGGGATGAGAAGGGGAGGGGGAAATGATGGTGAGGATGTTGTTTTGTGTTGTTTGGGGGAAAGATACTTGAGCGGCTAGGTCTTTATCTGAGTAATTCTCACTGATTACCTGCGGGATCTCAAGTATGGAGTCATGGCTGTTTTCGCGATCACTTATTCAAAAGTGGATATCGTTGGATGGATAGAAATGTACTTGGACAAAAGTTGTAATGGGTAGTTGGTCTTGCAGGTAAAACAAGAGAGGAATAAAATTAGGAATAGGTACCTTCTCATGCAATTAGAAGCCAATCTAATGTATTGTAGTTCTAACCATTCGGGTGCGTTTATCACTCGAGCTCGTCTCCTTGTCCATTTAATGCCGCTGGAGATCGACAGGTCGCTGACAGGATATTGCAAACAATTTTTTTTATTCAAGAGGTACCAAATAAATCATCAAAACCATACACGGACGGATACAGCAGTACCTGACGAAGAATGCTGAAAGTGATGCAAACGCTCGAGGCAGCAGAAGTCTCGGACGAGAAAGTATATCAGGATGGGATTTGCTGGATTTGACAGATCTTTCAGGGAGCATAGGCTACAGACGAAGCATTGGAAATCACCTTGGACATAAGAAAATGGGGCAGCTATTTGGGAACTCTAGTAGCGGCCCACCATGTTGGCTACCCTTTACGAAAGTCCTTCCTGTATTTTCCGGCTAGGATTTGGGCGAAATAATAATGCCAGTACGACCTCAAGAACTTTGCAGTAGATGGAACCCAGTACCGGGTGGTCTGGACTCTCAGTATCTAGCTGCACCTATAGATTGTATCCGCAACCTTGCCGCACGCTTTGGTCATCACCAGGAGCCAGGGCTGTTCTTCGACGATTTGGTTTGGCCATTTGGAGATGAAGACATGTGCATTTTTCTGCCATGCAAGTCGTGTTTGACGAATCCTAAAGTCTGCGCCAAGAAGCCGCAGACTCTCGAGTTGAAAACTGGGAAATTAATTAAGAAACGTCCGGGTATGAACGAGGGGTCTCTTGGCTTTTCGGTGCCAGAACAAGGCGCGGTGGTGTTTGCTTTGGGAAAGCGAAAAAGTTCATCTAGGCTTAAGATGTCTTTCCAGTTTCTGAAAAAACACTAGGTTCTTCACAAGAAATCGCTTAAGTGTTGTGTCTCGCTTAAATGCAGAGGGGGGATATTCACGTGAATGAAATTCCTTGCCTGATCGAAGATACATAAAAGGTGTTCTTTATACTGTGATGTGATATAGCTGGATCGATTTTGGTATTTGCTTAAGTGTTAAAATGTGACATTGTTGCTTGTTGGCATCAGTCGCTTGGGGGTAGTTCCACGTAACTTTCAATTCAGACATAGATTTGTGGTAAACTAGCAATCAAGATATACTTGAGTACAAATGGGAAAGTACAATAAGAGTTGTGGATTATCCATTAAACTCATGCGAGATAACAAAAACTTACTTGACGACTCTAGTGAGAATAACTTATTGAGAAACGATACGTTTGCAACTCTTATCCTATAAAGATATTATCTAACGAGACTAAATAAAACCGCTTTTGATGTAGGTGCTATGGCAATTGATAACACCAGTTGCACTTGAATAATATTGCGATTTATCGCATGACAACTTTTGGTAAACCTCACAAACGATAATTGGCCATTATGAATGTTCAATTGGTAGTTAAACACAACTGAATATTTTGTTCTTTCTCCCAAATTCGGTTAGCAAGCCAGGCTGCTTCAACTCCAGCGTTACTCACCCAGCTCACCTGTGTAGCCAACCTGCTTCTGGTCACAGGGCATTGTATTATTGGTTTTGTCAACTCTGACTCTCTGAGATTTGAGTTGTGAGGATCTCAATTGGGCGTTCTACAAGCGTATACACCATGTGTACTAAACAGTTGTGTATTCAATAGTTGTGTGCTGAATAGTTTTACGCCCAACGGTTTCCTAACGCTATTACTATTTCTAAATTTAGGGACCCAAATTTGGCGGGCCAATATCAAGGCTTTTCGGAAATTCCATTCGGAGAGAGAGAGTTGCTCAGTCTGGCTTTTTCACCAAAAGATGAAAGCGATCCCCGCTTCAGCTTTGCTGCCTGGAATTCCCAACTGTCGGTTCATCAGAAATAAGGTAATAGATCGTCTGCACAGCACAGTAACTCGACGCCGTATGCTAGTACAATATATGGTATAATTCAGTAAATGGTTAAGGATAAGTTCTAAGCCTGGCTGCCTCAGCACTCATAGTGCAGCAGCACGTGACTACCTAATCGGGACTAGCTCAAAAGACTAGCCAATGAAGTGAATGGATTTCGACACTAACATTTAACAGTTGCTTCCTTCCTTCCCTCATCCCACAATCATACCTCACTCTTCTACAGCTTCTGATTGCGGCTAAGTTCTCGTCACCATTTCACATTTGCGATGGAATCGATTGCAATGGAAACTCGTGGTAAACGCACGGCTGACGCGATTTCGCCAACACGAGAAGGTTCCAGCCAATCAGCATCAATTGCCAACGACCGTAAGAAGCGCGATAACATCTTGGACGAAGGAGAGGACGAGAATGATGAAGACCTCGAAGATATGAGTGACGACAACGAGGATGATATTTTCGACGAGGGTGATGATTTTGACCAGGAGATGGATGTATACGAGGAGTTTATGGGCCCAGAGGAGAGAGAAATCGAACAAAAGGAGCACTCTCTAGGTAACCAAAAACTCATCTTCAAGATATTCCTGGCAGACGACGATGAAGAGTTTACACGCTGGATGCAGACCATACATGTTCACTGCAGCTGCGAAGGAAAAGTGATTGGACGAGGTTTCGGCCGGTACGTGGTTAGAAATAGGATTCGGGACAGTTTCTGGAGAGATATGGAAGAGCCTTGCCAGGAACTCTCTAGTATTGGTTTCGAATTATTCGACCGCTATGGTCGTCTTAAGAAGGAATCGAAGGATCACCCAATCCAGAAAGGGACCGGAGTTTGGGGACCTGAGCTTGACATAGGATCATTTTTTGTCATCGAACAAATACTCATCGACAAGGAGTGGCGTCGCAAGGCACTCGGGACTAAAATTGGCACTTATCTTGTTGAGAAATCTCGCACAGGAAGTAGAGACTCGCAATATTCTCTTGCGGTACCTGGCTGGCTCAACCGCGATATCGAGTCTCACACTCGGGGCAAAACGAAAAGCGAACAACGAGAGATTAGATATCGTGTGTATGATGATGTGGTATCGTTCTATCGCTCGCTCGGCTTTCGTCGGATAGGTGCATCTAGCTGCTTTGGTCTTGCAATAGATAAAAGCCACCCAGCTCGTGCAATCCTGCCAGCCGACGACTTCGATCCAACGGAAGAAGAGCCGGATAATGATGAAGGCCCAGAATGCGAAGATGCTGCCGAATGGGGTGCTGATGAGAAGCGGAAGTCCTGGCGTCTAGAGCTGTTGAAAGATAGACTTCCATTTCACCATGCCATAATCACCCTCCCCGACAGCGAGTGCGTAGAATTTCTCAGGGCGTGGAAGTCAGACGAGAACCCGGCCGATGAGTGGGCAAAAGCCGACCGGTATTCAAACAATGTCTTGCACATCGCAGCTTGTGAGCTCAAAATCCAAACCGTCCGTTGGTTGATTAGTGATTCGGGTAAGGGCCAGATCCTAAGCTTGGCCAGAAATGTGAAAGGATACACTCCAATCGAACAGCTCGAATCCGAGCTTGAAACCAAGAGAACTAGACGAACTCATGGAATGATGACTGTTGACATATCTGACAATTTCTCTGGTTTCGCTCCAGAAGCTACCAGCTGTTTGGCAGCTCTGCGGAGCTCGGGGAATCTTTCTCGAATCCAGCTTGCTCGACTGAAGTTCGGATGCACTTGCGGCTCGTGCATAGATGGTTTTTTGTCGCCGCGCATGAGCTATGCGCTGTTGTGCCAAGCAGAGATTACACACGACATGTTGAACGACAACGTCGAAGATGCAGAGACCTGGTGCATGTGGCACAAAGACTTAATTAAATATGTGGCCCAGGACATTCAACAAAACTTCACCACGAACAAGTCATATCGGCAGGGTTTCGCCAACATATTTCACCATGCTGCCACTGTCTTGAATAGAAACAGACCCCCGACTCTCCTCAACCTCGTACATGAGTTTATGGATGCTAGCGAGTGGCCTCCTCATACCAAAAACTTCCTTGGTAGAGGAGGCGAGCCTGAGAGCGTACTGAGAATTATATTTGAGAATGCCGTAGATCAGGATGAGTGGACTGGAGACGGCGAACACATGGAGGTCTTTAGGGACAAAGTTATGGCTTTCCCGGAGTGTCGCAATGACCACGAATTCGGCTTTGTGGCTTTGGCTTGCGGAATTCCAAACTTGATGCGTCTGTATGGCTAGATGAACCAAATGGACGAGTTGCAAATGCTGAAAAAAAAGTGGACGGTATGATACGGTGCGAATTGCTATGGTGTGATTGCTGAATGAAGACGAATGATATGATTTACGACACGAATTGCTATGTTATGAATGCTGAATGAAGACGGATTGTATGATATACGGCGCAAATTGCTATGTTATGAAGGTTGTTGGATCCTTCCAATAAAGACTCGTACGGTAGAGCAGTTGTTTGTAAGTTTAAGTTCTTAATAATAATTAAGTGAAAGAATTGCTTAGCAAATAGAGGCTACATATTAGAATACAATAACATGGACAGACTCATGGTGGTGGAAATCTGGAAGCTGTTTGTTAAAATTCCACAACTATCTGTGATAAAATGTTTCCTTCAAACTCCCTACCGTCACTTTCACTTCAAAAATCAGGAAAATTCCGAACCCTTCTATCCACTCTCCACTCTCTAACGTCACTCCTGCTTCCCTCCAATCCATTCTAGTCCCCCTCCCCCTTCCTTCCCTCACGATCTGTCCTCAAATCCCCCGCCCCTAAAACTCCCCCCAAAATAGTACTCCATGTCAGAAACAATCTCGCCCTCAAGATCCTCCCACATCCAACGCCGGCTATATCGGCGAAAACGGGGGAATTGTCGACGTGCTTTTGCCACTGCGTTAAAAATGTCTGCCGATCGATTGATTTGAAGTCTGTAGCGCTCCAGATTACACCGGTTCGGAGTTCGAGACGGAGTGAGAATTTCATCTGCGCTGAGAATTGAGGGGGGGTTGTTGGTGGGGTTGGAGGGGTGTTGGGGTTTGGGTTGGGATTTGGGTGGGATATTTTGGGAGGGGGGATGGGGGGTTGTGGAGGCGAGAGATGTGGAGGTGAGGTGGTGTGGTTGGTTGGTGTGCTGGGGGGTTGCGAATGGATTTGTGGATGGTGAGAAAGGGGTACGGGAATGCTGGGTTGGAGTTATGTTATAATGGAATTAGTAACCGGCGATTAAAGAAAGGGGGTGTCATCTAGTATAGTATGTGAGAGGTATAGTAATCAGTCATATAAGGAGTCATAACATCTTTCGAATGATTCTAGTCGTGTTTGTTGTCATAACGTGTAAACAAAATCAGTTCACCTACAGTTCACCTAGTCCTACACTGTCGTCATATTATAATTTTCGAATATATTAACGGTAGTAAGTCATTCTGCCACCTCCTCAGGAAAGCCTCGTCACCTTTTATGACTCCAATAAAGAAACTAACAATCGGCAATCTGTCGGCATTCAAGAAGATTTCGACAGCCATTTCAATATGGTTTATAGTTAATGTTAAAAGATATACGAGATAATCTTATCACAGTATTGAATCTCATCTCCTGGACCTGTTCCCAAATTCAGTTACGACGCTGAATCTTACGAAAAAGCAAATCTTGGCTTAGTTAGTCAATGTTGAACCATAAATTGGCCAAGTGGTTTATAGATAGTGAGATTATGGTTTTCTTGATTGTAGTTCCTAACTAAAAGCCATATCTCATTCAGGTCATGAATTTGTGGAACGGCGAGTATTCATTTATGGCGCAAACCATTTCCAAGCCTTGAATGTGTCGCATGAGAGATAGAGATGTGTTTTGACAAACGTTTCAGGAGTCAACATATAGCAAGTTTGTGATAAGATGAAATAATATTAATTTTGTATAGCATAATGTTTGTGTCGGATGCAATCATGATATGCTTGATGTTCTGTGAATTAATCTACGAGCTCTAGCTAGGAGTCAAACTTATCAAATGTAACCGACTTATATTTGCCAAGCGTCTTCACTAGTTGGGCATCGCAAGCCTCCCCTCCAAACTCCTTATCCCTTTCACTCCACCAAATTCCCAGCCCTCATCTTCCTCCTTCCCTCCTCCCTCCCTTCCTCTCCTTCCTCATTCATCCCCAACCCTCTCATCCCCCCCTCAATCCCCTCCAGATATCCACTCCTGCACTGCCGATAGAACTCCGGATTCCCACAAAAATGCTCGTAAACCTCCTTGAATGTGTACCCCGGACAAATAGCCTTGAACTTGGCGTAGCAATGCTCCCACTTGATGAAATAGGTGAAGTTGATGGCGTCTTCGCCGTCGGGGGTGATGATGTCTTCGTCGATTAGGAGACGGCGGAGACAGAGCATTTCGTGGGGGTAGATGGATATGCGGGATATCTCGGATTTTTGTGGAGGAGGGAGGGTGGTGAGTGGTTGAGGCATGGTGATGGTGGTGTGACTGTTAAGGTTTCCAAACATGTAATCTGAATGGTTAGGGTTTGAATGGTGTAGGGTCTGGTGCATAAAATTGTGGATTAAATGAAAATGAAAATCTGGTTGTTCTGTTGTTTTGCTGTGTTCATTATCGTGTGGTTGTTTCTTTGTTCCTCCATCATCTCAAGACTGTGAGTACCATCCATTGTTTTCCACATCAACACTGTGACATTAAATCGAAGGAAAAATAGGCAAAATCTGGAGTCTTTTTTTCGAGGTGAGTTCTTTCATTGTTGTAGAGATGGGTATGGATCTGAAATATCCTCAAAACAAGAAAGTTGGAATCAGCAACAGGGAAATCCGGGGTAATCAGTGGGCTCAAATGCCCGATTTCCTTCGTTCACATAGATCAGTTCATATAGAATTGTTCTTCCATCCCGGAGTCACTTGAATTATTTCTTCCTGTAAGAAGATGATACTAATACTATAAGTGCCAAATCAGTGCCCGGTAAGAATATACTATAGTTGACATTCGTTAACTTCTCAATTAGAAGAAATAGCGTAAAGCTTAACGGTGCTGGTCGTTTCTGTCTGACACTGAGAATATTACTATTCTGGCCTAAGATTAAATAAGGAGCGCCGCCATTCTGCTGGCATAAATGCTGTCGTGGATGCGCACGATTGTGAAATGTAGAAGTACTTTTGTGAAAGATTATGAGCGTTCTAAGCAAATATTATTTGACACCATGGACATGCTTAGATCTATTCAATCATGTTGATACGAGGCACAAGAATACTGGGACAACATAAGCAAGTGGTATTTAAGCTTTTGGAGCTCGCTTAGCTAACCGGCCCCCCTTAAATCCATGGATGTATCAAGGTACGACTCTTTCTGCCTCTTACTTTGAAAGTAACAGTTCTTCACCCTGAAAATTTTCACTTCCCCGTTAAGGTTAATAAAGCCTCTGAGAATAGCCTGCATTCCCCTTCACGCGAGCAAATTTAATACAGAATTAATTCGCTCAGCGCGCTTCCTAAAAAACCCCCAGAGTCCCACCTTTATATCAAAGGTACTTAAGACCTTGGCACCCTCGACGGACTCAAACCCACCCCACTAATCAACCCACGCTCCCAAATCCGGAGTGAAAACCTGGTAAACTAGTCCATCCTCTTATATGCAACGCTGTACGTAAATGTCTTTAAGGAGCTGACTCCGCGAACACACACCAATAGTAAATCAACCTCGGAACCAATAGCAAAATCTTTCCTCCCCCTCTGCTCCTCTTCCGTCGCAGAGAAATCGGACGCGGGGTTGCGGCGGGTGCGGAGGGCCAATTGCCGAGCTGCCAGCCGGAAGTGGTCCGGTCTCCGGCCGCCCTGTCCCTCATCCAACATATTTTAGCGGGCCGGACCGTTCACCAACTGCTTCCGCAGCAACGTCTGGCTGGTTTGCTCGTTCGTCACAGCCATGTCAGCACCTAGTGTTGTACGTCAAATGGTAGAATTTCAAGTGAAAAAATCGACGGCGGGGGGTGGGAGAAGATGGACTTTGGAGACTGCTAACCCCTGTGTTACATCCTTGTTTGTGCGGTGGGGAGGAGCCTGCCTGTTCGGGTGGCCAGTGATCGGTTGAAAGCGTGTGATGTGTTGATATCTCTGCTTATTTTGAAGTTTCTTTTTTGTTGATTGCTTTTCCTGAGATAGAGGTGCTTGTACCATTTTGTATCGTTTACTCGTTTCTTGTCTCTTCTTTGCTGAACGCCGCGAAGGTTTCAAGAGTGGTGTAATCTTTGAATTTGGTTCTTTCAGTCGGAATCATGGCTAGAGATGCAGAGGTTCTGAGCCAGGCGAGCTTCAAGAAGGGCTTAGAGTGGAATGGACAGCTTCCTCGAGCAGTCGAGGCGCTTGTCTATAGTCTTATTCACGCGCAAGCGCTGAAAGACGGTGAGGCACAAGCGGTGTGCTCTTGGGATGGTGACCTCACATATACGGAGTTGGACTCGTTATCTTCACGCTTAGGAAATTATCTGACAACGCAAGGAGTTGGTCCCGAAGTTATTGTTCCTTTGTGTTTCGAAAAGTCCAAATGGGCGATTGTTGGTTTGTTAGCCGTTCTCAAGGCTGGCGGGGCATTTCTTTTACTGGACCCTTCACAGCCGATTGCTCGCTTGGAATCCATTGTCAGGCAGACAAACTCGAAAGTAGCCCTTTCCTCGGCCGATTGTTTTGATATATGTACGAATCTAGTGAGCCAAGCAGTTGTGGTTGACAGTTCCTCTCTTTCTTCCCTGGGGCCTGGGAACGAGACCAAGGCTCCGACTACGGCTAGTCCTAACAATGCGGCATATTACATTTTCACCTCTGGAAGTACTGGAAACCCAAAAGGCGTTGCCATTGAGAATATTTCGCTTTCCAATACGGCAACCAACATTGCTGAAAAGTTAGGATATCAAAGTGGATCACGTGTGTTCCAATTCGCATCGTACGCTTTCGATGCCTGTATCACGGATATCTTTGCAACTCTGGCATCTGGTGCTACGCTCTGTATTCCATCAGAATGGGAACGAAACAATGGCATCGTTGATGCGATGCGGCGGATGGATGTTAATAACGCGAAGTTCACTCCTTCGCTAGCGTCTAACCTCGCTTTCGATGAAGTACCCACATTCAGAACTTTAGTTCTTGGGTATGTAATCCTTTTCTTCAATTTAATAAAGTTCTCGCTGAAGGATACGACCATCGTCTCAAGTTTCATGACTCCGCTAATACTTGTGACCATTCAGGGGAGAGAGCTGCCCTCCGTCACTCCTAGAGAGGTGGTCCAAGAAGCTCCGAACGATTCTGGTATACGGACCGACGGAATGTTGTGTTATTTGCTTCACAGCTGATGCGAGCCAACGTAGGCTAGTCGCTGGAGAGATTGGAAAGCCAGTGGGCTCCCGTGGGTGGATTGTAAAACAAGACAACTACAACCAACTTGCGGAAATCGGAGAAACGGGCGAACTACTAATTGAGGGTCCATTGGTCGGTAGAGGGTACTTGAATGATCCGGCAAAAACCAGTCAACAGTTCATTCAGAATCCCTTGTGGATGGTTGGACACCAAAAGCAAAGTCGGATGTATCGAACGGGAGACTTGGCTTCTTATCTGGATGATGGTCGAGTTTGCTATGCTGGCAGGATCGACAATCAAGTCAAAATCCGAGGTCAAAGATTAGAATTGGAAGAGGTGGAGAAGAATCTTCACGACACTCTGTCAGAAATTGTCAAGCCAGGTTCGAAAAGAGTCGTTGTCGATGCAGTGGCGTTTTCTGGATTGATAAGTAAACAGCTTATCGCGTTCATTTGCCTGGATGAAAATGAGGACATTGGTTCATTGGACTGGGCGGTGAAAGATGGGCCGGAACTGATGACCTCGAGCGCCGAACAAGATCGATTTTCTACTATGGTATCGGAACTCGAAGAAAAGATGAAAACCTTGTTACCGATCTACGCAGTTCCCACAGTCTGGGTTCCACTCAAGACTGTTCCATTTACGATATCTCGAAAAGCCGATAGAAGAAGACTTCGGAATATCGTTTCAGAACTTACGGTTAAGGAACTTGGGATATTCATCAACAGGAAGAGAGATGCATCTGCGACTGAACTGAAACTGAGTCCAAAAGGAGTAAAACTTCAAGCGCTTTGGGCAGATGTCTTTAAAGTAGACCCTTCAGAGATCGAACCAGATGACAACTTCTTCTCCCTCGGCGGCGACTCTGTCATGGCAATCAAATTAATCGCGGCGGCAAGAGCTAATGGCTTTGACTTGAGTCTTGATATTGTTTTCAAATCTCCCATCTTGTACGACATGTCGGTCGTCACCAAAGATCTCGTCATACGGGAAGAAGACTTGGCGGCAATTCCTCCTTTCAAACTATTGAGTAAAGCCGATGTAAATATGGTGTGTCGGGAGGCCAGCAAAGCTTGTTCAATACCGCGAGAACTCATCGAGGATATATATCCCTGCTCTCCAATGCAGGAAGGGCTTTTGGCTCTCTCTATGAAAGATCCTGGGACATACATCTTGCAGTTCGTTTATCAAATGCCAGAGTCGGTCGATCTAGATCGCCTGAGATCTTCTTGGGAAGCTGTCGCAAAGCATGCTCAGGTTTTGAGAACCAGATTCTTCGATTGCAATTCGGATCTGCATCAGGTAGTTGTTAATAAACCGCTCAATTGGGGAATCGTAGATGGTGATTTGGACAAGTTCTTCTCAGCGGAGAAGGAACGAGGATTGAAGTTTGGAGAACCAATGTCTCGGCACACCGTTTTACGACAGTATCACAAGGGCAAAACGGACTTCTTTCTGATCTGGACTATTCATCACGCGCTTGTGGACGGATGGTCAGAATCGGATATCACCACCGCGGTAGAGCAAGAATATTTGGGCAAGAGTTCCGAGATATCCAAAGCTCCGCAGTACAACAAATTCATCAACTATATCAGCCAACAGAACCAGGAATCGGGACGACAGTTCTGGAAACAGCAATTGGAGGATGCGCCTGCACCAGTCTTCCCACCATTACCAAGCTCATCTTACGTTCCCAAAGTCGAGCGATCAAATCGAATAGACCATCACCTTGACGAGCACGCAGAAGCAGAGCTGAAGTACAATGTTCCATCCTTCAAGAAAGGTTCTGTAACAGCTGCAACCATGATTCAAGCTGCATGGCTTATTCTCCTCGGAATATACTCAGACACTTCAGATGTAGTTACAGGCTTGACATTGAACGGTCGAGCAGCACAACTCCCAAGAATCGATTCAATTCCCGGCCCAACCGTAACCACAATCCCGTTTCGCGCACGTCTTTCACCTGATCAAAAACTGTCCGAACTCCTCCAAAACACACAAGATCAATACCTGTCCATCCTCCCCTTTTCCCAATTCGGTCTCCATAACATAAGGCGACTAAGCGACGGCGCCATCGCAGCCTGTAAATTCCGCACCCTTCTCGTAGTCCAATCCGCCAACAACTCAAAAGACTCGCGCCAGTTACTCCTCGGTAGAAGTTACTTCTTCCCCGTCATGGATTTCGCGCTGGTGATGGAGTGCGAACTCCAAGGTGACACAATTGATTTCCGGGCGACGTTCGATCATCAGATTTTGAGGGAGGAGGAGGTGAGGAGGATCTTTCAGCAGATGGCGGATATTTTGAGGAGAATGTCGGTTGGGGATGAGGATATGAGGATTGGGGAGTTGATGAGGATTTCGGAGGGGGATAGGGAACAGATTGGGAAGTGGAATTCTGTCAAGGGTGAAGAGAAACAACTGGAGTGGTTGGTCGATCCTGAGGATGTGGATAGTTTGACTCCTATTGGTGGTGTTGGTGAGGTCTTGGTAGGGACTACTGAGCCTGGAGCTCAGCACCCCGACGTTGGGTTGGAAGCAAAGAACTTTGTCGAGGTTCCTACCTGGTATCAGAATCAAAGCGAGCAACCAGCGCGGAAGTTCTACAAGACTGGCGTTCTAGCTAAATATTCTTGGGATGGTGTCATATCTCCTATCGGTCGCAAAGACGACCTTGTTGAGATTCAAGGGCAACGTGTCGATATCACGGAAATCGAGGCTCATATCAAAGAAGCGATTCCATCCTCTTGGCAATGGTCGCCAGCTCAATTTGCTGTCACCGCTGTATCTGATGGGGAAGGCAGCAAAGTGCTCGCTGTATTTTTCGTTGCTGGGGATGAAAGCAGTCATGGGAGCGATGAAGATGTTATTTTAATGGGGACCTCAAAAAGGTTGGGGCTGTTTCATGAAATGGTAGAGGAGGTAGATGCTGAACTACATCAAAAGCTTCCGGAGCATAAAGTTCCTTTCGTAAGTCCACTAAATTCAACACTTTGGTTACGCAAACTAACATCATACTTAATAGTTGTACATTCCAGTTCAAAGACTACCACTCTCCGACTCCAAAGTTCTCGATCGAAAGTCACTAGTGGCAGTGGCCTCAAAACTTTTACCTGCTCAGCTCTCAAGATTCCGAATCAAAAGAGCAACCACAAGCAACTCACAGCCTCCCTCGACTCCCATTGAAAAGCGAATTCACAAGATCTGGATGGATCTTTTAGACGTGGACCAAATCGGCGTAGAAGACAATTTCTTCCATCTGGGTGGCGGCAGTGTCTTGGCCATGCGTCTCGTATCCATGGCACGACGAGATGGCATGACCATGACAGTTAGTGGAATATTCAAAACACCGGTACTACGCGAACTAGCTCTCACCGTACAGGAGAATGGCGAAGAAGAGGAAATTGCGCCCTTCTCGTTGATTGAAGATCTAGACGTCGCAGAGCAGAAAAAGGAAGCAGCATCTCAATGTAGGATTACAGAGGACAAAATCGAGGACCTATATCCATGTTCCGCTATGCAACTTCACTATATCACTGGATATCCAGGTGCTAACAAGACGATCTACGATCCTTGGGATTGGCAGTCTCAAGCTACATACACACTTCCACCGACTCTGGATCTCGACCGCTTTGTCGCAGCGTGGAACATCGCTATCAAACGTCACGGAACATTACGCACAATGATTGTAGACACAAAGTCTGGAATCCTTCAAGTCGTCCTCACCGAGCCTAAATCACCAGTCTGGCACTACGCAAAAAACCTCGACCAGTACATCGCAGACGACAAAGCAAATCCAATGGGTTTCGGTGTTTCTCTCCTTCGCTTAGGTATAATCACAACACCAGGAAGCTCGCAAAGACACTTCATCATGACAATCCACCACACCATCTACGACGCCTTCGCCCGTAGCATGCTCTTCGCCGAAATCGAATCCATCTACACCACCTCCTCCCTACCTCTGGGACCAACCCCAAAAATGTCCGCCTTTATAAAATACATAACCACCACACCCAAAACCGCCGCTCTCTCCTTCTGGTCCCACCATCTCGGCAACCTAACAACCACACCCCTCCTCACCCCCATCCCCTCCCCCCTCCCCCTCATAATCCACGAACACACCCTCACCACCCCCTTCCCGCCATCCACCCCCAACCTCCCCACCTTCCTCGAACTCTCCGCCGCCATAACACTCTCCCACCACCTCTCCCACCCAACAATAATCCTCTACTCCGACCGCTCAGGCCGGAACCTCCCCGTCCCATCCCTCCCAGACCTAATAGGTCCCACAACGCTCTTCCTCCCAATCCCCTACACCATCACGCCCACCTCCAGCATCCCCTCCCTCCTCGCCTCCTCACGCACCTTCCAAACAGCCCTGCTCCCCCACGAACACCTCGGGTTCTGCGAACTCCTCACCCTCCCCCCTTTCACCGCAATCCTAAAGAACGCGATAAACATGAATATAAATCCGCACCGCATGGCGGGGATGGGAAAGGGGCTGGGGATGGAGTATGAGGGGAGTCAGACGAATTGCGATGATCCGTTTGGGATTAATGTGGATGTTGATGCTGAGGCGGGGGTTTTGGAGTGGTGTGTTTATTTTGATGAGCGGTTTATTAGCCGGGGGGTGGTAGAGGGGTTGTTGGGGGATGTGGTTAGGGTTTTTGGGAGGTTGGTTGGGGGAGGGGTGGGGAGGGTGGAGGAGCTTTGGGGGTAGGTGGTGAGGGTGTTGGGGGTTGAGCGTGTTGGGGGTTGCTGGAGTGGAGGATGCTTCTTTTGGTATATTTCTTCGAGTTTGGTGTTTTCGTTTGGTGTGATTTGTTCAGCGTGTCCGCTTTTCTAGTTCTATATTTCAGTGAGGGACAGATAGATCTCTTTGGCACCCCGTGTTATATTGATAGAGTATATATTTCCTAAGTACCGAGACTTCAATACGAGTATTTTCTCTTTAATAAATGTCTAAGAATGTGACATGATTTTAGACGGTAACTAGAGGTCGGGAAATGGTACGTTACAAGGAAATTTTGTTCTCTCATTTGATTCTAATAACATAGCAGGTGTCTCAAACAATCAAACCACATGCATAAAAAACATATATAACACAAACCAAAGAAACATCTAAAACGAATGTACTTTTCACTTCCCACCTCCCCTACCAACCAACCCAGCAAACTTCCCCCCCACAACCCCCTTCAACTCCAGAGGCTTGCCCACCTCCACAATACTTCCCCGTTCCATAACAACCACGCGATCAAACCCCATCACCATCTCCAGCCGATGACTCACCATCACAATAGTATAATGCTTAAACTCATCCATGATGATCTTCTGCATCGCACGATCCGTGTCGCGGTCTACAGAGGAGGAAACCTCGTCGAGGAGAAGTATACCCCCGGAAGTGTTGGAGGTGGAGAAGGATTGTTTTTCGGAAGTAGTCATTGTGCCGAACGTGGCTTCATGGTCGCGAGAGCGGATTCGACGTCGTAATATGGCGCGCGCGAGGGAGAAGAGTTGTTTTTGACCTTGACTTAGACTCGCGGGTGTCAATGCCTCGCCAATCCCGCCACGCAGGGTGATGAGTCCGCTCAAGCCAACGACAGAGAGTACATCTTCGCATTCTGCTGCCGAGGACACGGAATACGGGTCTAGATTCACCATGATGGATGTGCCGTCAGGGAGAAAAACGGGGTCTTGGGGAACGGCGATGATGCGTTGACGGAGGGTTGAGCGGTCAATTTTGTGGAGAGGGAGCGAGTCTATGGTTATGTTTTGGGAGGTGAAGGATAAGGGGTCGAGGAGACGGAGGAGAAGGAGGATGGTGGATGATTTACCGCTGAGGGGATTAGCTTGGTTGAGTTTATGGGGAGAAGGGGTGTTACCTTCCGCTGCGGCCGCAGATGGCAATCTTTTCGCCGGGTTGGATGGTTAGGTTTAGGTTGTTGAGAGCTAAGTTTGGTCCCTTTTCGCTGATTTCATTTTCATTACCATCGTTTTCGTCTTTCTCCTCCTCGCTATTACGGCGTTAGAAAATTCAGGGAAGTTTCACTGGGATGGAAGACCTACTCATAAGAAGCTGATACACCATTCAATTCAATCGCACCTTGCATAGGCCATTCCGCCGGTGGAATTACATTTTCAACTTCTAAGCTCTCCGACTTGACATGATCACTGAAACTCTTCAAACGACTTACTGCGCCGATAGAAGTCTCGATCTGAGTATACCATCGGACGATATAATTGAGAATATTTCCTAATGTCATGAGTGTAATCAAACTAGCTCCAGTCATAGCGGTGCTAGAACGCAATTGAGTGGCAAGAGTGACGACTGTAACTGCTAGAACAGCGACGATCATCTGAAGCGCGAAGCCTAGCCAACGTTGGACCATGGCGAGAAGATATGTTGGCTTTAGCGAGATGGAGAGGAGGCTCTGGTTCAAATCAATACCATCTTGAATCCAGCCGAATGCGCGGAAGGTTGCAACGCCATTGATGGTATCAAGGAAATGGGAGCTGGAATTGTTAGTATTGAAAGAGAAGTCTGTGGAAAGAGATTGCTTACTAAAGAGGACTTTTTGCCTCGAGATCCAAAAGTCGGAGTTGTCGCGACGTGCGAAGGTAGAACTTTTGTACCCAGTACAAAATAACCAGCATAAATGGGTACGCGATTGCAAGATAAGGCGAAGAAGTTGCGATGACCGCAGCCATTCCGATAGCATTGCATACATCCAATGCGAGATTCGTGATCGCAAGTGGAAGTTCGTTGTCAATCAGTGTCATATCCTGAGAAAACAAATTAATGATCAACCCCGTATCTGTTGTCGCAAAGAACCTCAGAGGCGCATTGATCATAGTCTTCAGTGCATCTTTATGAAGTTTCGATCCAGAAACCTTGATCATGAGCCTGAAGCATATAAGGAAACAAAAGAACATGGATGCGACATATGCAACCTGAAAGAGAGCGTAGATTCCGATGTAAAAAGAGTTCGATCGTGAAGATGTTCCCGAAGCGACGTCTTTCGCCCAGAAAGTAAGCCATATGTTGGCAAAGTTGTAGAAGAATCCCCATCCGACGCCAAAGATCGTGAAGGCTAGGACTGAGGTTTTGCCAAGACTGGCGATGTAATGTCTGTGTATGTTGGAGACTCCGACCAATCGACTCCTTTCATCCATATGACTGAATCCTGCGGCGACCTTCTTTGGTGTCGCAACAACCGTTGACGCTGAAATAGCCACTTTGGTATCGGTAATCTGAGTAGAATCCCTCTTTTCTGCCTCAAGTGGCTTGATGTCGAGACCTTGGATATAGTTTTCGTTTGCAGCGAGATCAGAGAAGCTTCCCTGCTCGACGATAGTTCCATGTTCTCCCAATGCGATGACATGATCTGCTGCAGGTAAGTGTCGAATGCTGTGAGTACATAACACCACAGTCGCATTTCGATGTCGCAATATGCCGTTAGGTCCAAAAACGCGTTCAAAGACTTGTGCTTCGGTGTCCGCGTCTAGTCCGCTAAGAATATCGTCAAAGATGAAGAAATTTGTGTCAAGGTACAGTGCTCTCGCGATCGAAACACGCTGCTTTTGACCCCCGCTCAATGATATTCCACTACTGCCAACACTAGTGTCGTCACCCTTTGGAAGGATTGAAAGATCTTGCTCCAACATGGAAGCTTTCACCGCTTCATCATATCGGGCTTGGTTGAAAGGAGAAAATCCAATGATATTCTCTTTGATGGAGGCATTGGATAAATATGGTGTTTGACCACAGTAACCCACTTTCCTTGACATGAAATTCGAGCTTAGAGAAACGTGCCCACGGGAGACAGGAATCTCGCCGAGCAGAACTGTACATAAAGTAGACTTCCCCGATGCGATCGGTCCGACAACCATCGTCAGCCGCGATGAAGGGATGGTCAAATTGATGTCCTTGAGCGCGATCTTGTTGGTTTCCCAGCCAAAGTTGCCTCCCGTGATGCTTATTGCCGATTTTGTATCATGTTCCGAATCAGCATACGCTGAGCTCCCGGTTTCGGATCCCGTCTCCGAGTCCTGAGAGTATGCCATGCGGAAGTCGACTCTCTGAGGTTGCTCCAAGAAGGTTTGAATCCTGTGAAGACAGGCAAATGCCGCTAGAAGATTTGGCGTGTTTTGGAAGAGATAACTTAGAGGATCAGCCAGCAAAAGAATGTAAGAAACTGATGTGAAGATTGACGAGACATCGAGTCCTTCCGATGTAACTGCAAATGTCATGACAGTCGACAAAGCCATGGGAAGATACCCGAGCGTTACAACAATGATGTAAATGGTTCGAAACTTCGCAGCACTTTTGAGCTCATCCACACGCATCTTCTGAATTAAGCTCTCGACAGGAGCGGCAAGTCCAGAGATTCTCAAATGTTTCATGTGCGATATGACATTTGCTGTGAGCCCAACTCGGCTTTGAATTCTATCCATCCAAGCTCTTTGGCGAATGCCGGTCCATCGATTGGCAAACGAAGCCAAACTGATGCAGACAATAACCACGATGAGAGGAGCGAGAAATGCCAACCCGAGTTGGCGCTCAAGTAGCCATGTGGCTATTGCTACTTCAACAGTATTTGCCCAGAACTCATGCAAGTTCAAAAAGCCAAGTCTGATGCGTTCGACGTCGGCACTCATCAAGGTGATAGCAGCGGATTCCCCTGAAACGGAGAGTCTTGTTTTGGTGGTCTTCTTGTATACTGCACCAACCAGAGACCCTCGAGTCATGCATAGAGCGCGCTCGTGAAGATACCAATACAAGGCAGTCGAAGAAGCCATGCCCGTGTAGATAATTATAGTAGCTCCAATTAAACCGTAACCGCTGTTTCTCGCATCATGGTCTTCCGGCTTTTGAAGCAGCTTCAAAAGTCTTCGAATGAGAAATGGTTGACAGAAGCGAAAAGCTGTGAGACCGAGTCGTGGAATCATGGGTAGCAAAAGGGCAAATGACAAGGTCCTCGCCAGAGCTTTCGTCAAGCCCAGCCCATATCTCTGGCCCTTTGACTTGGTAGCTTCAAGTCTCTCCAAAAGTTCAAATTGCAATCTCTCTGTAATGATTCTTCCATCGAGTGGGTAGAGATCTTCCAGGATTAAAACTTTGCTATACCCGCTCCTAAAAAGTCTTTGCAACCATCCAAGAGTTGCCAAACCAAAGAGGCCAGTTGTTTCCTCAGGACTATGTTGCTTGGGATCCCAATTTATCCATTTGGTTTTGTGCTGGCATTCGAGAACAAGAACGGCCGCTTTCACCACAACAGCAGCGGTAACAACTCGAGAGAAAGTGGACTCTTCGGGTGTGACCGAGGCAAGCCATAATGTCCGAGTTTGAGCAATGTCAAATAGAATAGTAAGTAGCAAATAACCGCTTAGTAAGATAGATGGTCGAGGAGAACGCGGATGCTCCAGAAATGAGACAAATATAATACAAAGCGAGGAAATGAATCCCAGCGAGGTGGAAGAAGCAAACAAAGCTTTTGACTGATTCGATTTCGTACTGAAGACAAGAAGTGTGAGGCAAAGTGCTCCGTACAAAATAGTTGCGGCCTACATAATGCAAGCTTCAGTAAGAGATAATCACAGGGAGGAAATGATCTCAATTCGGAGAAATTCATACCAACTTTACAATTTTCAGAACCGAGCCGCCTAGAGTCACTACTTTCGGCCTTCCAGCAAGAACAAGTCCTCTGGTCAACCCGAGGGCAATAAAGACTGCAGCCGGAACAAGTCCAAAGAAGATCCTCTCAAACCGAAGTGTGAAGTCAAAATTGTCCCGGCAGCCCCGAACTGCCGTTCCGAAAGATGAATCGTCTGCACATGCCGAAAAGTCCATGTTGTTGACCGTCTTTTCCTATGGCGTCGGCTGTTCTTCGTGTATCGTGAGCGCGGGAGCCCCAGATTTCAATTTGCTGCCACGAAATAAAAAGAGCGTACCTGCCCAGAACAAATGAACTAAATCCATCCTGGGGAAAGGATATGGTCTGAGTCTTCCCCTACTCGTCTGGGGTTGGAAAAGGGGGGCAAATAATTGCAACTGCGTGGTGGAGTCCATGGCAAGCATCTCTTCGAAAGGCTTCATAGCGAAGTTGGTAACGTCAAAAGGTAACTCGGTCCGAAGCTAAAATCCTTGGAGGTTAGATTCGCAATAGTGAGGGGTGATGGCTGGCTGGGGTGATCCGTTGCATTTCGAGAATGACGCTAAAGCCTGGGATCAGCGGACATATATTCGTGGCACGGGCACCGGCGGCAAAGCAATAAAGGTTATTCCACTAATATGAGCACGCGAAGAACTTCGTGATGGGATCTTTCGATTTTCAGAGTATCAAACCAACATCACCGTCGTATCTGTTGGAACAAACATTGTTAGAAATGCTGACTCTCGTGAGAAACTCGTCGCAAACCTGACGAACCAACGAGCGTATAATTCATGCAGCGACATTGAAGATATGCAGGAGCAACGGCCTTGCAGCAAGGCCACGTGCATCATATGGCAGAGCCCGGTAATTGATCCTTTACTTTCAATAAGGCGATTTGGTGGAGAGAGTATGGGCGACTTAAGCGAATAGAAATTGTTGATTGTAGCCAAGCAGAGTAATTGTCAATGACACCCTGTTCATGGGCGTTAAAGCCATGTGCCCTCACATGCAAGGAATGTCGTATATTTGGATGGAAGATCGAACAACGGACGGTTCGAAGAAAGCTCGAAAAGGCAGGAGGTAAATGATGATATCCACATATCATAGGGCGCATCGTTGGTTTGCGGCGCAGAAAGTTTGCTGACGAAGCTGACAATAAGTACGAGTGGATAAAGTTATTACAAGAGCTGTCCGGAGGGGCTCTTCCGAATCCGACTTATCCAGGGATACCCATACAGGCTCGTAAACGTCGACGACAGATGAGTAATTTTTATACGTGATGTTGCGGCGTCAAAGTAATAACACTGCTGTGTACCAGCTGAAAGTACGAAACAAACGCTTCGCGCGCTCAAACTATTTAGGCGATTATTTGCGACGTTACCTTCAAAGCCAGATGTCGACAGAAGTGGAAGGTGGAAATATTCGAGTCGCTTGACAAAGAGCGCGAAAGTTTTATTGGTGGGCAAGCATGTTTGCAATCGTTTGATAAACACTTCCGGCTAAATCCTCCATCGAATTGTTAAGAGGCGTAACTTTCTTCAGCAACTAACCAACGTAAGCTGACCATACACAGAAAGCCAACATATCTGTTGGACTCACTGCTACCTGCTCGCATACTTCTCAGCGTGTGATTCTTACTGTGCCCAGCGCAATTCGAGACGTTAGGCAACTCTGCTTGAGCTGCTCGAAAACAGCGAGATGGTTCCACAAGAGAGGGTGTGTGGAATTGATATGGCGTATTCCCCGATAGCATTAGAAGGATCAGACAAGCAATGCTAGAAGTCAGACTTGCAAACCCAATTTACCGAGCACGAGGCTTGAACGTGGTTTACATGTGGAAATGCAGGTTCGTCAAGTCTGCAACTTGCAGCAACTGTAGGTTTGAATGCGGCAAAGTGGGTCAGCATCACACCCTCATATTTGGAATGACCACTAGGCCACTCACAGAATTCTTACTGCCGAGATTAAAGTGTTAACAATGACGTCCAAAGGATTTTTCCAGTTATGGGTGGGAAGGCGCTCTTGCATCCATGAAAAATAAGATAACTTTCTCTTGGTTTGAGCTGAGCCTCTCTGCGGAAGCTGCGGAACGCTATGCAACATCGAAATACAGTATCCCAGGACGTTTTATATCAGCCAGGCCACTGTGTATGGCCAATGCTTGAACAAACATCTCTTGGAAAGGCGTACCTGTAGCAATCACCGGGATCTGAGAAGGTTGCTATTGGGCTACAGTCGGAGAAGCATCTATGATGCTGTAGCCAGGGTGCTATTCCATATGTAAGATAAAATGGAAGGGCGAGGAAAATTCGTCTCCAGTTGACGTTTCTGCGGCGAAGTTCATGTGCAGGTTCAAGCCAACGAAACTGAGAGTTTGCACGACATTTCCCTCAGAACATACTTGTCAATCTGGTCTCAGTTTCTGGAAAAGGATGATGATACGCCACTTCTACATAATGGTCCAAATAACCATGAAGCATTACGTCCCAACCCTTGGAGTAGTAACAGCAGTAGTTAGCTAGAGTCTTAGTCATTTGAAATATCAACAATTCTGAGCCCTGGTGAACTTACATAAAGATTAGTGAACACCTTTCCAGGGATAGCAAACTTGAGCCAGCTTCATCGCGCCAGCAAAGCTGTAGCCAATGAAGATATATGGCTCTGGAGCAGTTTCATTTTCCAGAATATGAATCAAGACTGTAAGCCACCTAATGTTAGGAGACACGATGAGCGGCTGGTGTGTTGTGTTGTGCGTCCTTTGAGAGTGTTTGTCTCGTAATTCTAGCGACGATTTCGGTCACGAACTCGACATCTCCATAGCTGAGATCAACACATCAAATATGGAAAGCTCGCAACGGACTTGAAAGTCTGTAACAAAGTGAATTTCCAGAAAATTGTCCGTGGCAGGCTTGATTCAGGTACATTAATTATGTGAGTTGCGACCAGTGCTGCAACACATTTCTTCTACATCAAGTCAGCAACTCTTTCAACAAACCCCAAGAAAAGATTGCGGCGGCACTTACTCAAAAATCGCGTTTCCAATCCACTCACTGACTTTCTCACGCCCCCTTATCGGACATAGATTCAACTTCATAACGCTTCATGGCTTTGCGCTGAAGCAGCATCACAAAAGTTTGACGCATAATGATGGAAGCTGGTGTCGCGAGGTCAGAACGATGAATATATTTTCAAATGACCAAATGTGGGGCGGCATTATCACGTGCGCATGAGCTCGTAATGATATATGAACTTTCGCTTTTAGGTCCAAAGCGGTGACATAAATCAATTGTTCTTTTACATTGTTCTCTATATAATCTCCTGAATTCTGTCTCTTGCTAGTTTTTGCATCAGGAAATTATCCTACGCGGTAGTGAGTTGCCGACACGTGATTTGTATTTGATTCGAGAAGTGCAATAAATCGCAATATAGCTCTCATCATCGCCAATGACCCACTACCTTCCTCCCCCGTTACAACCCGACTAATCACTCAAAAACGCATTATCAACATTCTCAACCACCGCATTCTCCAAAGCCGTCCACCCATCCCTCTCACCCCATGTCTTCAACAGCTTCAACGACTCGGACTGATCAACCTCCACTCTCAAATGATAAGACTCCGGATAATCGTCCACGAACTTCTTCTGAGGACGAAATTTGCGCAGAATAGCCAGGACATCGTTCCAGTGCACTTTGTGGCCCCAACTCTGCAGACGTGCATTCTTGATATCAGGATCCAGGATGGCGGCGATGTGGATTAATGCTACGTCTTTGACGTCCGCGTAGAATGCTACATAGAAATAAGTTAAACAGGCATTTCAGAAGTGCAGATATCGAGGAGGTGCTTACAAGCTTGCATCATATCCATCACCCCCTTATTCCCTCTATAAACATGCACAATCCAGTTGGCTTGTCCCCCAATATGTTTACTGTTCAACGGCTCCCCTATCAACCCAGCAGGTGATACCACGTTGACAGTAAAAGGCAATTGTTTCTCCCCGACTAGTCTCCAAACTTCCTTCTCGGCAGCGACTTTGCTAGCAGGATAATTCGCCATGGCATGAGCCATGCCATACGGCGGGGGTGCCCAAGCAGCCTCGAGAACTGCATCGTTCCAAGAGTCTCGAGTCACAGTTCCGTTGTCGATATCCTGTGTGAGCGGAGTGGTGGCCATGGCACTGCTGGTAAATACGATCTGTTTGACGGAGGATTCTTTGATAGCGGAGTGTATAATGGAACAAACGCTAGCTACCATCGGGGTGATTACTTCGCTCGGGTCTGGCACGATGCTGGTAACGTAGGCAGTGTGCAGGATAGCTGCAACGCCCTTGATAGCTTGGTCGTAGGCGCCGTCAATGCTGAAATCGGGGACGGCAACAAGCTCGAGGACGCCGTTTTCGGCGTATTTCTTGAAGCGACCTTCAAGAAGCCATTGACACTGTTGGACATCTCGAACTGTGCCTCGGACGCGGAAGCCTCGGTCTAGGAATTGCAAAATGATGTGAGAAGCGAGGAAGCCACTGGCACCCGTGACGAGAACCCATGAGCCTACGGGGATACTTGTTGGTAAAGAAGACATGATGAGTAACAGGATCGATGTCGGTCGTCGTGATATGCGACGACTCTTATTCGAGGATAGGTGACTCTTTTTCTGATGTACAATGGTAAAATTGAGGCCATTTATACCTATGTTTAGTGGCCTTTCGGGGACGGAAATTCCCCGAATACTGTTGATAAAGTCAGGCCAGAAGCCATTCCTGACAAATCTATCAACAGTCAAATCATAACATTATTAGCCAGTGTGAGAGCGAGAAGTCTTTGCTATACCTACATGTCGCCCAAATAGGAAGTGCTAGGTCTTGGCAACTACATATGCTCACCCCTCACCCGAACAGGAAGTACTATTCCTTGGCGAAATGTTCCAATGTGAGCGAGGAAATGTAGTCGACAACGAATTGACCTCGATGTCAGAGCGATCCTTCCCCTGTCGTGGGGCCGCTGTAAGGTTCAGAAGTTTACAAAGCATCGATACTGAGTAACGCTATGAACCTGTTATACATTCGCTCAAGTAATCCTGTAAGACGAAGCGGTATTGGACCACCAGCGAAGTGAATCATAGCAAACGCTCCTTGTAGATGCTTTCTAGCTATACCAAGTTCGCCAGATTGTACCTAAAAGACATTTCATCGGTACCATACTCATAGAAAATCAAAGCACAGACGAGCTATAACAAACGCACCTCATCTATAGCAAGAGCCACCACCTTAGCAACCGTCATGGCGTTAATCGAAGACGATTCAGCCCTAATCTGATAGAGCAGTGTACGGAGGCATATCTGCTTATACTGCAAGGCCATACGAGTGAAGACTGGATGGTCAGGTTGGTCTTGTAGAATGTACCGACATGAGCTGAGGAGAACAGCCACGACCATGAGAGTATCGTCAGCGATGGCGAGACCCACCCAATCCCGAAGCATTTGTGCCTGATGGTCTCCTGGATAGTCGAATAAACTGCAGTGACCAATTGAAAACGGTACGACGACTTTGATATCTTGTGATAGAATTAGAAACATCGGAACGGAAGAGACACGGGGATGAAGACGGATTAGTAGACCACGCCACAAGAAAGGGGCATATAGTTGGACAACAACCAGTATCAGAATCTATATACATACAATGATCAAGCAAAAAATATTCTTCAGACATTAGCGGTCTTGCCATGGACGAAAATGGGTCTTTGCCATTGGTCATTCCTTGGCTCAGAGGGCTCCACAGAACAGCATCGTAGATAGTGGGACCCTGCTTCACCGCACCGACGAGCGGTTCATTTTGATATTTTTGTATCTGGAGGCGCCTTTTCTTAGCATGCGCTTGACGCATGACATGTGATTGATTTGATTTGCGAGCCCCGAAGGACGCCGGTTTCAATGGATCCGGCACAGTGACGAATTGGAATTGGCGAGCCATCTCAAGAGTTTGGCTAGTAAGTCCTCGAAGATAATCCGTATCCTAATAAAGAAAATATCAGCTTGTAGATGGGATTGAAGATTATGGCGGCGAGGGAATCTTTTCGGGTGGAACTTACGGTCAAGATTTGGATTTGTCAGGCGCACCCCCACCAAGCTACAGCCGCACAACTAACTTGTATGCAACGTGATATTAACGCAACCACTAAAAGATTAGATTTCGTCTAGATATGAGATTAAATTTATCTTATTTCTTCATATCTCGCTATTGGACCATCTACAGAGTGCGAACCCATCTAAACGAACTTGCTGTCCTCGACAACGTACATGTCAACATACTCATCCACTGCCATACCCTCCAACTTCTTGCCATCATTGCCCAAATCAACCAACTCCTTAACCTTCGCTTCGCTGAAATGTGGGCCAAGATGTCTCTTGTATTTGGACAGAATTTCTGGCTTGGCCTCCTCTCTTCGGAGTCCGTGACCGAGAGGAGCGTTAACAACAACCTCTTCCATAACGGTACCATCATTGAGTGTGACGGTCAATGCATTAGGAATGGTACGCATATCTGGGTTGTGGTAGTCCTCAGTGAATTGAGGGTCTTCAACACACTTGATCTTCTGGCGGAGCGACTCAACAAGTGGGGAAGTAGCGGCTTCTCCGCCATCAGTGTAATCAGTTGCCTCAAGACGACCAAATACAAGCATGACAGCGGCCATATATTGAATGCAGTGGTCACGGTCGGCAAAGTTGTCCATTGGCTTGAATTGTTTGTCGATAATTCGGATACAGGCCTCGTGAGTTCGGCATGTGATATCCTTGATGTCTTTGGCAGACTTGCCCTCATCCGCCAATCGCTTGTGGATGTTCTTCGCGGCTTCAATGGCAGTTTGGGAGTGGAATTCGGCTGGATTCACGTTAGCTTCAGGAACTGTGTAGTTGTGGGGTAAACCAACCTGGATATGACACCTTGAAGAGAACATTCTCCATAACGTAGCTTCCATAAGGTCTTTGGAACTCAAACTTGTTTCCCTTGAATAGGACATCGTAGAATCCCCAAACAGGTGCAGAGAGAACGGTTGGAACACCTGGCTCTCCCTTCATGACCTTCAAGACCAAATTGACAGCACGCTGACAAGCATCACCAGCTGCCCATGATTTTCTTGACATGGTGTTTGGGGAGTGTCTGTATGTTCTCAAACTCTGACCATCAACCCACGCCTGCGAAACAGCATCTGCAGTCTGCTTCTCTGACAGTCCCAACATCTTAGAGACCACAGCGGCGCTGGCAACCTTGACCAACACAACGTGATCCAAACCGACCTTGTTGTATGAGTTCAAAAGTGCCAAGCATCCCTGAATCTCGTGTGCCTTAATCATAGCTTCCAGAACCTCCTTGATGGTAATGACCTTTCCATTGCCCAAATTTCCACCAGCTCTGTTTGTCCGCGAAATCCAGTCCGCAACAGCCAAGATAGCACCCAAGTTATCTGAGGGGTGACCCCATTCTGCGGCCAGCCAGCAGTCATTGTAATCCAGCCATCTGATCATAGCACCAATATTGAAAGCTCCATTAACTGGATCGAGTTGGAATGGTGTGCCGGGGACTTTAGTACCGTTGGGCACAATAGTTCCCTCGACGATTGGGCCGAGGAGTTTTGTGCATTCCTTAAATCGCAGACCTTCAAGACCACATCCGAGGGTATCTAGAAGCACGAAACGAGCGGTGTCGAACTGTATCTTGATCAGTGACTGCTTTTTGGGGGGGTGGGAGTGTACTCACTGCGAGATCCGAGTTTATCGGTGTGTTGTGGACATAGCTTGCGATATCCTTAATCTCAGGGTCGTATTCTCTGGATTGAGGTGGTGGAGGAGCTCCGGACTGTAGAGGAGACATTGTAGAGAATTGCTTTAGAGAAGCTATCTGTGTTGTGCGTGGTGAGGATCGGGATGTGGAGGAAAGTGATCTAAGAGGGGCAGTTTGCAGAGCTCGCGATTGGAGATTACTGGCGGGGAAAGGCACTCGTAGGTTCTTGCTTGCTACTGTGCGTATACTTCGATTGATCGCCGACATTGTATATGGAAGAGAGGAGATTGAGGGATTGAGAATTCAATTGCAGAACTTTTCCACCGGATTGAAGCTCAGCAAATCAACTATCCCAATGTTGTTATAAGGACTGTTCGGTGTATGAGTTCTTGGCCCTCAAGCCGAAGAGTTCATGCCTCGGTTATGTGCGGCATGATGAGGATCACGTGTTGGCTGGAAAATGCGATGCCGGATCCGGGGTCGGAAAATGTATTCAGGTTTGATAGCTGGGTGGTCTCTTACATAGAATTCGACATGTTAATTCGATGTAATGATTGAATAGTTCAAGGCGCTAAGCAGCCTGGTAAATATATAAACAACGTTGTGTTGTCTCAACTTACCTCGACGTAATTCCTGATCTACTAGAGGAGCATCATCATCTTTAAATAGCTCAACAAACGGCAAAAGGAAATCAGAATGAGTTGATAAATTATAAATTTTCCGAGCATCCAACAAATGTCCCTATTTGTACCTTTCAACCTGTGCGCCTCGGGAAGAAAATCCTCCATCCCCTTAAAGCATCCCCATACAAAGTCTATAATTCCATGAGTTCCTCTAAAATCCCATACCTAACTCCCAAGAACACCAGTAACAAGTAAATTTTTCCTGACTTTTCCAAAATCACTCCTCTTCACTCTCACTACTGTCATCAGCATCCCCTGCGAATGCCTGTTCAAGCTCCGCTTCGAGGTCTAACTCCATATCATCCTCCTCACTTACACCTCCAGTATTATTCGCCGGACTTGGTAGTTTCAAATCATCAACATCTTTGTTCCGCTCATCCTCATACTCCTCTCCCTCCGCGTCGCTGTCCTCTTCACTGGCATCTTCGCTATCTTGTCTTTGGAATGTCGGAGAGGGGTGATATTGATATGAGACAGGTGCGCCGCCATCTGGATCCTCTATGTCCAGTCCAGCATCGGATTCCTCCTCTTCCTCATCAGGTGTAGGCGCTCGTGGAGGAGGTTTTGGTTTTGTGACCTTTTCGACCTTCTTCCGTGGTTTTGCAGGTTCCGCCTTGGTCGTGGTCGCTTTCGCTTTGGAGGGCTTTCGTTTAGGCGGCTGAGCTGCGGTAGTATTGATTGTTTGCTGAGTGCTTATCTGCGTATACTGGTCTTTCAGAGAAGATGCATCTTGATCCCACGGGGCTGAAACCAGGTTCATGTCAAAGGTCGAATCGATACGATGCAGCACAAAGTGCTTATGCTGTGGATCGTAGATCAAGACATATTTCCCGTCACCAGATACTCGTACACCTTGGTAAGAGTACTTGTCTTTATTATCCTTGTAGGAAAGATCGAAGGTATTGGAACCGGAATCGGAAGGCTTGAGGTGCGTGGAACTAGATGAATCGGCAGAAGTGTCGGGTTTGTGGTTGTCTAAGGCCAATTAGTACGACGAAGAGCTCGTTCATGTGCCATTTGCTTACATCGCATTCCAGTGTAGACTTCTTTCGTTGTCTTTCCCAATAAGGCATCACTGAGAACAATGGGATATTTGCCCGGCTTGTCAATGTCAATGCCTGCGAACGCCATAGCTGCTTTAATGCTGGAAGCGAAGATTATAGAATATTAGAAAGCTGCGTCTTCACCAAGACGGCGAAGCAGTGTTGAATGACCAGAGACCATTCAGCAACATGGGGTGGGCTTGTCAATGAGCGATTTGGTGATTGTGACGTTGAGGTCAGGAACGGTCGCAGTCAGACGAGCTCGAGCATCTAGAACTACCCCATGTTCCGGATATTCTTCGGCCGGGAGATCTACAAGCCCCTCCCACGTGATTCCATATGCCTTTCTCTTTGAGATTTTCCCCCCTGACGTTTGTCGATCGGACAACAGCATCGAGCTTCTTACCAGCTGGATTCGAAATTCCACCTCGCCACGCACGTCTGATCAACAATTCTTCATTGACCCTTTGAGTTAGGACGTCAGCTTTGTATCGATTCTAGCGCGCTCACGGCTGCAACTGTAGTTCTCTTCGAATCAGTCCTACCCCTTTCCATCATCAGCAAATATCACCAGGTTCATTCGACTTCCTTCGACTACTGATTTGTTTCTATTCCTTATTCGAATTGGCATCATCTTGGACTCGTTCGCTGGGCAATATGCCATGTATAGCAAAGCGAACACTTTGCCGCTGGACTCTCCAGGATTTCGCAGCCCTATCGAGACTCAATCAAGAGAAACAACCTATGTCCATATTCAAGCGAAGTAGCTTTCGACCGTAGCACAGTCCATCGTTACTAGCCCTCTATTATCTCATTAGGAAGTGTGAAGCAAATTCGAACTCCAGTTTCTTGGCCGTACACGTGAGTGCATTTTCTTTGAGCAAATAATATATTGTATATATCAATCAAAGGATGATCAGCTTCAGCATCCGAGGGCCGTACTGCCGTTTATTCGGACCCTTTTCTTCTCCAAATCAATTAAAATCATTTTCCATGCCCTATAGGAAGCTTATGGTCTGATGACATCGTTCAATTTTGCTGCGGAGGGAGACCTTCCGCATCACGCTTTCGATGTCTGTGAGAAGAATAAACCATGGATCCGGAAAAACTGTTGTACAAGCTTCTTCGGGAGTAACTACCGGGGCTACCACTGAGCTTGTATTTCCTTCAAGGCCTTATGACTATTTCCAACCCAACTGATTGCTGGAATCACACTCATTGACTTTCCAAGTGGAGTTTGTTAAATGAGAGGGGTTGATGCAGATCCGGGCACCTTGATTCCGCTAGGTGATGGAAACTTGCAGTCGGAAAACAATGCTGTGGATGTTTCAAGTTTCAAAGTATAAGATCGGTCACACTGGGATTATATCTCGCTTCCCCTGTCTCTTCCCCACACTTTCTCCAAGTAGCCGCATTCCCCTTGTTTGTGGGCCACGACATCCGATCAGAAGACCCGTGGATAGGCATGAATTCTATCCACTTCTCATCTAGTTGATGCTTAATCCCAATGTTAGCTTCACTTGCCGGGAACTATATGCGTGCTTCCTTAATATCCTGAAATTGCATTTCATTGGCCTTCCGCATTTTTTCGAACATATATATACACTCCTCCCAATGTCACTAGATTCTTTCTTTTCTCTTTATCTTCATATCTTTTGATTTCAAGTCGCAGATATGCATTTCTGTAACTTCCTCCTTGTTGCTAGCACGGCAGCCCTTGCCGTTGCTGCACCATCAGCAAGTGAAAAGAAGAGAGCCAAAAAGTTTCAATGGTTCGGTGTAAATGAATCAGGCGCTGAGTTTGGAAATGCCGCCCTTCCTGGTCAATTGAATAAGGACTACACATGGCCTCCAACGTACGTAAAGGTCAATGTCCGTTTTCATAGCACTCACGATCTACAGTTCAACCGTTGATACACTTGTGGGCAAGGGAATGAACGCATTCCGTGAGTAAGTCCCCATATATAGATGGACCAAGTTCTAATGTTAGATCTCAGGTGTCCCAATCATGATGGAAAGGTTAATACCTACCAAGATGACCGGTTCTATGAACGCCACATACCGTGATCCTATGGTTCAGTACCTGAACTACATCACCTCGAAAGGTGCTTACGCCATTCTCGACCCTCACAACTTTGGTCGCTACTACAACAACATCATCACCGATTACTCTGGCTTCCAGGCATGGTGGAAGACGGTTGCTACATTGTTCGTCAACAACGACAAAATCATCTTTGACTGCAACAACGAACCCCATGACATGGGTTCTGCGAGCGTCAAGCAATTGATGCAAGCATGTATCGACGGTGTCAGGAGTTCCGGCGCCACCAGTCAATACATCTTCGTCGAAGGGACATCTTACTCCGGTGCCTGGACATGGTAAATACCCTCATCCTCTCTCCCAAATTCCACTAACAACCCCAGGGTCTCCTCCGGCAACGGCGCCGACCTCCTCTCCCTCACCGACCCCTCTGACAAAATCGTCTACGAAATGCACCAATACCTCGACACCGACGGCTCCGGCACCTCCGCCAACTGCGTCTCCTCAACCATCGGCTCCGAGCGTCTAAAGGCCGCTACCGCCTGGCTCAAGACCAACAAGAAGAAGGGTATCCTCGGAGAGTTCGCCGGTGGAGCAAACACCCAGTGCCAGAATGCTGTTAAGGATTTACTGTCTTATATGGGCAGCAATACGGATGTTTGGATGGGTGCGCTTTGGTGGGGTGGTGGACCATGGTGGGGGACGTATATTTACAGTATGGAGCCTCCGAGTGGAAGCGGGTATACTAGTACGTTGCCTTTGATGTTGCCTTATATTTGATGGATGAATGGATGAGGGTGGTGGATCAAAAGTCGTGCTGGGGTTGAGTTTGATGAGTGTATATATTGTTTCAGTTGTGTAAATATTTATGAGATTATGTCACCGCTGCCGCGCAAGCCTGATGAGAATAACTCCAAATCCATTAAATTTAAAAAAGAACCTCGTTCGAGCGCTCTGTCCTTAAGCTATGGAGTTGAATAATTATCATGAAGGACGCATTAAGGTACACTTACTCGAACAAACCGAGCAAATATACCTTTTTGAGGAAGACATCTCCTTACCCTACCGTAAATAATTCTCCCAGCAAACTCACAACGCATCCATGAACATTGAAAGCTGAAAGGCTTGCCAAGTGATTCAGAATAATTGTATCTAATTGGTCTCAGACTGGAAGTTTCCGACCCAAGGTTTCAGACGTACGCCACCAAATCGCTGGCGGTGTGACAGACCGTCTTCAGCCTCGTGGTGCGTTGTCATATATAAAACCTCGACGCTTCAATTTATTGAGAAAATGATCTCCCCGACACTTGATATGGCCCGCAAAAGATCTGTAAATCATGGGAGAGCTGGAAAGCGATATGAGACCACCAGCCGGGAAGCGAAGCTTCACGAATGTTGGTCCGAGGAAAGGTGCTGCGTGTCTTTGGTATTTAATTGTCGTGATATTTGCAATATGGTTGGGTTCGAGGGCGGGGAGATCAAAGATAAGCAGTTTTGTGAGGGACATGAGCGATCTTTATGTCAGCGGAATAAATTACGACGCGCTAGAGTATGATCGAGGGACTCTTGAGCTTAATGAGGGTATGACATATCTCACCTACGAGCTGGCTAATGAGAATGCCACGAAGGCGCCGAGCGTCTTCTTCAATGGCTCATCGTTCCAGGTCGATCCACGATATCAAGAGAATGCCCCAAAGGCTCTGCCAAATATCGAACAAGGGAACGCGTCGGGGACAGGCGGTCTTATCTACACTTACCCAGTGGCAAAACTCCGCTTCCATACCTTACATCCACTTCACCCTCATATTTTCATGCCATAGACGGCCCCGGGAGATCTGAACGCTTAGGCGCTGCAGCGTTGATCCCTGAAAATCCCCTATACTTTTCATCCAAAGGTCAGTCATATTTCTTGTTCAGTCTTGACTGCAACTCACTAAAGAATTTATTCTAGAACGCTTAAGAGACAGTGATTATGATATCGCAGGCGTGGGAATCTTCTTTCTATCACACAGTAAACTGTCCACAATACCCAGCGTTTTCCGTCATATTTGGGCTCTACTTCGCAGATGGAGAAAGGATTCAGAAGATCTGTGGGAGAGTGGCGACATAATTACTTTGAATCCCCGAAACGATGAGCAAAAGCTCACCGCAGATGGGAAATCCAGTCTTGCAGTTGCACTTCCCTCGTTATTGGTAGGTATTATTGGTGTAGGAATCGCAGCAATGACGCTAATCTTGACCCGGAAACGAAGAGGTGACGGAGCAGTTGAGCTTGTACAGGTTAATGTTCAGATTAATCATGTTAATGTCGTTATGAGTGGGGTTTGACCATTTTGCTGTGAATTCAGAACATAGATGTTGATTAGATGTAAAAGGGAATATCTCGGCAACTTCGTCATTTTGATGTTTCTCCGTATATATAGGGAAATACCCCTCGACAAAAAGGGGTTGTGGTTTAAGTCGTTAACACCAATTCTAAAGCCTGTTTCAAGATGAGAATGTTTCTAAAGAATTAGGTAAAGCGAACATAAACAAACTAATGGTAAGAATCTAACGTTTTTTCAACTGTATAACGAAAAATTTTCATAGGGAGAAAAAGTATTACGACGCATAGATCTGCCTCGATGGAGAACTGTGGTCTTCTTTCTTTATGAGAAAGGTTTCGTATCATTATTTTTAGTTTACTCTCTGAAAATTAAACGCAGTTTGTGTCACTCATGACTTTGGGATCTTGAATCGCATTTCTTTGACGATTTTTGATGCTTTTGGTAAATTTCTTAGTGCATGGTGTTACTCGTAAATACATTTTTATCGAGTACAAGACACCACGGGATTGGAAGAACCATGGCAAGTTCATGTGGCACTACCTTACACAAGAACTGGACTTGTGACCTACCTCTCCTTCCCCTTGAAAAGTCTTTCATCTCACCTACAATATCAACCTGCCAGAGAGTATCGTGGTAATTATCTACACATCTTCAAATTGGCATCCCGTTGTCTGGATGTAAAGAGAACGAGAATAATCTGCTAACACCTCGGCAAAATTCTTATCGTAAATCAAAATCTTCGATCAGACCACAATGGCAGACGAATACTCCACGGAAAAGGTTGATCTCTTGATCGTCGGCGCAGGTACGTTCACTTCTCTCTCTGACCTCTCAAACTAAAAAACGAAAAGGACCCCATGGCCTCTCCGTCGCCTCAACATACCATACCCTGCACCCCACCTCTCCTTTCCTCATCCTCGACTCCGCACTTTCACTCGGAGGAGTCTGGGCTTCAGAACGTCTATACAAGGATTTATACACCAACAATCGACTTGGAACCTATGAGTTCCCCGATTTTGAAATGGACGCAAAGAAGCTTGGGATGGAAGGAACAGGACATATACCCGGGTCCATCGTGCACGATTACCTCCAAGCATACGCCGAAAAAAAGGATCTAGTGCGTTTTATGCGGCTAGATACAAAAGTCATGAGTATCGAATCCATTGGGGATGAAGGATGGATAGTTGTTTTTTTCTGCCAAGGAGAACATGGGATTTTGAGGGCGAAAAAGTTGGTCCTTGCAACTGGATTGACATCGACTCCACGAATACCTCTTTTCAAAGGACAAGAAGAATTCACACCTCCAATTCTTCATACCAAGAATCTCGCAACCCTGACTCCACCCTTCTTGAGTAAATTGAACAGGGTAGTTGTTTACGGAGCTAACAAATCCGGATGCGATGCATCTTATACTCTTGCTAGTAACGGCATCCATGTCCATCTGCTCGTTCGCGAAAATGGCGGTGGTCCTGCTTGGATGACACCAGCTCTTCTTTCTCCTTTACGTCTTCGCTTGGAGAATTTGGCTGCTACCCGACTCTTTTCGTTGTTTTCGCCCACACTAAATCCTGATGATGGATACGTCCTCACGCGGCGATTTCTGCATCATACACTTCTCGGTCGATTTCACGTGTGGATATTTTGGTGGATATTAGAGATTGGTTTGAGGATGTCTGTTCCGTATGAAATTAATGAGTCGATGAGGAGACTGAAACCGTGGAAAGGGCCCTTTGACGTTACGACGTCGTTGGCTTTTCACACGTATCCAGTGGACTTCTGGAGGTTGGTTGGGAAGGGTATGATTACTGTTCATGTTACGGAAATAGGACATCTTGAGGGGCGGAGTGTTTGTCTGACTGGTGGCCAGAGGTTGGAAGTCGATGCCTTGATACTTTCAACAGGCTGGGAGTCCACACCATCTATCAAAGTCCTCCCAGAAAACCTCGACCTCGGTCTCCCTGGCTCACTCATGTCTGACACAGAATCCAAAATCTGGAGTTCCGTTGAGGGCATGATTTTAAAGGAGTTCTCATTTCTTGAAAAACCGAGAACAAATGAATCTTCGCGTTTTTCCTCACCAGCCTCCAAAGACAAGGCGCAAAGACCATTCTACAACCTGACGCGCCATATGATCCCACCTCAATACCCCCACAAAACAATCGCATTCGCAGGCGCGATGCAAACAGGCCATACACCTATTTTAGCATATATTCAAGGCCTTTGGATCTGTGCATATTTTGACGATGAGATTTCTTTCCCGAAATCACCAGCGCATCAATCATCTTCTATCCCACCCAATCAACTCTTGAAAGATACAACACTCGCAACAACATTTCATCATCTCCGATATCCAAAAAGCGGAAAGGTATATCCGAGTTTTATGTTTGACATCTTACCTTATGCGGACTTGTTGTTGAGGGACTTGGGGTTAGAAGAGAAGAGGAGGTGGTGGTTTCGGGATGTGTTCATGAGCTGGAGTGTCAGTGATTTTGAGGGGCTACTTGAGGAGTGGAGTATGAAGAAGAAAGTTGATTGAAGGTTTACAGGACTACAACATTCTTGGGCCGGCTCGCAGTGGACAAAATAGATTATGGAACCCTCCTTGTTCTTCTGTAAACTTGTTTGTATACTTCAGAGCGAGCAAGTAGCTTATATTTGAATGGATTTCGAAAAGGGTTGACAAGATTCTATTTCCTTATAAGAATTGACGAAATATCGTAAATTTCGTCAACTACTCTGAATAAATATCGTGTTTCGACTGCCACTTATTTTGATCTCCGCAAGGCCGGGTACGTGAGAGTGGGTTAGGTATTTTCTTTTGATGTTAGAATCGAGCTTGAGATTTAAAAATGTACGTATCCAGCATTGCCGAGGACAAACCCAGTCACAGTAAACATCGGGGTATTTCCCGAATACATTACTCCTGGCGCCATGCTTTTTCCAATAATTGTTATTGTTGTCTGTATGACGTCGCCGCCGCTGTCTTTGTGTCTAGCCATAGTCAATAACTGCGAAGCCTTGGCAGCGGGCAGAGGGAAAGACCAGTTCAGCAAATTCTCTCCACCAGGAAATTCCTCCTTAATTCAAGCCTCTCTTCCTCGACTCCTTCACTTTCCCAACATTTCCAAGACCTTGCTCTTCGTAGTTTTGCATCTCTCAATGCTCCGGCCACCATATTCATCCGCGAAAGCGTACGTCAATCCCAGCACAAAAAGGGTGTTGATACCGGAACTGATGCGGGCTCGACGTTCGGGGTCACGGCTGATTGCCATGTATGTACGGAAGGGATTGAAGCTTCTCATATTGATCAGGTGATGTTGATGAGAATGTCGTTGTGATTATGTGACGAGATTTTGGGTGACGAGGTGGTTTCTTTTGGTGTGTGCTGTACGTCGTTACGTTGTATGTGGTTGCGATATATGTCGGTATGCTTGGAGTTTTGCTGATAGAATAAGGGTGGAGAGAGAGGTATGCTATCTAAGTACCAAGGTTGAAGTGCTGATTATCTCATAGTCACGCTGGAGCTAAGTGACTTAGCTTTACTGTCCAGCGTGACAGAGAAAATCTTCGCTTTAACGTATGACGCACCACACGAGTCCAGATATTTAGGGGTCCTCCTTGGTTTTTTTATCTTGCGGGTCTCCCTTCGCATAACGAAATACTCGTCGGGCGCTGTGCATTGCTAAGATAAGTCATTTTTTCGACGTGCGCCGTACTCGTATTACATTACAGATTTCTATAAGCCCACATTTCATCCTTGTCCTGTTCTCGTCTATAACTTTGGGTCTTCAGAAGCAGTACCCGTGGACGTCAAAATTGACAATACGTGAGAATAATTAACCCGAAAGTCATTTCCGTATTTGTGTTACAGCCGTTTGTATTATTCCAAACCAAATGACCTCGTTCAATGCATTAAAAACTTGTGCCTTGTAAACCCTCTTTTCTTCAAGATCTCTTAACACGTTGGAGCTAGCCAAGGAGTTAATCTTTTATGTTTGATTTTTATTTGATTCAATTTGGTAATCATGTCATATTGTCTCTCTTAGTTAGACTCAATCCCTTCTATAAGAAAGGAGTCATAGGAAACCCTATATTCGTGCATGTATTTTAGGAGGTCTTTTACTAATCATATAACACATCTGTAGCCTGGTGCTCTGAAGGATTGCATGGGAGATTCGTTTTTGACACGGCTTACCAACTTCGTAAACCAAATTGTGTTTCGCTTTCTCACCACGAAGTTTTGTTTCTAAATACGCAGCGTTTGACGATAATTTAAGCACACATCTCATTTTTTTCCCAACTTGTTTAATTCAGCTAAAGCTATTTAAGCCTTCGCTTCCTTCCCCTTAACCAAATTCAACGGTGCAGGAATCAACTTAACAGTCTCCTCAAACATCTTACGCCGCACTCTCATCTCTTCCTCCTCCATCACCTTTCGCTGTGCGTCTCTACCCTGGCGAACTCTCCTGGTAATCTCCTTAGCCTCGTCGTCTCTGATACTTTCAATGGCCTCATCGTCTCTCAACCCTTTTATAGCTCTCGCAGCGCGAGCAGCAGCCAGATATCTATCCGCCGTACATTGGCGCGAGACATATTCGACAGGTTCATTGTCTGAGCCATCTACAGTCTGAATCCACGGTTTGTATTTACGATAGATTGACGGTAATTCAGAGTTGAAGGGGTCGTAAGTCATTCGAGAGTCGTCTGAGCTGCGATAGATGGAGGGGAGTTGAGGATGTCGCGGGTCGTATGGCGCGCTGAAGTCGTATGGCTTTCGCGGGTCGTAGAGTTTTAAAAAACGATCTTTAGAGGTAGCGGCGAGTGTGGTGTCTTTGGATACAGTGCTCTTGTCCTTGTAAGAGATTGCTTTTTTTTCTGAGAATGCTGCTTCTATATCGCCTTCCCTACTGGCTTGCTTTTGGCTAAGAGTCTTGGTTCGGTATGGCAATTCTACATTCGTTGAGTCAGTACGTTGTTTATGATCACTTACGTCGAGCGTGCGACACCTTCTGATTGGGACATCCCAGTCTCCAGTAGCAGCCTTGCGCATTGGTGGGAGAATTTCGAGAGAGTCGCGATGGCGACGTCCCAATGCTGTTTTGGCGCAATCATCGTCCGCCATCAGAGAAGGGCTGTGAATGGCGCTCATTTTTCTTTTTAATTTTTTTCGAACTTACAGAATTCGAGCTATCTGGTCAAGGTAAAACCTGATGGAACAAGAACATTCTCGAAAGTTTATATAACATAGAGCTAACTGTATCTGTTCTCTCTTTCTTGTGTTTTGTTGCAGACCAACGTGAAAGCTTGACAAAGGCATTGTCTACAGGTCAAAGGAAATAAGAGGGATGTCTGAAAATCAGGCAAGGATTTGGTTTCTTTGTTCGTGTATATGCAAGTTTCTTTTGTCGAAAACGTGAGGATAGAGTAACCCAAATTAAGTCAGGCGGTGCCAACAATCGAAAAATAATATTTGATATAACAATCTATGTTTTCACCCACAACACTTGACTAGTAGCTTACGAAGGAAAGAAGTTTCAGACTTGGAAGCCGACGTATCGGAAGCCTACATATCCTCACTTTGGCCCGCTAGAAACCACCAGCAACCTTTTCTTACTACTTGAGTTCAGATAGAACGTCATAAGTCGCCTTCTCGGACAGGACGATGGTTGGAATAACAGGGAAAGCACCCGGTACTCTTGGAAAGGCTGAAGCATCGACAACTCTCAATCCAGTCACACCTCGAACTCTGAACTTCGAATCCAAGACAGCCATCTTGTCGTCGTCTCCACCAATTGCGCAAGTACTCGTGGCATGGTGCGAATAGACTTGTTTCTTCAAAAAGGCTGTAGTCTCCTCATCAGAACAATCGGCACTTGTGCACGGGTGGATTTCCTTGAACGGTCCAAGGCCCTCTGGAGCGTCTTCGACGATTTTGCGACCGAATTTGATAGCTTCGAGCATAGCTTGAAGGTCCTTGTCGGCATTCTTCTCGAAGAATTTGAAATTGATCTCGGGAGTATCACGTGGGTCCGCAGAGCGAAGTTTGAGGTATCCCTTCTGCGACCGAGGATTCATATGCACAAAAGTGCACTCGTATTGTTTTGGTCCGAAGTCATCTGGAAAGCCAGGCCAGAATCCCTCAAACGAGAATTGGCCACACCACATTTGAATATCGCGGTTGCCCATGGATTGTGAGGTCTTCAAGAAAACGAAGTAGATGTTCGTGAAATCTTTGAAATCGCGAGCCGCCAGAGAGGCGACGGAACCTTCGTAATTATCATCGAGGTTCTGGCCCACTCCGGGGGAGTCGACCAAAACAGGAATTTTGAATTTCTTGAGCTCTTCTTTGGGCCCGATACCACTAAGCATAAGAATTTGGGGACTGTTGAACGCACCACCCGCAATGATAACTTCTTTCGATGCGTAGGCTCTCTCCACAGTGCCTTTCTTACTTGGGTCGTAACGGGGGTCCGCGCTGTATAGATACTCGCCACGATGATATTCTACACCAATAGCCTTTGGCTTAGAGTCCTTGCCGTGCCGTTTCTTATCGAATAAGACTTTGCTGACGAGCGAGTATGGTTGCAATGTCAATGGATATTTACCTTCGGCAATTGTCTCTCTAACATAGTAGCCAGGGCTTGATCGCTGTCCTGATTTTGTTGCATGGGACCAACTACCAAATACCCCGAGTGTTTGATCACGATCAGGCACATCCGCGTCAATATCTCGGTTCATGAGCTTTTCGAGTGCCAAAGGAGAGAAACCAGTAAGGGTGGCTGCTTTCGTTGCGAGAGCCACCGCGTCAGCAGAGCTATTGGCCCACGTAGTATCCCCTAAGGATATGTCAAGCCAACCGTTGAATCCATGACTCGTATCAGTAACGGCCACATCTGCGTTTCGTTCCATTCGCTTGAAATGCGGTCGCATATTCTTCGACAACCACCCGTCATCTTTAGTTATACCAGCAATATAATCCCAATCCGCGTCAGCTGGGAGAGTGACAACTGCACCGTTGTGCATAGCGCAACCACCAAGTGTTCCAGTACGTGGATACCAGATGCCCAATTGCTTAGCACCTGCTGGCGGTGTCAATCCGGTATAGAACCCACCATCTGGCTTGCGGTAGACCATGTGGTTATAGCCTAGATCATTGTCTGTGTGATTGACAAAGAAATCCCATCTTGTTTTCTCATCGTTCGCTGCGATATTGAAATTTGCCAAAACTGAAACATTGACATTTTGTGTTTGGTCGTCGCCGGCTTCGAGGAGAAGAACTGAATGGCCGGCACGAGCGAGGTTTGCTGCAATTGGTCCTCCACCTGGGCCAGATCCAACGACTCTGTAGTTGAAGTCAGCCAAACAATCAATTGAACCCGTCGCTCATACAGAAATAGTTGCGAGAAAGAATGAGATATAACAGTACTCTTGCAAATACCGTAAGACCATTCTCATCGAGACATTAACTTACATGTATTCATATGTCTTGTTCTCTGCAGCTTCTACTCCTGCAGCCACCAAGAGAAACGCGCTCGAAAGTAAGTGACGCAGCAGCATAGCGTCGAATCAATTGTAGAGAAGAAGAGAAGACCGACTGGCCACGAAAGAAATTGCTTCAGCACACTTCCGCTTGGTCAGACTGAGCGCCTCTTATAATTAACGGCTTGCCACTCGGCAAGACGATCACCACACTATTCATACTATATATCGACATATCTCAAAGAGAAAAATATGTCTTGCAGCACCGGACCGAAATTGTGCCTATAAAACAGGAGGGGAAATATATTAGTCCGCTAACCGTAAGTGTGCATCGGCTGAACCATCATTGCAAGAGGAACCCAGCATCGACAGCGGCATTGAAAGCTTGATGTCTCCCATAAGACGCTACCCACCCTTAAAAGGCAGTTGTATCAGTCCTAACTCCATAGACGCTGGCCAATTCATTTAGCCTTATATTGTGCCAAAGCACAAGGGAGTCAAAGGAGATCGTGCCTGTACAAACAGCCTCTGCATAGCTTTAGATTGTGCTTACAAGAGCTATATCCATGTAGGCCTTACGAGAGACATCGGCAGCTTTCATTAATCTTCGGAAAGTCTTGCACCACCTCACCCACAGTACCACATGCTATGCAGGTGGGGCCAACACTTCAAAGGCCCCTCAAAGTCGCGAGAAGAACTCTGCTATTAAGAGCTGCTCTTTAACACCAGCACACAATGTAATTCTCATCTCGCGAGACCAATTCGGGCGATATCTAGGCATGGCCACTTTTGGTGGTCGATGAGCGATGAGCTTCAATCGACAGCTTCAATTTGAGGCAGCGCAGCGTGAAGATACAAAACGTCATTTGTCTCAACTTGGCCCATGATGAGAAGATGAAGAATAAGCTGACGACGGGCCTAGAAGTGTTGTCTAAAAGTGCCAGCTAGCCATACACACGGTAGCCTTCATCTCGTTCAAATATTGCCATGAGCATCACTTTCCTAACACAAAAAGGAGTCAGCACGGACGGCTCTGAATATAACGTGTTACTGACCTTTCTTGCTACATATACGCAGATGAATACATTATCTCAATGTCATTGCGCGAGGGCCTATTGTTATCGATTATGAGTTGTCGTTGACGCGTTCACGTTTACAGCTCGGCGTCGTGAGATGATGATAGGGTGGCTTTAGCCAGACTATCGGAATTACTGTCTGTACCCAGACTTGCATCTGATGAGCATTGAGCAGCAGATAAGAATCATTATTAAGACAAATCTGTTCCTAGAAGTTAGTAGATGGCTCTTCAAATTAATTACAGTACTCTGTTATCTTGTAATATTCAAGAAAACCATTAAGTGAGGAAGGAATTTTAATAACATTCAAACTCGTGACAATTGCTATGATCATGTGACCACCGGGACACGTCCAATCTCATCGTCTAGAACTCGCCTAGAAATCAACATTCCATTTGATTTCTGTACGTGCATCAAAGCTCTTTCCACAACTCACCACGAGGTTTGAAAATCAGAATTGGCCCATCATGACCTGCACCGAAAACATCGTACAATTGAAATTCACCTGGAAATTCTCGCCCCTTTTGCCCGCCCATCTTTCCGGCTCCAACTTCTGCTGCTTGTCCTGGCGCTATCTCGAAGTCGAAATACCATAAAGTCTTAGCAATGGTCAAGCTGGTCTCCAGATACGCCATCGCCTTGCCTGCGCAACCTCTTGGACCTATTGAAAAAGGCACGAAGGTGTCACGCATGATTCTTTTGGCCTCCTCAGAGAAATTAGAGGACTCAAGCCATCTGTCTGGGTTGAAAGAAAACGCGTTTGGAAAGCAGAACTCATTGTGATGGATTGAGTAAGTGTTGACGCCGACTATCGTGCCTGGAGCGACGATATGGCCGTCGATGACAAAAGGCTCTTTGCTAGGAATTATATCTCGCCATAGAATGCTGGGTGCAGGTGGCGATAGACGTAGAGATTCATCGATGCAAGCCCGAAGATACTGGCAGCCTGCGAGGCTGGCGCTATTGATCTCGTCGCCTCTACTGAAGGAAGTTCGAATCTCATCCACGAGGCGGCCATAAGCGTCTTGGTTTCTTGATAGGTAGAACATGGTGGCGCTGATGGCCGTGTTTACGGTCTCGCCAGCTATTTCAGCCATTAATTCATCAAAATCAGTGAAATGGTGTGCGGACTGATAAAAAAACTGACCTGCTGACAGGAAAAGGTTTGCTTCAGACCATAAATCACTCTTCCTTAGACCGCTAGATTCGGAATCGAGAGCATGTGCGACGAATGAATAGAGGTCATGTTTTGCATCGTTTGGCAGGGCTGTGCGAGTGTTTATCATGGTCTCCAAGAGTCGCATGTACTTCTCCAGCAAGTGAAACAGTGGCAGCATCATCAGGATTCCGAGGTGAAGTCGTCTAATTAGAGGGTAATGGAAAGCGACGTTGCTTGCCCAAGTCCCTCTATCCAAGACTTTCAACATGAACTGATTCTCATCCTCTGTTTGAAGTTTCATATCATATCCAAATGCGAGAATAGCCGCGATGTTGATTCCAAGCTGTCTCGTCCGCATCGAAACATTTACAGGGCTTGAACTCTGGGTCGCCTTCAGTATGTTTCTTGTAAACAGGTTAACTTGCTCGGTCATGGTGGGCTCGAAGACGTGCATAGATCGTTCTGTCAAAACTTGTCCGATCAATTGCCGCCTGGAACGGTGCAACTTGTTATCAATAGCGCTAAAGATATTATACGTGGTAAGTCCTGGCCCAAGAGCCATATACGCTTCTGCTTTTGTTGTTTTGTCTGTTTTATAAATCGCTAAATTATTCATGATCATCAGCGTTGTTGTCATTGGTGCAGCCTCACTTATTCAACTTACCTCGAAGAGCTGCCATAGAGTTGAACACCAATTTGTTGGGTCCTTGTCTCACAACCGATCCTACCAAAACATCAACTTACTCTATGTCTTGGACAACTTCTCCCGCCCCTCCTCGGCACCTACCATATTTTTGCTGATTGATCCAGGTCTGCAAGTGGAGACGCCTGTTAAACGCATGGAAGCCACTATAGATGTCGGAAAACTTTGCAATAAATGGTCCTGGATATTCGCTCAAAGGATGAAGAAATACTTGGTAGGTTGCCCAAAGAAAAGCCTCCAGCTGTGTTAGGAATTGGTCTATCAAGTTTGGAGAAGCTTATACTTACGCAGGTAAACAAAACTGCTGCAAGGAAGTAGAGCACCATATTTAGTTGATCAAAGGAAGTTGTGGAAGTTGGTGGGACATTAAATTTCTGTAACAGAATAGGCATTGTCGACGTGAGCGAAGGGTGTTGGAACCAACATCGTTTTCATTGGTCTGGACACACCACACGGGTGAGAAACCAACACTGCTATGGTAAGCGAAAACGATATGCAGCAGGAGGGAATGCTGTAGGAACTGTCTACAGCACAAGGTATAAAAAATATCAACCCAATAACTAATTTAGTGATTTCGAGTGCTGTTAGGTTTGTGTGAGAGAGGCAAAACACTTCGTACAGTATTTGCCATATCTGTCTGCTGCAATAGGCCAAATCTAGCTGGATTAACTGCATGCTTAATCTGACGATCTAACGCAGCGTCGATTTCCGGTAAAATACTACCTCTCTCAATCACATCGTTGTAGCGTCCGATCTGAATGTCCCATTCAATGCTCTCAGACAAGACATGGCTAGCTTTGGGTACAACCCGTCTGACGCGAGGCTGTTTAAGCTCACACTGCGCCACGGCAACTATAGTGCCTTCCTCCGAGATTGTGTGTGACGGATTGGAAGGTCGTCGCCGTTGGACAACGGGGGCTTTACGCGTGGGGGCTGGTGGATGCATGGGTGGTGGAGCATAGGCTACGTATTTCCCCGTCTGTTGCGTGCTTTGCTGGTTTAGTTTGACATAAGCTTCACGACTTTTCGGACCAAGAACACCATCTTCGAGCATTTCGATCCAGATAGGGCAGTACAATCTGTGACCAAATCCAGGTTCCGTGGTCAAAACTGCATTGCAATGAGCGCATGGTGTTGAGGTGGTAACCGGGACTGATGGGATTCCGTCGTCTAGTATAGATCGCCATGCTCGGCCGAAATAAAATGGTAAAGACATGGCTATTTTGTGTGGTTAGCAAATTACCTGCCCACGGGTTTGGAGAGTTAAACGATTTGAACGTTACTGTCCGCAATACATTGTCCTCTACAAACATTGTTCCGATTTCTCGGCAAAGGAATCAACCTCAAAGAAAAGGCTTAATATTTGTCTGTAAGCAATACATTTTCAAAAAGGCAGAAGAGGTCCTAAGCTATTATGAGATAATACTTTCAATTCACTTCTAAGATTATTGGAAACAAGTTCCAACTTTTTAAGCTTATTTGCCATTGAATACGCGAGTGGTCTTGGCTTCATTTCAAACGTTATTACGGGCCAACCAGACGCGGCATGTTCCGAGTATTCTCCTCCTCTTCCTCGCTCATACTAGCCTCGGCAATATCGTCGAGAACATACGCCTCATATCTATGTCGGATACTTCTCCAACTGGTCATCTTGTCGGGCTCTTTCTTTGGAAGTTCAGGCAACGCAGAAGTGACTCCTTGGCAGAACATCCCGAAATCAGCCATGATACCCGCAGAGACAGGAGAGGTTTCCTCGTCGGAGTCCGAATCTGAATCTGAATCTGAGGAGTCATCATTGCAGCTAGACTCTAAAGGGCTCTGAGGAAAATCATCGACTGGACCTTCATCATCTTCTTCTTCTTTCTGACATTCGATGCCACTAACTTCATTTGCTGGCATGATGCCCCCGTTATTCTGGCCTTTTACCCAGATCGCAATCAATTCGACTATAAGAACTCCCCAGTGTTAATGCGATGGGTTTAACGACGCCGGTGCTGATGGTTTGTCTACTTCTTGAGAGTTCTCATGAAACATCATGGAATTCAACGAAGTGTCACTTTCTTCTGACATTAATTCTGAAACGCACGATTCGTCTGAAGTATCGTCAACGTTTGCTGTCCGGACAGCGACTGTTTCTTGCACTTTCTTCTCCGTCTTGGCCATTAACCAGCTCAGTTGTTCTTCCACAGGATCGTCGCAAGATCGAAAAGGCTGATTAGTACGGGATTTACTGCAGAGCACCAAATATTCTTCTTCTACCTCATTTCGTGAATCTCAGAGTGCAATGCCCAAAGTTTATCCTCATTTTGGAGGAAATCTTCATATCGGGAGATTGCACCTGGATCAAACTCAATCGAAACTTCCTGCTGCTTCTTAGTTTGTAGCCATCCAAACACCATTTTGGGTTTGATGGCAAAAATAGACTGGACTTGAAAGACTTTCGCAGTGTTATCACTTCTGGGGTGGAATCAGTATGCAGGTCTGGGGGCACTCTCCTCGAGAACACCTCTTAAACAACAAATTGTGCTTGCCATTGTTTCCGAGACCAACTTACTGCCTGTCTTCTCGGCGGACTGCTCTAAAACCAAGACGATTCTTTGTCCTTCAGCCATTCGGCCAAAGAGGGTTACGAATTGAGGCTCCACACCAGCAACAAAACTTAAAAAGAATGATTTCGTAACAAGTGCGATCTCTCTGTCAGCAGAAAACTAACATTGTAATGAAAGGTAAAATACTGATCCGGCCAAGAATCAAGACTTCTCGAAGCAAGATGATCCAAGCATTGGTATTTGGCAGCACAACAAGCGAGAAGTTCCATAACTGACGTCAATGCCTCAATTTTCTCTTTTGACGGAGATCTTAAGAGGTGTGAAAAGATGTTTTCGGGAAGAGATCGTAAGTCCTTCAATGCAATTTATCCTACTTTCACCTTAATAAATTTGTAGCTAAGGTCAAAAAGGAGGGGGTCTGCCAAGCAAAGCCCCGCTTCAGCCCTACAAACTCCAATCTCCCCAACCTATTTTGCTTCACTCCTTGATATAACAAGTTTCATACCGAAATTAGAGACACCAGACTCTCAAAAGCACATCAATTCAACGCCTAAGATGCCATACCTCAGCACCACAATCGTAGGGCTCCAAGGCACTCTTCAAATCCTGTACGGAGCAGCCCAAATCCTCATCCCTTCCGTCGCGCTAGACACATGTCGCGCATTAGACGTCCAACCGGTCCCAGCCATTATCAATGCCCTTTCGTATAGCAGTATGCTTATGGGGTAAGTACTTCTTCTTTCGCTCAAAAAGAAAATTATGCCATAAATTATTGAGTTGGCGAGCTGATACATACAACAGGGCATTCTATGTGAATGCAGCGTACCGCGGAGATACTGATATTATGTGGATTACCTTTCTTGGGCGACTGACCGGCATTCCGTATTTGCTGTATCATGGGGGATCGTGTAAGATGGTTGCTGTTTCTGAGGGCGTGTTGTGTGGGGTTGCCATCGTGGTATTGGGATGGGAGAAGTTGGTTGGAAGTGGAGGATTGGGGAGAATGGAGTTGTGAGAGCGAGAGAACTTTTTGGTATACTGATTTTTGTTGGAGCAGGATATTCTCACGATCCTTGGCTGTATTTTGAGAAATAACAAAGGGTGGTGACGCGGAGTGTTGGATCAATATTGGGAGGTGATTCCAGACCATACAATTAATTATTGGGTATTCGTTTATTCTCGAAAACACTACTCATTCTTCTTCGCAAAAATAGGAATTTTGGACTCGAAATCATCCATCATCTCTTTCCAAACTAAAGCTTGAACCTTCCTTCCGTTTGCACTCGTCCTGTTGAAAATGGCTTTCCTGCAAAATTATCAGTTTCGAAACGGTTCGCTCTATGAGACAGATTAAACTTACTTCTGATATTGCTCGTCCGTCAACCAGGCAATTGTGAATTTACCCTATGGTCCAAGATCAGCACGTGGGTTTCAAGAAGTACAAATCCATGACAGTGCACAATATTAATGCATACTCACATGTTCTGATTTAGGCTTGATCGCAGCATTCACACAATGTCGAGCGCCGTGATCTGAGGTTTTGCCTAAAACCCACAAGTATATGGGCGTCATGATCTTCAAGACAAACGATGCTGCTGCAATACCGCGGCCGATATTTGTCTTTACCGTGCCAGGACAAACGCTCTTCACTATCACAAGGGGCCTGTTACAGAAGTTCAGCAATCAGGCAGCATTCTCGTTCAGCAGTTGACGCCAATACTCACTCTTCATCAGAATCTAGCGCTAGCTTGCATATCTTGTCAAACGCATACATGGCCATCATCTTGCTACTCGCATAATTTGGCTGATCATCAACCCACCACGCTGGCCAATCTTTCGGGTCGCTTAGGTGATGTAGAATCCCATCATCTGCCGCAATCTCCGGCCATTTCGAAACATCGGCGTACAGATGGTCGCGCGATGTTACGAAAACTAGATGCGCGAGACTGGTACGATTTATACTGTCTGCTTTCATCCAATTGACCAAGAGTAAGCCGAGCAATGCTGTACTTAGGGCATTTACTTGGATTGTTTTCTCCCTTAATAACATGAGCTTGACTTCTCCAATAGAAATTGGAGGAAAAATACTTACCAACCCTCAGGACTTAGTTCGAATTTAGGATTAATGCTACCGGCACTAAGTACAACGACGTCGGGAGCCCTATTATCCAGCTTTTGTTTCAGCCCGTCCACGAAGTTCACACACGACGCATATGTGCTCATGTCAAGCTCCGCTAGCATCACAGTCGCCTTACTACTCGTTGTATTCATCGATTGCGCTAGTATTTTCGATCTCACCTCTTCCCCCTTTGCTATGTTTCGACATGAAATGATGACATTGGCGCCGAGATTGTAGAATTTTGTAGCAGTCGCAAGTCCGAGTCCACTCGTGCCACCAGTCACAACAACCGTTTGTCCCTCAAATGATAGATCGGGGGGTAGTGGTAAAGGGAAAAACCTCCCCAGGATGCGAGAAGGCGATATGTTTAGTAATGTCATATTGGGCGAGCATGTGTTGGTCACTTTTGGTCATGAGTATGAAGGACAGAATGGACGAATTGTCGTTGAAATAAAGAATTTGACTCCAGATTATAAATGTGAGGGGAAGCTCGTGGAGATAAACGATCCGCACTGGGATTATATTCATTTACGTACGCTCATCTCGGTGGCTCGTATGACCCCATGTTTTGCCAGACAGGCAGTCGCCAAGACCGAATCTGTATCACCAAACCTGGGGATATGCAGTCTGTATTATAAATACAGGTATATGTTTCAAGCATCTATTTCATGCAAGCGTAGTTTATTGCGTGAAAAGCACTCTCTATCAAATAACGCTTATAAATAGGTTCTACAACAAATCTTTCGGGAAGTAAATTGTGACCATAGGCCATAGAGTCCCGGGTCGTATACACGAAATCGCGAGTTCTTCGCTAAAAAGTTTAATACTTAGATTACAAATGTTAAAACATAACGGTTTATATTTCGAGTTTGCTGTACCGTCTGAGATTGAGATCGAAACGAGTTCCGGGGGAAAAAACCTAGGACGGAATTGATTGAGGTATGGACTCATAGGTCGCACATAGTACCCCGAGAAAATTGTACCCCATATGATTTAACTGTAAAAGGAATAAAGCAATTATTCATTACGAGTCCATGAAAATATCTGATAATTAAGCGAGAATCACGAAGAAAGGAAACGACGGGATTTCCTCTAGACAATAAGGGAAATGAGTTAGAAGTAAATAGTAGCTAGATTGTTTAATTGAAACGTATATATTTGTATTTGAAACCTGTTTTGCTTAGTAGATACTCCCCGTAATAATCTCAAGCAATTCAAACCAGACAGTGAAGGATTTAAACTATCTCAACCAGCCCGAGGAATAGTATTTTAGAGATGCAGAAGTAGTTGTGGCAATTTGCGATACGGCATCCGCGGCCTCCACGGCCATCAAGCTTTGCTCACACTTTGGGCAGAAGTCTGCGCCGTACCCACCACTCGCCCACAGCTCTGGGACGCACCCTCATTCTCACCTCTTCGTCCATTATACTTTTGATACCGTCCAATCCTCTTCTCCTCCATCTCGATGAAAATCTTCACCTTCGTCAACCTCTCACATATCTCGTTCTGTTGTCTATCCGTATAACCTTCCGGGGGAACGATCGTGATAGTGAGCTGAGCGGGACGAGGGATGGATTTGGGCTTGGGTTTGGCTTCCTCTTTTTCTGTGGCAGACTTGGGAGTAGAGTTGTTGGAAGACTTGGTCTGGCGAGGTTTCTCTGAAGAGACGGTAGTGTACTGTGCGGGTGTGTGTTTACTGATGTTGAGGGGGCAGAGGTAGTCGAAGTAGGAGTTGTACATGAAAGCCATTTTACTTGAAACTAATTGCTTAGACTAGAGTGGATCTCAGTCGATTTAAATCTAGTTTAAGCAGTTGACAAGTACGAATGCCGGGTGTGGTGGTGAATGCGTTACCCTTATTCACGGTCATAATTTAAATGAAAAAGTGATTGAGCTGTCCCTATATTAGTTGTTTTCGCGGTTCTTTTATTTTCTATGTTAGACAATGGTATTCAGAATGTGTTGGCAAAGGAACAAAGGAATTGAATTCATGGTGTTTGGATGTTGAGGTGTATTAAGCGAGATTTCAAGGACAGTGACTTTGAAAGGAACAAGATCAAAGTACTTGAATATTACAATCAAACGGCACGAACAACTTCTCAATAGATCAACTGAAAACCAACCCACTCACCGATTACTCGTCATAACAAACACATCACCATGCATTTCCCCAACACCATACGAACCCGCAGATCTCAGGGCGACACCTCCGCCCGAAACAGTAAGTTGCATTCAGTGGAAGAAATCAGGCCCTTCCTGTCTTCACGACGTGATTTCTTGTCAGCTGGAATCATCATCACGATTGCAGTTACACTAATCCGATATAGATTCGGATTCATACAGAATTTGATATTTAACGCCGGTGTCGGGTTTGGCCTTGCGTGGATGATGAGACAGGGTGAAGCGTCTGGGGAGGAAAGCTAGGTAGGTTGAAGAGGGAAAATTGGAGGGTGAGGTGAGAATTTGAGGGGGTTTACAATTACAGACTTTTCTCTGAATATAAATACATATGTGACCTTGCTGTATCTAAGTCCAATTTACAAAATGAACTACTAATCTGTCCCGTGTTATTAAAATAGCAGTCCTGTTTACCGAGTCTCTAACCACGGACATCTGTCGACAAATGCTACTTTGCAGTTCTTGATCATCGAGCCCAAATCCCACCAATAAAACCTTCCGCATCCACCTGTTACCAATACGATTGGCTGTCTGACAAGTATTTCAAGTTATTTGAATAAGTCAACGAGTCAAACCCTTTGGGGGTCTGAGGGCTTTTTCATGATTAAAATCATGGTTGCAGTTTTCACCTAGATCAGCACACATTAGCACACGAGTATTAATCACAAAATTCGGAATCGTTGAGACTTACAGTGAACAAGATTGCAACCATCATATTTCTGAATGGGAGCGCGACAACGTGGACAAGTTTTGCAAGTTCGATGCATGATCTCCTGAGATCTGGATGCCATATTCTCTGGTGACGAAAAGCTCGCATAAGTCATCGCGTTATGGTCGCCTCTCTTGTTTCCTTCATGCCAGAAATAGGCGTGCGTGAAACATGTTACCTTGGAGCATTTGACACAAGTCATTTGCGGATTTTCGTCGCCGTCGTGGTGGATTTGACCCGAATGACAGTTGTCATCGGCACACCACCGGAAATTTTCGAGATGTCGGAGGTGTTGGGAGTACACAAACTCGGTATACCTGATTTGACCTATTAGCAAGTTCTTTCTTTTTGGGCATTATAATACTTACGGTTGCAACAGCCTGTGGGATAGAAAAGACCTGACAGTATTCGGCGATAAGACAGAATTACAACACGGACAAGCCACCCTTCCCCAAAGATGGGTATAGTTGTGATCAGTCAATCTCGCTGCGACGTAACTCCGCATGCAATCTTCGCAGATACAGCATTCATCATTGCACTTTGGATCGAGCTTTCCTTCACGGATTCGAGTTTCCGCGTTGTCTGACCCACAACTTTTGCAGACTGCCCGTGAATGCTTAGAAGAACAGAAGGTTTTGGTATAGGAGCTAGGGAATGTCGGCCATTCTGATATTTGTCGATGCGTGAGAGGTGCGCCTCGCTTTAGGAGGCCTGAGACTGCGTTGTGTTCTGAGGAAGTGATGAGATGACTGAGCTCGAGGACTCGTTGAATGAGGATTCGGCGAGTTTGGCGAGGTCGAAGTCTCTGCTTGAAAAGGGCCAGGAGTTTCTTGAGGGTCGAATTACTGAGATCGCTGAACTGTTGATCAAAGACCTTAGTAGTTCGTAGGCGCAAACTTGCTTTCCTTGGGTGTGGAGGCCTAGTGACTGTAGACATAGTCTGATTGGAATTCTTGGGATTCATGGTGCTGAGAGTTCTAGGGGACAGGAATTGTAATGATGGATTGCTACTGGGGCCACTTGTCCTGGTTGATCTTAGATTTGTGGTTGTAATATTTAGACACAGTGGTAGATCTGTGGCATTAAATAAGCAGATATCCGTTGATGCTTCCAAATTGCCATCATGGTCCAAGAAACCTGTTCAGGTTCACTGTCCGCAAAGTGACTTGATAGTGATTTGACCTTGGAAGCAATCAGCACGAAGATATCAGTGTACCGTGAACTGTCAATTAGTGACTCGCTAAACCACTAGTTATATAGCTGAAAATTAAGTGAACAACCTCCTTTATTCATACAAACCGCTGGAACCTGATCATTGCTGGACTGTGTGAAGATTTTTACAGTAGCCAAGTTATTAACTTCTTACGAGTATAGCGAACGCTTCTGGATTGGGTTTGATCATTGATGTTGTTTTCGTAAAATCTGCAATTGAATATATTGTTCTGTATTATCATTGAGCTGGTTTTCTGCATCCTATTCGGCTTTTGTAGTGTGACCAATTACCTGGTCATGCTCTCACCCTCCATCTCGTGCAGTCTTATTCCAGTCATTCGTGACATGATCTGATTCCACTCCCTCACAACTTCGCCCTAACTTTGATATGCTCCAAACAAAACTCAATCGCAGCCTTATATCCAAAGACACCCAGCCCACAGATGACTGCTTCCGCCTTGTCACTGAAATAACTCTTACTCCTCCACTCCTCCCTCGCGTGTACGTTGCTGACATGAATCTCCACAAATGGTATGTTTACGCCAAGTAACGCATCTCTCAACGCAACTGATTGATGTGTGAAGGCTGCAGGATTGATAACAATGGCGTCGACGCCTTCTTCGCGTGCTTTGTGAATGCGGTCAATGAGTACGCCTTCGTGGTTGGTTTGAAAGTAGCTCAGCTTCGCGCCGGCAGAGGAGGCTTGGGCAACGGCAGCGTTTTCCACGTCTGAGAGGGTGGTCGAGCCGTAGATTTGTGGTTCGCGGGTACCCAGGAGGTTGAGGTTGGGCCCATTGAGGAGGAGGATGTTTTTGGCGCCCATTGTGTTGTTGTGAGGTTGGATTGGGTAGTTTGCTTATATTGACGTTGTTTTCTGATGTTATGGAGGGAGGTTTGGGAATTGTGTGCAACCGTAGGACTTGGAACAGTTGTAAAAGAAGGAGGACATCTTTCAGAGGATAGATAGGTTTTCTACGACGGCTTGGGATCGGCGAGTAGTGTGGTACGAATTCGGGAGATGGTGAGGTCTCTTCGTCCTGATGCTGTGGTGGAGGAGATGCTTGGCGCGTAGTCGCGTCGGATAAGGTCTTTCGCGGTTCGAGATCTGCTTCCCGAGTCCTTACTGACCTCTGACAACACCAACATCATCAACTCTTCGTCGTTCTTGCATCGGAGACTAACGACGTATGCTGAATTGGATATTGCTATCTGGCATCTAAATCTAAACTTATTCTTTTACATCCTCATAGAACTGGTTTGAACCCGAAATCTATCAAGCAAGAAAAATAAAAAGCCACTCCAAGACGCTGGAATCAAAAGCGATACTGTTAGAGCATGCCAAAGATGTTTTACAGACTTGCAACAGCTCCAACCCATCGCTTAGTGCTCAGGATCTGCTCAAGAGGCCATGAAATTTCAACGTTCTGACCGTCTGCGAAAGACTCCAGCGCCGACCAAAGATCTTGAATTTCTTCTTCACCTACTCTCGGCAACAAAGTCGCAAAGAAACCCTTCAGCCATTGTACATCTCTCATTGATCGCCATTCCTTGTCGTCCTCAATCAGCTCCATCACTTCCCCTTGTCCGACTTGCTTAGGTGCCATCGAAAGCGCAGAATTTAGAGTCTTCATCTTGCAGCCCGTGTCAACAGTGATCCTCTTTGAGCCAGCCTCAAAGTCCTGATCTGGGATTGGTACAGAATCAAGCCCGGCACTCATATGTTCTACTCCTCGAGATAGGATACCACCAGCATTGTGCAGCTTTTGCGCCCAGATCTCAATCATTTCGCCCCAAACTCGTTGCGCGCTTTCATTGTTGATCAGCTGAGGCATGCCATAGAAGTTGATTGAGAGCGTTCCTCCGGGCTTTAGCTGGCGGGCATAGGAATCCATGGCTTTTGAGACGTCTGTCCAGTGGAAAGCTTCACAGATTGTGAGCAGATCGACTTGATGACTTGGTACAGAGCTTTCCTCAGCCCCCTCTTGAAGGAAGGCAAACTTGCTTTTGCAGAATCCGAATTGGCCAAGCCTCTCAGACGCGATGCCAACGTATCCTTCATTTGGGTCCGAAACGATGATATGGTTGAAGCGCTTTGCTAATTCTTGAGCAGCAATACCAGCCCCCGCTCCAACATCGTGAGCAGTTCCCCAGCTGTTCGAGCTCTGAGCGTGATATGTAAAAATGCGTTCCCAAAAGGAAGACGGATAGACTGGACGGTGTACGATATAATCAGACCACTACAACCTTCCATTAGCTATGTTTTGCCCTTAAACGGTTCGAGTGTTTGAGCCGAAAATCTTGGTGGAAAATGTTGCATCTGGGATGAAATTTTCTCGTGCACGCCAATTCGCGGAATTTACGGAACAGAAATAGCAAAACTTACGCAAAATCCTGGAGCTGCGAATGCTGGTTGCTCTTTGTTCGGACCGAGCATCGTCAGTGTTGAGATATTGTCTTCTTCGGTTGTGACAGTATAAGAAGCCATTCTGAAGTTTTCTGGTTCAGCGCGGACTTTTGCCACAAAGAAATTTCGTCTCCAACATGATCCAAAATTTTCAGCCGAGACAGAACCAAGTTTAAAGTAACGGTGAATGAGGCAGGGTGGCATTCAGTCGGTTCACCACAAAGCAGTATCTTGCCTCTTCGTGAATGGAAAGCCGAGTAAACCACAATGTTAGTCGAGTCCAAACCCTTAAAAGCTTTCTTGGGCAGGCTTAGATCACGAACTCGGTGGGGCATGTCGAATGCTTCTTGGTATGAACGAGCTTCTTCGCAAGGATTTCAGATGCCCCGGAGACTGATCTTTCGAGCTTGGGGTCAGCAGTGGTAGTTGCACAGTTGAGAGAATTATACCCGACTCGACTCTCAATAACTCACTACGAAGACTTCAGGAACCAGTAGAAATTATTTCATTGCACTTCCCGGAATGATTATTTCTTCCGCGTTCATATATTTCACGCTCGTCGTTCGCTTTTACAATTGAAGTCGAACCTTGATGCTGTACTGGCTTTGCAGTAGTCGCCAATGGCATCTCGTGCATGCGTAGGTTTACGGCCAGGCGATTCTGGGTGCCACGCTAGCAAGCACTATGTGCTTACTTCTGTCGTGCCTCGCTCCGACTTCGAGAAGCTTACAAAATCATACCTTGGTAAGTGCTTCCGAGTCTCCACCGTAACATGTTACCTACCTACCTATGTGGTCGTCCAACAGCGTCGCAAGAATCACATGTAGGTTCAAGCTGGATGATTGATGTAACCCAGCAGAGACCCTGATGGAATTCCTCAACGGGTCAAAAGAGCTTTATGATGTGGGTGACAGATTACGAATCACACTCGGTCTTGTAAGCCATCTCATACAGTTCTAGTTCCGTTATAGGACATTTCAATTTGGAACTTACATTCTACGCCGAATTTATTGTTACTTCGACCATTGTTATCAATTTACATGCTAGGCGCTGAACGGGTTTAGTAGCTTTCACGACCATGGCGGCCTAGGGTTTGATCTAATTATCAATTTCTAGCATCAAATTACTGCTTTTCTCAAATTTAAATCTTCATTCGATTGCTCTTTACCTCTCTACAGTCGCTTACAAAATCGGCTTCCCCTCCTCACTCCCCAGAAGAAAATTCGGGTCCCACTTGAAGGCGGGGCTCAGCAATCATGTGACCAGGAAGTACTTTAGCAACTTCTCAAATAACTTTGGATGGATCTGAGGCTATTTTCATACAGATTTCTCGGTGATATTACGCTAGAGATCTGTGGTCCCTAAATTTCACCCTACGATATTAATTTCATTGGGTGTTTTATCACGTGCGAATGTAAGGCGTCTTTAAGACTGCTCTCTGGAACGAATCATATGGGTAGATGCAATCTGCACCAAAAAAACCCAGGGGAGCATCAAATTCGGCTCATGGTTGTACTTCAGCTTGTCGCCAAGACTTACGACCTCAACAACAACATTTTTGGTCCCAGAGTAGCTGCGTACAAATGGCAGACCGCCCGTCTCATAAACACTTCAAGAAGTTGAGGAGCGTTTTTAGCTCTCGAGAAGGCAAAGTTAGAGGAGTTAAAGAGCTACTCCCACCGGGTGCGAGTACGTCGAACGACGGCTTCCTCCCCGCGCCAACAAACCCTGCATGTCACGGAGAATCATTATCGCACTCTGGATTTGTCACAGATGACGAGGTAGGTGCTTATCAAAAGGCAATCATTATTAACGAGTGTCCTGATCGCGGCATTCCTAGCGTTCGTCATATCAAGCTTCGGAGGCTGGCTCGATAAATCCAGCCGACGAGGACGGCGTCCCCCAGAATGAGTTGGGCCGAAGTAATGCGAAGGCCAGCTTCTGGGAGCAGGCCTACCAGGATCTTTTGACTAATCCAAAAACAAAATCATTAATGAAGGATTATGACCGAGTCATGGCAGAGTCCAAAAATGAGGCTGCCATTAAAGACAAGAAAGTTGATGGCAGTGACGGTCTCACTGCTGCTGTTGTTCCTGCTGCTAATGGTTCTCCTGCTGCTGCTGCTCCTGCTAATTCTGCCACAGAAGGCCCAGGCGCGGGCGGGGACGAGGAACAGCAACATAAGATACTGGGAAAAGATAGTGAAATGAAGGACTTAGTTTCTCAGAAGCTGAAGGAAATGGAAGATTCGGAATGGGTGATCAAATGGAAAGGGAATGAAGTGTTTCGTGTGAGGAAAGCTGTCAGCGAGGCAGTCAAGATCGTGCAGAAGTTTTCAGGTCTGGCCAGCTCGGCTGCGAGTCTTGACCCTCTTCATGCCGGTCTGGTATGGGCTGGTGTGTCCTGTGTGCTACCTGTAAGCGTCAAAACCCTTGTGCTATGCCGGAAAATAATTTCAAAAGTTACTCCTCAATGACACCAAAGAACGCACAAAAGCCGTCGATGGCATCGCATCAACATCCGAAACCGCCGCACGATACCTCTTGATCGAGCGCGACTACCGCGATGGAAAGCTAGGGAAAAACGATGATTTCGAGCGCTCGGCGATCAAAATATGCACTGAGATTCTCATATTCTATGCGCAGGCTGCTGTCTTCTTCGCTCGCAATGAATGGAAAAGATGGCTCGTCAATACGTTCAAGATCGATGATTGGACTGGCGCTCTCGAAGCGATAAGCGAAGCAGAAACAGCTTGTGAACGTTTCAGCGCCATACTGACTTCGTCAGCTCTGCTAAAAGGCCGACAAGAGATTGCAAAACTCCTGGCGGCTCATGAGGAGGAAACAATTCACAAGATGGAAGCCTGGGTCTCTAACACCCAAGTCGGAGAGCAGCATCACCAAGTGAGAGAAAAGCTTGGTCGTAGGTATGCTGGCTCTGGGAAATGGCTGTTGGATTTGCCTGCTTTTGTTGAATGGAAAAACAGTTCTCATGGCAACTTCTGGCTTCGAGGTGCTGTGGGGATGGGAAAGAGCTCACTTGTTTCTATCGTCGTTGAAAAGATGAAGAACGAGGAGGATAATTTTGCTTACTTTTACTGCACTAATGCGTTGAGTATCCCCGAAGCAACCGAGTCACCAAAATGCACAATTATCAGAGCTTTAGCGGCGCAGCTTGCGTTGTCTCCAGATAAAAAGAGCATTGCGGAAGAGGTCAAACTCAAATACGAGAAATATGTTAGCGAGGGACTTACTGGAGTAAAGCCTGGCTATGAAGATTTCTTAGAACTCTTTAGCAGATTAATTGCCAGTCGGAACTCAATAACACTTGTTATTGACGCCTTGGATGAATGTCCCGATTACGTGGAGCTGCTTGCTGGGCTTAAAATACTTTCTGAACGAAACAACAACCTCAGACTTCTCGTCTCCTCACAGCGGGTAGTCCCAGTCAACGCATACCTTACACTCAGCATCAATACAATCAGCTCAGCTCAAAATCTGGAAGACATCACAAGTTTCATCCGAGGGGAAATCGAAGTATATAAATCGTATCACCCAGGAGTCCTGACCGATGAGTTATCTCGCGACATCGTCGACACTCTATCCGATAAGGCAGAAGGAATGTAAGTCCCCCACATATCATTTCAAACTTCCTAGCTAGTTACAAGCTCTGACTCAGTTGCCCAAGGTTCAAATGGGTAGATCTACGTCTCAGGTTCTTGCTCGACCCAAGTGATGAAGCAAAACAAGCCGACATCCAGGAGAACTTGGACACTATCAAGAAGAAGCCAAATCAAGGTATAATTAAGAAGATGGTGGAAGCGTACCATACGCTTTACAAAAAACACTTACCCTTAAATCCGGACACTAGCGCCAAGAGGGAGGCGGAGGCAGAGAAGATTCTGGCGTGGGCTTTTGCCTCGATTCGCCCCCTACATCTACATGAGATCCTGAGTCTTGGCAAAGAAAGGTACGTCAAAGAGGTCGAGAATCCGAATGCATCCGAACAGGATATCTCGAAACTATGCCGCATCTTTCTCTTCGTTTCCGAGAATTCTCAACTTGTCGAGATGTCACACTCATCTGTGAGCGACTACCTTGCTTTGAAGTTTTCTGGCAAGCTCGACGAGTTCTTGGCAGATACAAAGACCAAAATTGATGACAAAAAGCTGCTCCAAGATGCTCACGATCTGTCTAAAGTCTTGGTAAACAGGAGAGTCGCAGAGGAGAGCATATCTTACCTTCTCTCCACAAAAGATCTCAAATTCGGCCAAGACCACGCGATTAATCCAGAATCTCTGCTCTCTTACACAGCAGAGTTCTGGTTCCAGCACGCCAAGGTACCCATCCGATCAGTGAATCAAGTCATCAATGAGGACCAAGAAGAAATGGTGCAAGAAATACCGGAAGATCTTAGAGGTTTGCGATCGTTATTCAATCCACAAAATTGTGGGGCATTTGATAATTGGCTGACCATCCACGACCCTGACAAAGTGACCAGAATCAAAGGAAAAGATCACTCATCAGGTGGCCTTCGTGGTCAACAACTCTACTATGCCATGCTCCTCGGTATCTGGGATGTTGCAAGGGACATGATCGATGATAATAGGGACGTTAATATCGTCGGCGGCTATTTTGGTAACTGCATACAACTTGCCGCATACCGTGGTAACCAGCCCACGGTTTCCAAGCTTCTTGATAAGGATGTCATGCTTAACGTGGAAGCTGGAATATTTGGCAGTGCTCTACAAGCTGCTGCCTCTCAAGGCCATACGGACATATGCTCTATGCTTCTCAATCACGGTGCGGACGTCAATGCAACAGGTGGCTTGCTGTGCAATCCATTGCAGGCTGCTTTGACTCGAGGTTCAAAAGCGACCATTGAGCTTCTCACGAGTCGCATTGGTGGAACTGATCTACCATATGGCAACCTCTGGAAAGACGCCTTTTCAAATATTCCGGAAGAAAAGCGAAAAGTGTTCGGGGGTCACCTCACTCGCTTCGTGACCATTGATCTGCCTCACAACCTGACGTTCGAACAAGAGCTTCTTGCCTCCGTGGTCGAAATTACTCGCAATGTAGACCCCGAAAAAGCCTTTAACTCATTTCTGGAAGCTTCAGAGCTCCAAAGGTCTTCAAGGATCTCGGGAACACAGCGCGGTTATTACCAAGCGATCTTACAGAAGATATCCGATAACGACAAAAATGAGCCGTATTATCTCTATAACCAACTGCCACTCATTGCTTTCTATTTGATACTGCAGGTAAACTACCATAAATTCGGAACAGAAAAATAACGATGACGCTAATACACTATAGTCGGGTCCTAAGATTCGGCGAATTCAGCTTGATTACGCCCCAGTTTTGGATGCGATTGCGAGAATCATATCACAGCACGGATATTTTCTTGTCCACGCGATGCTACCACGGGTCGACAACAAGGAGTCTCTACTAACGGAAATACTGACATATCTTTATACAGAAATCTTCAAGATGCTGGTGCGAATTCTCGAACAATCCCGTTTGACCGCGTTCCGCTATGCAATACTCGGTTTACGACACCGAGGCGCTAGTGAGTGGTTATATACGACTGAAGAACTGGATAAAACTGCAAAGAGGATTGAATTTCAGCTAGTCGAGTGCGCAAACTGAAAGCAGTCTCAGCTCAGTCAGATCCCCGATCTCGCGCGACATTCCCAGAGAACTGGTCCTGCGAACACGAGAAGTTGCACTTGAACCGAGAAACAGTCCCAACGTCGCCAAAGACTGATACGTCCAGGCCACAGACAGCACAGAGCGTGACTGGAGAGTTACTCCAGACAAATCGGACAACCGTCGAGGCGTGGGAGCCGTCTCAAAATGAGTTGTGAGAGATCCAGACTGTCCTGGAAAATGCTACAGAGGATGCAGGAACGGCCAAGAGACACGATTCAATCCATAACATGGCACAAACCACCTCAAACAATACGGAAGGCTCCCTTCAAAAAGACCTCGAAGTAGAGAGGATCGGAGTGGTTCCTTCTCTCCCACCACAAATGATCGCCGAGGAAGATGTAAAGGTTGCCGATGAGGAGATGTTTCCTGCGACAGTTGTGTGAAAGGAAGCAACTCTTCTCTGACCTTTGGTACTGTGAAACGATTAGCTGACAGTTTTCTCGAATAGCTTTCATGTAGAATTAGAGGGTTTATCTCCCCAGATGACTCCATTTCAACTTGATGCGAGAGTAAAAGTCTCACGCGACTCAACAACGACCCGTTGCCCAGACCTACCAAAACCTATATGTATCCAGTAGGTCACCTCAATCAATTCAATTGGATTACCTTCGCTCCTTCAAAACCCTCAGCCACAAATCATGACCTCATCCTTTCCTCGACAGCTTTTCCAACCACGCCTCAATCCGCATCGCTTAACTCAAGCCTTCCTATCTCAAACCGAACTTCCTCACATTAAAACACATGATAGGTATTTACATCAACAGGAATCTGGCTAGTCTAGAAATAACCGCAATCGATAAGGTGACCATCTCGCGCGGCTTTTTCTGTGGTTTCGGATTCAGATGTTTGTTGGTACCAACTGACCACCACACCACACCCGTGGCCAGAATCCTGGGGGCTGAGATCGTGAGTTTCAATAATATATCAGGGAGGAAGTCGCAGGTAAGAATTTATTTCCTAGTGCGAATTTTCCTGTTTACTGTTTCTGCATTTCATTTCCTTACAATTTCCCTTCAACTGTATAATCATTTCCTCAGTGCTGTGCATTGAACCCCCCAGACAAAACAACAAGATGAAAACCCCACGCTCAATCACCATCCACAACTCCCTCCCAACCACCTCCCTCAACGCAAACCGCGCCCCCAAATTCTTCAGCAAACTCTTCCATAACCTGCCGGGCAGAAAACCATATCATCAACTTGATAACTCCGCGGATGATGTGGTCTATGAGAAGGCGTTGTATCAGCCGATTGTGAAGGTTCAGGCGACTTATGCGCCGAAGGAGAAGTTTTTGGGGGATAATCTTTTTGGATTGGTTAGGGAGGAGGTGGGGAGGGAGAATGGGTTTAAGGATGCTGGTGGTTATGGAGGGGAGAGGGTGAGAGTCACGGGGTTGAGGAGGCCGGTTAGGAAGGTTGAGGAGGAGGAGGAGGAGGAGGTTGTGTGGACTTTTGAGGAGAGGCCGAGGGGGTTGAGACGGCCCGGGTTGAGGAGGGATGGGAGTGAGGGGATGCCGTTGCTTGTTTAGAGCGATTGGCGTGTTAAATGGGGGATGGGTTGTATGAGTAGGTGGAGTTTGGAAGTGAACATAGGAATTTGCAGGATCATGGGAGTAATTGGGTAGATTGGCGTTTTACTTGGATTCTACGAACAAAGTCCCAATTGGGTCTGTAGAGCATGTATCCCGATCACGGCTGGAGTGGAAATATTGAGCATTGGAGAATTCTCTGATATACTGCATGCGGATTAAATATACGATTTAAAATAAAGACACGATGACTTGACATGCCTATTTGTTCCGCACGCGTACGCCGTATTGTAGGTCACAATGTGGTGGAAGTCAAAGTACAGACACTCAAGCCAATCTCTATATCCTTCCTGGATCCTGGTTGCAAAGAAATGGTAAACGCTGGTACAGTTGAATGAAATTATATTGTTCTTGGAATGCACTCAATTGCAATCCTTCGAGGAATGGGCATGTGTCCATTGAACGGCTTGGATTCTGGGGATCTTCTCGAGGGGTTGAATTTTGTCGCAACTTGCAGGACACAAAAGAACTTCTGCCAGGATTTCTGCTTACAAATAGAATGAAACAAAGAGCTTCATGGGTAATCATACCGAAAAATACCCAATTGCAACCAGATACAGTACCTTTTCTCCATTTCTTTCGCATCGGTGTCTCTCGCGATCACGAGACACCTCGAAAGACGTCGAAGCCCATCACGTGAATCACTAGCGCACCGAGGCCCGTGCGTGAAAATTCTCAACTATATCAACGCATCGCACATTCCCAAACTTTCTTTTCTTCTTCAGACGATCTTACTTGTAAGTTTACCACCCCCCAACATCTTCCTTCTCCCCTTCTCCCCCTCCGCCTTCCCCCATCCGAATCTCTACTAACGTCCCCCCAGCATAGAATCATTTCTATAGTAAACGTCCTCTTCTGAGATCCTCTCACGAGCCTCAGACTCCAACCCGGACGATGAGCCGATCCTCGGTGCCCAAGAGTGAGGCCTTTTACTTTCGCACTGTCCGCAAGGATGGCGGTTCCTTTCTTGTAAAGGGACTGTATAGAGAGTGGCGATGATCTTGTCCCTTTTTGTGCTGGCTTCGGTCGCGTGAACTGGGTGGGTGCTGATGGACGTCTGACGGGCCATTTTTATCTTTTTTTCATTGTGTACTGCGCTTGTGAGCGCGGTCCCGAAGAAGAAAATTTTCGAGAGTGGTTTTTGGTGGACCGTGTGAATTGGGTCAGGTGCCAACTAAGATGGTTAAGGAACGACGAAGGATGATATTTGTTTTTCCTAGAGAATACATGAATCTAATATAATCACATTTGTTTGTATCATCGTTCGCGTCTTTTTCTGTGATATTTCAAACAGTTGTTACAGCGGCTATCATGCTGCGAACGTTTTCACAATCGACAAAAAAAGCATCACGCAGCTGCACATTCAGAAACGCATATCTCTTACCACTGCAGCTACATCTAGAAATACGAAGATGTACTTACAGAAAATCGTATCGCTGCTTACTGACGAACATTTGAGTTGTTCTTCCATAAACGGTAACGGAATCTGGTGCTGGAAGAGCAGACATCGCGGCGTCGTGAAATATCTGCCCGTCTCAACGCCAACCAGCCGGTTTGAGAACACACGAATACGATTTCAAATGGTGAAAGTCAATGAGTTTTTTCATCTGAGTGGAAACCGTCGTGGCTGTATCTTTGCCTCTCCATGGCAGGCTCTAAAATGCACAAAAATTTCGCAAAATGTACTTCTAGAACTGATATGTGAGATCGATTATTAAGCCTGTAGGTTGGTCTTGAGGAGACAGCATATAGAGCCCGTTGAAAAGTCCAACCCTGAGATTGTCATCGCATGTTTCTAGCTCAGCGTGCTGGCAAGGTTTGTTGTCGACCAAATTGTTCTACTCTGAGTACCTGGGACGATTTATGCAGTCTCCTCAACTGGAGAAGTGGATGTTTCTGTATGAGAAGAACCTCAATTGAGAAGCAAAGGACTTCTACGTTAGCCGGTGACTAGCAAGAAAGTATTATTACAGTCTTTACATGAATTGACTAGGTTTGTTGGTGTAATAATTGTACCTGCTGAAACTTTTCAATCACAATGGGATCTCATCCAACATATTCCATCACGACGCCACGCCGTTAAAATGCATCGACTCCCCGCATTCACTGTACACTGTGCTAACTTTGGTCTGTGGACATGAAAACGATGCCTCTTACAGTGCATTTAATCATAACTATTCGTTATGAATGAATCATTGTCCTGCCATAGTGATCAAGAAAATAGACAATCTTCCTCTTCATCTTGAGGTCACAAACTCCCCACAATAAAATAAAGCTCGGTTATTTGAAGGTCTTGGCGTTGCCCACAAACAGCAAGGTCCGACACCGTCAACACCTCTCACCGTGATCGAAGCACCAGGAGATCGCCATTTCACATCTGTACGTGTCCCTAATTTTCGTTGAAGCTGCAGAAGTTGTCGCAGATTCGCTGTAGACGTTGCATACTGACTATTCATCCTGTAGAATAACCATCTCTTCCATCTTCTTACGATCAATTCTTTCCTGCGCACTCCATCGGAAATCTAAATAAACCGCAATTATGGATATGGAAAAGTTAAGAAAGATGCAGGCGTCGGCGCGAATTGGTATGTGGGATTCTGCAGAGTGCAAATGGCTTCATGTTTTTTGAGACCATGAGGCTCTGCGAGCTCTCCAATGAAATTTATGACCTGCAGCTAACACATGCGTTTAGGGTATGTACATAATTCTCTCTGCGCGAAATTCGAATCGAGGACAATGGATGGAGATACGGGAATTGCGCGAAGTGTCATTGGATTCGGATTGCTGACGAGATGAAAAACAGTGGAAAGGGTACACCAAGAAGAAAGGTCAAGAAGGTCCACAAGAGTCAGGGAATGGACGACAAGAAGCTCCAGACATCTTTGAAGAAGCTTAATGTCCAGCCTATCCAAGCAATTGAGGAGGTCAACATGTTCAAGCAGGACGGAAACGTCATCCACTTTGCTGCTCCAAAAGGTGAGGCTCAAGCACACACCGCACTTCGGGAGAGGATGAAGTTTGTCCTGCAATATTACCGGAAGCTAATTGCAATTCCAAGTCCACGCCGCCGTCCCATCAAACACATTCGCCATCTACGGAAACGGAGAAGACAAAGAGCTCACCGAACTCGTACCTGGTATCCTCAACCAACTCGGCCCAGATTCCCTCGCCTCTCTACGAAAGCTTGCCGAGAGCTACCAATCCATGCAGAAGGCAGAAGGCGACAAGAAGGAGGGTGACGACGATGATGATGACATTCCAGATTTGGTAGCAGGATCCTTCGAGGACAAGGTCGAGTAAAAGTTTTGATTGGAAACGGTCCTGGAATCTACAAATCGACTGGGAGGCGGAGCCCTTGTTTTTTTGACGGCTATGGTAGAACTGCATATCTTCTGCGAAGGCGGAAATGGAACATACGGCAATTTTTCAGTAGTCGATGGTCGCTTGCTTGTACAATAAAATTCATGCGGCTCCTCATTGTTTGTTGAAAAATTGGTGCATCAGGTCTTGGTTAAGTGACGTCGATTTTGGAAAGGTCTGGTATTCCTACTTTGGCTGGAACACGATATCGAACAGGAACCAGCAAACGAAACCTCGAAAGCAGACAGCTCGATGTCTTTGACGCAAGATCTACCAAGACTCGATCAATTGTCTAGAAATTGCAGGTCCGCACGTGCTACTTACTCGAGTGCAATCCTTCAACTCCCCCAGATTGACAAAATTCCTACAACTTTGGACGCACTTCGAAGCTCTATCAGCTTAGACCCATATAAATCCCTAGAATCCGCTATAAATATCTGCATAGCGTAGCATACATTACAGTGGCTCCTGCTCTATGTACTAATCCTACTGTCACTGCAAAATTGTATCTGCTGAACAAACGCTAGAATATAGGAGTCCTCAAAGATGTAGGTCAGATGGATGTTATTCGGCGCTGAAGTGCTAAGTATGTTGGTGATATGATGAGGCAGATGATGGATGTGATAGTATTGCCTATACTCTTGGGCAAGTTGAGTCTAGTATGTTGATTCGCGTTGATACCTTGCTATGTAGAAATTTTATACCGTGTTATACTTGGGTAGTATGGAGTTTACTAATTTGAGATTTCTTTATTCTACAGCTTTTGTAATACACTACACTCGCTCTTCTGTGACTCTCTTTGAACCAGCACTGCTGTTCACTTCTTATCGACTAAGGTACATCAACTACAACTGATTCCCCCAACTGGCCTTCTTGCTACTCGACAGTACCAAACCTGGTTCACCCTCTTCTTCAACTCTCAACACGCAGATCTCCAATCCTCCACCCCTATTCCCACCCCAATCCCCTTTCTCCCATCATCACACCTCAATGCCCCCTCGCAGCCCCCTTAACCAACTTCAAAGCATTCTCCTCCCACCCATTCGCTCCCCCATACTCCCCCACCAACCCCTCCACATCCACCTCCTCCCACCCCCTCTCCCTCCTCCGCCCAATAACAGCCGTATTCCGCGTACTCGGAATCCTCAACATCTCCGTTTCAACCGTCCACCCACAATCCCTCGCAATCCCCGACACCCACGCGACCAACGACGCGAACTGCGATTTCGATGCCCCGGGTTCCTTGGACGGCGGGGGACGAAACCGCGCACCGCTGAGAGCGTGGCTGCAGCACGGGATCATCATGAAGGCAGAGCGCGAGAGCGTGGCGAGGATGGGTGTCCAAGGCGTGAGTTCGTCGGCGTGGTTGGATATTATGAAGGTACCTTGGGGGAAGACGCCGTTGTGGATTTTGGTTTCTTCGGTTATTTTGACGCCGGTTTGGTCTTCGTCGGTTTCGTTTGGGGTGGTTTGTAACATCTGTGGAATCAATACCATTTCTTTGATATTCTCCTGAGCTTTCGCACTCCAATTCTCCCACGATTTCCGCCGCCGAGCGTCGAATCCCCAGCCTGAGTAGCCTTCTTCGATGAGGATATGCGTGAGAAGACCGTTTCCACAGCCGATGTCTACGAATCCGGGGAAGTCTTGGTTTTTGTATATATCCTGCCACAGCTCGATTAAGAACGCCGCGATGGCGAGATCTTCAAATACATGTTTGGTGGGATCAGTAGTCTCGGCCCAATTCGTACAGAGATCTCGTCCGTATTTAGCTTTTAATCTTGCGTATGTGTTTTGCGTTCTTATTTGAGGGATGATGATATCGTGTTGGACTCTCTTGACATAGCCTGCTGCAGTGCCTTTGCCGTGTTTATGGAGGACGGCGAGGAGATGCTCGGCTGTTTTTTCGAGTTTAGGTGATTTGGGTTCGGCGTCGAAGAATGAATAATGGATGGATACTTCACCATCTTGTGATGTGGGATTGAAGTGGTGGAGGAAGCCGATACCACGGACTGCTGGGTGGTAGTAGGGCATTTCTGATGGGTTATCGATGTGAGATATGTATGCTACCAGTGAGTTTATATTTCCATCTTCTTCAGTATTTTCGTAGAACAAACATGACTGATCCATTGATTTATCTAGTTTCGGTTTTCTGGGTATCATAGTCCGGACCATAACAGTATTTAAATGGAAGTCTTTGAAATGAACTAGTCGTGGAGGAATGTCCGCTTGATTTAGCAAATCTTGAGGAACTTCTGTTTTGATAGGCACATCTATTGAGATATCCGCTCGAAATAGATGGTTTGAGTTTATATTTGGATTTCGAATCAGATTTAGCATAACGCTTCTGAATATCTCTGGCGGAAACGAGCATGATTGCTTGAAAAGGGGTGTCCAGCGAGTCCCGTTCGTTTCTTGAAGAATGCTTTTGCTTCTACTTTCAGAGTCTACCAGAATAGGGAGTATTTTGGAGGCAGACATGATTGTTTTGGTGATTTTGGAGCGAAGCATTGTAGAGCTTGAAATCCTAGAAGAAATTTGATAGAAGGAGGCCGGTCACGTGATCATTACCATTCCGTACGTGTGGCCGCCAGTCAAACATGGCTACGTCAATATGATAAAGAGTTGTAAAACATATTGAAAGGTATAAGTAGTAATGATGTGAAACATGATTGGGTACCTGACTTGCTGAATTGATCTCCTCCTTCAAGTTTGACGTTGAGAGCTCGAATTAGACTTGGCACCTGAGGCCGCAACTCTGAAGCGAGCATTTTAGCGCATCCCACAACGCAATTCGCGATTCGATGTCCGCGGGTCAAAAATTACGACCAACGACAACAACTTCAACAACTAATACGACAATCGCCAAAGTACCACCAAAATGCGTACCTACGACGATACCTTCTCCGGTGAGAAGATCTACCCTGGAAAGGTACGATTCCTAAGCCCATTTCCCCCTCGACGACTTTCGCGATACAATGACGAGGGGCAACGTCAAATCCACGATACATGATAAATTTGGAGGAAATGAATGAGGCTCATTTGGATTGCATGGGCAAATGCTGACGGAAGATATTATAGGGAAAGCTCTACGTCCGTGGTGACAGCAAGATCTTCCGATTCCAAAATGGAAAGACCGAGTCCCTTTTCCTCCAGCGCAAGAACCCCCGCCGAATTGCGTGGACAGTTCTTTTCAGACGACAACACAAGAAGGGTATCTCTGAGGTATGCGAAATCCCTCCGAAACATCGGACTGGCTGTAGGCGGAGCTCGTAGCGCACGTTGTATAGAAGGGTTGTTGGATTGTCATCAGGTTACTGATCAGTATTTCACCCATATAGGAGGTAGCCAAGAAGCGATCCCGCCGTACCGTCAAGTCCCAGAGAGCCATCGTTGGTGCTTCCCTCGATGTCATCAAGGAGCGCCGATCAATGCGACCAGAAGCCCGATCCGCCGCACGCGCAGAGGCCATTAAGGCAGGAAAGGAGAAGAGAGCAGCTGCCAACAGCGCGAAGAAGGCAGAGAAGGCAAAGACCGCCGCGAGTCAAGCTAAGGGTGGAAAGGTTCTCAGCAAGCAAGGTGCGAAGGGTGCTCAGCAGAAGGTTGGCCGAAACACCAAGTGAGCGGGGAATGGGTCTTGGTTTGTCGTTTTTACTCGCTTTACGGCTTTTCGTTGCTGGTTGGGTTTACGCATGGGTGAGGCAAAATGGGCTTCTTGCGGAATCTTGAACAATAGATGATCAATGCAGGAGCGGTACAAATACCATGACAGTCCGGATATTCTTGAATGTGATACGGATACGATGTTTTTGAGGCAATGGAGGCAATGGAGGCAATGGGACGCATTCACACAAGCAACGCGTTTAGGATGATCTGACGTGTTTGTTTCCACGGAGTCTGATGAACGACTACCTTTAGATCACTAATACCCTATGGCCCGTAAAGTTATACAAAGATCTCGTGTCTCTTATAAAAATAAGAACTAACACTTTCAATGTATTAATCATTTTCCTCTTACACCGAAAGCCACATACTGGAATAGCAACCAAGTACTGGATCTGGATCCTCCACAATACCCTGAAACCCTTTGTTATGTACTACTGATCAATGTAGTTGCTGTGTCCAACTTGAAAATGCCATATTGAAAACAGGCCAACCGCATTTATTGGACAATTATAAAACGTCCTAACGAAATATTTTCCAGAATTATTACCATAACACCGTGAACATAATCACAGTCATCATGTACTAGTGGAAGAGATTAGGAAATGGAGAAGGAAAACGTATAATTAACGTTTGAAGAGATGCTTGAAAAGGAAGTTAATCTTCAAATTAAGGAGGGCGATTGGAACAACTAGCTTGGGGTAAGAAAGCTTGTCATGTTTTAACAGAATTACACGATATTTCTGGAGCAGTGGAGCTTTTACAATTGTTTAATGTGCTAGTTCATCTACTGTAGTAGTCTGTGCTCTTAATATGTAAATAGCATCCAGTGAAGTCCGTCAGTAGCTCATTTCCTCACTTCATTCAGTTCGTATGCTGCTTCTTCAACTGCCGTCGATTTACGTGCTTGCTCTGGCTTCTCCGGCTCATGAAGCGCCAGAGAAGCAGTAAAGCTATCGATAGTCCAAACACTAGAAGCCCATTGCCATAATTGATACTTCTTGGCTCCCCGGCAAGTCACGAGGTTGCTTTATCAACTGGAGGAACCCTTTCGTTCAGATACTTCTCCAAATCATCAATCTCATCCGGATCGGCCGAGTGTTGCAAGCCTTTGTACATCTTCAAATCAACACTCCATCCCTCAGACTTCAAGATTTCCGCAGTCTTTTGTCCCCACTGAGGAAGGACTAGGGGATCACTATCGCCATGACCCATGAAGATAGGAGTCGACTTGTTTGGGTTTTCCGACGGCAACAACTCCTTCATCTTGTTATGTAACAACAAATAACTACTCAATCCAAAGATCCCCCCCAATTTAAAAGGCGACGTAATACCAGCAAAAATGGACATGGCACCGCCCTGACTGAACCCGCCGAGCACGATCCGGCCAGATGGAATACCAGCGTCGATTTCGGATTTGATTAGGCTGTGGAAGTAGTCTCGCGAGCGGAGAATACCTACTTCATCTTGACCGCCTTGAAGATCTTGAAATTGGGTCTAGAAAATAACTGTCAGTGAATGACTTGAGGGGTTGGCTAAAGGCAAAGTACAGTGTCTCGGGGTCTTACAATGTCATACCATCCTGGCATTTGCATACCCATGTTGACGGTGATAGGAATTGTTGGGGCATTTGGAAAGACGAATTTTACTTCTTCGAACTTTTGTCGAAGACGCCAGTTCTGGGCCAGGGTTACCCATCCTGTTGGTTTGGAGTTAGTATGGTCATTCCTATAACAGAGGAGGAAAGGTTATCCTCAAGTCTACTAGATGGCAGTGATTGGAATTTCTGCATCTGACACTGTGCCTTAAAACGGAAACAGATGATATATCTTACCTGCGCCGCTGTCGCCCAATCCGTGGGCCATGATGACCGTCGCCGTATGCTTCTTCACGGCAGGAATAACTAGTGGTGCTTTTTGTGCCATTTTGAATGTATTCCCGCTCTTGTATGGAGTGTTGATGAAGCTTTATGGTGATTGGATTATCTGATAACCACCAGGAAAGATTTTGATGAATGTGAAATTGTAAGTCTAATGAGAGTTACTATCGTCACATGAATTGCCCGAGGTTGAAGTGCTAATGTTGTACATTTTGGCGAAGGACCAGGGTCATGAGAACCGACAAAATCCTTATCCGAGCCTTGTTTACGACGATAAGGAGCTGTCAGAAGACGACATCGATCCTTCAGCAACACACTTGCGTACTACCTGCTCGTAAACAGATGTGCTGCCGCATACCTTCTCTGTGGCCACTTTCCTTCTTGTAACATTACAGCAAAATCTGGACTCGAAACTCAATGTCTGCCGCGCATGTAGCAGCAGCAGTATACCAAAGCATCAATAACCCAGCTATGGCAACAACCACAGAATCTCGGCCGCCTTCTCCCAGCGCATTACCTCCTATACCATCATCTCCAACATACTCATACGCATCCACGGCCGTACCTATCCCATCATCGTTTAACCTCCCTCTACCGCCTCCTCCCCAACCAGCACACTCAGTCCTCACAAAGAGCGACATCGAAGCATCACAAATCGCATACTCAGAACTATTATCTTCCGCGAAAGCCTACCGCTTAGCCCTCGCCGAATTATCATCATCAGCCTCAACTTTTGGATCAGCACTAGAAGCATGTGCGCGACTGAAAGAGGCACGGTCCCCTTCCATTCAGAGCTCAGAGAGCATGTCAAATAGTTTTACCATACATGGGAATTCGGGCGGTTCGAATTGTACGGCTGATAGTCTTCTTGCTGCCAGTGGGGTACATCAGCTTATAGCGAATCATCAACAAATACTTAGCGAGACTGTGTACAGGAGTTTTGAGGTGCCGTTACTAAGTGACCTGGATCAATGGCGTACAAGGATGGAAGACGAGGAGGAGAGATATCAGAAAGATGCTAAGACAATGAGTAAAGAGATAAGAAAAATGGAGAAAGAAGGGCTAAGGTTACACGGAAAACGGAAACGAGACGTCGGAGCATTCAGAGAACATCTCGTCAAACTAACCCTCCAACTAGACGGTCTAACCTCCCTCCACGGCGGTCACGCCCGCGGCCTCCTCCGCGAAGGCCAAGAAATGAGCACATCAATAGTAGAATGCTCAGCGGGGCTCGTCCGCGCCGAAGTCGACATCTTCGAAGCCCTCGCGCGCAAAGGCTGGTCCGGCGGCGGTCTCGACGAACTCCTCGAGCGCGGCCGCGATCTCTTTGCCAACGAATCCGACGTCTCGGACGCGCACCACTCCAAAATCTTCAGCATCCTCCCAAATAAATCGATTCTCGCGGACTCAAATCAGGATCCTGCTTCCCGGCCGCAAATGGCATCTCATCCCCATGACCATGCGAGGAGTGATAGTTTGCTGGTGGAGGGACATGGGTATCAGAGTCTTACGGCTGCGGTCACGGATACGGATGTGAGGAGCGTGTTTTCGGATAGCGGGATGAGTCGCACGAGACCGGATTCTACGACGGGGATTCTGAATCGGTCGAGGGGTGCGAGGCCGTTTAGTCCGCCGCCGAGGGAGAGGGTTAGGGAGGGGGGTGATCCGCTTGAGTTGCCGAAATCGACGGATGTGGAAGCGGATAAGGATTGTGGACTTTGTGAGGATGAGACTGCTGAGGGTGAGCTGAGAGATGGGGATGAAGGGGTGAAGGAGGGGAGTGTCGAACCTAGGGAAGAGAACGAGGGAGCGGCGGGAACAGCGGCGAAAAAGAGGGAGCGGAGGTGGAGTGTTACTGATGCTACGGTGTCTGATTAAGGAGGGAATGGCAGGTATTTTGTAAGCATGCGTGTGAGGGTGGATGTACTAGGGAAGGGCGTTTTTTGTGTTTGTATACCCACTTGAGTTTTGCTCGGGAGATTAATATACCTATGTTGTGTTGGTAGATGCATGGGTGGGCGGTAGGTTTGAATTGTAGAGAATGGTATAGCGAATTGTAATGTTGAAAAGCTGTGGCGGAATGAAGTGTTGATGAATTCCGATCACCACTTGTGGAGAGTATGTTGTGTCTGAAAATCTCTCGTTGACGGTTTTTGGTTTGGGAATCTATGATAAAGCAGTGTAGAGAGTCTAATGTCCCTTAGATTTGTGCCACGCTATACTTATTTTCAATTCTGATATCTCAATGACCTGGGAAGACATCCCATCGCCACATCCCAAACGCCCAACTCCAGCCAGCCTAATACTATATTACACCTCCGACCGCTTCCTCTCCCGTTCCAACCTCCCAAACATCTATCTTCCTACTCAGATTTCACACACACCTCAAAAATCCCAAAAAGCAACCAATCCAACCAATAAATCAAACACCAATACAAGCTCGCCCTCTGATAATCAAATTCCCCGTTCTCCAACCGCGGCACTGCAGAGCCTATCATGTCAGTCGTGAACCAGCTGAGAAATGGGATCTGAGCCATGACTCTCTTGCTGTAGGATTGCTGGGGTAGGAGAGCTTGTTCTGCGGGGAGGAGTTGGGCTTTTTTGGCTGTGGGAATGATTCGACAGTATGCGTCGGCGGAACTGTTTTGGGCTATGGGAGCGACGGAAGTGGATTGGCCTATTACGGTGCCTGATGAGACAGTTACTGTTGATGCGCCTGCGGTGGAGAGGGTTGTTGTGTCTAGGGTTTGTGAGGAGGAGTTGGAGCCTGAAGGGGATATTTTGTTAATCCCCCGTCCGATTTGGCTCATGGCTGGAGTTGTATAGGATCGCGGCAGGGTTGAGGCTGGTCGCGGTTGAACGTTAAAGAAATTTCTGCCTGTCGTTGAGCCCAGTGTTTGAGGACGCTGAAATCCTGCTTCAATCGCTTCATCGGATGAGGGTGGAACTCCACGGTATAATTCTGCGGACACAACATAACCTTGAATCGTTTGCGGTGATGCGTCGACCGCTGCTTCTGCTCCTTCTGCTGATTCGAATGTGACTTTAATCCAGTGTGCTCCACCCGCCCAACTCAATGCCTTCGCCTTTTCCTCTGCAGTCAAGGGTTGCGTTCGCAGTGAAGCTGGGTCTCTTAGATCTGACTTATAACGCCTCTGTTCCGAGGGCGGATCTCTTGGATAGTCTTCGCATATCCTCCCTCCAATACGCTCGTATTCTCTGATGGCCGCATATTGGTGGGTGTCTTTGAACCCTCGCAGGATAACCTCTGTTGGTTCTTTGTGAACGTAACGCGAAAGGGTTGGTCCGTTTCCTTCCGCGGGAGCTCCAGCTCCAGATAGATTCGGCTGAGAGACTGAGGTGGATAGAGAATTATTACGCTGGGGATCAAGCGGAGCTGCGACTCGGCTTGAAAGGAAATTCGAGAAGATCGCGCCGGCAGCTTCTAACGTTGGATCCTCCCTTCGTGCAGCCGGTGTGCCTGTCCTAGATCTAGATCTCCTTGTTGATTTTCCGAAAGATCCCGTCTCTGCTACCGCTCTTCGAACTCTTGAAACTGAGGGACTCTCGTTGCTATCTGAATCAGGAAAACCATCCATGTTTGCGCCGGAAGAAGCACTTACCCAGGGAACAGCATAGCATACGGTCTTTGTATGCCATCCTCCCCTACATACAACTCCTCATCTGGAACATTATGTAATATTAGGGGTGGCATGTCGGTGGGCGGATTGCTGCATCAAGCGGATAGGAATGCAAGGGATGATTGCCAGATTATTTTGAGGTTCGGAAGCACACGTCCAGCATACAAAAAATACGCGGTTTCGCAGAGCAACCGGACGGGTGAACCGTGGCTGAATTGAACTTCTGAGCTGGAACTTGCTTGGCATCTCAGCGTGGAACATGGATGTTCCAGGGCAGGGGGGTGCAGCTTAGATCGTCATATTCCGTTTGGAGCTTCAACGACATCGAAAGCTGCAAAAAAGTTAAATTCTCTATCAGCAAGATGTTTAGATTTGTAAGAATTCCGCGCTGTTATTCTAATAGACAGTTTGATACTGTATTTCAAAGATACTAGGAAAGACTTAAACTAATTGCCTTGGAACTGTTAGCACAAAACCCTCGATGTAATCACCCTATTCCACAAGGCAAGCTTGCCAACCTCAACGAGAGTCCACACCATCCTCAAGACAGCTTCTGCTACAGCCTCAGAGACCGCGACCGAGGATCAAGCTGGCGATCACTCTGCGCAAAGCAATCCTAAGAGAAAGGAATTCGAGCTCGATGTGCAAGAGGAACCTCCCACCGAAGATCAGCTCAAGACCATTATTGATTACCTTGGTACCAACAAGATCTCTACGCTTGTGAAAGGAGCGAAGACGGAGCTTGAAGCTATAAAGAAGTTGAAGGAGAATGGTGATAACTTTCAGAGACCGGTGGTGAGTCTTGGGCAAGCCCCCTTCGTTGCAGCTCTTATTAATTGTGTATAGACTGTTGATTGGGAGAACGGAAAGGCTGTGGCGGGAGACAACGAGTCGGAGATCCTGAAGCTGGTGCAGGCCCTGCCCGGTAAATAATTTGTTCCATTGTAAGATATGTATTGAATGGGTATTTGCGACTCGTCCTTGCTGTTGCTGGTCTGCGAATGCGAATGTTGTACATACAGCTGTGAAACAAAAAAATGCGAATCTCCTCTTTGATTGATATTGCTCCTTTTTGCCCAGTGTTTGTTCGTCGAGGATCAAAGGCAGTCTGCTTCAGACATTGATTAGCTCTGTAACATCTAGTTGGGTGGACCTCTCATGGATAGTATCGCGGAAATGTCTATTCGAACGAGTTTATCTAGAAGAGCTAATTGACGGATGTACCGCCACGCCATAGGTACCTGTGATAGGTTTCGGGCTATGGAGCAAGAGATACATGGTAAGCATTCCTTACCTTCGAGGTTACATGTGCTAACCTTTAAATAAAGAAAACTTAAGGACTGGGTTTAAGCCTTAAAGCAGAGCACTCCCACGCTGTTTATGCCAAAGGGGTTTCCTCATCAGGTATTTTTCAGCCCCCTCCGCGCCACCTTTGGTCCTAGGTAATGAGTATGATGTGGTGACTTCTGTTCTTATGTTGACCACAAAGAAAGCGCGGCAATCTTCTCTCATTAAGCTAAGCGTTCGTCCTATGAGCTCTGCCGGCCTCTTAAATCGGGTTGCCGCGATCATCATATCATATTCGTCCCAAGAACGTTGGCCAAGAGGCCCATGAGAGTTTACAGCACTGCGCAACTACTAGTCAAGCTGCATAAGGTCTGGCACATCAGTAGAAGAGGAGCAAAATGCCCTCAAGGGGTTTGAAATGGGGTGTCGGCCCTCCATTATAAAGCTGCGGTGAGAATGTGCTACATCATATCCCGTACTAGTTCGAATTAGCAAACTACGATTCTAATGCTGTTCATGCTTTGGTTAATTCACATATCTATCTATGCTTAGAAAGCTGGTGGAATTTGCATTAGCTTCTATTCACTGTACAGAGAAAAGGCGCGCCTGCTAGTGTGTGAACCCGCTATCCTCTCCGCGTTCTTTGGTGCCGACCCAAACCTTCTTTCTCGCTTTCTCGCGATCGAAGTTCAACCTTCAGCCTTCAACCTTTCAACCTTCCGTCCAACATCGAGCAATCATCCCTGCTTTATCAGTGCTATTGCGCTTAGAACCTGTATAACACTCGTTTCGCATCCCAATCTCGAATCTCCACTCCTCTCGAACTTCTAATCTTTAATTACGGTTTCGACCGACACTTCGCAGAATTTGACGCAAACATACACCTCACCTTCCATCAACATTGGCGCAGAGAAGGCGACCATCCACTCTTCGATCTGTTCGATTGCCCGTTCCTCTTCTCTCATAGATCGCAAGGATGAATTATACGAGCCCTGCGGCGGTGGCTCGAATTCCACCTGCTTCGCCAGCCGTTTCCAACGCGTCCACAATTCGGCCACGGGTAGGAATATCTACAAATCGACCAGTACCGCAAACAATCGCTGGCTTTTCGCCAGATTTCTTCTACGCGCCCCATCCAGATGCCAAGGCTATCTTCTCGACAGGTTAGTGTCCTGCGACCCATTCTAATGCAACGTTATGTTTCCAGCAGCATCATCCGCTCAAAGATATGAATGCCCTGCTGTGGTTTTACGTTGATTTGTAGGATAAGTGAGCTGACACTATGAAAATAGAGAGAGGGACGCGACCAAAACGATGCCTTCCAAATCCCCTACCTGCAAGAGTTTTACACAGTAGTATGGAATTGGATGTAAAGGCTAGAGCTGATCAGCTTCGAAACGATTTCCCTACCGTCGTTCGATCCATTTCCATGCCCAAGAAATGGGGAGATTTGCATGAATACTTCGATGCGGTTGATCTTTATGAAGAGAGTCCCTTATTCTGCTGGCATGTTATTGTCTCCCTCGCACAAAAGAACAACCAAATGCAGGCAGTCTTTGCTCATGCTGTTAAACAGTGGGTAATGGAGTGGATGTCAGCTCACCGGGACCAAGTATTGAACAGCCCTCTAAACGCTGATCTATTCTCGATGTTTTGGCCGGATGAGAGGGCAAGCTTCGACGAGATTACCCCTGCAGAGAAACAGTGTAAGTTCTCATATGCCAACCTGCTTCGTCTTGTTGTTTTATCTTTTGTGCAATGTTAATAGGCTGATGATTTAATGAAATTAGCCGTACGTATAGATTTAGAAAATGAGCGGGTTAAGTTGTTCCAAGAGTTAAACCATCCGGGTGCAGCCAATCTTCCAGTCCAAGTATTGCACCGCGTTCAAGAGCAAGTCCCAAACTTTGCAGCTTCACCTTCCCAGGCACGAGTACTACCAGTGCAGAGTGGGTACTTCATCCTTGTCCTACCAGATCCAGCCCTAACAATTCACTTAAGTACACCCAGTGTCTGTTCCTAATTTAAGCCATCGTCAAGGCCATATTACATACGACAACTTCATGCAAAATCAAGGGCAACGCCATAATGGAGCTGGCTTCAACGCGACTACGCTGCCAGGGCGCCCAGTCAATCATAGATATACGGGTCCAACTAGGCCACGCCGCATGTCAAATGATGTTTTGAGAAATGTCAGCAATTATCAAAACGACATGCGATTCAACAATCGTCCTACCAATGGCCAGGGATTCATGGACCCCGCAATGCGTACGCCTGTTCGGCAGCACGTTGAACCAATTTATATCAATACTGGAAGTGGCAGCTTCGGATCCTCCAGTCCTCAGACTCATGGTATTGTGAACCTTCCAGCAATTGGCGAGATCGGCCCAGATCCCTTTCGTGTTTGGTATGATGAAAACGCAGGTCCTCCGCCAGCAGGGACTATTAGGGAAATGTGGCAAAACGAACCAAGGGCTTATTTCCCACCGAACAAGCTACACTGTACATGGTTCTATCATGGAGAACCAAAGAAGCATAGTGGGTTTGATCCGGACAGGAGTGATCGTACGGCCTATGTCAATAATGTGCCCACTGATTATTTTACCTCACACCAGCTTAAAGAAGACATGGCAACTTGTGGGACGGTCGAGAGCATTCACTATATGAACAACGGATTATTCGTGACTGGGTCAGCTCTAGTTATGTGAGTCTCTGCATTTGACATGGAAGCGCTTCCCTAACATACTTCATAGGTTCCTCGAGAAAGAGGCCGTCGATAAAGCCATCAAGAAGTTCCATACGACACAATTGAATTCAAGTGTTCTTAGTGTCAGACCTTATGAACGTGGTTCACGAGATCCCTCCGATAGTCACCATAGCCCAGGAAGCTACACTCACAGGCGTGTTGGTTCATATGGCCGCAACGAAGGTCACCGCCATAGAGGGCATCGATATTCTTCAACACGGGGATCATCCGGGTCCTTTAGTCATGTTACAGCAGGCTACGAATACAAGAATGTACGAAATGAACTCAACAATGAGACCAGACATGATCGTTCTCTAAATGACGGAAATATGGCTACACCGATCCGTGCCTCTATGGCCGAAATAGCACAGCATACCACGGCTTTGAATCGGAATTTCTCGAATGGAATGCTTTCATCGATTGAGAATATTCCCAGATCTGACAGGAGATGGTCTGGCCCGGAAACTCGCCCAGACAACAATCGTTCAAAGAAGACCGCCAACAAAGAGAATTCACCAACCAAAAGCTCCACTGTAGGCTCAAGAAATAATAGCCAAGGATTCAAGAAGCCAGAGGACAACAGAGCATCTACCCATAACACTAGCAATATGGGTAAAGGTAAAAGGGCCAACAAGAAAGGTTCAAAGCAAAACACGTAAGTATTCTAATTATATTTAAGATTCAAATCTGACGACTCTAGTTCTACAAAACCAACGCCGGCAACCACACCAACGAAACAACGATCTGGAAACTTCTTCAGCTCATCGTCTAAGGAATCAACATTTCCGATAATACAACTTCGTCAACTAAGGGGAATGATGCCCACTTTGGTGGACCCTTTAACGCACCCATATCTACCCAGGCTAGTTCAAGAGGATTGAACCCAGAAATTACACAACGCCGGCAGGAGCCGAATGTAAAGGACCCCAACACTCTACCATTAGGCAGAGGAGAAGCCCTGTCCTTAGGTATTTCTTCCACAGGAATGTCTAGTTCAGGTTCATCTGCCTCTCATACCGCGTCTTCAAACAATACATCCTCGGCTCCGAGCATGTCACGAGAGACGAGCATAACAACGCCGTGCATGTCGCGAGAAACATCGACATCATCGCAGCAATTGAACAATTTATCACAAGACTTCAGTAAGCAATTAGTCAAGCATGATTCGCAATCGACTGTTAAAACCACAGCACCGAGCTCGAAGAAACACTCAAGCGCCAACACATCCGACTCGGACAATAATACCGCTCGAACGCCCAAACTCGTGGGTGGGCAAAAGAGCGATGGTCAGGCAGTGGACAATGTTCAAAAGTTCCAGCCGCGTAAGAAGAATAATAACAAGCATAAGACTTCTGTGTCAGCTAGTAGCTCAACTCAAGGGGGCGAATGCTCAAGCGTCCCAACGAATTTGGAGGCAGGAAAATCGTTCGTAAATGGTAGCAAGACTTCGGGCGATGACAAGGGGACTGAATCGACTGCTCTTCTTAAAAGCCAGGTTGATCAATCTGGTTCATCATCGTCGAGGACCACCAGTGAGTCCGGTCAGAAAGGAAAAAAGAAGACCACAAATGGGATCGCGCGGGATGGCCATGTAAGCAACAGAAGTAGCTTCTCAGCTACTGGTTCTTCGACGCTTAAGACCAGCACAAAAACTGGCAAGATGGAAAAGAGCGCGCCTACTACGCCAAAGAAGTCGATGTCCTCAGCTAGTCTTCTCGAC